GAAAATTAATTCACTTCCTTATCGATTTGATTGGCTAAAATAGACAAATTGTGTGTTGCAGCATTTTGTGAAGTCGATAGTTACTGTTTTTAAATGTTTTGGACCACACGTGGCGCATGAATGAGTCGCTGAAAGCATAGAAGAACAAAAAATAGAAAAGTGTATAAAGTAGACATATCGTCATGGTTCTGAGAATTTTGAATGCAAAACAAGGCCATTAAATGTACGTCTCTTTCTCTCTCTCTCTCAGAGCTCTTTCGAGCAAACACAAAGCACGAGAACTATGCGCTTTTCTTTTTTTTTTCCTCCAAAGTAAAAAGTTCTGGGAGAGGAAGCTGTTCAAAAATGCGGCCCCCAAAAACACTTTTTCTCTCTCTTTCTCTCTCTCTTTCACTCACTTTTTTTTCCTTTGAATACATAATCCAGTGGCGATGACGAATGGGATGAGAACTAGAGGGAAAAGAAGTGACAGAAGCCTTCCAAGAGCATCTTTTTTTGGTATTATATTCAGAGCATTGTATCTGAGCGGTCTTTATAGATGCCGAAATGTTGACAACTGACAAAATGTACAAAATTTCTCCATGAACATTTTATTAGTTGAAGACTTTTTGATATCGGTGCAGACAACTGAGATATTGTGCTTTGAATCGAAGGTATTTCATGATCATCACTTCAACCTTCATCATCATTTTCCCCCCGTCTTTTTCTCCATAAGTACTATGGCTCGTCGAGCAAATCGCGCAGCTCCTTCTTCTTTTTTCTGAGCAGCTTCCTTTTAATCCTCAAAAGGCCTTATGACATTACTGATATTATCAACGAGCCGAGCCGCTCAATAATCTTGCCGAGCGAAAATGGATGCGTACATTAGTATAATCCAGAAAACATGCTCATTTCCGATGGACTATTCTACGCGCATGTGCTAATGTAATGTCGATGAGAGTGCTCATGAACTCGTGAAAACGAGTCTTATACGTTTTTTTTGTAACCTCTGAACCGTCTAGAGTCTAGAGTCTAGACGGTTGCCGTTAGAAACGACGAGTGTTCATAATCTCATAATATTTTCGTTTTCGCGCTCATATTGATCTCTGTTTCGTGGTCTTTTCGAAAGTGATGCCATTTTTTGACATTTTCAATTAGCCTTAATCTGCTACATCGTTTTTCATTTTTTGAATATTCTTGATCAATATCAGGTTTCAAAAAATTCTAGAGCACACGGTCTCGTTTTCATGAATTGAGCAGTTTTCTTCAATTTTTGTGGTCAACGGCGATGAAAAATGAGTGTTCGACATGAAAACACACTAATTCTCACAGAATTATGGACGTTTTGGCGCATTTTTCGAAATTTTTTTTTTCCCTAAAAACCGCACTTCTCATTTTGCGCTTTCTTGACCGTTTTCATACACAATTGGTTTTGAGAATGATAAATCACGTAAATACAAGCATTTTGAGCGCTCGAACCGCGAAAACTACCGAAAAACAACTGAAATTCACGCAGTTTTAGCCAAAAACCTTCAAACTTGACCAAATTTAACGCTCTTTCGCTTAAAAAATTCGTAATAGCCTATACAATCGGTCTATCGAGAGACAAATCCGAAATTATCGGTTTTTCGTGGCGAATCTGGCAAAAAACACCAATTTTGCTGTTAAAATTTGAATTTCGCGCCAATGTATCGGTCTATTGGGCGAAGCGGTCAGACTCAGGTAAATCGTTTGTAATTTAGCTAGCTAATTCGCGTTTCTAACCGGACCTAATTAGATTGCTAACTTACTGCGATTAGATTGCAAATTCTTCTACCTGCACTGATAAATTTTCTAATTAGATTGCAAAAACACTGATATTTGATTCAAAAATTTATCTAATTAGATTAAAATTTCGGGCAAATCTAGCTAGATTATTATGTTTAGATTTATTCAGAAGGCGGTAACAATCTAACTGGGTCCGGTTAGAAACGAGAATTAGCTGGTTAGATTAGAAACGATTTTCCTGAAGACTCTATCGATCGCGTGAAGCCGGAACCTTCTCTTCCCCCTCCATCATTGTCGCATCGTCGAAATCAAATTCTCCCCCCGCTCTTTCTCTCTCTCTCTCTCTCTCTTTTGGCTCTTTTCCTCCTCCGAAAGTGACGAGTTCCGCTCTCTCTCTTCTTCTCCTCATCCCTTCATCACCAAATCTGCCATGTGACTAGGAAAGTAGGGAGGGGAGAAGAAGAAGAAGAAGAAGATGAGGAGTTGAATCCTTACTATCGTTTCACACGTAAAGTGTGAGAGCCGCCGCCATTTCACGATACATTTTCGTGTTTCACCCGACCCATAACCGATTCAACTATTTTTTTATGATGCTATCGCGATTCTAAAGTATTTCCAGCCGAAAACTTGAGAAATGCAGCTAAAACTTGGAAAATGTTCGCCTGGCCTATCGTAAAGTGTCGCGCACACACACACATTCCGATGATTCAACACTAGGCACCGTGGAATTGGAGAATCCGGAGAGCAATCTCGAATTTCTCCCGCCTTTTTCCTTTCCTTTTTCTTTTTGGCGCGCGCCAAAAAAAGTCATTTCTCATCAAAAACCCTTTCGAGAAATGGAAAAGCGTGGCAAGGAGGATTGTTCGCATGCGTAATGATTTGTTCAGTCTTTTCCGGATACTTCAAACCTTTTCAAAACTGTAAATGTTTTTTTTTCTTTTGCATTTTCAGGTGGTTGACAACAAATCCGAACGGATGGAGGATCGATTATCCAGCGCCTCTTCTTCTTACCAATCACATCCAGGTTAGTCTGTCTGCAAGTGCGCTCCACCGTACCACGACGACCAAAAGTGTAGAAAGGGGGGCGTGGCCTAATCTGAGACGCGTTTTCTGAAAATTGCCGCAATTCCAGCACTTTTCCGATATTTTTGTGTTTGATATCGACGAAAGAAGAGCACATTAAAGAGAGAAAACATTGAAATTTTCGTAAAAACGCCGCGTTTGAGACGTTTTTCGTATATTTCGCAATTCGGAATTTTCATAGCGGCCGATGTGGATAGTTTTGAGACGAAGTGAGTGTCGGAAGTGATTAAGCACTGGTAATACAAGTATTTTAAGCGTTCAAACGGCAAAAAGTAACGGCGAATGACTGAAATTCGCGCATTTTCAGCACAAAACTTGAAAATCGATTCAATCGATTCATTTCTGAATGAAACCTGCTCGTTTTAAGCTCAAAAAGTGCGCGCGATGATTAGTTTAACAAAGTTATGCAATTACATCGTCGAAATCCGTACAAAATTTGGGTAATTTTTGACGAAAAACAAGAAAAATTGGGTTAAATTTCGAATTTCGCGCCAAAATGGTGAGAAACCGTGCACGCTAGGCCCCACGCCCCTTTCTACGTTTTTGGTGGTCGTGGCAATGTTCTTTTTCAAGCAAAATCCACGAAGAAAAGGTAAGTTTTGTCGCAAAATGAATTGCCTTTGAAACCTTGGGATAGAACAGATCATTAGTTTGTGCGCCAAAAGTGCGGAAACTTGTGTGCACTTTGAAACTGAACTCAACGCTTTTCCCCACTACAAAACCGTACTTTCCTTGCGAAAACCCTCGCAAAAGCAAAAAGTTTGCGCGCAGAGAAACGTTTCGTGGTGGTCCCCACAGACAATGGACCATGATTAACGATGTGCGTCTGGTGTTTGACGTCATCAGAAACGGAAACTCGCCAAAAGTCCAACATTTTGCTCACTCATAGCGTCGTCGAGCACAATTGAACACTTTATGAAGCGGTTTTTCTGATTTCAAACACCATTTTTAGTTAAATTTTATCAAAAATTGATCAATTTTGTCAGAATTATGGAACATTTTGCAACAAGTATCAATCTTCATACCGATTTCACGAAACAGTGACTACCAAAGTGTTCAGCAATTGCACTTTTTCTTGATTTTTGCAATTTTTCTTGATTACTAGTTAGAAAAGTCTCATTTTTGACATTCACATCCCTAGCCGGCATGAAATAGCTTGTAAAATCTGCTGGAAACGTGAAAGTAACTATATGTAAAGTTGTATGTTATTCATTTTTGTAGGAAATATGAAATCTATAGTTTTCAATGTGTTATGCCTGATTTGAAACATGAAAAACGACAGTTTTTTTTGATATAAAACTAAAATGTACTGTTTCAAGTCGTTCTCAAAAAGATCCTCAAGAATGCGGTCCCTATCCATCTCGGGACCCCGCTCCTCCGTCTTCGTTTCGTCATAATTTATGGTCCCTCGGGTACGTGGCTCCGCATCCGCAAACACGATTCTCCTTCTTCGCCGCCGCCGTCCCCCTCACTTTCTTTTCACAAATCGAAACGACGACGCGTCCTCCCCTCTCTCTCTTTTACTCGCACAAATCGATGGCGGCGTGCTCGGTCTCCGTTTTGTGTGCAAAACGGGCGAAGGGGGTCACAAAGACGGAGAGAGAGAAAGAGAAAGAAGGCGTGAGAGAAGGAGCGGAAAAGACGGAGCGAGACTTCCATACTAGTACATCCCTTTCTCCCTTCTTCTGCTTTTTCTTCTTTCTTTCCTTCTTCTGGAGCTATCCACCAGTATCATAGCATAACACTTCAAAAAAGAACAAATTTACAATAGCTTTTCAGTAAGTGTTATAGTCATACTTACAGCTATCTTTTTGTTCAAAACGATGATTCTAGAAAAGGATTTTGCCAAAAATGATTACGGTTCAACTAAAAGAACGCATCAATTGGCGTTTCAGTTCGCTGCTCACATTACTCTTGGCTGAAACCGTACACGAATTGAATGAAAAATTGTTTGAAAATGGCAGAATTAATAAGAAAATGTTGAAACGCGCGCGCGTCTTACTGACCACCAGCAACACAAATAATTTGGATGCAATTTGGTAAAGTGCAATATAACTTGATTCTAACCTCATTACTAAAATTGTCTGCTTCACTCTCTCTCTCTCCATCTTTCTTTTTTTGGGGGCAACTGACACTGCTCCTCTAAAAATTCCATTCTAAAAGCGCCGCAAATGTATACAATCGTTTCAGGAAGAAGCGTGGAAGAGGATCACAACTCGCTGCTCGCCTCCTCCTCAATCTCGTCGCTGATTCGTGGCACTCGCGGACATTTGAACAATTTCATCGAATCCGTCGGAAATGTGAGTAGTCGCATTTGCAAACGCATCGCGTTTATCCGTCCTCTTCGCTACTAGTGTTACACAAGAAATTTCAGAAAATTCTAGAGCACACGGTCTCGTTTTCATGAATTGAGCAGGTTTTCTCTGATTTTTGTGTGGTCAAAGGCGATGAAAAATGCGTGTTCGACATGAAAACACACTAATTCTCACAGAATTAATGACGTTTTGGCGCATTTTTCGGCATTTTTTTCCCTAAAAACCCGCACTTTTCATTTTGCGCTCTCTTGACCGTTTTCCGACAGAATTGGTTTTGAGAATGATAAATGACGTAAATACAAGAATTTAGAGCGCTCGAACAGCGAAAATTACCGAAAAGCAACTGAAATTCACGCAGTTTTAGCGAAAAAAACCTTCAAATTTGACCAAATTTGACGCTCTTGCGCTTTAAAAAAAATTTGAAAAAAATAAAAATAAATAAATAAAAAAATAAATAAAATAAATAAAAAAAAATAAATAAATAAATAAAAAAATAAAAATAAATAAATAAAAATAAAACTTTGAAAAAAAAAGCTAATCTGGCAAAAAAACACAAATTTTTGCTGTTAAAATTTGAATTTCGCGCCAATGTGTGGCTCTCACGATTCCAAATCCGATCCCAGAAATCGAGCGCGGTTTTTCAGTGGCTTGTACCGTCCTCATCGGGTCGCGACGACGACGTGGTCTCGCTGGACAGCTGCCAATCGGTGTACAGTCCCGTCCGTCACCACCACCACCACAACCACAACCACAACCATCATCTGAGCAGCGGTGGAGGAGCACTCCTCATGGAACCCTCCTCCATCCATGTACCCGATAACTATTATTCGGTTCGTTAACGTTTCTCGGGGGCGAGAGTTATATTGGAAATTTTTGAATTTTAGGTGACAATAGGCGAAGCCCAGATGGTCGTGCTCAAACGTTATCAGAATCTTCGATTGATCGGGTCCGGAGCTCAGGGAATCGTTTGGTAAGGGATAGAAAGAAAGGAAAACTGAAATTAATGTCTTTTCCCTTACAGCTCAGCGTTTGATACAGTTCGAAACGAGCAAGTAGCCATCAAAAAGCTATCGAGACCATTTCAAAATGTGACTCACGCGAAAAGAGCGTACAGAGAACTGAAGTTGATGAGTCTCGTCAATCATAAAAATGTACGTGTTCACTTATTTGACATCTTCAAAAGCGCTTCTCAAAATACCTTAAACTTTCAGATAATAGGAATCCTGAACTGTTTCACACCTCAATCAAATCTCGACGAGTTCAACGATCTGTACATTGTGATGGAGTTGATGGACGCGAACCTTTGTCAGGTTATTCAAATGGACCTGGACCACGAACGATTGTCCTATTTGCTCTATCAAATGTTATGCGGCATCCGACATTTACACTCGGCCGGCATCATTCATAGAGTATGCTTTGTACACTGACTCATATAAATTGCTCAATATATTGCTTACAGGACCTGAAACCCTCGAACATCGTCGTCCGCAGTGATTGTACCCTCAAAATCCTGGATTTTGGCCTCGCGCGCACCGCAATCGAGGCGTTTATGATGACTCCGTATGTGGTTACACGATACTACAGAGCGCCAGAGGTCATTTTGGGAATGGGGTACAAAGAAAATGGTATGTGCTCCTTATGAGGCCAAATAGAGAAACAGCACACGTTTCCAGTGGATGTCTGGTCAATTGGATGCATATTCGGCGAGCTGATACGCGGACGAGTACTGTTCCCGGGTGGCGATCATATCGATCAATGGACTAGGATTATTGGTAACTAGCAGAGTTGAGCGGAACAATTTTTATATCTTTTTTAGAAAATTTTTTCATGAAATGTGATCAACTGACGAAATGTATAGCAAAGTGAACTCGGCTCATAGAAAAATAATTGGAAATTTAGCTTTTCATACAAAAAAGTTATTCGAGTTGTTCCGTGAAAATGGGGGCTAACGGAAGACGGAACTCGAATAACTTTTTTGTATGAAAAGCTAAATTTACAATTATTTTTCTATGAGTAGAGTTCACTTTGCTATACATTTCGCCAGTTGATCACATTTCATGAAAAAATTTTCTAAAAAAGATAAAAATTCTTCCGCTGAACTCTGGCAACTACCTCACCTCACTAACTATTCGGCAAACCTTCAATATTCCAGAACAATTGGGCACTCCGGACCGCTCGTTCCTGGAGCGACTGCAGCCGACAGTTAGGAATTACGTGGAAAACCGGCCGAGGTACCAGCCGACTCCGTTCGACGTGCTCTTCAGCGACAACATGTTCCCGTTGACGGCCGACAGTTCTAGACTCACTGGTACCACTTTTCCCGACATTTTCTTGCTTTAAATCTTGAATTTTTAAGCCGCCCAAGCTCGCGATCTACTCTCACGCATGCTGGTCATAGATCCAGAGAGACGGATCTCTGTGGATGACGCGTTGAGGCACCCCTACGTCAATGTTTGGTTTGATGAGATTGAGGTAAGCACTAGAGTGACGGTTGTTACCAACTATTGTCCAATTACAGGTATACGCCCCGCCGCCGCTTCCCTATGACCACAATATGGATGTGGAGCAGAATGTGGACTCGTGGCGCGAGCACATCTTCCGCGAGCTCACCGACTACGCGCGCACCCACGACATCTACTCGTAATCGTTCAATTTTGCTCACTCAATGTGATGATGAAAATTGGATTTTAATAATAATAATAAAAAAAAGAAGCGTTGTATCAATTGATAGTTGGCGAAACGGCTTCAAGTCCGCCAGCCGTGTCGTAGACCGATTGCCCGAATAATCGAGCCGCCGCACACAAACCAGCAGCGTCAATCTGAAACTTGTTCACAATATTCTATGTACGGACCGTCTGAGACCTACCGCACAAAGATTCGTCTCGGTGGCCACACTCAAACACGTACAAAACGTATTGTCACAACTGTCCTTTGTCAATTGCTGGTTGTAGCACGAATCGTGCGACTCACAACATGCGTTTAATGGATCTATGGTTTTTTTTTTGAATTTTGAATTTTGAATTTCGAAAACGATTCGCGCCACGGAACCCCAGCATTCCAATGCGCAAGCGAGTTGTCAATGGGGCGCGCTTGCATCCACCGTCGACTCGGAGTTTCTTTTTTCAAGTGAAAACCAGAATTCGTTCGTTTTTCTCTTGATAAACACTCAAATTTTGTTCTTTGCGAACCGTTGGGCGATTGTCTGAGTTAAAAGCATCGATTTAAGCGCGAAACGGAGCAGATTCGTTCAGAATTGACCAAATTGAGGGATTTTGTCGAAAACTACTGAAAAAAAACGGAGTTTTAACGATTATTTGTCGAATCGAGTTCGGACACTGGCATTCGAACCGTCCAGTCAACAAGGAGTTTATTGCGCATCTTTTAAGCGCTCAACCGTCGAAAAATATACAGAATTGAGATAATTGAGGCAAATTTTTGATTCCAAAACGAAAAAAAATTCTGTAATTTTCACATAAAACGTTTCGAAATTGATGACGAAGCAGTTAAAATTTCATTTTTTATTCATTTCTAATCATTATCATAAGTTTTGACACTGATTGGTTCTGAAAAGATGGGAATAATGCAAAAAAAGGGAAAATTGAAATGAAGAACTCTACAACGACGCTCCGGAATTACGCACGCGTTACGCGCCTTGTTTAGCGCACGTGAATTGCGCCAAGGGAATTTTTTATTGGGAAGGGGCTGGGGTTCCGTGTTCTCCAATGCTCCAATACCTCTCAAATTCTTGCACTGTGTACTGTTGAACAACTGTCCGATTTGTGGCGCGAACCGATTCGCGCCACAACTGAAATTCGTCGCCGGAAGCGTGTTGTTGAGGGTGGCCAGAGTGACGCCGGTGTACATCGTGCCGAGACCGGTGTCTTGGGAAAAAGTGGTGGCAAGGAACAGTGTGCAGTACACAAATGTAGACAGAAAACGAGCGGAAGACATGAACGTTGATATCGAAATGTCTGTTCACTTTTTTTTTTTTGGGTGTGCGCTGTGACTGAAGCGCGACACACAACATGTGGTTAATCCGAATCATCACACGAGGAAAAGGGTTTCACTTCTGACCAATCATCACTGTGATTTATGAATTTCGACGCACTGGAACGTCCCTAGACTTTCTTTTTTTTCGAAATGCGACAGCGAAAAAAGACAGAACGACGGTCCAGATGGCGATCGGTCCCGGTGAAAAATCGACGAGATCGGTATCTTTTTCACGGCTTTGTCTTCCTTTCTTCATAGCCAGTCCTCGATTATTTTCCAGGAAAACATCAGAGATGAATCGGGAAAAGTGTTTCAGAAAGTGGTTTTCAGTTCATCTTGCTAGACATAGCAGATAATATGAAAGGCGTCCATTCAAAACGATGTATCTCAGCTCTCCGTTGAGATATCAAAAAGTTGTCAACTGAAAAAATGTGGAGAATGTCTTGCTGAACATTTTATCAGTTGACAACTTTTCGATACCTCCACCGGCAGCTGAGATACACAGTGTCTACGATAGTTTAGCAGTGTTTAATACAGATTTTCTATTGGAAACTCTCTGTTTGAATTTCAGCTGAACCTGAAACAATAAATTACAATTACAAGACTTGTGAGGTATGAAACTGTAAAGTTTCATGAGAAAATTGATATTTCTATAGTGCTTTTCCTGGAAAAATTCATGCGATCACGTTTTAAGATAAGAGTACAGATTCGAAAGCTTCCGAACAAGATTTCTTGATCTTCCGATCGTTTTCCACGATTACACCCACCTAGAATCGTTCATTTTTGTTCCTCTCTCTCCAAATGTATCCATCGTTCAGCCAAAAACAGGGCCTAGTCCTGGCAATTTCCCTTTGTCTAGTCGTATTATTGTACATTTCCACTCGGGAACCACAACTATCCGAGTTTTACACTGTTGAAAGCACAACTTTCGACGATCCGTTGGGCAATTCACGACAAAAGTTGAAAGTCTCGCATGCGTTCATCAATTCCGTCTACTTTTATCCAAAGTCTAAATCGTGAGTTTTCAATATACTTGTCACATTGCTGAAACTGCTCAGGTAATTTTCGGCAAGGATGGGGCGCGCAAGCGGCAAGCGAACAGCAAGTTGCTACGGTAGCATGGGGTGAGCATGTGTCACGCACGGATCCGGCATGGCATCAGCATGGATAGGGCGTGCAACAGAAAAGAGTGGGATGGGAGGGAAGCAAGGTTTTTGAGCGGCACGGGAGCAGCAACGGTAGCAGGGTTGTGGCAAGGAAGTAGCAAGGGTTGAGCGCGTAGCAGGCACGGAATCGGCACCCTTACAGCAATTTGCCGCGGAAAACGGCACAGATACCGCTTCCAGTCGGCACTCATGCCGATTCATGCGGCAACTTGCCGAAAATTACCTGAGTGTCTCTTCAAGACTCGGTCCCAACGCGGTGGCCTTCACAATGGCCATCGACCAGAGGAGCCACAGTATGCGCAACCACACGTTCACCGTAATCGGATCCAACTCGACCGACACACACGCATCCGTTGCCACGTCACAAGCCGAAGGAATCGGAAGTTGTCGCTACACGACACTCATGGCCCGCACGAATACGGTGGAGAATATGAACAAGTTGGAGATCGAGTCGAATGGAGTGAGGGTTGAGGTGAGTTCTGAACGATTGACACTTTCGCCACAGTTTCAAGTCGGCCTTAACTCTTCACATTACAACTTTTAGCAGTGCCTCTTTTGTTGGGGTTACAGATTCCGTTCAAAGTGGCTCGGTACACGGCTCCGTCGCCGGTCATCATCTGCATTTCGCCGCAATTCGTCGCCGAACAATGGCAGATGTTTCTGATGCACGTACATGCCGCACATCGGTACGTTTCACTTCTTATTACGAGAAAAAGTGTTTAGTGATTCTGAGGAAAAAGTTTGACCGGATATTGTAGTTTTGAAACGGTCATCACTGAAAACAAAAAGAGAAAAGCAGCCAGTTTCAGAAACTCGACAAAAACGCACATTTTCATTGCATTTCATTGCATTTCAAAAAGTTTGCCAGGATATTGTAGTTTTGAAACGGTCACTTAAAACATGGAGAGAAAAGTAGCAGAAAACCACTGTTTCATTGACTTTTCAAAGACATTTTTTAATTTTTTTTATGTGGCGGATCGGCCGTGTGTAAGTAATACTGTATGACTTCACAGTTTCAGAGACTCGACAAAAACGCACATTTATTCATTGCATCTTTCATTTCATTGACCACTCCAGTTTTGCAGATTCGGAGGACACCTGCACGTGTACGTCACCTCGATGATCGCTGCGTACTTTGAACTGATGAAAGAGTACGAACGACAGGGATACATGACACTCGACTTCTGGCTCCGAATGAAGTTCACACACTCGCAAACCGCCTACTTTGAGCCGAACGCCAACGTGGAGTGGAGAAATCAGGCGAGCGCCGAGACCGATTGTCTTTTACAGTATAAGGTTGGTAGCACATTCGGAAGAGTTGTGGATGTGTGTTTAGGAGGCGGCAGAGTACATTGCATTCTTCGACATGGACGATATTTTGTTCCCCAAGAACTATCCGACCTATTTGGAAGAGTTCAATGCGGTACTGGCAGCAAATCCAGGAGCGACGTACCTGTTCTACGGAAGAAGGGAACATGAATTCATTAAAGGTTTGCCCTGGCAATGCAAAAAGTCCCATTCACCCTCATTTTCAGCCGAAACCCTTCCCGAGTTCAGTTTCACCGAACTCGTCGAAAGTCTCAAATCGTCGAGGGTTGTGAAGCGAGGAAAAGTGGTGGTGAGACCGGAGGCCTACAATTCCACGTGGATTCACTATAGCAAACATGTCAGTTTCGAGAAGAGGTTTGAATTCAAGAGAATTTGTGCGTGAGGAATCATTCAGAGTGAATGTCACATCTCCGACACTTGTACACGTTCAACTGCCAATCGATAAGCATGGCAATAGGAGCAGTTCAAGGAATTTGTGGAAGATTCAGTTTGGAACGTTGAATGAAACGATTCGAGACGACGATGTCAGGGCGATTGAGAAGGATGTGAACAGGTAGGGACACAGCGTTTTGACAAATTCAATCACTTACCATTTTCCATGTTCCAGAATAAAGTCGCTCACAAACGTGGCCTCCATCGCCCACTACCTACCCTCCAAAGACTTTTATCTTCCGATCGTCTTCAAGTGCTACTACGACGCGTTCTACGGCCCGGCATTCGTCGAAAAAACCGGTGTGCGAGGGTGTCCGAACGCGGATTTTTGTGAACTTCCGCAAAGGGAGGAGTACAAGTGCGTGCACTCGAATGCCCAATACTTTTCGGGACCTCACATGGAACCAGTCACCTATCATTTCACCCAGGATTCGCATTGGTCTCGCGCGATTGGATGTTATCAATAGTTTCTATGATTTCTGTGCCTTGTGCTTAATTTTAGTACAAAATTGTACTGTTTCAATGTGTCAACTTCATAATCTCCACTTTGTTTACTTTATTTTGAGTAACAATTTTAGGGAGCGCAAAGGAGGGGGCGTGGCCTGACGAATTTTCTCCCGGAATAGCTGTTGTCCGTTTTTTTAATTTTTTTACAGACCCTCCTCAAACTGGAACAAAAAATTGTGAAAAATTTTCAGCGATGACCATACGCGTTTTTATTTTCGGAATCGATAGATAAACTCCTTGAGAACCCAAATTGTATAAATTTTCAGAGCCCTCTAGACCCCCTGGGAGCATTTTTATGTTCATTTGAATGAAGCTTGTTCGGGCAAAATTTCAGTTTTCGGGGGATTTGAGGGTCAGAAGTACCGTACACGCGGCCAATTTTTACACCATCGAATTCAGCATAAAATTTCCGACCGATCCATGCTAAATATTTTCATTTAGCTGTTGTCCGAAAAAAGTTGCAGTCAGTTATGTTTTGGATTTCAGCCCGCAAAAGCACTAATTTCACCATTAGAAGGGGCCGCGCACACCGAACTTTTCAACGCTATTGGCGGTCGGCGCGCCTTCGCCCGATTAGCGCAGTGGCAGAGTGCTCACTCGGCAGTCTGGAGGTGTCGGGTTCGAAACTTTTGACCTTGAAAGATGTTTTGCTTTTTTAGAACATCATTTTTCTTCAATTTATATGTTGCCTCTTTGGTTTCAGCCACCAAACAGAGCGGACCCCTCCTCTGCCGCCGATCGGGGAAAAAACAGGCCAACTTTGAAGGGGTGTAACTCGGGATGTACCGAAAATTTTGGGGAAAAAAAATTGGGAGTGTACTCATATAGAGTAGGGGAACATATTCCAACAAAAATTTTAAAGAAATTTTGAGTTTCGTGAATAATAATCGCGAAAATTAGCCTTTTCAACGATTGAAAGTCGGCCAGTCGCGTTCGTTCCATTTCGTTCTGATCTCCGCCCAGCTTTCCATCTCATCTCATCCGATATCGATCTTTCCGTCCGTTTCATTTCGATCCATTGTCCCTCCGATCTGAAATCTAGCGTCGTCGAAAATGGAAGACGAGAAAACCGCCCTGATCGTCGAGGAAACCGATCAAATTATACTCTACGAGAGGAATTTGAATCAAAATCGAAGAATCTGCCTCCTCGCTTCTATTCTCGCTATTGTATGCTTGCTCTACCTCACTTTTGATACTGAATATGCGCCAGAAGACCAGACACTGTACAACTATCGGGGAAGAAATCAAACAAAGTTCCCGGTTTCTCATGCTTTTATTAATTCCGTCTACTTTTATCCAACCTCCAAGTCGTAAGTTTCGCCCTCCCATAAATATGCAATTTTCTCCAGTTTGGGACCAAATGCCATCGCAATGACAATGGCGATCGACCAAAGAAGTGTCGATTTGACGAATGCGACTTTCAATATTGTAGGATCGAATGCAACCGCATCCGAAGCATCCCTAGCCACTTCGCAACTGTTCGTGTCTTTTCTCACTCAATAGGCACCATGAACTTGCAGAGAAGGAATCGGTACTTGTCGGTACACAACTCTCATGGCCAAAGGGAACACAGTCGCGAATTTGAGCAAGTTGGAATTTGAATCGAATGGAATAACGGTTGAGGTTGGTACTCGGTACTGTTTCCAAAAGTGTATAAAACTGTGAAAAGAGGTTGAGCGGCAGTTTTTTCAACACTTTAGCGATGTAAAAAACGGAAAACAAACATAAACGCTGAATAGAATAGTCTTGATATGACAGATTCCGTTCAAAGTGGCTCGGTACACGGCTCCGTCGCCGGTCATCATCTGCATTTCGCCGCAATTCGTCGCCGAACAATGGCAGATGTTTCTGATGCACGTGCATGCCGCACATCGGTACGTTTCACTTCTAGTGATTCTGAGGGAAAAGTTTGACAGGATATTGTAGTTTTGAAACGGTCACCACTGAAAACATAGAGCAGTCAGTTTCAGAAACCTGACAAAAACGCACATTTTTTGATTGCATCTTTCATTTCATTGACCACTCCAGTTTTGCAGATTCGGAGGACACCTGCACGTGTACGTCACCTCGATGATCGCTGCGTACTTTGAACTGATGAAAGAGTACGAACGACAGGGATACATGACACTCGACTTCTGGCTCCGAATGAAGTTCACACACTCGCAAACCGCCTACTTTGAGCCGAACGCCAACGTGGAGTGGAGAAATCAGGCGGGCGCCGAGACCGATTGTCTTTTACAGTATAAGGTTGGCGCGGGGGGGTTCTAGCCAGGGCTGGGTATAATTTTAAAAGGAGAAGAAGACATGCTTGAAAGTAGAAAAAAGGTGAAAAGAAAGTAGGTGAGTTAAATTTCGATGAAATGAAAGCTGAAAAATTTCGAAAATTAGCGGAAGTGAAGAGTGTAATGACAACGAGATGCATGAGAACGAAACGAAAGAAAAAAACGGATGGGAACAACGTTATGAATCGAAAATCCAATCAGACAGGAAAACTGTCGGTTCCACACATTTCCGCTTCGGATTGAGCATTTTTCTGTGACAATATTTGATAATGAAGTGGAAAAAGTTGAAAAAAAAGAAAACCCTTTCGAAAACACGTTTTTTCTTTATTTAAAATGCTTTGTGTGCAAACACCGCTCAGTGAACCGAATTGCTTACCGTACCATTGGCCGGCCAAGGCTTTTTTGCAGTGGAGCGCGCTTGCAACTAGGGCTTTTCATTTGCCCAGCCCTGGTTCTAGCACATTCGGAAGAGTTGTGGATGTGTGTTTAGGAGGCGGCACAGTACATTGCATTCTTCGACATGGACGATATTCTGTTCCCCAAGAACTACGCGACCTATCTGCAAGAGTTCAATGCGGAATGGGCTCTCCAACCCAACTCTTCGTCGATTTTGTATGGAAGACGAGAGCACGAGTTTGTGAAAGGTGAACAGACACTCAACCGAAGCTTCGCAACCACATTTTCCAGCCGAAACCCTGTCAGAGTTCAGTTTCATCGAACTGGTCGACAGTCTCAAGTCGTCGCCACTTGTGAAACGTGGCAAAGTGGTCGTGAAGCCGGAACGATACAATTCCACGTGGATTCACTACAGTCAGCACGAGGATCTGAGCACCAGGTTGGCTGAAATAATTTCCGGGGGACATCATTTCGTTTTGTTTGTTGCCAGACACAAGGTGGAGCATCCCTCGCTCGTGCACGTCCAACGTCCGCTCCAGAAGCACAGCGACAACAAGATGACGACGTTGTGGAAGATGGAATTCGGCCAACTCAACGAGACGATCCGTGCCGACGACGTGGCCGCCATCGAAGCGGACATTTGGCGGATGCGAAACCTCTCCCAAGTGGCCCTCATCTCCCAGAACCTTCCCGACAAGGACTTTTACCTTCCGATCGTCTTCAAGTGCTACTACGACGCGTTCTACGGCCCGGCATTCGACCATCAGAAGGGGCGAATCGGGTGTCCGAACGCGGATTTTTGTGAACTTCCGCAAAGGGAGGAGTACAAGTGCGTGCACTCGAATGCCCAATACTTTTCGGGACCTCACATGGAACCAGTCACCTATCATTTCACCCAGGATTCGCATTGGTCCCGCACGATTGGATGTTACCAGTAGCTCTCTTCACTTTTCTGTTCTGTTTTCTAGCTTACGAGTATGCCTTTCTATAAAATGATTCTCATTTGAATGTTCAAGATTTCGATCCGATCCAGAACTTTTCCCTCGGCACTTTTTTGCCAAAAGTGATCGGAAAAATCCGAAAAATCGCTCCTTTTTCCCGAGATTTTATCGTCCGGCAGGTTTTCGACAGTTCAGAATCATCTTTTTCGCAGAGAAGGCAAGAGCTGCAGTTTCTGCAAAGATCCTGTTCAATTTAATTGAACAACACCAATTCGAAGCAGCGTATCTCCAGCTAACACGGAACCCCAGCCCCTTCCAATAAAAAATTCCCTTGACGCAATTCACGTGCGCTAAACAAGGCGCGTAACGCGTGCGTAATTCCGGAGCGTCGTTGTAGAGTTTCTCCATTTCAATTTTCCCTTTTTTTGCATTATCCCCATCTTTTCAGAACCAATCAGTGTCAAAACTTATGATAATGATTAGAAATGAATAAAAAATGAAATTTTAACTGCTTCGTCATCAATTTCGAAACGTTTTATGCGAAAATTACAGAATTGTTTTCGTTTTGGAATCGAAATTTGCCTCAATTATCTCAATTCTGTATATTTTTCGACGGTTGAGCGCTTAAAAGATGCGCAATAAACTCCTTGTTGACTGGACGGTTCGAATGCCAGTGTCCGAACTCGATTTTCGGCAAATAACCGTTAAAACTCCGTTTTTTTTCAGTAGTTTTCGACAAAATCCCTAAATTTGGTCAATTCTGAACGAATCTGCTCCGTTTCGCGCTTAAATCGATGCTTTTAACTCGGACAATCGCCCTACGGTTCGCAAAGAACAAAATTTAAGTGTTTATTAAGAGAAAAACGAAAGAATTCTGGTTTTCAATTGAAAAAAGAAACTCCGAGCCGACGGTGGATGCAAGCGCGCCCCATTGACAACTCGCTTGCGCATTGGAATGCTGGGGTTCCGTGGCGCTACCAATAAAGATATCAAAAACATGTCAACTGATACAGTGTTCATTGATTTTAGAACAGTTCAAAAAGAAGCTATGTTTATTACCAGTTTCAGTAAATATGAACTAATTGAAACTGCATAAAAAGCGTCGGACCGCCACGATCCGCCACTTTTTGTGATCCGTTTCCAGTCCGAAAAGATGTAGTCCTCGGCACCTGTTCCATTGTTCCGCCCTTTCCGAGAAGATCTCCGGCCCAGATTAGATATTGCAATTTCACGATCCGATCGAAATTCTCTTGGGGTCTAGGCGCCGTAGTCCTCCTAAACATGAGAATTCAAAACGAGGAGAAGCTTCATCTGATTCTTGAAGACGTGTTTCTCGACGAGAAAGAGCCGCCGCTTTCTCAACGTCATCAGGCCACTCATTCTTCCACGAAACGCAAGTTCTTCCTGTTAACCGTCATTCTGGTCCTTGTCTTCTTGATCTACGCGTCGTCTCGACCGACTATCGATGAAAATGTCATGCGACAAGGCTCTGAAGCTCCAGTGGCACAAAAACCCGAAAGAACAACCACAACTGAAGCCCCTCTGCCACCACTGGAACCAGGAGTTCTGGAAGATCCGACACGGCGATTGACAAGGATCTTACCGGTTTCTCACGTCTTCATCAGTTCGGTCTACTATTATCCGACTTCTAAATCGTGAGTTCAAAGTGAAACTATGTAAAGCTACCCTGAGACTTGTTCACAGGTTGGGACCAAATGCGATCGCAATGAGTATGGCCGTCGATTCGAAGAACTTCAACGTCAAAAACGCCACGTACAGTGTGGTGGGCTCGAATGGAACACACACAGAACTCTCGGTCGCCACTTCACAAACGTACGCTTTAAAAACTTTGAACGAAAACCTGTTTCAGCGACAAGGTCTGAAGTGGAATAGTTTTTAAACTACTTGTTGAAACGTTGACACAAATGAACGTTGTCTAAGCCAACAAATTACTAAGCGCTAACGTTTTCAGAGAAGGAGTCCCAACTTGTCGATATGCTCCAGCCATGGCCAGAACGAATACTGTCGCCAATTTGACGAAGTTGGAAATGGAATCGAATGGAGTGAAAATTGAGGTGAACAGTTTCTCAAATTGTCGCTCAAATTGACCTCACAATTTGACAGATTCCGTTCAAAATGGCTCGGTACACGGCTCCGTCGCCGGTCATCATCTGCATTTCGCCGCAATTCGTCGCCGAACAATGGCAGATGTTTCTGATGCACGTACATGCCGCACATCGGTACGTTTCACTTCTAGTGATTCTGAGGGAAAAGTTTGACCGGATATTGTAGTTTTGAAACGGTCACCACTCAAAACATAGAGAAGCCAGTTTCAGAGACTCGACAAAAACGCACATTTTTTGATTGCATCTTTCATTTCATTGACCACTCCAGTTTTGCAGATTCGGAGGACACCTGCACGTGTACGTCACCTCGATGATCGCTGCGTACTTTGAACTGATGAAAGAGTACGAACGAGAGGGATACATGACACTCGACTTCTGGCTCCGAATGAAGTTCACACACTCGCAAACCGCCTACTTTGAGCCGAACGCCAACGTGGAGTGGAGAAATCAGGCGGGCGCCGAGACCGATTGTCTTTTACAGTATAAGGTTGGTAGCACATTCGGAAGAGTTGTGGATGTGTGTTTAGGAGGCGGCACAGTACATTGCATTCTTCGACATGGACGATATTCTGTTCCCAAGAACTATCCGACCTATCTGCAAGAGTTCAATGCGGAATGGGCTCTCCAACCCAACTCTTCGTCGATTTTGTATGGAAGACGAGAGCACGAGTTTGTGAAAGGTAACGAGACACACTCAACCGAAGCGTCGCAACCACATTTTCCAGCCGAAACCCTGTCAGAGTTCAGTTTCATCGAACTGGTCGACAGTCTCAAGTCGTCGCCACTTGTGAAACGTGGCAAAGTGGTCGTGAAGCCGGAACGATACAATTCCACGTGGATTCACTACAGTCAGCACGAGGATCTGAGCACCAGGTTGGCTGAAATAATTTCCGGGGGACATCATTTCGTTTTGTTTGTTGCCAGACACAAGGTGGAGCATCCCTCGCTCGTGCACGTCCAACGTCCGCTCCAGAAGCACAGCGACAACAAGATGACGACGTTGTGGAAGATGGAATTCGGCCAACTCAACGAGACGATCCGTGCCGACGACGTGGCCGCCATCGAAGCGGACATTTGGCGGATGCGAAATCTCTCCCAAGTGGCCCTCATCTCCCAGAACCTTCCCGACAAGGACTTTTACCTTCCGATCGTCTTCAAGTGCTACTACGACGCGTTCTACGGCCCCGTGATGGTCGAAGGGAAGGGCCTCGACCATTGTCCGAACGCGGATCTTTGTGATTTGCCACAAAGGGAGGATTACAAGTGCATTCACTCGGACGCCGAGTACTTTTCCGGACCGCACATGGAACCGTTCACTTATCACTTTTCGAACAACTCCCATTGGTCGAAGAATATCGGATGTTATCAGTAAAAACCACTAGGTTGTATATAAATCGTTTCTTTGTTTCTTCTAATAAACGTTCTTTGAGCAGGCAAATTTGATTGAAAAGCTCAATGTTTCACGTGTTCTTGCTCGATAATTTATTTATTTACTCAACTCAACTCAAAACAAATCCTCTACACTGTCAATCAAGTTTAGAGCTGTTGTGGCTCTCCGGACGGTGGCGGTGGCGGCGGGGATCCGGATCCGTTTGGTGGTGGTGGTGGCGGGCGACGGGAAGCGGGTCCGGCGGCCAACTAGAACGAGATTTGCGGATTTTCTTGGGAAAGAAAAGTTACCTCTTGTGGCTCTCCGGATGGTGGTGGCGGCGGCGGTGGCGGGGATCCAGAGCCGTTTGGCGGTGGTGGTGGTGGGCGACGGGAAGCGTTCTGCTCACCGATCAACTCCTGTGGCTCTCCGGACGGTGGCGGTGGTGGCGGGGATCCGGATCCGTTCGGTGGTGGTGGTGGCGGGCGACGAGAGGCGTTCGGCTCTCCGACAAGCTGAAAACCACCACCAAACTCAACACACTTTTATCCGAACCGATCGTAGAGACAGACGAGAAAGCAGAGAATCTCTATGAGCACTAGTGGGAGAAGCAATGAGCCTACCTCTTGCGGCTCTCCGGATGGCGGCGGCGGTGGTGGCGGTGGCGGGGATCCCGAACCGCTTGGCGGTGGTGGAGGTGGGCGGCGAGAAGCGTTCGGCTCTCCGGCAAGCTGTAACAAGCAAACGGGTTTTAGAAAAAAGTGCAATGCGCCAACCTCTTGTGGCTCTCCGGATGGTGGTGGCGGCGGTGGTGGCGGGGATCCAGAGCCATTTGGCGGTGGTGGTGGTGGGCGACGGAAGCCTTCTGCTCGCCGATCAACTCCTGTGGCTCTCCGGACGGCGGTGGTGGTGGTGGTGGCGGCGATCCGGATCCGTTCGGCGGTGGTGGTGGAGGTCTTCTAGATGCGGGCTGTGGGGCCGCAAGAGCGGCGCCGGCGATAAGAAGTACCAGAAGAAGATGTTTCATTGTTCGAAATGAACGATGCTTCCAGTGCCTCGCTTCTTTCCTTAAATACCCCTTCTACTTGTGATGCCGATCAGTTTAATGACGTGTTGAGGCGGATCATGTGAACGAAAAGGGCTCTCCCCGGGAATGAGCACAGTTCTCGAGCGTTTACATCATTCTCATCGGCGGGGGAAAACAACGGGAGTTATCAGTTGTAGATCGGCATCAGTTGGGAAGGAGGCGAGTTATCAATCAAGGAAGTGATAAGGAATTGACGAGTTCGATGAACCTCAGAAGTCCGTATCCGGCGCTGAACGTGGAAATCTAGTGTTTTCTAGAGCGATGGATGTAAACCGTACTTGATCGCATTGGAAAGAAGGGGCCGAGCACGCGAGTTCGTATGACTACGTCTGAGCATCAGAGCTGGTTTGAAAGGAAGATTAAAACACCTACGTCGCTCTGGAAGCCCTTGAAGTTCTGTTGCTGAAGCTCCTCGGCGTACTGTTCTCTGACGAGAAGGCCTCGGAGGCGATGAGCCAGTCTGAAGCGCTCTTTTCTCGTTATCAGTCAAATCCTTCTTTCCAGACGTCTTTCCCATGTCTGAAAACATAAAAACAAACATATATGGACACATTATTACTTTAAAAAAATATTTTTTTGGAAAAAATGAAAAAAAGTGAAAAAAAAACGGAAAAAATGAAAAAAAAATGAAAAAAAAAAAAAACGAAAAAAATTAATTTTTTGAAAAATTGTGTGAAATCGCTCATCCTAGGCAGCAAAAATGACGGTTCCACGTAGACAAAGCGAGAGAAACACGAGAAATTATTGAATATTCTCCGGAATCATTGTATGACTTTTCTTACAGTAAAGTTAAAGGCGCAGGTCTGAAACCGCGTAAATTGTGATCCCATAACGTTTTATTGATTGAAAAAAAAGGACGCGAGTATTCATTTCCTTTTCGATATCTTCTTTTTCACCGGACGAAGCAGGCAAAGTTTCAGATATTGTAGCACAATGGAGACGCCGAAAAACCCGATGGAAAGTGTGGAAATGGCCAAGAAAATGTACACGTTTTCGTCTGACAAAACTTTGAAATTCTCGGAAAAAAAAGGCTGTGAAAAAAGGAGGGAAATACCGAAAAATGTGCCAAAATTGAACGTCTTTTCTTGCGTTTTCACAATTCTTATAGGAGTTTCCGGTTGTTTCGAGGTGCTCGTCGTCGTCGCGATTTTCACCGTTTTCGTTGTTGTCGTCGGAGGTCGCATAGTTGTGCTCATTTCGTCTGAAGCGTTCACGTCTCGTTAATTTCCAATCTTCAAACCTGGAACACCGTCACAAGCCGCATAACTGGCGCGCCGGCAACTGTAAACTGGAATTGCGGTCTGCAACAAACCGAAATTTTCGCAACCGAAAAGCACGTTTTGCCACTGAAATACCGTTGGTCGCGTGAAAAGGCAGTTGACATGACCGTCTTTTGTACCGTTTAGCAGCGGTTTAAAGTGGAAGAAATCCGATTTGGAACAGTTTCCTCTGAAAACATCGAGTTGGGGGTAGAGATAGCAAAAAGTTGTCAACTAACAAAATGTTCATTAACATATTTTGCACATTTTATCAGTTGACAACTTTTTGGCATCTCCACTCGCAATTGATCCAACCTGGTAAAATAAACATCCAAGAGCCGGCTCTGCTCATAATACTTTCGAAAGTACATTTTGCCCTTGGGCAGCTCCATTAGACACTCTTTCTTGTCCGAAAACAGTTGTGGAGAAGTGATAGACAGACGGTGTTCGGTTGTGAATCTGAACTTTCCGTTCGAGTCCGTGACAAAAGGTCGGAAAACCAAAAAGGTCGGAAGACAAAAGGTCGGAAAGCCAAAAGGTCGGAAAAAAGTGACAAAATGTCGGAAAAAAGTGACAAAAGGTCGGAAAAACTGCTAAAATACCTGTTTTCTGGCTTTTTGTAATTTTTTTCCGACCTTTCGGCATTTTGTCCGACCTTTTGGCATTTTTTGCGAACTTTTGGCATTTTTTCCGACATTTTGTCACTTTTTTCCGACCTTTTGTCACTTTTTTCCGACCTTTTGGCTTTCCGGCCTTTTGTCACGGAGTCTTCCGTTCGCGGCCACACATTGTCCTTGGAGCGCGCACTTACTCCAATTGCAAATCGACAATTCCGTCCTTGAACGTTTTGTTCTCAAATGGATAGTCTTGGAATTTGTTCAGCTCCTGTAAGAACCTTTCTAGTGGAAACCAACAAAAAGAGGCCCATTTACCGGTTTGACGAGGAACAAGTCCCTGTCCTCGTGCGCCGACTGCTCGATGGTGCCGTGCCAGACGTGAATCGCGTGGGCGTACCGTCCCAAAGGATCCGAGTAGTGGCAAAAGATTGCGATTTGGAAAGTGACCTCTTCGTGGGTGATGAGATCGGTCGGATGGCCGACGAGCTGGTACAGTTGCAGCACTTCCATTCTAGGATAAATGAGAAAGTTCGGCCAGGATTTACGTTTAAGAACGTTTCGAAATACGCGGTCTCCAGTGCTGACAATATGGGCGTGGCCTCGGCGGCCAAATGGCGTTTTCATGAATTGAGCAGGTTTTCTCTGATTTTTGTGGTCAAAGGCGATGAAAAATGATTGTTCGACATGAAAACACACTAATTCTCACAGAATTATGGACGTTTTGGCGCATTTTTCGCGGATTTCGCTTTTTCGCCTTCGCCGCCGATCGCCGCCTAAAAACCGCTCTTCTCATTTTGCAGAATTGGTTTTGAGAATGATAAATCACGTAATTACAAGCATTTTGAGCGCTCGAACCGCTAAAATTACCGAAAAGCAACTGAAATTCACGCAGTTTTAGCCAAAAACCTTCAAACTTGACCAAATTTAACGCTCTTGCGCTTAAAAAATTCGTAATAGCCTATACAATCGGTCTATCGAGAGACAAATGAGAAATTATCGGTTTTTTGTGGCTAATCTGGCAAAAAACACAAATTTTGCTGTTAAAATTTGAATTTCGCGCCAATGAATCGCTCTATCGCGCGCGGGGCGCACTTGCGCCCATTGTCAGCTCTGGAGACCGTGCAAACGCACTGATTTCTTTGGATTTCGATTCGAATGTGCATCGTGTCGCCCAACTGAATCGGCCGAGCGCTCATTCTCTCGGGCACCCGCCGATTCTCCACTTTTTCCGTTTCGAACGAGATTTCTGAGGAATTCGTCGAGTTCGCCTGCCAAATGCACATCTTCGGACACATTCCCGTCGTGTGATTGCACTTTTCCAACAGATTTTCTGGAAAATTTACGTTAATCTTCAAATAATGGGGCTTTGTTTGGGTGCCTGTGAAAAATCGGAACTTGTGCTCCGTGTCCAGAGCCGTCAATTTGCCGCCAATCGATGCGCACACATTTTCGGCGAATTCGGGTGGAATTCCGAGTTCCCGCGATCCTTCCAGCTGCAGATTTTCAGCTTTTGGCTTGAAACGGGACGTGGCCTTTAAAAAATCGATAGATCTAAAGTCTCAAAAATTGGCTCGCCTTCAAGTTTTTCACATTTTGGCCGAGAACCGCCAAAAACCCGATCAGAAACGCCAGTATAACTCGTTGATTTTTCATAGAATTATTTTTGCAAGAAGGGAAATTGGAAATGATGAGGACTATCACGTCAGAAATCGGTGTATTTTTCAAGGAAAAAGTGCAACAAATTGGGGCAAAACGGTAAAACAACAATTTTGAGGATCGTTTTGAGGGGGAAAATGGGGAGAAAACAACAGAAAAATTTAGAGCAAATATTCGTTTTTGAGGTCGTTGTTGCTGAGCATCTTCTCGGAGCGTTTCGAGTCGAAGAACATGCGGTAGGCCTTTCCGACGTGGTCCACAGTCACCGTTTCGCCCTTCGAACGCATTCGGATCACCTCCGACGCCGCAATCAGGTGGATACAGTAACGGAGCGAAGTAGCCGATTGGAGCTTCACCAGCAAGTCAAGAGCGTTCTTTTCCACTCTGAAAAGTGATAATTTTCTTAAGATTCCAACTGAAAAACGTACTTGACGCCTTCCTCGTCGCACCGAATCGCCAGAATCTTCATAATGTCGTCGAGGGTGTACGGCGCTGCGTTGATGATGAGCATACGGTCCAAGAAGTCGGACGGGATGCCGTGAGCCGATGGGACGTCCGTTCCGCGCACCGTTTCAATCAATCTGAAATGAAAAGTGTTTTACTTTTGTCAAAAACAAATTGTTACAGCGATTTTCTATATAACTCACCTGTTAGTAGCCATGATAATAAGAGGACTGAGCTCGGATTCGATGGCTCGGTTGAGGAAGGAGAAGCACTCGATGTCGAGCATGTGTGCCTCGTCGATGAAGAGCACTCCGGGCAGGAACGTCGCCTTGCCCTCCTCGCGCCACTCGAGCACTTTCTTGTTGATCTGATCCCTCACTTCCGCCTTGATCTCTCCGGTATCTCCGGAGAAAAGAGCCACGTAGCCCTGCGTGCGCGAGTTGATCACATCGATGTCGTGGATGCAGACGGTGTGCACCGTCTCCCGCCGCTTCTGAATCTCTCCGTCCGGACACTTTACCAGCTTCACTTGCGGTCCCATCGCGTCGTAGTCGTGCATTCGGTTGAACGAGCGGCCGAGACGGGTGACGCGACCTGCAAACTAGCTAATTTCCAGAGAAAATGTGTCATTTAGACCCTAAAGTTTAGAGATGTCAGAAAATTTGCAGTTTTCTGCGAACACTTCAAAAATTTCCGCTATTTTTCTCGCCTACCTGAGGCCTTGTCAACCTGCACGACGTCTCCGGGAACAACTTTCTCGCGCAGACACGCATCGACCATTTTGGAGCCCAAATCGTACATGGTCTCCATGTCCGTCGTCCGCATCGTCAGTTTTCCCACCTGAAATTGAAAACGGTTGATTTTCAAACGAGAAATCATAAACATAGGATCAAAAAAAAATTTCACACTAGGATAACTGGACACATATGATCATAAACTCCACAATTTTACACTCGAAACCCCCTTAATTTGTCAATTTTTTTCACGGAAGTGTAGATAATCGCAGTTTTCGCCTACTTTCGGTCCGATTCCGTTGGCGGCGCGGTCGACTTCCAGAGAAATGACTTCTCCTTCCAAAACTTCCGTTTCCTCTTTGATTTGAATGCCGAGAGCTCGGCGGAACGCCTGCGTCAAAGCCTCTGTTTTGTTGATTTCTGTCGAGTAGATCTGCAAAAGTTTGGGATCATTTTTCACGCGTTTTTTTTCAATTGACCCTACCTCCGAAGCGACAATGCTGACGAACGGCGTGTCTTGGCCCAATTCCTTGGAGATGGCCATCGCGAGTGCCGTTTTTCCGGCTCCCGGCTCTCCGGTGACCAGAAGAGCACGTCCCGCGATTTTTCCCTCCTGAAAAACAATTTTTGATAATCTTCAGCTCAAAAATGCACGGATTTCCGCACAATTCTTTGTTTTCCCAATTTTTCGCTAAAATCGTACCTGAATCATTTTGACGATGATTCCGGCGGCCTGGCGTGCCTTCACTTGTCCGACCATTCCGCCGGCCACGTATTCCGCCTCGAACCGATGGTTTAGGCCGAGTCCGGTGATGTGCGAGTGCACCGACGTGCGCTCCACCTGAAAAAATATTGCATTGAAATTTCTAAGTCTTACTTGATTTTTCCGACCAAATATTTTGAAAATTACTCTGAAGTCGTATTAAAAAGAATTTTTTTCACAAAATCCTTTAAAAATCGATCAAATATCGTGTAAAATTGACAAAATCTCACCTTTACAATATCTTTGACATTAATTCCATCCAAACTCGCCATTTTCGTGCAAAAACTGTAAAACTCGCCTGGAAAATGCGCACGTTTCGAAAATGAAAAACCTGCCGCTGCCGGGGCGGCGGTCGAGAAAAAGCTAGGCTAGCAAGGTACTGAGAAACTCGGCCACGACGAGAAATCGCTCAAAAGGCGGCGCAAACGAGGCAATTTTTTATTTTAACAACTACAGGGACAAAATGGGCAACACGGGAAGACAAATGGTGAGAAGAAAAGCGAGAAAAAGGGCAACATTTCAAACTGTTTTGGTGAAAAAATGCGAGAAAAATTTGGGGGAAAAGGAGTCGGGAAAGATCAACATTTTGCGGCTCATCAGAATGCTTTTCTTGAGGTGATTTTCGGGGAAGGTTAGTTGGGCGAAATCTTCACTCAGTAGAGGCGTTTTTCGAACCTGAAATTGCAGAAAAATAGTATTCTGGTAGAAAGTTCTGGAAAAATCGGCTGGAAATGATAGAGGCACGAGTAGAAGTGTGCAATGTCCGATTGTGGTGGGTGCATCACGAAAGAGTACATTTTTGTGGTTTCTTATGAGATTTTGACAGTTTGTTTTTGGAAAAAAATCGATTTCCCTCTGAAAATACCTGTCATCATTGAGGGTACCCGCCACGTGGATTGTTCTATTCTGTAAGGGGACTTTTTAAATGAAAAACTAATTTTTAGAACGCGCTCACAGTTAGATGATACATCCACCACAACTATAAAAAACTTGGAAAGTACGGAAAATTCGGGGAATCCGGGAAAAAAGTCTAAATAAAATCACTCACGAATGGAGCGAATGGACGCCTCCTTCCAATTGGGCGTTCGTGGAGCGTCTCTCGAATTTCACGATTCCTCCGTCGACTTTCTCGCGGAATTCGCGAAGAGATCGGACTCCGATGTCCTGCATTCCGTGCTGGACTCCTCGGATCAGGTACGGAATGAACTTGTGACACGATCCGCGGTCCTTCATCGTCGCCGACACGCCCTGCGCCACTTTTATCTGGTCCGACTCGCTGAAAGCGCTTTTTTCCAATTTTTAGTGAAAGTGCTCAATTCCGACAAAATCCATTGAAATTCAGCGTTATTAGGGGGGAAAACGATACTAGCTTTCGTTTTGACCTCAAAATGGCTGAAATCGTCTCTAGAATATCACGTACGCAGTAAAATAGCGGTCCTGACTGGAAGCGTGCGCCTCCATCGCGTCCAAACTGCCCATTCCTCTGTACTTCTTGACTCGAACCCCGCCCGGTCCCCAGAAATACTCTCCGGGCGCTTCGGTGGTGGCGGCGAGCAGTCCTCCCATCATAACTGCGGATGCTCCGAGCGAGAGGGCCTTCGTAATGTAGCCGACGTCTCTGATTCCTCCGTCGGCGACCACCGGAATGCCACGTTGGTTCGCGTAACGGGCCACGTCGTACACGGCTGTTCCTTGGGCTCTCCCCACTGCCATCACTGCAAGAAAAGGCCTTTGTCTTGTCTCACAGATTTTCTGGTTCCCTTACCATCCTGAGTGATGCAAATGGATCCGGAGCCCATTCCGATGCGGAGTCCGTCAGCGCCCAAATCGATGAGCATTTTGGCCTGAGCACGAGTGACCACGTTGCCGGCGATCACCTGCACGTGCGGATGCTTCTGCTTTATGTACTGCAGCATGGCGATTTGATACGTCGACGAGCCGTTTGACGAGTCCTACGAAAATAAAGGTTTCGTGGGTAATTTTGTGTGAAGAATCTGAAAGTGGGCATGAAAACGGGCTCACAATGATGAGAACGTCGGCGCCGGCTTCCACAAGACGATCGACAGTGTATTGTGATTCTCCGCGCGTGTTCACCGCCGCTCCGCACAGCAATTGACCCTTGGAGTCGTAAGATGCATTCGGATAGTCACGCGCCTGAAATTGACGAAAGTTGTCTAGAAACATCCGAATTGTTCACCTTGAGCAGATCGGAACGGCACAGAAGAGCGCACAAATCGCCGTGATCGTTGACGATCGGCAGTTTTCCGAGACGGTGCTCTTTGAGCTTCTTCTGCGAAATTTCCGGAGCGTCGTTGATGTGTCCGAGCGTCAGTTGCTCAACCGGCACCATAATCTGAACATTTCACTGTTTATCCGGGCGAAACCTCTCTAGCTTTTTGCTATTTTCTCCTAAATTACTTGAACTTTAGTGGAAATTTTGAGTAAGAATGGGAAAATGAAGACATTAGGATAAAAAGGACAGTGCTTTGAGGGACAGACAAAACGAAATTATGCAGATCGGAGAAAATCCGTTATTTTTGTTTTTAGAATAAAAACTCGTGTTAATTTGCGGGTAAAAAGTGACTGTACCTTGTAGATCGGGGTGTCCGGCGTCACGTCGTTCTGAATAATAAAAAGATGGACGATTAGGTAGGAGTGGGGCAGGAGAACGCACACACACTAATTACGGTGATTAGGGCAGAGAGCATGCACAACATTTAAAAATCGACAAAAAACACTTTTTTGGTCGGGGAGAGAGAGAGAGAGAGAATTTAGCTAAAATCTGCAAGAAAATTGGAGAAAATGCGCGGGAAACTCACATCAGAGATTGGGGTACCTTTCTGGCCGGCTACGTCCATCGTGATGAAATCGAAATCACGAGAGGTGACCATTCCTGAATTTTCAGAAATGTCTCTACCATTTCTAAACTCCTCGTTCCCGTACCTATCAGCTTGGATCCGACGTGTCCGTCCTCGGTGACCGGAGCGCCCGTGTATCCGTACTTCTTCTTGATCTGAATCATGTCGAACGCGGTCGAATCGCGGCGGAGACAGTGCGGCTGCATCACGTATCCCTGCTTGAATCGCTTCACTTTCAACACTTCCGACGCCTGATCTTCCGGCTTCGGGAAGTTTCCGTGAATGATTCCGATGCCTCCGTACAACTGGAAATTGGATTTCTGATGATTACGTCTACTAGTGCTACACCCAGTGGTTTTTATTTTTGCGTAAAACCCTCGAAACACAATGAAAATGTGAAATGATGTGCTCGATTTGTAGTTCTTACCGCCATGACGATGGCCATTCCGGACTCGGTGACAGTGTCCATGGGCGAAGAAACGAGCGGCGCTTTGATCTTCAGATCCTTTGTGATATTCGTCTCCAAACAAACGTCATGAACGCCAAAGTTGATGAATCCGGGCAGAATGTTGAAATCGCTAAAAGAAACGTGTCCGATAAACAAGAAAGGAGCGTTTACAAACTTGTAAGTTAATCCGGCCTTGTGCGCCATCATCTCGTGAACCGTTTCGCCGTCGGTCAGCTCATTGTCGAGCTCGAGCGAGTTGTACTCGTGCGGTTGAACCATTATTACTGAAATCGGAACTTTGGTGGAAAAAATGAGAAAAATCATAGGAGAAACGGATTGGAAAGCGTTCGCAACACCCTGTTTGTCTTCAAAATCGGGGATATTTTGTGTTTAGCCAAAAAACACAAAAATTTAACATTTTTCTGTTTTTCTATACAGAACGCTACAATATTTGCACAATTGAATCGAGATGGAACAATAGAAACACATTTTTGGCTAAAAAGCTGAGAACTGGGCGGAAAATCACTGTGACCGAAAAGTCCAGTACAAATCGCCAGACTAATCTTTTTCTCAAATCCGGTGGGCCGCCGAAAAAGGGTTTCCTTCCTCGTTTTTCGCACGGAAATCCCGTTTAATCCGCCGTCAGGGCGCATAAAACGCAGTTTCCATGGAGAACTTCGAGATGAGCCGAGGGCACGCGAAATTCTGCGTCTCCGATGGATTTTCCAACAGAAATGTAAATGTTTTATTGATAAGCAGAGGGAAAATGTGGAGAAGACGTGCATTTTCTTGGAAACAGCAAAATTAGAGGAAAGCAACGGGAAGAACGTGAGAAATGGCGGTCCAACATAATAGAACTGGGCAGAATAGAACCGCGAGAAAAAGATAATTTTTGAATCTAGTTCTATTCTGCCCAGTTCTATTATGTTGGGCCGCCTGAGAAATGAAAGGAAATGCGGGTAATTTTATACTTTACACTTTTCCTGAATAAATTATTGATTAGCGACAGGGACGAATCGAATTTTCGCTTTTTTCCACGAAAAATCTGGAGACTTTTTGCAGAGACTAGAAAATTCCCAGACAAAGACAAAAATGCTTGCGCTTTGTGCTCCAAGTGCTCTTTTTTATACCCTTTTCACAAAAAGAATCCAATTATCGAAAAGTGCAAATTCCGGCGGCGACTTCAAACAAAAAACGCCTTCGCATTTTTATTTTCAAAAATATTTGTAAAAATAGAACTGAAAAAGTATTTCTCGAGGTTGAATCAACCGCGATTTGACGAAAACAAAAAACGTTGGCCAAAGACTTTAGGAAACAAATAATTTATGGAGAACAAATAAATAGTGAATATGAGGATCCCATACTGAAATTACTCTTTTAAAACAATCAGAAAACCCATAGGAAAAAGGAAGAAAAATCAGAACAATAACTCGAGATTTTCCGTGTGGACTTTGGGGTGTTTATTACAACTTTGGGGGTGATAATCACATGATTTCACGCCTATTTTTGGCTATTTTCAACTGGAACAACGGGAAATAAGTGAAGTTACTGGCTGAAAATCGATGACAGAATGTTGTCCGCTCGGAGGCGCGACTCCTTGACCTTGTTCAGGAATGTCTGCTCGTCAGGTCCAGCTGTTTTCGACGTGCTTTTCTCCACGGCCTTCAGATAGCTCTCCACTCCTTCAAATGCGGTTTTGTCGCTCTTCAGAAGCTCCAGGGCCTTCTCGGCGACAGTTTCATCCGAAGTTTTCAGCTTGTCGCCCTTCTTCGTGATATTCGCGTTGATTCCATTTCTAGTGGCGACGAACGTCTGCTTGGCCTCCTGAAGGGCCGCCTCGTCCTTGTTCGACTTGTATTGCTGGGCGGCGTCGATGAGCGCGTTATAGGCGGCTTGTTTGGCATCAACAAACTGCGACAGGATTCCGACGCTTTGTTGAGCTCGTTCTTCGGCTTCTTTCACTGGATCCTGGAAGAACAACAACCATTTTTTGATGAAAATTTGAGTATTTAGATAGCTAACCTTAGAAATAGTAAAATCGAATCTAGCGTAAACGATGATGGCCAAGAAGATGACCAGGAAGAACGCAGAGGCCAAAAGCGGCTCGCGGAGCATGTCGGTGTGGTTGAATTCGTAGGAGACGGTGAAGAATTGGCTGTGATCCGGCACCACATTATCCTTTTCGATGACAATCACCAAACGGCCGGTGGTATCCAGGTAAGTGGGCTTTAACTCGTCGGGTCTTCTGTCCACAACGAACGGGGTCACCACTTTGACGCGTCTGCAAATAATTTTTATTGGAAAATGTTCCGAAACCTGGTAAAACCTTACCGAACATGCTCTGGAAGCAGCACCTTCGTTCTCAGCTTCTCCACGACGATGTCATTGAAAACGTGATCAAAAAGCTTGGTCTTCAAAGCGTATTGATTGCCCTTCACGTACAAATAGTCCTCCGACGGCAGATTGTATCCGATCACGTAGGAAGTCTTCCATCCTCCGAACAACGGGAATCTCGGACGGATTTCGACGTCGACACTGTCGGCACGGATTCTGACCGCCGACGTCGAGATGTTGCCGATCTCGTCACGGTAGTAGATGTCCTTGGCCTGAGCCGGAAGGATAGTCGTGAACGTTTGAAGAGCGGGCATTCGGCGGCCACGGCGATCCATTTGGTAGTCGATTCTGGAGAACGGTCCGTCGAGCTCAGCGCCTTTGTGCACAAGCTCAATGTACTCCTCAACGGCAATGTTTCCCCAGTGGGACACCTCGATCAGTCTCTCAACGAGAGTGGCGACAACGAATGGAGAATTGTTCTCGAAATGGACTTTGATTGGTTTCGCCTCGAAAGCAGCGATGTTCGCGTACGGTCCATAGGTTACTCGCTCGGTTTCCTGCTTCGTTGGATTCACGGTTGTGCTCGAAAGCAGTTTTCCGCCTTGAGTAGTGCGGACGACAGTCTTCTGGGAGACCACTTCATAACGCGATGGAACGTAGGCGGAAGTGTGAAGGACGACGAACTGGCTTTCAGATTGTGGAATCTTGGCTGGAAGGGGCTCGAGGACTTGGGTAACCTTCAGGTTCACACGAATCGCCACCTTGGCTCCTTTGGCGATCGGGGTACGGAGATCCACTTCGTAGAAGGTCAGATCTTTCTCGGCGGGCTTCTCAGTCACCTTCAGCTTTCCTTTTGTGCCATCGATGCCGGCGGTGATGTGCGAGAGACCGGTAGCTTCGTCTTTGGAGAGAGCAATCTGGATACAGAAAAATTTTTGAGTTTTGTCGCAAAATTGCAGAACTTACCAAAACTTTGCTCTGTGGTCCGGTGCCGACGTTCTCGAATGAGTAAAGTGTCGAGATTTTCACAATTTGCGTTGTGGCATCAATGGTTCGGTCAACGTTAGCGGCTTTCCATGCTTCTTCGGCGAAAACCGCCCCCAAGAGAGCGAGTACGATAAGTAGTCGCATCTGAAAATGAACGTATGGCTAGAGATTCGAAGGAAATACAAAAATTAACGAGAGAAAGATGTACATCGAAAATTCTATAGAAAATAGCTACCGAAAAGTTCTTCAAACCCATTAAAAATGAATACATTTGAATTTTGCGGGACAATGGAAAAATCGATGAAAAGCCACGCTCCAGAGGTTGTAAGGGGTCAGAATGCTCTAGTTGGTTCCGTTTTGCACAGTGAACTGATTCTAGCCTCACAGATATTCAAATTTATCCGACAAATCCAAAATTTCACAAAAATATGCTTTTCACAAGGATTTTTCACTGTATCAGGATAGAATTTGCGGTTTTGGATTCAAAATTAGCTTAAAAATTCAGTTTTTAAACAATTTTTGCACAAAAGTCTTGAAAAACGGTCGAATTTTGCTCAAAACAAGCCGTTTTAGTGCCCAACGAGTCCACGTATTTCGAATTGGAGCCATTCGTGGCGAGACCCGCCGGCCGCCATGATGACTGCGCCTTTAAACCCTCTTGTTCAAATTATCATTTTTTCCGCGAACACCCGCCAAATTTCACCGGATTTTCGCGATTTTGACGGAAATTTTGTTATTTTTCACAATAAATGTAATCCTTTGTTCTGATTTATCGTGTTTGAGTCCAATTTTTGCTTTGTAGATTGAGAAAAATGGTCGCGACTACTCAACAGAAGCCTGCCGAGGCTGACAAGAAGAAAACTGATGAGAAGAAGGCCGCTGGAAAGATTGAGCCGAAAAAGGAAGAGATGGTTGGTTGGGAAAGCTGAAAAGTTTAAAAGTTTTGATTTTTTAGAGCGAAGAAGACCAGAAGCTGGAGGAGGACCTGAACCTTCTCGTTCAGCGTCTCTCCGAGCCGGAAGCGAACCTTTACAAGCCCTCGCTCGAGACGATGCGCTCTCTGATTCGCGCGTCGACCACTTCGATGACTTCTGTACCGAAACCGCTCAAATTCATGCGTCCACACTACGCGAAAATGAAGGAGATTTTCACAAAAATCCAGGCGGCCGATGTGAAGAAGCTGTGCGCCGACATCATTTCGGTGCTCGCCATGACGTCTGACGAGCGAACCGACACGATCAACTATCGAATTCTGGGATCTCACGAGCCGATCGGAGACTGGGGACACGAGTACGTCCGCCATTTGGCCATGGAAATGTCGGAGGAGTGGAAGAAGGATACGACGCAGGACGCCAGAAAGACGGAGCTCATCCAGCTTACCAAGGACATTGTCGCCCACCATATGAAGCACAATGCCGAGGTGGAAGCCTGCGATTTGCTCATCGAGATCGAACGTCTTGATCTTCTGCTCACCTACGTTCAGGAGGTCGATCATCAGCGCGTCTGCCTCTATCTTCTGTCCTGTGCCCCGTTGACTCCGGACCCGGACAACATTATTCTGATCAAGACTGCTCTTCAACTATACTTGAAGTTCAATCGCTATCTGGAGGCGGCTCGTTGCGCGATTATGGTCAACGATGTGCCACAAGTGCGTCAGATTTTCGCCAAGACTACCGATCCGTAAGTTTTCCGGAAAATCAGCAATTTTTCTATAAATTTCGTTTTCAGACTGCTCCGCAAGCAAATGGCCATCCTTCTTGGTCGTCATCAAATCTTCCTGGACTACGAGGGAGCCGCCGATTCGGAAGCTCTTGCCGAGCTCAACTCGAACGCCCATCTGTACGAATACTTCCATTCCCTGGCACGCGAGCTTGATATCATGGAGCCAAAGACGCCAGAAGGCATCTACAAGTCGCATTTGGAGCATTCCCGCCCGTTCGGAAACTCTTCCCAGCCCGATACGACCCGTATGAATCTGGCGGCCGCGCTGGTCAATGGATTCGTGAACTGCGGATTCGGAGTGGACAAGATGATGGCCGAGACCGAGGAGGCGTCCCGCTGGTTCTACAAAAACAAGGAGTACGGAATGCTGACGGCCGCCGCTTCGCAAGGACTCATCTGGCGATGGGACATTGACACCGGACTCGCGCAGTGCGATCGTTTCCTGTACATTAACGACGACTACATCAAGGCCGGAACCCTTTTGGCCATTGGAATAATCTCTTCTGGAATCCAAGATGCTTGCGATCCGGCCTCTGCTCTGCTCCTCGACCATGTGCAATCGGACCGATCGATCATGAGAGTCGGTTCCATTTTGGGACTCGGATTGGCGTATGCCAACTCGAAGAGAGAGGCGGTCACCAAAAACGAGGAGAGAGGAGTAATTTTCGAGCTGAAGAAAGTGCTCTCCGATCAGAAGCCGTCTGCAATTCCGGAGGTGAAAGGACTCGCCGGACTCTCGCTCGGACTTATTCTGGTTGGAACTGCGGACGCCGAGGCGGCTATGGAAATGCTGCAGGCGCTGATGGATAAGAGCGAGACGGAGCTCACCGACCCGAACATGCGCTTCTTGGCACTCGGAATCGCGTTGATCTTCCTGCAGACTCAGGACAAGAGCGATGTGTTTGTGGAGAGTCTCCGATCGCTTCCGGATCCATTTGGAGCTATGGTCTCCACTCTCGTCGAAGTGTGCGCGTACGCCGGAACCGGAAACGTGCTCAAGATCCAGAAGCTTCTCCATTTGTGCTCTGAGCACTACGAGACGCCGGCGGCCGAGAAAAAGTCATCGAAGAGCAAGAATGCGGCGACTTCGACCCCGAAAGCTGATCGTAATGCTCCTCTGGACATCACCGCCACTCCAGCTCCAACCGGAACCCCGGCCGTTGCTCCAGGAGCTCCGAGACGTGAAGGAGCCACTGCTCAGGGTGCCCCAGCCACTCCGGCTGCTCCAGGAGCTCCGGCGGCTGCCCCAGCTACTGGAGCTCCAGGAGCTGCTCCGGCTGCAGCTGAAGGAACTCCGGCTCCACCGGCAAAACCGGATCTCTCATCGCAACAGGCCGTCGCCGTGCTCGGAATCGGACTCATTGCGATGGGAGACGACATCGGATCGCAGATGGCCCTCCGTATGTTCGGACATCTCATCCGCTACGGAGAGCCAGTCATCCGTCGGGCCGTCCCACTCGCTCTTTCGCTTCTCTCCGTTTCGAACCCGCAGCTCAACATTCTGGAGACGCTTTCCAAGTTCTCGCACGACTCCGACGCCGACACCGCCCACAACGCCATCTTCGCCATGGGATTGGTTGGAGCCGGAACGAACAACGCGCGTCTCGTCGCGATGCTCCGCAACCTGGCCTCCTATCACTACAAGGACCAAGTGTCGTTGATGCTGGTCAGAATCGCACAGGGACTGACGCATCTCGGCAAGGGAACAATGACTCTGAACCCGTGGCACTCGGACCGACAGCTCCTCTCGCCAAGTGCTCTCGCTTCGCTTCTCTCTATTTGCTACTGTTTCCTGGATGCTAACAATACGGTATTTAGACAGTTTTCTATACTTTCAAGCTCAATTTCTCATTTTCAGGTGCTCAACAGCCGTCAGCACTACTTGTTGTATACGTTGGTGCTCGCAATGCAGCCAAGAATGCTCACAACATTGATTGAGGATGAAATGAAGCCGGGAAGTTTGAAACAGGTAGCGAAAATTAGGAAAAGGTGAACACAGTACGGAATTTTGCAGCTGAACGTGTCTGTGCGTGTTGGACAAGCCGTCGACGTGGTTGCACAAGCCGGAAAGCCGAAGACGATCACTGGATTCCAGACGCACACGACGCCGGTCCTCTTGGCTCATGGAGAACGTGCAGAGCTGGCCAATGATGAATGTGAGCTAACAATTGCATAACATTCGCAAAAACCGCTCTTTTTCAGATCTTGCGGTGACGCCACATCTCGAAGGACTTGTGATCCTCAAGAAGAATCCGGACTATCAGCCGGTGGTGGTTTCCACGAAGAAATAACTTTTCAATTGGTGGCATTTCCCTTTCCTAATTTATTTCTCCGTCTACCCTGAATTTTACCCCTTTAAAAATGTCGATTTCTCGGTCGATTCACCCGTTTTATTGTGCACAATGTTCCCCGCTGAAACTCGGTCCTCTACTCCCCCCACCCTCCTTTTCGTTTGTCGAGAAAACGTGTATACACTTGAGAAAATGAGAGAAACTAAATTATTTCCGATCCTCAACTGGTTAACTGCCCAATGAGCTAGACATTCCGGATAGCGAACTTTATTCATACTAGGCAAAAACAACAACACTTCAATTATTCTGTCTCAATTGATATTCCGAGATGATGTCGGCGGCGTGCTTGCAGGCAACGTAGAGAAGACGTTTCGTCTCGAGGAAGTTGGCCGCCGCGATCACCTTGACGAGCTGTTGGTGGTCCAGCTTGTCCAGGAACAACCGGTCGTCGAAGGAGCTTCGCACGCTCGGCGAATTCTCCTCGTCTTCCGGAGTGAACGGCGCCGCGTTCTTGTTATTCTCACTCCATTCGATCACCACCTTCATCGTCTCCCCATCCACATTTCTCAGCGGAATCGGTCCCATCTCCGCGGCCGATTCTGGAGTGAGCTCCAGTCCTTGGATCAAGTTGCTGAGCGTGTTCGACTGCGCAAGCGCCTTTTCTGTGATGTGGAGCCGGACACCGTCGGACGATTCGACTTTGAAGATGATCTCGGACGTTGATGCGCTCGTCGAAGACATGTTTATCTGGAAAAAAAGAGGATAAGGTTGGGGGAGGATTGATAAAACGACGATTTCTCGTAATTTTGTGCGCAAAAGCGGAAAAACCGCGTCGCGCGTGCCTGCGCGACGCGGTCGAACCTGAAGCATGAGAGAGGAAGAGAAAGAGAGAGAGAGAGAGAAAGAGGGACTATTGGTGTGAAGGTCACGAAGGGACCGACAATATAATCATAATAAAATCATAGATAACCCAGGATCCATACGGGCGGGACATTAATTATAAGTGCCTACACATTGAAAACTCGACGCTCACAACATTAGTGCGTTCGGCCAGTTTTAATTGTTTTTCAAAAACCACCCAAACGGCTCAAAATATATTTCAATCCAAGTGCAAGAGACGTGCAAAGTAGGTGGAGCCCAGTGAGTTGAGCGGAAGAATTTTTATCTTTTTTAGAAAATTTTTTCATGGAATGTGATCAACTGACGAAATGTATAGCAAAGTAAACTGTGTTCATAGAAAAATAATTGTAAATTTAGCCTTTCATACAAAAAAGTTATTCGAGTTGTTATTCGTTAGCCCTCCTTTTTTCACGGAACAACTCGAATAACTTTTTTGTATGAAAAGCTAAATTTACAATTATTTTTCTATGAGCACAGTTCACTTTGCTATACATTTCGTCAGTTGATCACATTTCATGAAAAAATTTTCTAAAAAAGATAAAAATTCTTCCACTCAACTCTGGTGGTGCCCAACAAGTTCTTCATCCTAATGTTTCAACTTCTATCCTTGTTCTGTGACAGTATTCCTTTTGCGTTCGAACCATTTATTCAATTACAAGTGTTGGATGACTGTCGCGGTACTCGTATCAAAGTGCCGAATATATCGGAGAATCCGTCAAGATGTCGATTGTGGGCCATCAGGTTTTCAGCGTCATTTGCGTACATCTGACACAACTCTTTCATTTAAAAAAAGGTTCTCTCAGTAATTTACCTCAAAATCCTGTTTTTTCCTCATAAAAACGTCGCGTACTTCGTCAATCTCATCGATAATATTATGAGTCAAATAAATAACGACCATGGTGAAAATGCTCATAAGGCATAGTATTCCGATGGAGGCAAAGTCCGCGATGAATCGGAATCTGTACAGAAATTCTCGCATGTTTAGTGGGGACTGACTATATAAGTGGACAAAGAAGAAGGGCTACTATACAAAATACTGTGGTGATGAGGAGAAAAGTAAAGAGAAAGAGGCGAAAGGGGAACCAGTTTGACAAGGGAGTGTAACCTTTTTAGTGATCATCAGACGGCGGGGTGCGAACGATAATGAAATGAAGTTCGACCAATTGGTCAGACTTTTCAACGTCAACCTTCTGGACTAGAGGCGATGCACGGTCTCCCACAGCGCGAATGATTTCAATGGGGCGCACTTGCAACAGGCGGGCTGTGTCGATTTACGCGGCGGCCGATTAATTGATTTTCAACGGGAGGCCGCGTTCTTTCCATGTTTTCTGTACAATACACCTATTTTTTTGTACGCCTGGAACCTGGATTTGAATAATTAGAGCACTAGCTACGTTTTGGTAACAGAAATCTCACATATCGTTGAGAATTTGAAGGTTTTGGCCTTGGTTTTGATGTTTTTCGAAAAGTTTTCGAAAACTGCTCAAGAAAACTAACCGCCGGAACCTGAATTTTGTGAAGAAAGATTCAGCGAACATTTTTATCGTTCGTTGGGCTCATGAAATGCAAAATGAGCTGAAATATAAAGGTTTGAAGTTTTGACGAAATGCGAAAAAGACGCTAAAAACATGAAAAACTCTAAATTCTGTAAACACCGGTTTTGAATCAGTAAAATATTGTTTTCTAGACGTTTTTCAAGTCAAAAAGAAAGAAATAAAGGTCGTAAACTCGAATTGAACAGCATTTTCAGACCAGCAAATTTTCAAAAATTACAACGACACTCCGCAATTTACGAGCGCCCTGTGTTTAGCATTAGCGCCCCCTGGAAGACCGTGCGATGTGCTTTGGAATTTCGAATGCTTTACTCATTGACAAACAGCTTTAACGGTGTTATTTAGCGGCCACGGTGGTTGCCTTCTGTGGCCGTTTGCTGCCGTTTCCAGGGAATTTGCGATGTGGTGGAGGCGAATGTCTGCGTGGTTTGGGCGAAGAATCGGAAGAAGTAGAGTTCGAGTTGCCCTGTGGACGGTGACGGGACGGTGGAGCAAGCATCTGAAAGAAAAGAAGGATCCTTAAGGTAAAGGAGACCATCTTACATGAGTTCTGCTCTCGACATTCACGAAGAGAACGGCCAGGGAAGCGAGGAGGAGGAGGAGAAGAAATTTCATCTTTTTGAATGAGCCGTGTTGAAGAGGGGGCTTTTATAGCAACATCGGAGAGTCCCATCGGTTATCGGTGTGATGCTTAGATCTGGGAGAATGCATGAGGAACCAAACTTTTAGTGAAACAACATTGAAACACGGCACTAAACATTGTTCTGTTTTCGATAATTCATTTCAGGAATTGTTCTGTTTCAGAAAATGTTTCAGGAAATGTTTCAGAAAATGTTTCAAGAAATGTTCAGGAAATGTTGAGCGGAAGAACTAAATGGAGGAAAACGGAAGAATTTTTTTCTTTTTTAGAAAATTTTTTAATGGAATGTGATCAACTGACGAAATGTATAGCAAAATGAACTGTGCTCATAGAAAAATAATTGTAAATTTAGCTTTTCATACAAAAAAGAGGGCGAACGGAAGACGGAAGGAATAACTTTTTTGTATGAAAAGCTAAATTTACAATTATTTTTCTATGAGCACAGTTCACTTTGCTATACATTTCGTCAGTTGATCACATTCCATGAAAAAATTTTCTAAAAAAGATAAAAATTCTTCCGTTGAGCTCTTCCGCTCAACTCTGCTGCTGCTTGAATGGGCTTCTAGAATTACCGCTTCTCTATCACTAATTTATTACATAAAACGCTCAAGCAACAGTAATTTATTTTTTCCCCGAGAAATTCTATGAAATTCGACTGGGTCTAACTGGATTTTCCCCGATTCTTAATGCTACTTTTGCTTGTTTTGAAGTATTTATGAAATACTATCCAATTTGCGCTCAAATTAATCAAGTTTCGCTGCGAAATCTCCTCAATTCCGAGGCAGGCGGACTAGTTAGTCAACTTTTCCATTTCAAACCGGCTTTTTCTATGATTCCATCACTTTGAAACCGATTTTCCAGGTACTCCATGACTTCGAAGATTTGTTAGTTGACACGGGGTGCACAGAAACATATAATATCTTTTATTTTTCAGAAAAGTTCATGAGCCATTGAGGGAAATGTAATTGGCGGAGATTTGAAGGGAAACGATTGGAATTCCGACTGCGGAATGCGATTCGATCAAAGTTTCGGGGTGTTTTGTGAAGGAGGTAGTCCAGAATTTGAGACGTCTTGGGTACGAGCCAGAGATGTTGGGAATAAAAATTTTACTCTACGGAACACGGAAAACGGAAAATTTTTTTTTACGGAACACGGAACACGGAAAACGGAAAAAACTTATTTCTACGGAACACGGAACACGGAACACGGAAATTTTTTTTTTTACGGAACACGGAAAAAAGCGTTTTCAAGAGAATTCCAGTGATTTTTTTTTAAATAATGTTTTGTTTAATTCGATTATCTGACTGACAAGGCAGCTGTTTGACTCATGTGAAAGTTTTACTGAAAATTTCATAAAAATAACAAAACCAACAACACAACAGTAAACAACTACAGTAAAAAACGACTGAAAATGGAATCCACTTTTCACGAATATGGTCCGAATCCGAACGTTTTCAAATTTTGACCACAAAACGTCAACTGTCCTAATCAAAATAATCATGAAAAAAATAAAATTTGTGATCGAATTTTTCCGCGGAAAACATAGTTTTTACGGAACACGGAACACGGAAAACGGAAAAAACTTATTTCTACGGAACACGGAACACGGAATTCCCAACATCTCTGATCACTACCCTCCAGTGTATATTGAACTGTAATATTATATTAGTCGCCAAAAGTGCTTGCAGCCTTCGCCTTCCAATTGTATTCAATCTCCAGTTGTACAATATCAGCTTCAACTGATACACTAACCCTTTTTACGTGACTTTCTACAACAAAAACCGCGTTTGCAAACCAAACCGAATGCATGCATTTTTATGAGCCATTCGGCGTCGTGGCTCCCACGTGTAAACACTGCGTCTCTCTCTCTCTCTCTTCCCTTCCATTTCCTCCGCTGATCGTGTCATTCAGTCCCTTCGCCCGCACCTGTAGGCCCCCTTTTACCCCCCTATTTTCTTTCACTTCAACGGATCCCATTCAATACTGAACTTTTTGAAAATCTGAACAAACTATGAGCTGAAGTGAGTTTGTCGGTTTTCCAACGTTCAACGCCTAAAAATCGATATTTCAGTGTCATCACAACGAGATTCCGCAGACAAATTTCAAGAAAGATGTTCGCTTTGAATATAAATAATGGTACGTCCTTGTTGAGGTTAAACTTCTCATTTTCACTGCAAAATCTTCATTTTTCAGTTGGCGCACTTCATCAACAACAACTTCCTGCCGCTCTAGATCAGGAATTTTTGTAAATGTGTATAAACGTGTAATAAAAAATTGTGTTGAAATTCCTTTGAAACATAAATTATGTTATATAAACTGACGAGTGGGTGGGTGGGTACACGTGGAAGAAATGTTTTTCTCGGCCACGTCCAGGGATTCGAGCACTACGCGTGGCAAAGTGAGATTTCCAGCCATTTTTGCACAGAATCTCCACACTGATACCACTTTGACACCCATCTCTGCTCTCTTTTGAGTCCTCCGTTCTCCTCATCGACCACTACATCCAGCGCTTCGAATCTGATAAAAAATGGGAAACATGACCGAATGACAAGTGAAAAGAATGCGAAAAATCATCGAGTGATTCCGTAAAATGACAATGCAATTCGAAAAATGTACATTTACATTTCTTCGAAAATCGATAAAACTTGACTGGCAGAAAGCAATTGAGGGAAAGTAAAGTATCACAAAGTATTCGATAAAAACACACTGGGTGGGGGGGATTTGAGCAAAGATATTAACAAAAAAATAGGACTATAATCAGATTGGAAGCCACTTTTTGAGTTTCTGGCCTTGGTTATGGCACGAAAACGGCGGAACACAGTTGAAGTAGATGCACCATGGGCAGTCGATCTCGACGTTTCCAAAGAAGACGATGAGGAGGATCAGGAACAGAGTGACGAGCACGATTCCAGAGATCACCACGTAGAACTGCAGAAGTCGATGTTTTTTCATGTCGAACAAAGATTACAGGTTCAAATTTTTCTGAACTCGACGAGTTGTACACCATTTTTATGTACAAACTGCACAATTTTCGGGGGGCAACCGGCGGTATCGTACGTTCAAAAATTGAGATTTCTGGGTGAAACATTCTCCGTTTCGAACTCTTTCCTTACCGTTCTCCGCGTCACAAATCGTCGTCGCGCAATGCCCCACACCATCTGAATCGGCTGAAACATTGTGTTGCCGGGTTCGGCGATCGGCGACGGATATCCGTTCGCCAACTGGCTGTACTGGCCCGCCATCTTCGGCGTTTCGGCGGTGCTCAGCGCAGAGCCGCCACGTGGCATCGGAGTTGACGGAAGAGGAGCCGGTGGCGCGGGCGGGAGCGGCTTCTCCGGGAAATCGAGGTAGGGGAAGATGACTGAAAAATTGGTAGATGTGGTCAGATCTGACGCGAAGACGTACTTATCGTGGTGAGGAGACCGAAAATGAAGCCGAAGAGGTGGGCCCAGTTGTCGATCCAGGGCACAAGACCGACAATCAGAATGACGGCCGTGACGAAGAGATGTTGGTTGAGCGCAGTCGAGAACTCTTTTATCACGTGTCTGCAATTGAGGGGTATTGTACTCAGCGACTGGGATTTCAAAAAATATTTTGTACCTATGATGCCAACAATCGACAATGAGTGCGGCCATGATTCCGCACTGCGAGCCCGAGGGCCCAACTTCCGGATTGTAGGGCACAAAGATGGCGGAGGCCAAATTGCCGCCGACGCCCGAAACGAAATAGAGTATGGCCATGCGTTTCGATCCGATCAGCCGCTCCAGGTCCGTCATAGCCCACCATTGGAAGAAGAAGGTGAACGCGAGGTGGAGAATGCCGGCGTGGATGAAGAGCGAGAAGAAGAGCCGATAGAACTGGTTGGGACTCGGTCCGAAGAAGGGAAACATGCCGCAGACGCCCGAGAAACAGTTGACCTGGCTGCAGAGAGTCGCGTTCTCGTGCCAGTGACCGCGCACAAACTCGCAGTACTCTTTGGTGGCGATGCGGCACAGTCCCTGCAGTTGGATGCAGCACGGGCGGCCCGTCACGTGGCATGTCACGTGCTCCGGAAGGCCTTTTCCCACGTGCTTCTGCTCGCAAATCGGCCATTGCGTGATGTCGTCCGGCCACTCGTGCGGCGCCACCGACGAAGGAACATCGCAATACGACGGATCCTGTCCGCACACCGCTCCCGACTTCCGCTGCTGTTTCCACATTCGCGTCGCCGAGAGCAGCGAGGTGATGTTCGAATGGCCGCGCAGCAAATCGCCTTCTGATTTCGATTTGTGCGCTAGGAACTGTCTCTTCGCGGCTGTCGGGTCCGGTTTGTCCCAGCGCACCCATCGGGCCACGTTGCGCTGCAAGGAAATCGATTTGTTTTCAATATTCGGTGAATTCTTGATGATTCTAAAGCTTTCAATTTGTCTAAAACGTTCATTTTTTTTCGCAAAGCTCAAATTTAGTTCTAGTGGTCCTTACCGGACATATCAATTCGCTGCTCTGCCAGCAGCCGGAATGATCGCTGGCAATGCAACATCCGGTCCGATTCTCGATGCGCCGCTCCTCCTCAATCACCGCCCACAACCCGTGTTCCCGTCGCATGCACGGCGAGTAGAGCGCGCCGAGACGAATGAGATCCGCATAGTGCGGTCCGAACCACATGTTCTCGGGTTCCTGATAGGAGACGCGGCGGTTGGAGAGGGTCACGTCGCGCACCTCGTCCTTGTTCACTCGCATTCCCATGCCGAACGGTCCCATTCCGTACATTGCGATGCTCAGAAGACAGATGACGATCTGGATTGTAGTCGTCCAGTAGGTAAACCACGCGCGTTCGTCGACTCCGTCGCTTAGAATCTTTTGGATATCGGAGGAGAGATCGCGTTTGTAGGCCCGCCCGAAACACTTTCCGAACACTCCGATGCCGCGCTGCCGTTTTCCGGGCGGATGCTCCGTGATCTTCTGCGTAAAGAGAGATGTCTGCGCCTGCATTCGCTTCTGACGCAGACGATACGCTCGCAGCTGCGGGTTCTCCTCCTCGAGCTCTTCGATCGTCGGCTGACGGATCAGCAGGCGGCGGGATGACGTCGAGCCTGATTCCTGAGTTACGGTAGTTTGAGGTGTGCAATTACCGAATCCCTTACCAATTCGGTCAACGGTCTATCCGGTTTCGAGCTGGCCATCGGTCCGATTCTCCCTAAAACGGTGGCTTTCGGCCGATAAAGAGTCGCGTCGCCCAGATCGATATAAGTGATATTCCCTTCCTGATGATACCCGACGACTCCGCCGGGCGTCTCCGCAACCGTAATCGGATCGAATTGATAGGAGGTGCCGGCGGTGGCGAGTTTCGCAGAAGTGGGCGGTGACTGAGCAATGTCCGGATGGTAGGCATCAAGTTCCGGCGGCGGGGCTCCCGCCGGACTAGTCGACGCGTGGCCGTCACTGCCTGGCTGAAGGAAACGAGGGTGCGGGGTGTCGAAGAACACCTCGTCCACCAGGGAGATTGAACGTTCCGCGAGCATTAGAGACGGCTGAAATGCAGAACGTTTTGCAACTTCTAGTGTTTTAGTTTCAAAATGTGTAGGAAAATCTCAACCAACCAGAGTTACCAGACACTTCGCGACCTATCAAGTGATAAATAGTGACACAATGTCTTTAGCTTTAAATTTTTCGGTTGCAACTTCAGGACATTTCGCAACCACGTAGATCAATGTCTATTTGCACGATCAGAAGTGAAAGAAACGTCACAATTGCCCATTTCGCGTCAAGTTTACCTTCCTGAATCGAGATCTGAAGCTGATTCCGACGGGCTCCACCTCCTTCCCCTCCTCGCGATCCTTTTGCTCCGATTCCTCGGCCAGCAGTTCCAGTACCTGATCCTCCTGCCTCGATCTTTTCTTCATCGAAGATCCGGCGGTCCCTCGAGGGGAGGGATGCGGACGGATGGATCAGCGGCCGTGTTCCCGCCGTCAAATCGGACGGTCTCTCCGGCGGCGCCGTCGTTTTTCCACGCTGCAAAACCGAAAAGGGCGGCGCGGAGCGGGTCGACAGTTCCGCCGGGTCTCGACTGGAAATCGCCGGGATGCGGATCGAGGATTTCTTCCGGACTTTTGCCGTCATTCGCGACATTGCAGATGGATCTGAAACTTTGGAAAAGGGGTCAGCGGGAATTAGAGAGATTTTAAAATGAAATTTTGAAAACCCTGTCAATTTTGTAAAATTTTACAAGCATTTGTTCTGATCACAGACACGTACCCATTTCTCCGCCCTGTGCTTCATCCACATCCGCCATCTCTTCCATTTCCACCTCAAACGACGTTTCTTCCGGAATTTCACTGGTGATCAGCTGGGACTCTGCCTCTTTTTCCTCTCTTTCTCGCCTCGGAGATCCGCTCGGACGTACTCCGGACGGTCCCGGAGTGGATGGTCCTCTTGAAAACGTCTTCATTTCGAACGATTCGGTTCCGGGCGGTCCCGTCGCGTGGAACATGATTCCGTCGGGTGAGGAGGTCTCCGGTTCTCCTGCCGCTCTTTTGCGGACGTCATCTGATGCTGGCGTCGCCGTCGTCGTGTCTTCTGGAGTTTCCATTTGAGCCGACGCAACCATATCCAGGTCGAACGAGCATTTCGAGGCGAACGAGGAGCGCAGTTTCAGACGGTTTTTGTTGATGAACGAGCCTCTGGAAAATGCAATTTCCGCCTTTCAGATTTCTCAGTTTTTCAACGACTTTTTCTCCTAGAAGTGGCCAAAAGAACGCACTTTTTAAAGAAATTGGTGACTGAATTGATGACGGCCGTTGGCACCGATTCGCGTTGTTGAGAGGACATTCTCGAGAGACGGGATTGGCTCGCCGACAGGTCCTGCAACGTTTTTCAACATTATAAACATGAAACATTGAAATTTCCGTGCAAAAACTAACGGCGGTCTGCGAGAAGCTGTCCGCCCGGATCCGTTGGCCTTCGAAACTCGTCGACGTGGATTCGTAGTTGGGCAGAGAGGGCATCGCAGCGATCGGGACTCTTCCGCCCGGAGTCCTCCCCACCCGCGCCGCCTGAATTCCTCGTTCCACGTCTTCCGGCGGACTGCCGGGCGTCAAAAGGAGTGTTCCCGATTCAGACAACGGTCCCTGTGGGTTCAGCGATTTGTGCACTGCAAAAATAGGATACATTTCGTTTTTTTTTCCGGAAAAAACGTACCAGAAGTCATGGCGCGCACCTCATTCTCGTTCAAGCCGTACTTGTTTGCAATTCTTCGTAGCCTGAACTTAAATTGTTTTTGAATGATTATTGTTTTAATTCTTCACCTCTTTTTGGTCCATTTAGCCTTTTCCTCATCTTCGTCTTTCCCGCCGGCAGGAATTCCGATGAAATTCGACACTTGCTGGATTCTGCAACAAAAGTTTTTGGCGGTGATTTTGTTGATTTCAAACAAAGATGAATGAATGAAAAAGGATAACTTACACACTGGCATCGCGGGTTAACGGCGGCTTGTCGGGGTTTGAAAGGGGCATGTTTTCCTGGAAAAAAAATGAAAATTCATTTTTCATCGTTCCGCAGTCTAGAATCTTCCAAATTCTTTTGTTATTTTCTTTTCGAAAAGTTCCGAAAACTCACGAGTTGTCTGCTTCTCGCTCCCGGCGTACTCGACGTCGCCATTTTCGTTTCCGCATCAATTTCGGGGCTGAAATCCGCAATTTTTGTGCGTGTTCACAGTACGAAATAATGATTGAAAGGGCGAAGAAACTGTCAGAAAATGGGAGTGGGTTGTTGAGTAAATAAACCGACTCAAATCGCGACGCTTTCTCGGCGTCTCCCCGATTCGCACGCTGTCTCGTCTGATTAAAACGGTGGCCGTGGCCGCCGAAAACCGGAAAACTAGGCCGTCTGCATCGAAATTGATGAGATTTCGCAGCGAAACTTGATTAATTTGAGCGCAAATTCGATAGGATATGTGAAAATGAGCGGCAAATTAGATCAGATGTTTAATGCTCGAAAAATGTTCATTTTCAGTAAACCATAAATGAAAACGGCAAAAATTGTAATGATTGAAAAAACTAATTTAACAAGAAATTTCATGAATACTTCAAAACGAGCAAAAGTAGCATTAAGAATCGGGGAAAATCCAGTTGGAACCAGTCAAATTTCACAGAATTTCTCGGGGAAAAAAAAAGTTGTTCGGTAAAATTCAATATTGAGATTGCTGATAGAAGGCGAAAGTGAGATGAACGTCGGTTTCCATTTGGGACAGCCCGGCGGTCGTCATTAAGTGGTGCCACGTGTCCGGGTAGCGCGGAGAAAAGTGACGCCATCGGGAGAGTTCGGCCAGCGAGGCAGAAGTGCGCTGAAAAAGTTTCGTGTTTCGATGTTTATCCACTTCTCTGCTGTTTCTCAACTTTCTGAAAGTACAGGGAATCTTGATGATACGTTCACTTAGCTAGATAATTCAATCAGATTGAAAATCTTGGCATATATATACCTCTTCCTTATTTTCCTCTTTTCCATCGATTTTCTCTACACCATCCTGTGGCGACTCTTGCTTTTCCTCGGCACTATCCTCCACAATTTCATCTTCCTTTTCCTCTTCTTCTTCTTCTCTCTCTAACTTTCCCTCCTCAACAGTCTGATCCGCTTCAATTTGCTCGTCGTCCACATCTTCATCGTCGTCACTATCACTTATTTTCTTCACTTCTTCTTCTCCCTCTTCCTCCTCATTTTCCATTTCATTCTCGAGCATTCCGCATCCATCACACGGACATTCGCACAAATCATGCGTGTTGCACTCGGTGTCGCCGATGAACGTGAAAATGTCTTTGAGCTCTTCGTCGGTGAACGTGGACACGGAATCTGGTAAAAAAAACTTGTAAAATGCCGTAAATCTATCTACGGGCTCCGAGCTTTAAGACCCAAACTTTAGATTTGAAGTTTTAGGCCACAAACCTGAGTTCTTATGTTAGGCTAAAGAAAAGCTCGGAGCTGCTCAGGTGGCTCTGTAAATCTACACGAAAAATCCGACGATACCTCCAACTTCGATCGCATCAATGACACATCCCAGTCCGGTCTTCTTGATCTGCCTCTGCAGCATCTTCTCCTCAATCGTTCCGGTCGTGATCAGTCGATAGATGTGGCACGGGCGTACCTGTCCGTCCCTCCAAATCCGCGCCATCGCCTGCCGATCGTTCGCCGGGTTCCAGTCCGAATCGAAGAGGATCAAGCGCGACGCGCCGATGAGATTCAGGCCGACGCCGCCGGCTTTTGTGCTCAGCAGGAAGACGTTCGACGCGTCGTGCTGATCGTTGAAGTGTCGGACCGACTTCTGACGCTCCTGCACTTGGGTCTTTCCGTCGAGACGGAACACGTGGAACTCCAGGTACTTGCACAGCTGCTCAATCATGTCCAACGTCTCGATGTAGTTGGAGACGACGACGGCGCACTCGCCGAGCATTCGGAAGCATTTGAGCATGTCCACGAGGGCGGTCAGCTTTCCCGACTCTTTCACGCCGCCACGTGGCATTGTGGCGCCGTCGAAGGCCAGCAGAAGCGCCGAGTGCTTCTGGTTCGACTTTTCGTGTTTCTCGCGCAGGTTGTCGTAGAGCAACTTTGGATGATTGGCGAGTTGGCGGGCGAAGAAGATGAGCGAAAGTGGGTCGCCGGTCATGTAATCGCAGATTTCCGAGTGTATCTGCTTCTGGATTGCGGAGGCTTTGCAGAAGAGGATGTACTCGTCTGGAAATGAGAAGAGTTTGTGATATTGTGTCGCATTGGTCCCCAATCAACCCCTTACGCTTCTCGGGTAAATGTCGCATGTTCACATCGGCGGCCGTCCTCCTCAACATGCACTCGTCGATGCGTTCGTTCAGCTCTTCCGGATCTTCCGAGCACATTTTACGGAATTGCGCTAGAGTTCCAAACTGATTCGGACGCACAAAATCGAGCAGCGAGTAGAATTCGTCGAAATCGTTTTGCATCGGAGTTCCGGTTAGGATCAACCGACGCGGAATTTCGAGGGAATCCAACTGCAAAACGAACTTGCAATAGCATTCATTCAAAACGATATATCTCATCAGCCGGTGGAGATATCGAAAAGTTGTCAACTGATAAAATGTACAGGATTTTCTCATGAATATTTTATCAGTTGTCAACTTTTTGATATCCCAACAGGCAGCTGAGATACTTAGCTTTAACTGTTTGATTGTGTCAGTCATTTAAATGTTCCCCGTTCGGTCCCTGTCCAACTCACCGCCTTCCTCAACTTCCCGTCCACATTCTTCAACTTGTGTCCCTCATCGCACACGATCACATCGAATCGGCACTCCTTCAGCTTCTCCACGTGTCTCTGTGCCATGTCGTAACTGATCACCAAGTAGGGCATCGTCTTGACGCTCGCCCGATATCCGTGAATGTCACGGGCGGTTTGGGCCAACACTGCGGGGAATCTCATCAGTCGCCACCACTTGTCGAATTCCGCCTTCCAATTGTTCACCAACGACGAGGGAACCACGATGAGACACGTGGCGGCCAGGTTGGCACCGGATTTCGCGCCTGAAAACTACTTTACTCTAGCTCCTTTTCCGATGTTTGATTAGTCAGTAAAAACAAACATTTTCACATTCTTGTAGAAAATAGTGAAACTTCAACAAAATGCGAAGAAAAGTGTAGTTATAATTGTAAACAGTTCGAAAAAGTGCAGTAGAGCGCGTTTCCTGAAAATCCAACCTTTGAGAAGTGCCCACGTGGCGGCCATCGTCTGAATACTCTTTCCGAGCCCCATATCGTCGGCCAGAATCGCTCCGCCCGTCTCGTTCTGAACAATCTAATGTGTGGAGCAAAAACACGGCAATAGTTTGTTTGCTTGCGAAAATCCGAAAAAATTGCTTGATTTTCGACAAAAAAAAACGCATAAAATTCAGTTCTTCGTCAACAAAATTGTCATTGTTTACGACAGCACCTTTAACCGATCGAAAATGAACTGAATCCCGTGCTTCTGATGGTCGCGTAAATGCCGCGCAAATCGTTGATCGACAATAACTGCGTGCGCAGTTTTCCGTGCCAAAATGTCCGATTCGTTAAGCACGAACGGCTCGAGCTTCTCCTGAACTTCTGATGATGACGTGGCGGAGAGGAGGGGCGGCACAAAGGTCGCCCTTTTCGGCATCGATAATATTTGGGAAGAAGGCGTTGAAATCGGAAGCGGAAGGACTCGTTTTAGAGACGCATTTTCAGAATTTTTAAGGCTTTCTTTTGGAATACTCGAAAATTCCGGGGATTTTTCGGCAATTTTCGATGCCGATCGGAAGGGAGAATTGAACGAATTTCCAGAAGGTCGCAGCGGAGCTTGTAAAACCGGCTTTTTCGTGGCAATTCTCTCCTGAATCTCCACGCTCCACGAGCCGATGTTCACGACACGTCCATCTTCCAGCTGATCCAGATTTTTGAGCGCCGAAGATCTGAAAATGCGAGTTTTTTTCAATTTTTTGCGGCTTTGCCACCGTTACCTGCAGATGACGTCGCGCTCGTCCTCCGATTTTAGGACGGCCGAATCGGCGCAACACACGAGAATACCGTCGCCTTCCCAGATTTTGTGCTTTCGCGTCGACGCTTTTCCGTAAAGCACCACGAATCGCGCGATTTCCGAGCCGACAGTGTCTGCAGAGTTAATGGGGCTATTCAGCGTATGTTTGTTTTCCGTTTTTTTTTTGGTTTTTTAACCCGCTGAATTGGGTTTTTTGACGTAAAAAAAACGAAAAAAAAACAGAAAAAAATCATTTTTTTTTCACAGCCTGAATAACCCCATAAAAAAATCAGACTTGCCAAATTACGGACCGGAGAAGTGCCGGCCCGGCTCAAAAAGGCGCGAATTCAGATTTTTGGGGGAAATCTATTTTTTCGTTTTTTTTTTGCGGGGATCAAAATTTAAAAAAAAGTTATTTGAGCATTTTCGGGAGCTTCATCGACGAAAACTTCTCTCTGCAACTAGTCCCTCTTGGATTCACTCCAGCATTGGATGGAAAATCTAATTCCGAGACAGTGACATTTCTTTTTTATGTTCGATACTTGCAAAATTCGTTAGTTCTACGAAAAACAAACATTTTATTTAATCAATAGTTCAAAATTTGGATTCCCGCTTTTTGAACCGGGCCGGAGTTTTGAAAATTTCGGCCCGGCCCGGCCCGTGGCAACTCTGAAAAAAATATTAGGGCCGCGATAATAGAAATCACACGCGTCGCGGTTGGCGCCGTCATGCCAAGATTTGGATTTCAATTGCAAAAATGGCGAGAACGCTGTGTTTGTCTTTGTTTTTTTTTGCTTACCATTTCCCTCGTAACTATCCACGTGCAATGGAGTTCTGGACATCTGAAATTTATTTGGAAAATCTCCTTTACATGGCTATTTTTCTAGACATTCAAGGAGCAATTATCCGAACTGCGAAAAGAGAGTTTCAACATTTTTTGAACGCGTTCTTTCCTATTATCCACATTCAATTCACACAAAATCACAGAGGACGAAGGAAACGGAGTTAAATTTGATTACAAAAATTAGTATTCTTTCAGGAAAACGTACATTTTTCGAAGAAAAAAGAAGAGGAAAAGGAAAAGGCGATATAAAAAAAGCACCAAAAGCTTTAAGAAAAAGGTTACTGGGATAATTGGGGGGTGAAAAAGTAAGTGAAATGAGTGAAAAAACGGGGGCAAAAACCTGAAATTTCGGGAGAAATTTGTTGAAATCCGCCTAAAATTGATGCATAATGTAATGAGTTACGGAGACAGATAAAACGGAGTTAAAATTTTTCAGATTTTTTGAAAAATTCCAAGAAAAAAGGAACAAGAAGATGGGGAGGGAGGAAAAGTGCACTATAATCATAAAATTGAAGGGACGGGAACATTATTTTACATGGAAATTTTTGTAAAATTTGCAAAAATCGTATATTTTTGAGCATTTTTGGTTTCGCGACGACGAATAGATTAGGAGAGAGGCGGAAATGGAAATGGCACAAAATCAGTTAAGGGAGGCGAAATACTGGAAAAATTCGGGAAACGTGGACGGAAAGAGGCGAAAAAAGAGAAAGGCAAGAATTGTTGGGATTTCCGACATGCTTCATGGCTTGCAATTCTGGCTCAGCCACGTCAATCCTTCGTGAAGTCCGTCTCCGGTTGACGCGCACGACGGCTGCACGTACCTGCAAAAGATGCGCATTTATGGGAGAACAATTAATGATTTCGAATCCTTTTAGTGTGAGAATTTTGAGCAAACGAAAACCGTACCAATTCCTGTCGCGAATCCTTGTCAGCCCCAGTTTGTCCTGTATTTCGTGTGGTTTCATCGCTGAAAACAAATTTTTGAATGTTTCGGTAGAGTTGCAACGTTTTTCGGTATTTCACAGGAAACATGCGGGAAATTCGTCAAAATAAGCATTTGAGTCATTTTCTCAGTTGTTGTTCTCGAAACTACTCGATTTTCGGGAATGAAATAAGGAAAAACCCACGGTTTCCAGAGCTGACAATATGGGCGTGGCCTCGGCCAAATGGCGTTTTCATGAATTGAGCACGTTTTCTCTGATTTTTGTGTGGTCAACGGCGATAAAAAATGATTGTTTGACATGAAAACACACTAATTCTCAGAATTAATGACGTTTTCGCGCATTTTTCGCGGATTTCGCTTTTTCGCCTTCGCCGCCTAAAAACCGCACTTCTCATTTTGCGCTTTCTTGACCGTTTTCCGACAGAATTGATTTTAATAATAACAATAAACGTAAATACAAGCATTTTGAGCGCTCGAACCGCGAAAATTACCGAAAAGCAACTGAAATTCACGCAGTTTTAGCCAAAAACCTTCAAACTTGACCAAATTTAACGCTCTTGCGCTTAAAAAATTCGTAATAGCCTATACAATCGGCCTATCGAGAGACAAATGAGAAATTATCGGTTTTTTGTGGCAATTCTGGCAAAAAACACAAATTTTGCTGATAGAATTTGAATTTCGCGCCAATGTATCGCTCTATTTGACGGGGCGCACTTGCGCCCATTGTCAGCTCTGGAGACCGTGAAACCCCAGAAACTCGAAACATTCAAATTTCCGCCACCTACCATCGGCCAGATCTTGTTTGTTTGCAAAAACGAGGATAATCGCGTCCTTCATCTCACGATCGTTGATAATTCGGTGCAGTTCCATCCGCGCCTCGTCGACTCTGCAAAATTTTGTAAATTTTGAGCTTTTTCCGCTTTTCCAATTGCTTACCTGTCTCTATCGGCGGCGTCCATCACAAAAATGAGCGCCTGGGTGCCTGTGTAGTAATGTCGCCAGAGCGGCCGAATTTTGTCCTGTCCGCCGACGTCCTGAACCATTGTTTTAGTAAAAAACCGAATTTGAACTCAGAAAACTGCTCACCCAAACGTTGAATTTTATATTTTTGTAGGTGACCGTCTCGACGTTGAAACCGACCGTCGGAATTGTGGTCACCGACTGTCCGAGCTTCAATTTGTACAGAATCGCTGAAAATTTGTCGTTTTTTTGAGCAAAATCATCAAGAATACACGAAAGCCAATAGAAAACTTACTGGTTTTACCGGCGGCGTCCAATCCGAGCATCAATATTCGGAGCTCTTTTTTCCCGAAAATTTTCGACAGGAATTTACCCATTTTCGGCCTGAAAAGCGACAATTTCCGATGGGAAAATCGTACAAATTGGCAGCGGAGAAGAGAAAGGCGAAAAAAATTTGCAAAATGACTCATTTTCCCGTTGCGAAACGTGTTTGTACACCTCAAAAAAGTCGGAAAATCAATTGAAAAACAGAGACACCAGGCTCCGCCCACTTTTGCAACGTGCGACGCGCGCGATCGCAACACCGCCGCACGTACTGTTCGTTTTGTCGCTTTTTCGCAATTACCAATTGTTCCACAATTTTATTGATTTTCAGTCGAAATTAATTGAATTTTCAGGTTATGCGATATTGAATGATCAAATTGAAAATGGTGGAAGTTAGTTTAGGCGTTTTCTTTCGATCTTTCAACGCATCGTGAGTGATTTCGGTAAATTTTAATTAATCCTTATAATTTTATAGAAAAGTCATCCTATGCGCCTGTCTTTTGGTCTTTATCGCTCTTTTCACACTGCGACTCGATGGAAAAGTGGATTTCAGGTAGAAATCCCTAAAAAATTCAAACTATTCACAAAATGTTGGCAAATTTCAGCTACGCCTTCGTTTTCGCTCCGTTATGGGCCTGTAACCTGCTGGTTTTTGTCGGAGCCATCGTCGGAACGTGCTCTTTTTGCTCGAATCCACCCTCCAGGTATTCTAGATTTATTTGGAATTCTCAGAAATTTTTTAGAAACGAAATTCTGATGCGAGTCGATTTTACGGCGATGCTCATCACCGCCGCCGAGCACATTTTCCTGTGCACCTTTGTCACGTTGGCTTTTATCAAAGTAAGTGTTTTCTATATGAATTTTGCAAAAAAAAGGGGAAAAAACCGAGAAATTTCACTGAGGTTTCATAAAACTGCGAAATTCTTGAAACTCTCACGACAGGTAAAAGAAAATCCCCTTAAAAATGGGTCTAAATCACGCGGGTGAGTTGCTAATCACAATTTTCTTCAAAACATCAACTACTACTACCCAGCTAGCGAAAAATCCCGTGCTAAATACTCTTACCAGTCTCATTGTGCGAAGGACAGAACTGAAGAAGAGTGTCTCTTGTTCGAGTTCACCAAACTACGAATGCGTGTGTTTGTGGGAGGATGACAATTGTAACTGTCATTCAAACACTTGTAAACACCCTTTGATCTACCGAAAACGTGGCACCGGACACGAACGGTCATCGATCCAACGCGCCCTTTCTGCCCGGTGCCCCTATAATAATTTTCGGAATATTTGTTTGATTCAGAAGTGAGCCGATTGATAGAATTTTGCCGCCCTGTATTTTCGTAAACATCACTTTATCCTCTCGACGGTCCGCTTTTTTCTTTTTTTGTCCATCCTTTTAGTTTTTCCAAGGTTCGACACGCCTTTAGCTTCACTTTTTCCCTTCCTTTCACGTTTTCTTCTCGTGGCGTATAGACGGAGTGCCGTTCTACTGTCTAATCAATTTCGTTTCACAACTATACACGTTCCGACGCATTTCTTTTTGCTCAGTCAATCAAAAAATTCACGTTTGTCACATCAACTGGCCGCGCCGCGTGCATTTGCCTAAGTTGTAGAGTTTTCCCGAATTTTGGGATTATGAATCTGTGTGTGTCCATGAAAATCTAACTCTTATTCTCCTTATTTTCTTTTCTGCAGTTGGAGTTCGACTACCTGGTGGACCCGAGCCTTCCGCTTCCCTGGACCATCGTCTTCTGCCCCCTCTTCTCGCTTTCGATCCTTTCGATCGGTATCGCCGTCTGGTCGCTCCGTCACGATAAACCGTTCGAATTCGAGTTCTTCTACGCCATCAACATTGTCCAACTCGTCTTCATCGCCTTTAAATTGGACAAACAAGTACGGATACTGTAAAGTCACTCAAATTTTGTTCATTTTTTGCATCGATTCCGGTCAGAATAGAATTCAAGAATTTTTCAAAGATTTTCTCAAAAACGGTTCGATTTTGCTCCATTTTCAGGTGGACTGGACATGGGCGGTCGTCTTCATCCCCCTGTGGGTGGTGCTTTCGCTCGCGGCCGTCGGAGTCCTCTACGCGCTCGTTCTCTCCGTCGTCCTCATCCGATCTCGACACTTCATCCCCGCTCACCGACGGCAGCACGTCTACTCGGCCATTTTGCACACTTTCTTTGTCAGTTTCCGGAAAATTATGCAAAAAAAACGTGACAAAAATCGAAAGGAGCAGCAGTTGTTCACTCAATTTCCAATTTCTGACTGAAACGAAAAAGCCAAAAGCCAAAAAGCAAAAAGCTATTTTCATCGAAACTTCAGTAATCTCTTCAATTTTTGCAGGTGATCCCAGCGCTGGTGTGCCTGGTCCTTCTCACCGGAAAACTGGATTCGATGAATTGGACGTCCGAAAAAGGACCTCATTCCGAGTACAGCTATACTGTAAGTCTGCGAAAATACTGATTATCACACGCTGTCCCACAAAAATTCTTCCCAATTTTTCACTTAATTCAATGAATTTCCCTTGCAGCTGGCCCTCGCACCACTCCAAGTCTCCTTTTTCTTCATGGCCATAATGTCGGCGGGCTTCGGCGGTCCGTCGTCGACGCCGCAAACGAACATCTGGTGGTTCGGACTCAGAAAACCTCTGTGTCCGTTCCTTTTGGATAAATGTCCCTCGTTGAGGACGTACGCGAATGTCAGCTACCGAGTTGGCGGCCGAAATCGAGCCGATAATGAGGTGAGCCCGGAAATAGTCACTTTGAAGCTCTTAAACATCGAAAAACCGCCTAGTAGTACCGGATGACTTTCTAGACAAAAATAGCACATTTACAATCACATTCTTTATGAAAAATGGAAAAAAATCAGAGCAACTTTTCAGCAAACGAACGGAGAAGAGCGTGAAGCAGTGATCGCCGCCGGAAACGAGCACGAAGAAGCGGACGAAACGGACGATGCAGGACGACGAAATCGACAGAGACGCCACGAGGAGAAGAGCCGCGGATCGGGCGGATCACAGAACAGTGCGCAGGGCAGTCAGACGGGACCGCAGGAGCCCAGTGAGTCGGGGGGAAATGTGGACGCATTTCAAGTTTCGACGTGAAACCATGGAATAGGCCCCTCAATTTTCGAGGCGAAGGCAGCCGGACGCCTTTGAAAGTCGGGTGCATGCGGCCGTCCGCCTTCGATGAACAGGTAAAAAGGCACAGGTCGCCTTCGCCTGTTCATCGAAGGCGGAGCGGATTTTCAAAGGCGTCAGGCGCGTTGTTTCGTAGAGAAAAATTCGTTTATGGGGTTTTTCAGGCTGTGAAAAAAAAATGATTTTTTTTCGTTTTTTTTTTGTTTTTTTATGTCAAAAAACCCAATTGAGCGGTGTAAAAAAAAACGAAAAAAAACGAAAAAAAACGGAAAACAAACATACGCTGAATAGCCCCATTGAAAACCGGAAAAAAGATTGAAATGTTCAGATCCCTCCGATTTGGCGGCCTCATCGGCGTCGATTTCACGAGCAATGGCCCAATATCGGAACGAATTCGGATACCATTGGGTCGGAGACATTTCGCAACCGGATTGACCGACAAACATTTGAATTTTTTAACCGATTATCTCAATTTTCAATGTGCAATTGTGTCAAATAATTTTGTATCTTAAAATGTTTTCCCCGAAAACCCCCTTTTTCTGTAGTCGCTTCTCTCCCGTACGTGTAGTGTTGTTTGAAAAATTTCGCAGCCCTTCGATGCCAAAATCTCAAAGTGAGCGCAGGAATTTTTGCTACTTTTGTCAATGTTTATATTTTTCTCGAGTTTTAAAATTTCTATTTTCGATCTCTACCTCTTTTTCGTCAACTTTCATAAATTTGTACTTTTTGTTGTGAAAAACACTTTTGCGATATTCCCGAATATTGGTTATTGGCCTAAATTCGTATTCTTTTTGAAACACTCATTTCTTTGAAAGTATCGATTTATTCCAGGCCTTGAACTTTACTTTTGAACCACTTTGCAATGATCCGATCGGACCCAATCTTTGCAGTTTTCTTGGACATGGATAGAAGCATACAGATGATCCGATCGGGCCGAAACTTGGTCCCAATGACCCTCCTCAATCCAAGTCCAACAATCGTGCAAAGTATGGGTCCGATCGGATCATTGCAAGTGGTTCAAAAGTCCAGGTCTAGGGCCGGCCAACAAAAAGCCATGAATTTTTCAGAAAAAAGCGATAAAAGCTTTGTATGAAAAGCTTCTACGATATTATCGAAATTCCGGTGAACGCCGCATTCGAGGACGTCAAAAAAGCGTATTTTCGATTTCTGAGACAAGTATTTTTTGGGTTTGGCCTAAAAATTACGTAAGAAACGTTTTTAGGAGCATCCGGATAAAAATCCCGAAAAGCGAGACACAAATACCGAACTTTTGAACACGGTCGGTCAAATTTGGGAGCAATTCAAGGTAAAATGGGCGGGATATTTGAAAAAGCGAAACAATCTTCCAGGACAATCGGCCGATTTACGACAGTTGGCTCCGTGAGCAAAAGTTGCGCGAGACGCAGGGAACGATCGGCGAGACGGTCGAATTGGAGTACGGAGAGAACGAAATCGACGAGGTGTGTCGGTGCGGCGCCGAGTTTTCGCTGACCCCAGAAGAGGTAATCACTTTTTAGCTTTGGCGCGCTTAAAATAGCTCGATTTTTACAGTTTTTTTTCCACACAATTTTGCAGGTGGATCAGATAATCGACGTGGGAATCTTCGAGTGCAGTTCGTGCTCCCTGTGCCTGGAAGTCCGTCGTCCGGCACACTAGAATGTCCTCGCTGGACGATACGAGCACAAAGATCCTGGTGCTCGGCGACTCGTGCGTCGGAAAGACCTCGCTGTGCCACTGCGTCGCCGGTGAGCCCGCCCGAACGTTCGACTCAACCATCGGCGCCACCGTCATCATGGCGTGGCACGAGTACCGCGCCGGCACGCCCGAACAACGCGCCGAACTCATCGAATTGTGGGACGTCGGCGGCATGGTCGCCCATCGGCAGGCCGCCCACGTCTTCTTCGAGGGAGCCGTCGGCGCCATTCTGGTGCATGATCTGACGAATAAGCGCAGCGAGGAGGTACGTTTGTTGGAGAGGGTCTTGACACGATTGCGATTAAAAAAAAGTGACATTCTATGCATTTATTCGATTTTCTCGGAAACATTGATGTTGCTGAGGTCGTGTTTTTCATTAGTCTTCATTCAAATCACTTCAGAACCTTGCCACGTGGCTGACGATGCTCGACGGAAAACCACGTGCCCAGAACAGTTCGAAGGATTCGGCCGCCGTCGCGCTGAAAGTCGACATTGAGAGCTGCAACATTCCGGTGCTCATTGTGGGAACGAAAGCGGATCTGGTGCCGCACAAGGGACCGATCAGCTACGATAGGTACGGTTCAGAAGCGAATTGGCACCGAACTCGAACGTTTTTTTTTTCCGAAAACGCGGAACTAGAAAGCAGAAAAATATATTCTGGTCAAGTTACAAGGCTTTTCGTAGTCCAGCAGTAAACCAATCAGATTATTGCAAGTGGGCCGAAAAAAGCCTGGGCTCCCCTGATACAAAAGCTCAAAATTTCCGATATTGTAGACTCCAGTTTCCAGATTGCACATAGATTCCCTGAGAATGATCCAACGTGGCTCGGCGAACAGCATCACTCTCGGCCGCTTCTTCGACTCTTGCCTCGACCGAACCCGCCGAACCTCGCTCGCCGCCTCCACCTCCTTCTACGCCCGCTCCTCGACCACCCCGAACACCTCGATCATTCAAGGGAACTCCGGAAGCAACGCCACGTCATCGTCCGGAGTGACGACAGTCAATCGGACGATGAGCCCGTTCACCACCATTCCAATGGGATCCTAATGTATTGTTGCTCCGTTGTTTTTGCCTTTTTGTTGGGTCAATGAGAATGTTTTCGGTTAGCAGAATGCTTTCCAACATCTTAGGCCGACACCAGGTAGGATGCGTTTGTGGGCGGCGGGTTTTTCAAGTGCCAAAATAGGTGTGTACTAATGAAATACAGCCTTAACAGCGCTTCGGAACCCATACATTACAGGGAAACCCTCTTTTCACTTCCTTTCTCTGAGGATCCCACTGCTTCCGCATGGGATCCAGTGATGCTTTCGGTTTCATTAGTTTTCTACGTTTCTAACAAGCTACGCTACGTCAGGAACTAGAGCAAGACAAATTGAAGCGTGAACTCGAAAAAGCGATAAAGATCTCGGTGAAAGCTAAAAAGGGGCAAGAATTGTCGAGAACGTCAGTATTGTCGAATCCGACACTATCATCACATCGCCGACAATCGCAACAAATTCTCGACGAGAAACGATGAAGGGACTCCTCGCAGTTGGCCTTCTCATCTTCTGCGGTCAGTTGATCTCCGAGCCACCTCATCCTCATCATGACGGTTTTCAGTTCATAGCGCATTCGGAGCGGCCATCGTCACCAGACACCATCCGTCGTCATCCCACACCAAGATCCATTCCAACGGTACTCACGGCAAGCCATCTACCAAGCCAACCATCCCGGACCTGACCGATTACTACACTGCGAACGATAGCGTCATCGTCGTCAAACGTCGAGTACCGACCCAACAAGAAATCAATGGTATTCTCTTTTCATTGAACATGGGACGTCAGGCGTTAGCATATCTACTCAAAATTCCAGGCATGCAAGAACTGGTAAGTTACAGTCGTTTTCCTCGAAAATTAGTGACGTTTCTAGAGCTGGGACGAAGGACTGGTGGCCAAGGCGAAAGCGATGCCCGCCACCTGCGAGCAATGGAAGTACGGAGCGGACTACCGCATCGTGCCGATGAAACCGGATGAAGGAGCCCAAATGGTGATGAATGCAATGCAAGAGGCTGTGTCTAGAGATCTGATTGAATTGAAAAACTCTATTCATATAACGCCAGAGGAAAAGAGGAAAGAACTCGCAAAACAATTCGAAGGTTCCATACCTCAGATCCAACGGGTCCTTGAAGAAATGATCAAAGCCGCTCCAACACTGTTCGAGCTTGAATTGATAAATCCGGATCAGAACAAAATTGGTTGCGCCGAAACATCGTGCCACTCAGTTTTCCATTCTAATGAACCGTCCTTGAGTAGTGTGGAAGGCAAGATGTACGGATTTGCGTCAGCTTGTCTTCTTGGCCCACAGTGAGTAGTAGTGATAGAGTTTCCAAGTCTGAGACTCATTAATTCAGAGGATCCCTGGATACAAAGACCATCGGTAAAGGAGACGCTGGAACTGCGTGCAAAAATGGAAAGTCTGAAATCGATGGACTGTGCGCTAAATCGTCTCCGTCGTCTTCGTCTCTGCTCACCACCGGCTTGGTCATCGGCTTCCTTCTGATAGCCGTCTCCGTCGTTTTTTTCTGATTCTCTAGTATTTCTCTAAATAAATAATGTCATGTTTGATTACTAAAGTGTTTTGTTGAACTTTGGCACGGCAAAATTGGAAAACAAAGTCGATATTCGAGTTTAGAGCTTGAGCAAATAAAAATAACTGAACGCTTTCACGGTCTCCAGAGCTGACAATGGGCGCAAGTGCGCCCCGCCCAAAAGATCGATACATTGGCGCGAAATTCAAATTTTAACAGAAAAATTTGTGTTATTTGCCAGATTAGCAACGAAAAACCGATAATTTCTCATTTGTCTCTCGATAGACCGATTATATAGGCAATTACGAATTTTTTAAGCGAAAGAGCGTCAAATTTGGTCAAGTCGCAAATCACATTCATCCGTTTGAAGGTTTTTGGCTAAAACTGCGTGAATTTCAGTTGCTTTTCGGTAGTTTTCGCTGTTCGAGCACTCAAAATGCTTGTATTTACGTGATTTATCATTCTCAAAACCAATTCTGTCTGAAAACGATCAAGAAAGCGCAAAATGAGAAGAGCGGTTTTTAGGCGGCTATCGGCGGCGAAGGCGAAAAAGCGAAGTCTGAGAAAAATGCGCCAAAACGTCATTAATTCTGTGAGAATTAGTGTGTTTTCATGTCGAACATGCAGAGAAAACGTGCTCAATTCATGAAAACGCCATTTTGCCGGGGCCCCGCCCATATTGTCAGCTCTGGAGACCGTGGCTTTGAATGAAATGAAAAAAGAACTGATAAACAGATAATCACTAGGGAGTCTGCCTGAAATTCAAACTTTATATAAAAAACTATCAGTCTAGAATTATTTTCAGCTTATTCTGAAAGGTCACGGGGCAGAAGAAAGAAACTAGAGCAGGAGCATTGAAAAAAATGTAGCGTGAACTCGAAACAGAGATAAAGATCTCGGTGGCGCCTATAAAAGGGGCAAAACTCGTCGAGAACGTCAGTATTGTCGAAGCCGACACTATCATCACATCGCCGACAATCGCAACAAATTCTCGACGAGAAACGATGAAGGGACTCCTCGCTGTTGGCCTTCTCATCTTCTGCGGTCAGTTGATCTCCGAGCCACCTCATCCTCATCATGACGGTTTTCAGTTCATAGCGCATTCGGAGCGGCCATCGTCACTAGACACCATCCGTCGTCATCCCACACCAAGATCCATTCCAACGGTACTCACGGCAAGCCATCTACCAAGCCAACCATCCCGGACCTGACCGATTACTACACTGCGAACGATAGCGTCATCGTCGTCAAACGTCGAGTACCGACCCAACAAGAAATCAATGATATTCTCGTTTTATTGAACACGGGACGTCAGGCGTTAGCATATCTACTCAAAATTCCAGGCATGCAAGAACTGGTTAGTTACAGTCGTTTTCGTCGAAAATTAGTGACGTTTCTAGAGCTGGGACGAAGGACTGGTGGCCAAGGTGAAAGCGATGCCCGCCACCTGCGAGCAATGGAAGTACGGAGCGGACTACCGCATCGTGCCGCTGCAACCGGATGAAGGAGCCCAAATGGTGATGAATGCAATGCAAGAGGCTGTGTCTAGAGGTCTGGGTGCATTGAAAGCACGTATTCAAGAAATGCCAGAGGAAAAGAGGAAAGAACTCGGAAAACAATTAGAAGGTGAAATACCTAAGATCCAACGGGTCCTTGAAGAAATGATCAAAACCGCTCCAACACTGTTCGAGCTTGAATTGATAAATCCGGATCAGAACAAAATTGGTTGCGCCGCAGCATCGTGTCACTCAGTTTTCCATTCTAATGAACCGTCCTTGAGTAGTGTGGAAGGCAAGATGTATGGATTTTCGGTAGCTTGTCTTCTTGGCCCACAGTGAGTAGTAGAGATAGAGTTTCCAAGTCTGAGACTCATTAATTCAGAGGATCCCTGGATACAAAGGCCATCGGTAAAGGAGACGCTGGAACTGCGTGCAAAAATGGAAAGTCTAAAATCGATGGACTGTGTAAATCGTCTTCGTCTCTGCTCACCACCGGCTCGGTCATCGGCTTCCTTCTGATTGCCGTCTCCGTCGTTTTTTTCTGATTCTCTAGTATTTCTCTAAATAAATAATGTCATGTTTGATTACTAAAGTGTTTTGTTGAACTTTGGCACGGCAAAATTGGAAAACAAAGTCGATATTCGAGTTTGAAGCTTGAGCAAAAAAAAATAACTGAACGCTTTCACGGTCTCCAGAGCTGACAATGGGCGCAAGTGCGCCCCGCCCAAAAGATCGATACATTGGCGCGAAATTCAAATTTTAACAGCAAAATTTGGGTTTTTTTGCCAGATTAGCAACGAAAAACCGATATTTTCTCATTTGTCTCTCGATAGACCGATTGTATAAGCTATTACGAATTTTTTAAGCGCAAGAGCGTTAAATTTGGTCAAGTTTGAAGGTTTTTCGCTAAAACTGCGTGAATTTCAGTTGCTTTTCGGTAATTTTCGCGGTTCGAGCGCTCAAAATGCTTGTATTTACGTTTATTGTTATTATTAAAATCAATTCTGTCGGAAAACGGTCAAGAAAGCGCAAAATGAGAAGTGCGGGTTTTTAGGCGGCGATCGGCGGCGAAGGCGAAAAAGCAAAGTCCGCGAAAAATGCGCCAAAGCGTCAATAATTCTGAGAATTAGTGTGTTTTCATGTCGAACAATCATTTGTCATCGCCTTTGACCACAAAAATCAGAGAAAACCTGCTCAATTCATGACAACGCCATTTGACCGCCGAGGCCACGCCCATATTGTCAGCTCTGGAGACCGTGGCTTTGAATGAAATGAAAAAGGAACTGATAAACAGATAATCACTAGGGAGTCTGCCTGAAATTCAAATTTTTATATATATATTTATATATTTTTTTGCGGGGATCAAAATTTTAAAAAACTACGACACTCCGACATTACGGTCGCGAACCGTCGCCACCAAAAGAAGCGAAAACTGCTCAAAAAACGAATATAAGAATCGCTTTATCAGTCTGTGAGCGATACTCAAGACGACGAAACTATTTTTGAGAACTACATTTCTTTTTTTTGCTCGATACTTGCAAAATTCGTTAGTTCTACGAAAAACAAACATTTTATTTAATCAATAGTTCAAAATTTGGATTCCCGCTTTTTGAACCGGGCCGACCGGGCCGGGCCGGGCCGGAGTTTTGAAAATTTCGGCCCGGGCCGGCCCGTGGCAACTCTGGTTTTTAGTGAAAAAAATTGTTTCGAAAAAGCGAAGTCTGAGAAAAATGCGCTAAAACTTCATTAATTCTGATAATTAGTGTGTTTTCATGTCGAACAATCATTTTTCATCGCCGTTGACCACACAAAAATCAGAGAAAACCTGCTCAATTCATGAAAACGCCATTTTGCCGGGGCCCCGCCCATATTGTCAGCTCTGAAGACCATGGCTTTGAATGAAATGAAAAAAGAACTGATAAACAGATAATCAATAGGGAGTCTGCCTGAAATTCAAACTTTATATAAAAAACTATCAGTCTAGCATTATTTTCAGCTTATTCTGAAAGGTCACGGGGCAGAAGAAAGAAACTAGAGCAGGAGCATTGAAAAAAATGTAGCGTGAACTCAAAAGAGCGATAAAGATCTCGGTGGCGCCTATAAAAGGGGCAAGAATTGTCGAGAACGTCAATACTGTCGAATCCGACACTATCATCACATCGCCGACAGTAACAACGACTCTTCGCCGATCAACAATAAAGATGCTTCTTGGCATCTCAGTCTTTCTTCTCTTCGCCGACGGCGTCACTGGCTTCAAAATTGCTTTGGACGATCAGAAATATCTCGTCACAACTGTGAACAAGATGCGAAAAGATGCTGCGGAGAAGTGGCGAATCGCGAACATGCACGAGCTGGTCAGTTGATCTCCAACATCAAATATGTCCAACGAACGCACACGATTTCAGACGTGGGACGAGGAACTTGTCACGACGATCAAAGGTCTGCCCAGCAAATGGGAGGATCTCAGATCTGGACCCAACTATCGTATCGTCCTTGTGAATCCCGACAAGAGCGTGATGACTGCGATGAATGCTAGATTTGAAAAATTGTTAAACGATTCTCCTGCAGAAGAGAAGAGATGGATAAAAATGTGGTGGGACACAGTAAAAGCGAACAATATCGACGAGCTATTCACCAATTTACCTCTTGCTAAGGTTTTGAAAATGACGGCTGAAATACAATTGCGCGCAACGTTTTCTCTCTATGAACTGATCAACCCGACTCAAACAAAGATCGCATGTGTATCGCAGAGTTGTTCGAAAGATGGAGGAAAATTTGAGGGAATTTGCCTTCTGGGACTTGTGTAAGTAAATCAAAAGGAAGGCATTCAGTGCTTTTTTTTTCAGCAACAGTTGGCAAGAGTCAAATTTTGTGCTCGACAAAGCTGCCGGATCCGCTTGCCCGACCGGAACGACGGCTGTCGACGAACTTTGCAGAACGTCCTCCTCGTCTCAGCAGTTCACCGTCCTTTTCCTCGTCATCTCTCTTTTCATCTCCTCTTTCTAGTGAATGTGACCAATAAATGAGCATTGAACCTATTGCACTTTTTGCTGTTTCTGCACTGTTTCTGCGGTCGGTGACTTCTGAAATCCTGTCTAGAACACAATCTTTTCGTTCGATTTCAATGTTTACTTGTCTTTTTTGGTGACTGTCTTGAAAAATGCATCAGAACGTCTCTGCTCAAGACGTTTATTAGTAATACACAATCTCCAGAGCTTACAATGGACGCAAGTGCGCCCCGCCCAATAGAGCGATACATTGGCGCGAAATTCAAATTTTAACAGCAAAATGTGTGTTTTTTGCCAGATTAGCCACGGAAAACCGATAATTTCGGATTTGTCTCTCGATAGACGGATTGTATAGGCTATTACGAATTTTTTAAGCGAAAGAGCACGGTCTCCCACGGCGCGAATGATTTCAATGGGGCGTACTTGCAACAGGCGGGTTGTGTCGATTTACGCGGCGGCCGATTAATTAATTTTCAACGGGAGTTCGCGTTCTTTCCATGTTTTCTATACAATACAGCTATTTTTGTGCGCCTGGAACCTGGATTTGAATAATTAGAGCACTAGCTACATTTTGGTAACAGAAATCTCACATATCGTTGAGAATTAGCCGAGTTATTTCGATTTGAAGGTTTTGGCCTGGATTTTGATGTTTTTCGAATAGTTTTCGAAAACTGCTCAAGAAAACTAACCGCCGGAACCTAAATTTTGTGAAGAAAGATTCAGCGAACATTTTTATCGTTCGTTGGGCTCATGAAATGCAAGATGAGCTGAAATATAAAGGCTTGAAGTTTTGACGAAATGCGAAAAAGACGCTAAAACATGAAAAACTCTACATTCTGTAAAGAACGGTTTCCAATCGGTAAAATATTGTTTTCTAGACGTTTTTCAAGTCAAAATGAAAGAAATAAAGGTCTTAAACTCGAATTGAACTGCATTTTCAGACCTGCAAATTTTCAAAAGTTACAACGACACTCCGCAACTTACGAGCGTCTATAATTCTGATGCTGCGTCCAAAGTTAAAAAACTGGCTAGCCAAAGTTGGCCAAAATTTCCTTAGAAAACGAGGTGCGCCCAAGAACATTCGAATATTTTCAAATATTCTCAAGAAGTTTAAAAATTTTCAAAAAATTCATATTCGTTCAGCTGTGAGCATCCCGTTTTTCAAGGAAATTTCCGGCCGACCTTGGACAGAAAAATCAGCGGGATTTCCCGTTTTTTTTTTTTTAACTTTGGACGCGGCATGAGAATTAGTGTGTTTTTATGTCGAACATGCATTTTTCATCGCCGTTGACCACAAAAATCAGAGAAAACTTGCTCAATTCATGGAAACGCCATTCGACCGAGGCCACCACGCCCATATTGTCAGCTCTGGAGACCGTGACACGCGCGTAAGAATGATGATTACGCTTTTAAGAGGATGATAACAGAACAGGAGAACAAGTAATCACTATAGTGACTCTGTCTTAAATTCCAGTTTTACAAGAAACTTATCAATAAACAAAACTAGAAGAAGACAATCTAGAAAATACGTGGAAGGAAACTAGAGCAGGAGCATTGAAAAGGTGTAGCGTGAACTCAAAAGAGAGATAAAGATCTCGGTGGCGCCTATAAAAGGGGCAAAACTCGTCGAGAACGTCAGTATTGTCGAATCCGACACTATCATCACATCGCCGACACAAACGACGACTCTTCGCCGATCAACAATGAAGATGCTTCTTGGCATCTTAGTCTTTCTTCTCTTCGCCGACGGCGTCACTGGCTTCAAACTCGCCTTGGACGATCAGAAATATCTCGTCACAACTGTGAACAAGATGCGAAAAGATGCTGCGGAGAAGTGGCGAATCGGGAACATGCACGAGCTGGTCAGTTGATCTCCACCCTAAAATATGTCCAACGAACGCACACGATTTCAGACGTGGGACGAGGAAATTGTCACGAAGATCAAAGGTCTGCCCAACCAATGTGATAAGATCACAGTTGGACCCAACTATCGTTTCGTCCTTGTGAATCCCGACGAGAGCGTGATGACTGCGATGAATGCTAGATTTGAAAAATCGTTAAACGATTCTCCTGCAGAAGAGAAGAGAAGGATAAAAATGTTGTGGGACACAGTAAAAGCGAACAATATCGACGAGCTATTCACCAATTTACCTCTTGCTTTTGAAGTTTTGAAAATGACGGCTGAAGTACAATCGCGCGCAACGTTTTTTCTCTATGAACTGATCAACCCGACTCAAACAAAGATCGCATGTGTATCGCAGAGTTGTTCGAAATATGGAGGAAAATTTGAGGGAATTTGCCTTCTGGGACTTGTGTAAGTAAATCAAAAGGAAGGCATTCAGTGCTTATTTTTTTATATTTTTTTTTCAGCAACAGTTGGCAAGAGTCGAATTTTGTGCTCGACAAAGCTGCCGGATCCGCTTGCCCGACCGGAACGACGGCTGTCGACGAACTTTGCAGAACGTCCTCCTCGTCTCAGCAGTTCACCGTCCTTTTCCTCGTCATCTCTCTTTTCATCTCCTCTTTCTAGTGAATGTGACCAATAAATTATTATTGAACCCATTGCACTTTTTGCTGTTTCTGCACTGTTTCTGCGGTCGGTGACTTCTGAAATCCTGTCTAGAACACAATCTTTTCGTTCCATTTTAATGTTCACTTGTCTTTTTTGGTGACTGTCTTGAAAAATGCATCAGAACGTCTCTGCTCAAGACGTTTATTAGTAATACACAATCTCCAGAGCTTACAATGGACGCAAGTGCGCCCCGCCCAATAGAGCGATGCATTGGCGCGAAATTCAAATTTTAACAGCAAAATTTCTGTTTTTTTGCCAGATTAGCCACGAAAAACCGATAATTTCGGATTTGTCTCTCGATAGACCGATTGTATAGGCTATTACGAATTTTTTAAGCGAAAGAGCGTCAAATTTGGTCAAGTCGCAAATCACATTCATCCGTTTGAAGGTTTTTGGCTAAAACTGCGTGAATTTCAGTTGTTTTTCGGTAGTTTTCGCGGTTCGAGCGCTCAAAATGATTGTATTTACGTGATTTATCATTCTCAAAACCAATTCTGTCTGAAAACGGTCAAGAAAGCGCAAAATGAGAAGTGCTGTTTTTAGTGAAAAAAATTGTTTCGAAAAAGCGAAAAAATGCGCCAAAACGTCTATAATTCTGTTGCCGCGTCCAAAGTTTAAAAAAAACTGGCTAGCCAAAGTCGGCCAAAATTTTCTTGGAAAACGAGGTGCGCCCAAGAACATTCGAATATTTTCAAATATTCTCAAGAAGTTTAAAAATTTTCAAAAAATTCATATTCGTTCAGCTGTGAGCATCCCGTTTTTCAAGGAAATTTCCGGCCGATCTTGGACAGAAAAATCAGCGGGATTTACCGTTTTTTTTTTAAACTTTGGACGCGGCATGAGAATTAGTGTGTTTTTATGTCGAACATGCATTTTTCATCGCCGTTGACCACAAAAATCAGAGAAAACCTGCTCAATTCATGACAACGCCATTTTGCCGGGGCCACCACGCCCATATTGTCAGCTCTGGAGACCGTGACACTCGCGTAAGAATGATGATTACGCTTTTAAGAGGATGATAACAGAACAGGAGAACAAGTAATCACTATAGTGACTCTGTCTTAAATTCCAGTTTTACAAGAAACTTATCAATAAACAAAACTAGCAGAAGACAATCTAGAAAATACGTGGAAGGAAACTAGAGCAGGAGCATTGAAAAAGGGTAGCGTGAACTCGAAAGAGAGATAAAGATCTCGGTGGCGCCTATAAAAGGGGCAAAACTCGTCGCGAATGTCAGTATTGTCGAATCCGACACTATCACATCGCCGACAGAAACGACGACTCTTCGCCGATCAACAATGAAGATGCTTCTTGGCATCTTAGTCTTTCTTCTCTTCGCCGACGGCGTCACTGGCTTCAAAATTGCTTTGGACGATCAGAAATATCTCGTCACAACTGTGAACAAGATGCGAAAAAGCATGGCAGAGAAGTGGCGAGTCGGGAACATGCACGAGCTGGTGAATCTGAATCTGCTCACGAAGTATTCAACGAGCTTATTCGATTTCAGACTTGGGACGAGGCACTTGTCACCAAGATCAAAGGTTTGTCCATTGATTGCGGAAAAACGAAGCCCGGACCCGACTATCGCTTTTTATTTGTCAATCCCGACAGCAATATGATGCAATGGGTGGAGAATGAACTTCCCCCACACACGATGCAGTTATTGAAAGATATGGAAGCAAAAGAATACGATAAGGTTTCCAATGTGTTTATTGATAACACGCTGAAACTATCGGATTCGCTCGGTATTTTTGAGTTGACTAACCCGACTCAAACAAAGATTGGGTGTGCCTCGCAGAGTTGTTCGATGGCTAATGCAAAATATGAGGGAGTTTGTCTGCTGGGACCTGTGTAAGTGAAGCAAAAATCGGTCAAAAAGGTCTTCTTCGTTTTTTTAGCAACAGCTTGAATGATAAGAATTTCGTGCTCGACAAAGCTGCCGGATCCGCTTGCCCGACCGGAACGAAGGCTGTCGACGGACTTTGCAGATCATCCTCCTCGTCTCAGCAGTTCACCGTCCTTTCCCTCGTCATCTCTCTTTTCATCTCCTTCTTCTAGTGAATGTGACCAATAAATGAGCTGTTTCTGCACTGTTGGCTGATTCGGGACCGGTCAACAATGAAAATCCTTTTTTGCATCGGAACTCTGCTGCTCTTTGGCGCCTTTTTTGTTGATTAAACGTTTGTGAATGAGTTGCCTTCCGCTATTATTGTCGGGTGCAAACACCCGTGGTGCCATTTCAGCCACGCATCACATCTCTTTTCGCAACTCAAGTCGCAAGACACGCCATTATAATGCCCTAATGTTCGTATCGTCAAGTGCGCCAACGGCGGCTGCTGACGCGCGGAGAAGCGTGAAACGCGCCAGGAAATTCCCCTCTCTAGTTTTGGCCTAAAATTGATCAGTCTTTGTGTTTTGCCGGAGATCCGGTGTGTTTTTCCCTTAATTGTGTTCTTTGATTGTAAAAATTGATTGTTAAGCCACTTGGCGCAAAATAAAGCAGGTGTGTCAGTGGATTGTGAGCAGAGAGGAGAGGCTCTTCTGAAGACGAGGGTCTTTGGAAAGCTCCAGACACGTGGAAAGACCGCGACTTGGGGGCCGAACAACCGAATTCGTGGAGAGATCGCGCCGAACGACGAAGAAGTCCTCGGAAGAGAAGTCCGCGAAAAGAAGAAAAGAAAAAAGAAGATCTGAAGAAAAGAAGATTTTTTTTTGTGAAAGCGCTAGAGTCTGCGACAGTATAAACGGCAGGTCTCGAACGCAATAACAAATTCGGGTCTCGTGACAGGAATCACGGCGAGAACTGAAATTGTATTGGTGTGAATTGTGATCGTTAGTGACAGAAGGTTGTCATTATCGATTTTTCCGAGAGAGAGAGAAGTTGGGTGCGCGGCAAACCAATTGATCTTGCAAGAAAGACGAGTCACCGGAGGAGAGAGAACAATTCTCAACTCCCAGTGAATACTTTTCCGTCGGAAATATTGATAGTGCCGGAAGAGAGAAAAAGGCGAAAATTACGAAAATCGATGAGAAAGTCAAAAAGTCGGGCATTTGAAGGAGAAAAGAAGAAATACGCCGAAGAAATTCAGGAAATTTTGGAGAAGTCTATCAGTTCGCATCCGATTCTATCGAGTTGAGTCGATCTGAAACAGAGTTTTGAAAGAAAGAGAAGGATCATCCGAGGTTTCACTTGTGTTTCGCATTTCTCGCGTCGTGTTTTTGTCGTCACCGCAAAAGTCGGTACGAGAAAAAGAGCAATTTTGCAGACAAGCTACCACAAACTGGAGAGAGAAGGAAATGGAGATGGTGGGGAAACGAGTGAAGCGAGAGCCAAGGCCAGCAGCTCAAATGGATCCGGAAGCGACGCGTCGAGCCGCAACAAGGAGTACGAAGAAGAACTCTTGAGGGATTCGATGGGCGAAGAAGAAGAGACCACGATGGAATGGGTACGATTAAAAAGCATTAGAGAAAAAAAAATAATGAGATGACGAGGAGAGAGTTAGCCCAGCATCTCAGAATCTTTGCAAAGCTCAACGAGTCTGAATCGAAGAAAGTAATTAATAAGGTCATGGAAATAGTGGAGGAAAGAGAGAAGGTGATTGCAAATAGAGAAGAGCACATAAGTACACTCAGAGAGGAAAAAAAAGTGCTGGAGTATTACTATTCCCAATTGCAGAATGGAGAGCCCGTCGGAGCTGAGAAGAGTGGAGCGCAAGGAGTCAAGCCGCCGCAACACGAGCAAGAGCCAGAGCAATGGAAGGCCACAATCGAAGAACGTGGAAAGAGGGAGAATCGGAGAATGTGAGGTCAACTTGATCATTGACAGCGGATCGAGCATTTCCGTAATTGCAAAGAATACGTGGGAAAGAATAATTCGGGAAAACGGACAAGAATGGAAAGAAGGAATTGTGCTAGAAAAGCCAGAGTTGCAGACAGTGTTCACGGTGAGCAATCAGCCAATGGAGCTGATGCATCGGGTAACGGTACAAACAGATTTGCAAACCAGAACTCGAGATGTAACTTTTTACATTGCCAATGTTGAAAGAGATTCCCGTTATTCTTGGCACCAACGCTTTCGAGGCTATGGGAATTAAGATGGAGATGGAAACGATGGAAGAAAATGTCTGCCAGGTGCAAATGGATCAGAAATTGCTCGAGGAGAGGGTGGAAAAACTCTGGAAACAGCTGGAAAGAGAAGAAACAGTGTCAAGGGTCGAAATGAGAAAGTTAATTGAGGAATTCATGGATATTTTTGCGCTGGATGACGATGAATTGGGTCGGACGAATGTCAGTACGTGCAAAATAGAACTGGCCAAGGGAACAGTGCCAATTCGGCAAAAACCGAGACCTATTCCGCTGGCGGTACGTCCAGAAATCAGGAAAATGTTGAGAAAGATGCAGGCGCAGAAGTCACCGCGTTCGCAGTCGGGAGTGAGCTTTTTGAGTGGAATGTCTTGCCGTTCGTTCGTTTCAGGCAGCAATGGAGTCAATAGTGGTTTGATCTGCTCGGAAAATGTGCACAAGTCTACGTGGATGATCTGCTGATTTGCAGTGAAACCATGCAAGAACACGTGCGGGATGTGAGAATGATTCTCGAGAGAATCCGAGGGAGTGGAATGAAGCTCAGAGCAGCAAAATGTCATATTGCACAGACAGAAGTCCATGGTGTCCACACGGAAGAAACAGAAGTTGAAAAGATGAAGAAATTCAGCAGGCCAACAAATGCAACATGATTTTTGGTTTGAGAAGATTCAAAACAATAATTTACGGTACTCCAGTCATCGTGTTCACAGATCACAAACCATTAGTCGCACTACTCCGAGGATCACCGTTGGCAGATAGATTGTTGAGATGGTCCATCGAGATTCTTGAGTTTAACGTCAAAATAGTCTATGTGGCCGGCAAAGCAAATGTAGTCGCTGACGCATTGAGTGTAGTTGAAAACTTCGAAGAAAGCGACGAAAGTACCACAGAATTGCTAAGAATTGTCAACAATATCGACACAGACGAAGAAAGGGAGAGCGTGATGAATCCGGAGAATTCGGTTGGGGTGGTTGAAAGAAGAAGAGGAAGGATGGAAGGAGGTGATCGAGAGATTAGAAAAAGGTGAAGAGAAATGAGCAGTAGAGATTCTGGGAGTGAAAGGCAAAGTTCGACTCGACCACTACATGATCGTTGGGAAATCGCTCAGAAATACAGAAATGCCAGGACACAACAGAAGCAAGAGATGCGATTCTCGAGGAGATTCATCAGGGCCATTTGGCAGGACATTTTGGCGTGGAAAAAATGATGAGACAAATCAATAATAAGTTTATGTGGCCAAGGATGACAGCTTCCGTGGAGAAAAGCGTGAGAAGCTGCACAAAGTGCATCTGCACGAATGATTTTCCGAAAATGATTGCTCCACTCACTCCTTATGTCACATCTGAGCCTTTGGAAATCGTCATTTTATTGATATTGGATTGTCGGTCAACGGGAATAGGTACATTCTGTCCATCATCGATTTGTTCACCAAATTCGGAAGTGCCGTGCCAATTCCAGATACGGAAAAATACGGAAAAAATTGCTCACAGATCAAGGGAAAGAGTTCAGTAATGATCACTTCAAAAAGTTCTGTAATTTGCTGAAAATTGAGCATATTACCACAAAAGGATACAATAGTCGAGCAAACGGGTGTGTCGAACGATTCAACAAAACGATTGTACACATAATGAAGAAAAAGGCAGCGGTTCCAATGGAGTGGGACGAACAGATACCCATACGCAGTATTCGCGTACAATTCTCTCTCCTTTCCGGGAAGTAGAGTGTTGGTGGAGATTCCGTCGGAAAAGATGGGAGCGAAATGTCCCAAGATGATCAACAAGTGGAAAGGGCCATATCGCGTGGTTGACTGTACGGATAATTCAGCGACGGTCACTCCGATACTCGGGAAAAAGTGTGAAAAATTGGTCATTCCATTCGAGAATTTGAGAGTCACAGAAATGAGAAATGTCAGTAATGAAACGAGGAAAGGGAGAGCCCCTGCCAGAGAGAAGAGAGAAAATACTGAAAATAGTAACGTCATTGATTGGAATAACGAAGATTGTTTCAGCGAGTTATACATCTGTCGATGCACTCGGCCGTGCAACTTCTTACTCCCCGGTACAAAAGCACGGACCACGTCTCCAACTCAATTCGTACGGATGTGGGCACTACAGAAGAAAGCAGCCGCGATGGGAACGCGTTTCAAGATGTCCGACGAGGAGCTGATGCTCACGGCCCAGAAGCCGCTGCCCTGGAAGACCGGACCGCCGGCAGAAGAAGCCCTTCTGGCCCTGGCCACGTGTCCTACGATGCAGCTGTGGTGTCATGATCTGAATTGGACTTTTCACTTCGATGCCGCGAGGTGTTCCCGGAAAGACTGGAGGAGAGAGCTATGACCGTCCTTGCTCCGCGTGTGGAGGAATGCGACATCCCACTGGTGGACCCGAAGCTCCTTGCATTGACGCACGATTCGGAGACCGAAGCCACGGAGAAGCTGCTGGAGAAGATTGTGGAAACCGGAGCCGCTGTGATCGTGCTCATTGTACCATTCACTCTCGATGAGAGCGTGGGGGAAGAGTGGGAACGGCTGATGGAGAGAATCCCGGAGGAGGTCCGAGTGCTGCTCGTGCCCGCACCAACCGACGTCGAAGACTTTGGAGTCTGCGACACGTTCATCCGAATTGTGCACCGCACTCGATGAGTCAAGGGCAAGTTGGATATCGTGCCTCCAGATGGCCGCGTCCGGCACATGGGCTGGAGGCTGTGCGAGCTCGGCAAGGCCAAAGGGACCGTGGAGTACTTTACGGAAGCCCATCGACTCGCCAAGGATCAGCAGTTCGAGTGGCCCAACTTCAAGGTGAGGCAGGCCGGGAAGAAGGACTCGGGGAGTCATGCGACGGCGAGAAGCGGCAAGACGACCCCGAATCCAGGACCACAGCGCGGAAATGCTCAGGAGGAGCACGAAGGAAGGCAGAGAGAAGGCCCGTCGCAGAGCCGGCGTGACCACGGACATCCGCAGATGCATCCCTACCGACGGAATCGAGGAGGTAGAGGAGGATTCGAGGCTGGACGTCACTGAGCTGCCCCAACGTCAGCATTCCAGAAATGGATCCTTTGTAAATATCGTTTATTATTATTTTCGTTCATTACTCATATGTTTTTGTTGTCTCACCATGATACAGGCCAGTAGAGCCGTTAGCCACCTCATTTGTAATTAGTCATGAGCATTTTCTTCAGCCACGCATCACATCTCTTTTCACAACTCAAGTCGCAAGACACGCCATTATGCCCTAATGTTCGTATCGTCAAGTGCGCCAACGGCGGCTGCTGACGCGCGGAGAAGCGTGAAACGCGCCAGGAAATTCCCCTCTCTAGTTTTGGCCTAAAATTGATCAGTCTTTGTGTTTTGCCGGAGATCCGGTGTGTTTCTCCCTTAATTGTGTTCTTTGATTGTAAAAATTGATTTTTAAGCCACTTGGCGCAAAATAAAGCAGGTGTGTCAGTGGATTGTGAGCAGAGAGGAGAGGCTCTTCTGAAGACGAGGGTCTTTGGAAAGCTCTCTTATCGGTCTCTCATTTTCATTTCTCACTTTTTATCATACAGAACACTCATTTTACCATCGATTTAATCAAATCGGATCAAGAGAGAAACAAGTTGAGGTGGGTCTCGCCACGAAAATTGTCGCCGCCTTTTAACTTGAACAAACGAGAACACTCCGAAATGGTTCCGGAAACAAATTTGGGTGTGGTGGCTTGACCCAAATCGCAAACGGACGCAAAAAAGGGTGAAGAGATATTATTATACAAATCTGCGATTTTTATCGCTTTTGCACTCACTTATTCTCGGCGTCTTTTATGCGTTTATGCCCAACCAAAGAATTGCCCCCAAAAAATGACATCAATTGCCCAGAAATGCATTTATTGTCTCTGCTTCCTCTACACTTTTCTACGCTTTTTCGACCAATTTATGATCGGAACCGAACGGACGATTGTGCAAAAAGAGGTACGGTTTCTCGATAAATGGATGTAGAAATGGACAGAAAAAGTGTAGATTGTTGACGTGAAAATGTCGGAAAATATGGATTGTCTCCGCCGGAATATTGAACAACTCGACGATTTTCAGGTAAAATGTATTCTTAGTGGCCCGCACTTACCTTCGGGGCTTTTGGAATGGAGAATTTCACGGAGAATCCGAATCTGCTCTCCACTTTTTTGCTAAAGAGCACTGGCTGGCAAGAAAATCTGCCTGTTTCTGCCACATTTTCTAGCAAGCTCATCTTCGGCGACCTGTATCTCAAGAACCACGCGTCCGTTTCAAAAGTGGTCAACTAGTAAGTTAACGCAAATTATCTCGTAAATAACTTTGTAGTTGATTGTCTATTTAAAAAAAAATTAGTTTTCGAGTTATGAACTGTTTTCCTAGAGCGACAAGAAAAAAGTTAGCGCTGGGGTCAGAGCGACGATAACTCGAAAACTAATTTTTTTAAAAATAGACGATCAACTACAAAATTATTCACGAGATAATGTGCGTTAACTTACTAGTTGACCACTTTTGAAACGGACGCGTCGTTCTTGAGATACAGGTCGCCGAAGATGAACTTGCTAGAAAATGTGGCCTCGCCAGCCAGTGCTCTTTAGCAAAAAAGTGGAGAGCAGATTCGGATTCTCTTTCAAATCATATATAGGTCCCATTGCAAAGGCCCAAAGAAGTCTGAAATTTTGTTGCAGATTTGGAATCAAATTGTGCCGATTGTGAACAAGTGCACTCCACGAAAATATCTATCAATCAATCGATATCCGAATGAGGACGAGGCGAAATATTTCAGATCGCCGGTACACAAAACTGGCCTGAACACTCTTTAAAACGTGTTGCAGCGCAAAAACCTCGACTGTACAATAGTCACACTGGGAATCGGACGCGACACTCGGGCGGAGCGGAAAATGAAAAAATTGCACCCGAAATGCGCATTTATCGGCGCGGATCCCGTGCAAAACGTGAACAGACTACTGTGGCGAGAGGTACAGTAATTTAAATGCAAAAAAAATATAATTTAACTCAATTCCTTATCAGTTGGGCGGACAATATCACAAAATCGCGGTGGGAACTCGGAACGGAACGAATTTATTCGAAATTTTGCGCGGTGATATTTACGAAAAGGAAGCGGTGCCTTCGGTCGATTTGCCGTCTTTTCTGAAGAGTACGGTCAAGAGTACGGTAGGCTACCGTACCCGTTCCCAACTACAGTAATCCGCAGACGATCGACTTGCTTCTGATTGACGTGGAATTCGAAGAATACGACATGTTCCCCTACTTTTATCGCGATTCGCAAGTGGAAAACGAGGGAATCACAGTGTGCCAGGTCAGAATTCCCCCTCGAGCGATTCTGCACCGTTTCCAAATTCAGGTGAACATGGAGGTACATCCACCGAAGGAGAAGCATCACAAACCAAATTTCGCAAAGTTCATCAGAAGACTGCTCGCCGACGGACAATTTCATTTAATGGAGGCCGACGACTTTCGAAACAACAAGAGATTGTATTTTGCGAGAACGGATCGTTGGGATTGTTCATAGAGAGCATTTCTATAGAAAAAAAACTATAATAAATATAATAAAACACGTCTTTAATTATTAGAGTTTGCTTGGCACTGTTCTAGAATCGTGGTGGACCCAAAAGAAAAATCGTGGACCCGAAAACATGTCTTTTTGTTTCCAAAACGAAGACAAGTCAATTTGCTATAAAAATTGTTGACGATCCCCTGCTTTTAACATCGCGGATGACTCAATCAAGCGGAAAAAAGCAAAAAATCGCTGGAAAATCAGCAAGGGAATTCATAACGCAAAAAAGCGGGATGGGAAAGCAGCCGAAGAATGTGGATGACAATAATGACAAATTTGTGATGAGTAATCGAGCTTTTCAGCGTATTCTCGACATTTGAAAGGCGTTCTTTGACGTGCGGTTGGGAGCTAATTTAGCAGAGAGTCATTGGAAATGCGCAAAGACACTGAAAATACGCCAAGTCACTGAAATTGCGCCAAGACACATAAATTGCGTTAAGACGCTGAAATTGCGCCAAGTCACTGAAATTGCGCAAAGACAGCGAAATTGCGCCAAGACACTGAAATTTCGCCATGAGACTGAAATTACGTCAAGACACTGAAATTACGTCAATGCACTGAAATTACGCCAAGACACTGGAATTACGCCAAGACACTGAAATTGCGTCAGCTTCAAGGTCCACACCGAAAGATGAGTCAGAGCTTAGAGGTAAGTTACAATTTTATGAGGATTTAAGGACAGAAGTTACCGAATTTGTACGTGATTGGAAAATACGTCTCATATCAAAGATCCGACCCGAAACTTTTGAAAGCTACAGTAGTGCAAGGAAGGATTTCAAATTGCGACAATATCCGAATCAAATAAACCTATATTGGGTTACTGTACGCGCAAAAGTTTGCAAATGTCTGTGAGATCACATGGTGCATCGATGAACCCCCAATACTTCCGGGTGCCCTTGATCAGACAAGTCCCACGAGACCAAAAAAAAATGGTGAAAGTGCACCAGCTCATTTCCCTTGTCAGTTTGTCATTGACACAAGTGTCTAACACGATTACCTCTTCTGACTTTTTCAATCGGATGAATATTGTAGTCTTCTCCGATCACGTACCACTAATCTCCTTCTACTAGTAAACAATCAAGACGAGGCGGAAGGTGTTGGCGGCTTCTGGAGCGCCAAAAGATAGAGAAAGAGAGAGAGAGAGGGAGAGCACGAGACTCCTTCAAATATTGTAGCGGATTCGAATCAAATTTCAGGTCTTGTGACTTGTTATAACATTCTCGAGGATCCCCGCCCGAGATTACTGTAGATGTCTGTGCTGAATGTCTCTAGTTTCATCTGGAGTCGAACGAAACCAATTGTTATTGGGGTTGACGTGTTTGCGGTGCCTTGGCGCATTTCTCGGAATTCAACCTAGAATGAAATGTGCCCCGGTGCATTTCCAGTGTCTTGACGCAAAAGAACTTGAGAATGGGAGAATTGTTGATGGAATTCAAGTGCGTGCGCCTATTTCTGTTTTCTCACTTTCTATTTGACTTGATAAAGTGCTCACGCAACTCTAGGATTAGTGCAATAGCACATTTTGCGCAGATTTTGTGCCTTGACGCATTCTAGGTGCATTCTGTCTTGGCGCACACTTCTAACAAAGTCGGGTTGGCGCGTTTCAAGTGTCTTGACGCCGTTTTCGTCATTGACACCTCAACGGTTCCACTCGTTGAGTGATCATAGAAAAAAAAAGAAGAAGTGAGAATGCTCAACAAGTTGGTCCAGTTCCACTCGCTTCTCGACTAATCCGATGATGCGTGTGTGTTCGAGCGATCACACACCTGTACATTATTGTTAAATGCACCTCAAAAAGAGGCTCAATGGGCTTCTAATCACCGCGTCGTCGCTACTTTTTCTCGAAAGTTCAAAATGCGTGACTTTACGCGCTTCTCCTTTTTTTGCTGGTGCTGCTCGGTGCAATGAGCCAAAAGACGTGTTCGTTTTCTTCGGCTCTTCTCTTCTCTTCATCATCCTCGTCCGATCAGAATAACTGCTCAGGCTCCGCCCACTTTTCGGGATCTCGACCACACCCCCCCAACGGGCTCATTCGGTCACACTTTCAATCAAAGTCATCGCTGTCTGAGCCCCCCGATATTATACATTCCTCTATTTTGTGCTCACTCATTACCCCTCTATTCTAGCCGCCCCGCCACGTCATCTTTTTTCGACTACTAATGAACGTATTTCAAGTAGGTCACCACATTCATTCGTATAAAAGAGTGGCGCCACGGCTGCTTTTTGCCCGCAAAAAAAAGAATGGGAATAATGTTTCAGATTATTTGCGCCATCGTTTCGATATGTCTCAACTTTGTGCTCACCTATTTGATTTTGTCGAAATCGCCGAAAAAGTTGGGCGTTTACAAGTATTTGATGTGCTACATTTCGCTGTTCGAGGCGTTCTACTCGGTTTGGGATATGATGACGGAGCCGGTGAGTTTGGAATTCTTCTTAAACGACATGACACTTTGTACTAGTAATGTGATCTTTATCTCACTTTCTCTTTGCAGATAGTCCACTCGTACAAAGCGGCGTTCGTGGTGCTCCGCGACTTTAACGGCTCCATCTTCGATCGTGAAGTCAGTTTCGTGATGGTTTGCCTCTATTGCGGACTGTTTGGCTTCTCGATGGCCGTCTTCGGTGTGCACTTCATCTATCGTTACGGAGCAGTCAATAAGTGAGCGTAGAAACCAGAGTTGAGCGGAAGAACTCAACAGAAGAACTCACGGAAGAATTTTTATCTTTTTTAGAAAATTTTTTCATGGAATGTGATCAAGTGACGAAATGTAGAGCAAAGTGAATTCTGTTCATAGAAAAATAATTGTAAATTTAGCTTTTCATACAAAATAGTTATTCGAGTTGTTCCGTGAAAAAAGGGCAAACGGAAGACGGAAGGACAACAACTCGAATAACTTTTTTGTATGAAAAGCTAAATTTATAATTATTTTTTTATGAGCAGAGTTCACTTTTCTATACATTTCGTCAGTTGATCACATTCCATGAAAAAATTTTCTAAAAAAGATAAAAATTCTTCCGTGTTCTTCCGTTGAGTTCTTCCGCTCAACTCTGGTAGAAACATCACAGCCCCTCCCCAAAAAAACCGAATAATTATTCAGAAACTTCCACGAGCGCTTCATGCCGGGCAACGCCGTCTACTTCCTGTTCGCAATTCCGATGATCTACTGCTTCTGGTGGGCCATCCTCTGCTTCATTTATTTTCATTTCAACGACACGACGGATGAGTACATGAAGTGAGGAGCAATGTTCATTGTGCAGTCATAATCAAAGTCTTTTTTGATTATAGTCGACTAGACAGACGTTCTGAAACATTTGCATTTGTGATTGGCCCCTTAGGGGTGTCATAGAACATTGAGAAAAGGTTGAAAAGTTGATTTGAACGATGATATTCAACGGGTTGTAGCTGTGACGGACACTGTTTAGAAATTGTACCATAACTCAAGATTAACGGGTTTTTGGATAAAATGATAAACTGAAAAGTTGTAGAGCTTGAAATTTGCAACAACTTTTCAGTTGACCACTTTTTGATACATGGTCAAACGTTTTGCAGAGAAACAATAGAAGAGCACTACGGCATTCCGATCAAGGACTCCTCCTACATTTGCGTCTACTTCCAACCGACCGGCGCCGACGGACTTCCCCACCCGGACCCCCGAATCTTTTTCTCAATTGGATGCATGTGGTACATGATTGTAAGTGTCCGCACGGTATCAAAAAAGCAGTGTCAACTGACAATTTGTATATTGTAGATCTCCTCCATGTTCTCAGTCTTCTATTTTGGCACGCGTTGCTATTGGGAGATTCGAAAGACAATCTCACAATCGACGACCGTCTCGGTGACCACCAAGAACCTCCAGTCACAGTTGTTCCACGCGCTCGTCGTGCAGACGTTCATTCCGCTGGTGCTGATGTACATCCCGATCGGAATCCTCTTTTTCTTTCCCATGGTCATCTGGGAACTTCCGTTCACCACCGAGTTCGTCGGCTACACAATCGCACTTTATCCGGCCATCGATCCGCTTCCAAATATGATTATTATCAAGTGCTATCGTGAGGCGATCATCTGTAGGCTCTCAATTTTCCGTTCCCCAACACTTTTTTTTGTTTCCAGGCTTCTTTCTTCGTCTCGTCGGCGTCAAAAAGGCGGGAGAGCGTCAAACTTCAGTGAACACTGTCGATGCGGCGTCTGGAAGTCAAGGACACACCCGAATGGTCTAAATATTATAAGTCTATCGTTCTCATCATCATGTTCTCAACTGAAAAGTGCATCGAACTAGCCTATTGTAGGCCGGAAATAAATCGTGTGGTTTGGAAATTGACTATGAGTCGGTTAGAAGACGGAAAACAAGATTTATACACTCTCTCTCTCTGGACAATTCCGAGAATATCGAGTGCTTGAAAAGAGCGTTGACGAGATGCAGCAATATTTTGCACCATTGTATTCAGCAGCCTGTATCTCAAGAACGACGAGAGTTAGAAAGAAGTGTTCAACTAAAAGATTAGAGTAAATATTATGCTAATCAACTTTGTAGTTGATTCTTAGGCTCTACAAACGTTCTCCGTTTAGTTATGAGTCAAAGAATGCACTATTTACGACGTCGATACCAGAGTTGAGCGGAATTCCGTCTTCCGTCTTCCGTCTTCCGTCTTTCGTGGATTTTTTGTTCCGTCTTCCGTCTTCCGTGGATTTTTTTGTTCCGTCTTCCGTCTTCCGTGGATTTTTTTGTTCCGTCTTCCGTCTTCCGTCTTCCGTGGATTTTTTCTTCCGTGTTCCGTTTTCCGTGTTCCGTGAGAAAAATTTTCTTCCGTCTTCCGTTTTCCGGGGTCGATACCAGAGTTAAGCGGAATTCCGTCTTCCGTCTTCCGTCTTCCGTCTTTCGTGGATTTTTTTGTTCCGTCTTCCGTCTTCCGTGGATTTTTTTGTTCCGTCTTCCGTCTTCCGTCTTCCGTGGATTTTTTTGTTCCGTCTTCCGTCTTCCGTCTTCCGTGGATTTTTTTCTTCCGTGTTCCGTTTTCCGTGTTCCGTGAGAAAAATTTTTCTTCCGTCTTCCGTTTTCCGGGGTCGATACCAGAGTTAAGCGGAATTCCGTCTTCCGTCTTCCGTCTTCCGTCTTCCGTGGATTTTTTGTTCCGTCTTCCGTCTTCCGTGGATTTTTTTGTTCCGTCTTCCGTCTTCCGTCTTCCGTGGATTTTTTTGGTTCCGTCTTCCGTCTTCCGTGGATTTTTTTGTTCCGTCTTCCGTCTTCCGTCTTCCGTGGATTTTTTTTGTTCCGTCTTCCGTCTTCCGTGGATTTTTTTGTTCCGTCTTCCGTCTTCCGTCTTCCGTGGATTTTTGGTTCCGTCTTCCGTCTTCCGTCTTCCGTGGATTTTTTGTTCCGTCTTCCGGAATTTTTTCTTCTTACCGTAAAACAGTAATAGCTTTTCAGAAGCCATTTACTAGCGCCGAAGAACGCGAATTTCCACGCGCAGTGACCCAGATCCAACATTTTTGTTGCTTTAGTTATTTTTTTCAAAAAAACCGGAGAAAAAGGTTCTGTATTGACGATTTTTTCTTCCGTCTTCCGTCTTCCGTCTTCCGTCTTCCGCGGATTTCAAAATTCCATTTCCGCTCAACTCTGGTCGATACTTCCCGAATATCTTATGAATCATCCTGCTCCCAGTGCGTTTCACATAACTCTTATCAACCCTCTCCCCTCTCTTATCACCAACCATTTTTGATTTTCAGTCTCCCACTCATATTGTACCCAGTGCCTGTGCGTGTCACTTTTTCCTGTTGATAAGATTGGACGCACTCAGCCAACGACTATTATCGGCTTCTTCTAGACTTCTCCTTTTGCCTACATTCTGCTCGATTTTTACTTGACTAGGTAGGTAGACGGGTCGTCTAGTAGTCAAAATTACGATAATAGTTGTAGTCTGTCTTGTTTTTGTCTGGCTCAAAATTCTCATTTGTCGATCAACTTACTGCCCAACCACAAAAAGATTGATTGATGTTCGTTCAGATGTCTTCTGATTGCGACACAGAAAAGTCAGGGATCTCTTTGGACAGGTGAGTCGGGTTACTGTAGGATTACAGTATGTTTAAGCTTCCCCCAACCAGGGGTGTGCGGAAAAATTTTTTTCGGAAAAATTTCGGAAAATCGGTTTTTTTCCGAATTTTTTTCGGAAAATTTCGGAAAAATCGGAAAAATCGGAAAACTCACTTGTTCATTGGTTCAATAAAGTGTTTAAACAACGTTCTAATACAAAAAAATGCTTATTATGATTTGAAATCACTTGAGTGGGCGGAAGCCAAGCAATGGAATATTTTTTTGCAAAAAAATTCGCCGAGAGAAGCTCTCCGGGTCCAGTGTTTTCCGATTGTCAGTGAGAATCAGGGGTGTGCGGAAAATATTTCGATTTTCCGAAATTTTCCGATTTTCCGAGAAATTTTCGGAAAAAAGACGCTCGCTGCTAGACCCTTCCAAAAATTTTGTGATGCGCCTTTAAAAAGCATACGGTGGTTTCGGACAAATTGACCTTGCATCCACACTAATTTTCCGAAAATTTTGCCGAAAATTTTCGGAAAATCGGAAAATTTCGGAAAATCGAAATATTTTCCGCACACCCCTGCCCCCAACTCTTACACGAACTTTTACGTTAGCCTTCCATTTCACAGCATCCGTTCGCCGTTACACGAAAAAAGAACGGAATGGCGTGCCATGTGGATATCGATCGGAATGCAATTTGTGGTGGGCGTCCAGATTTCCGTCTACTACATGTCCATGTGGCCCTATCTTTCCGGACTCGACACAACCGCCGATATGGACTTTTTGGGATGGGTCGTCGCCGCGTGCAACATCGGGTGTACTATTGTGCGTTTGAATGTTGAGATATCGAAAAGTTGCCAATTGTTGAAATGCTCAAAAAGAGATTGTGCGCATTTTATCAGTTGACCACTTTTTGATATCTCTTCGCGCCGCCAAACTACACCACTTTCTTTCAGTCGAACCCCCTCTACGGCTTGTGGAACCAAAAGACGCTCTCTTGCAAACGGCCCACAATAACCGGATTCCTGATCGCCGCCGTCGGACAAGTGATGTACGGGGCGATAAGTGAAGTGAAGGAGCACGGGAAATGGTACATGCTCGTGGCTCGAGTCGTCACCGGGCTCGGAGTCGGCAATCTGGCGGCTCTGAGGGCCTACGGAGCCACTGCATCGACGCCCGGCGACCGGCTCAAGGCGATATCCTACGGGACCGCCGGATTCGTGTTCGGCATCTCGTTCGGACCCGCCATTTCGGTCAGCCATCATCAAACACTCATCAAGAACGCTCGTTTATTTGCAGGCCGTGTTCACTCCGCTCGGCGAAAGTGGCTTCACGATTTGGATTGTCACTTTGAATATGTACACCACCGCCGCCTACCTCATGGCCTTCATTTGTGTGCTTGCCTCCCTACTCATGGCCTTCTTCTTCACTGAACACTATGCTGGAATTATGGAAAAAGAGTCGAGTGATGAGAAGGGTGAGTTTAGCAGAGTTGAGCGGAAGAACTCAACGGAAGAACTCACGGAAGAATTTTTATCTTTTTTAGAAAATTTTTTCATGAAATGTGATCAACTGACGAAATGTATAGCAAAGTGAACTGTGCTCATAGAAAAATAATTGGAAATTTAGCTTTTCATACAAAAAAGTTATTCGAGTACGGAAGACGGAAGGACATTTTAACGGAACAACTCGAATAACTTTTTTGTATGAAAAGTTAAATTTACAATTATTTTTCTATGAGCAGAGTTCACTTTGCTATACATTTCGTCAGTTGATCACATTCCATGAAAAAATTTTCTAAAAAAGATAAAAATTCTTCCGTGTTTTTCTGCTCAACTCTGGTGAGTTCACGGCGCCAAACTTCACATCAAGACGATTTCAGGCAATTCGTACTTGGTGGTACCGAAATACGACCTGGTGCCGGCACTCATTTGCATCTATCTCTACATGATTGTCAGTATGATCGCCACCAACATCGAGGTGTACGTTTTCTTGACTTCCTTGACTTCTAGAAAACGTCGTTCAGATTGTCGACACCGCTGACGACAGTGCTGTACGATTGGAGGGATTCGCAGGCGATTCTCTACAACGGAATCATCGAGTCGATCACTTGCGTCGTCTCGGTGCTCATCAATTTCGGCATCGGCCGGACGAGGATCGGAAAAATGTATCCTGGGAAAAAAATTAGAGCATCTGGAAAACAAAGCGTTGAATTTAGTGACAAACGCCTTCAAATTCTGTTCGGACTGGCGGTTTTCGTGGCGTTTCATCTCGTCAACTATCCCTGGTGGTTCTACTCCGGACCTCTACACTTTCTGCCGCCAGGTCAGCGTTTTTAAATGTTTGGAATGTGTTACGAAACTCGTATAGTATCTCTGTACAAAATTTCAGATCATTTAGACACCTATAAGCTACTTTTTAACTTTGTCAAACCAAGCGTGTTCGCTCGAAAAATCAGTTTTTTCGGGTTTTCGGGTTGACACTGGTCCGGCACCGGGATTTTGACGGCTGAATCGGATTCAGCACAAAAAACTACACAAGATCTCTTCTAGGGAACATCCGTTTTACTTGGCAAAATGTCACAAATTACAGTTTCCTGCTCATTTTCAGTAACTTTTTCATGCTAGAAAGTGACTGCGAACACCGCGCACATCAACTGAACGGAGCGGCGGCCGCGCTCTGCGCCCGGGTGGTAAAGTGGCAAGTGCTGAAGCCACTAATCGAGAGGTCGCGGGTTCGAACCCACTTCCAAAATTTTTCGTTGTCTACTTTTGGATTGGATAAAGAAAACATTTTTGTCCGCCCCTTTCGCTGCTGAATTTTCAGTGAAAACCGCGCAAACGAAAAACATTCATAACTCGAGAAGTACCAAACATTTAAAAAAAAAAAAATTTGGGAATGTACTATTTCTAAGCACTAAATTCACAAGTTTGTTAATCACTTTGTGGCCCCTACTCGGTAAAAGCCCGCAACTTTCACGCAAAAGTAAGGGCTCACGCAACTTTTACGCAAAAGTAGGCAGCCTCGCAAAGTTTGCACAAACTTTAAAAACTCCGCAAAGTTTGCGCAAAAGAAGGGAATCGTTCGAAATTTTTTGCGTCATGCAGCATACCTGCAGTAATTTTTCATGTTTTTCTCACGTTATACGCGCTAACCTCACGCAACTTCAGCGCTAACTTCACGCAAAGTTTGCGCACTTTAAGAATAGACTTTTCGTGAAGTTAGCGCTAAAGTTGCGTAAGGTTAGCGTAAAAGTTGCGGGCTTCTACCGAGTACATACATATGTACAATAATTCCAGGTTCGAATACGACTCAAGTGGGCGGTTGTCTCGATTCGTACTCGTGGTGCAGTTCCACGACACGAGTGCCGATGCCCGTTTACATGTTCGCGTTCATCGTCTTCTTCGGCGTCGCGTTTCCGTTCGTCGAGTCTCCGGCCGCCGCACTTTATTCCGAGATTCTCGGGCCGAGAAAACAGGGAACTATGCAGGGATTGTTCTCGTTTGGAGGCAGTATCACTCCTTTCGTCGCGTCTATCATCATCACGTAAGACTTTTTCTCTCTCTCTCTCTCTCTCTCTCTCTCTCTCTCTCTCTTTCTTTCTTTCTCTCTCTCTCTTTTTCTCTCTCTCTCTCTCTCTCTCTCTCTCTATCTCTCTCTCTCTCTCTCTATCTTTCTCTCTTTCTTTCTTTCTCTCTCTCTCTCTCGCTTCCTGACCGTTTTTATTGCAGATTTCTATTTCAACACACGGGCTACAAGTACGTCATCGTTCTTCAATCCGTCACCATTCTCATCGCTTTTCTGCTCATGCTCGTCTTCTACAATCGGCTGGTCCCGCTGAGATTGAAGCCGAAGCCAGGAAAGGCGGCCGAGTACAAAAATGGAGTGTTTTATTCGATGTGAAGACGAGAGCCACTTGACGGAAGGACATAATATCTCGTTGAAATGCATAACTATTGTTGATCTCTTTTGTTCGAAATGAGAAACGCTGTTAAAGTACTGTAATACTCTGAAAAAGTATACTGTTCATTCAAAACGAGTGATCTCAGTTGCGAGTGGAGATATCAAAAAATTGTCAACTGGCAAATTGTTTATTATGGCATTCTGTACATTTTATCAGTTGATAAGTTTTTGATACCTCTACAGACAGCTGAGATATATCGTTATAAGCTTTTGGCCGATGCACCATAGTGACTAACTATTATCCAAATAGATCTTAACTGCCGGTAAAGCTATCAAAAAGTTGTCAACTGATAAAATGCGCAAAATTTGCTAATAAACATTTTATTAATTGACACCTTTTTGATAACTCTACAAGCAGCTGAGATAAATGGTTTCGAATTTAAAACTCTAGTGGAACAGAAATTTTACACGATTTGAACAAAGAAGAGGAAGAGGAAGGGGGGAAAAAAATGGAATACGACCAGGTTTTTGTAATATCTGAATTCCATTTGACATTCCCGTCAACAAAAATATATTTGGCCCATTTTTCAATTAGGATTGAAGCGATTTCTCAAAACCGTGGCCTAACTTTTTCGTATCATGTGCGCCTCGGCTCTATTCCTCTTTTCTTGCGAAGAGAAAACGAGTAACTCAATCAGAATCATGATGTGGGGAAAGGGGGGAAAAATAAGAAGGATGTCACAATTCGATTTGAGCCTTTCTCCTCGAGGCGGGGGGTGTCTAGGAGGTCCCGCCGCTTCCAGATTCTCCAGAATCTCCAGAATCTTCGACGTCATCCTCTTCGTGTTCGCCGCTTGTTTTGAGCTCAAAAGAGCTTCGAGCAAAGAAGGAGGAGGAGACAGAGCAAATTTCAATTTCGTTCCGTCCTTTTTTCGCCGAGCTCTTTGCTTCTGGAGCGCCCTCGAGCAAAAATGCTCAATTTTCATTTTAATTTAAAGCTTCCAACAGAGATTCTCGCTGCTCCCCTTTTTTGGACAAATGTTTGCTCATGGTCAAAGATTCAAGATTCGTTGGGAATATTTTCTCCTTTTCACTTCGTTTTCATGGCCTAACTTTCACACTTTTGCATTCCTAGGCTATGACAACTGACCAAAATGTTCTCCATGTCTTGTAGTACCATCCTGATTTTTTTCAGAATTTTCTAAAATGGTAAAAAAAGGAATTTCCTAGTTAGACTGGCTGCTATTCAGAGTTGAGCGGAAGAACTCACGGAAGAATTTTTATCTTTTTTAGAAAATTTTTTCATAAAATGTAATCAACTGACGAAATGTATAGCAAAATGAACTGTGCTCATAGAAAAATAATTGTAAATTTAGCTTTTCATACAAAAAAGTTATTCGAGTTCCGTCTTCCGTTCGCCCCCTTTTTCACGGAACAACTCGAATACCTTTTTAGTATGAAAAGCTAAATTTACAATTATTTTTCTATGAGCACAGTTCACTTTGCTATACATTTCGTCAGTTGATCACATTCCATGAAAAAATTTTCTAAAAAAGATAAAATATCTTCCGTGAGTTCTTTCGTTGAGTTCTTCCGCTCAACTCTCCTAGAAACCCGACTTTCACGTCTAATGGGGCTATTCAGCGTATGTTTGTTTTTCGTTTTTTTCGTTTTTTTACACCGCTGAATTGGGTTTTTTGACGTAAAAAAACGAAAAAAAACGGAAAAAAAAGCATAAAAGCACCAGAACGGTTCTAGCTTTGTAAAATCTTCATTTTCTCGCCCGAATTTCTTGATCGACCACTTCTAGGCCACATCTAGATGGTTTCACTTGTTTCTAGGCTTCGCATCGCGTTGGCGGCCTCCTGAAATCTAGATTCTGACGTCGTCGCGTCTATTTTCGGTCACACGTGAGCCCCCAGGGCGGCGAGTTTTTCGTCGAAGAAGAAGTCAACTTTGAAACATCAACTCAATTTGGGGGGTGTCTTTCACATTCTTCTCGATTCTAAAGAGCCCTTTTCACCTTTTTGTGCATCGAAAAAGGCGCCGCCGCCGCCGCCGTCAAAAGCGTCAAAACGGACAGAAAGAGAGAGAGAGAGAGGGGAGGATTTCTTCGAATTTTAATTGCCTTTTTCCTCTTTTCCCGCGCTGCGATCCAATTGGATTTCCGAGGTTATGCGGTCTCCGTGCATCTGTGTGAACTCACAATACTTTTCTCTCGAAGAATCTTAGTCCCCTTGCCCTTGGCCTAGAAAACTCTAGTTTCACGAAAGTTCTTCCACCACCGCCTCCACACAATCATTATAATTGTGCGGGTAACCCTATCGCTGCGACTACTCAAACTCCATCTGAATAATTCCTGCTTATGCTGCTCCCAAAATAATAATAATAAAAAAACCTCCAAGCTCCGCCCCCTCCCCCCGCTTTGCTCTTTCTCTCTTTTTTTGTTCTCCAGTTGGCGCGAACGGATTAGTGTTTTATGTAGAAGTGTACATATAATAGTAATAAGATTAGTTTTTTCTTCCCTACAGTAATCCTCAACGCACGCACTTTTTTTGATGGCCTAGAAACCCAAAACTCGTTCAAAAAAATCTCCAAAAAAACGAAATGAGGGGGAGAATCGAATTTTTCACGCACAAATGCTCATAATTCTTCGCCTTCTCCATGACACAAAATTTTTCCAAAAGTTTTTCGGGTCTCGGGTCAAAGTGACGACATCTTCTCTACTCCCCCATTCCAAAAACGGATGTTTCATTCGAAATTTTCCAATTTCCGACCCGTCGGGCCCGCTGAATTATTGAGCGTGCTACTTTCGAGTTTTGCCACAAAGGTTTTGGGTTTTCTAGAGTGTTTAAAGTTCTAGGCCCATTTTTAGACCCGTCTTGAAAGTTCTTTGGGTTCCTAGGCCGTCTAGGAAGTTGTCCCTGGCCTCCTTTCTCTTTATTTTCGTTCCCAACCGATCGTGTGATGTACCTTAGAGCGTGCATACTTTGTCATGTCTACTTTATGCATTACATCCATATTCATCCGCTTTTTCTTCTCTTCACTGGAACGGAGGCGAAACGGACCAAAGTTCGGGTGAGTTTTTTTTTCAAGACGATGTATCTCAGCGGCGCGAAAAGATATCGAAAAGTGGTCAATTGATAAAATGTGCATAATATTCTGAAAAAGATTTTATTAATTGACAACTTTTTGATATCTCCACAACCAGCCGAGATATAACGTCGTTGAACGTGACCTAGGAAAAGTTAGGCCACCATCTTCGTGCTAACCAGATGAGATGAGTGAATCAGAAGCGCGGCGAGGCACCGAAAAAAATCGAGTTAACTCGCTCCTCCGTCTCCAATTTTCCGTAAAGTATCCATTTCTTTTTGGTCAACTCTTGAAGCCTTATATGCGCACATAAATGCACGAGGAGGACGTGCCGATTCGCAACACTTTTCAAGGTTTCTGGTCTCTTTTACTGAACACATCATGGTGGCCTAACTTTTTCCTTTCAAACTCTTTCATATTGGCGGTCCGGTTTTAATGAACTTTTTCTAATTATTGTTTCGAAAAATATATATTAGTTTATGATGTTTGAGCTGCCCGACTTTCTTTCTATCACCCCCTCCCTTCTCATCGCGTTTTTCTCGGAAAAGGGAAGGGACGAGCTCTTGAACTTTTACGGCAAAACCTCATTTTTCTTGTCTTCTCCTCTCCAAAGTTCGTTCCATTCAAGAAGAAAAATGGAGAAGAATCGGATAGCAGTTGGACTGGCTGTTTTTCAGAAAACACGAGACGTCTCGAGATGCGAAGCAGAGTGCCTTTAAACGAGAAAATATCAAAGAGCTGTGGCGGCCTAACTTTTCCACTTGATGGCCTAACTTTTCCACTTGATGGCCTAACTTTTCCACTTGATGGCCTAACTTTTCCACTTGATGGCCTAACTTTCCCACTTGATGGCCTAACTTTTCCACTTGATGGCCTAACTTTTCCACTTGATGGCCTAACTTTTTCCATCTTGATGGCCTAACTTTTCCACTTGATGGCCTAACTTTTCCACTTGATGGCCTAACTTTTCCACTTGATGGCCTAACTTTTCCACTTGATGGCCTAACTTTTCCACTTGATGGCCTAACTTTTCCACTTGATGGCCTAACTTTTCTTCCTCCTCCCTTCCCGCTCCCCTTCAAACCTGTCACTTGCAATTTTTTGTTTTCGCCTAAATTTTCGCCTCTCAAAAATGATACGTCACAAAAATGCGTTTCGAAATTCGTTATTGAGCGCCTCTTTTGTGATGTGATGTAACTTACAATACTCCGAAAACTATTTTCAGCACAAAACTAAATTTTTGATGAATAATTTGACGACGCCTACTTCCGCACAGAGTGACGATGATTCGTCGAGGACCACTCTCAAATTGGTCCTCGCCATCTCGTATCTCGTTCTGTTCATCATTGGAACCGTCGGAAATGGGTGAGCCGAGTGTCTGGTGGCGGCTGAACTTTCTTAAAAAAACGTTCTTAAAAAAACGTAACATACAACATATTTTTTTAAAAATAAACTTTCAAAGTGGGGACATTCACTTTCCCAAAGTCCCGAATTACCAAAAATTCCCCGATTTTTTTAAGATTTTTTTCAAAAAAAGTTAATGAAACCGAGAGAGAAGTACACGGCGAAATGGAAGAGCTGGCCTAGATTTTTTTCTAGTCCCCGAATGGAATTCCCCTTTCTTCCGATTTTTCCGTTTTCGTGCAATTTTTCGTGCAATTTTTCAATCGTTTTTTTCACTGAACACACTTATTTGCAATATTTTTAAAAAAATTTATAATTTTTTTCTGTGCCGTGACACCAAAAAAATCGATAATCTGAAAATTTCAAAATTCAGCAAAATTCAGAAATTCGGCTTTTTAAATATTGTAAATAAGTGTGTTCAGTGAGGAAAAAACGATTGAAAATTGCACGAAAATTGCACGAAAATTGCACGAAAATTGAAAAAAATCGGAAAAAAAGGGGAATTCCATCCGGGGACTAGAAAAATCTAGGCCAGCTCTTCCGTTTCGCCGTGTACTTCTCTCGGTACCATTAACTTTTTTTGAAAAAAATCTTTAAAATCGGCGAATTTTTTTTTGGTAATTCGGGACTTTGGGAAAGTGAATGCCCCACTTCGAAGTTAATTTTAAAAATATGTTGTATTATGTCACGTTGGACACCACCTTTAACTTTCCAAAACTTTCAAAACACCCGTTTCCATTTCAGTACCGTAATCCTGATGATCATCAACATTTTGACGTCGATGAAGCGGAACATGCAGGCGGGAAAACGAAAAGTGATGAGCAACACGAACCACGTGTTCATCTATGTTCTAGGTAGTTTTTCCTCCTCCTCCACTTTTCCACCGATTTTCACGATTTGAGGCCTGTCGATCGTTGATCTGCTGGTCATTCTGCACCTTCCGTTCCTTGTTGTCGATCTTTTGAAAGGTAATAACAAATTGGATCGGGCGGCGCGAAAACAGTGTTTTCCAACTTAATTTTCAGGACAATGGCTATTCGGTGTGGCGATGTGTAAAGTGTACTGGTTCGGCGAGAGCGTCAACAAGTTGTTGAGCTCTTTTCTGATGACCGTCCTCAGTTGGGACCGCTACATGGCCGTTTGCAGTCCCGTCAAGTCCATGAAGTGCGGATTCGGGGGGTGGCTTTGCTATTTGTTGGCTTCAGAATAATTCGCGTCTTGCACAAAACTTTGAGAGTTGAGCGGAACAACTCAACGAAAGAAAGAACTCACGGAAGAATTTTTTTATCTTTTTTAGAAAATTTTTTCATGGAATGTGATCAACTGACGAAATGTATAGCAAAGTGAACTGTGCTCATAGAAAAATAATTGTAAATTTAACTTTTCATACAAAAAAGTTATTCGAGTTCCGTCTTCCGTTCGCCCCCTTTTTCACGGAACAACTCGAATAACTTTTTTGTATGAAAAGTTAAATTTACAAATATTTTTCTATGAGCACAGTTCACTTTGCTATACATTTCGTCAGTTGATCACATTCCGTGAAAAAATTTTCTAAAAAAGATAAAAATTCTTCCGCCCAAACTCTGGTCCTGATGTATGTCAACGCACTCAGAACTCAACCATTTTCTTCAGAATGAGAAGCAATGCGACGGCGCTCAAAGTGCTGGTGGCGTGCACCGCGTTCGCTACCGTACTCCTGCTGCCAGTGCTCATCGAGGCCGCCGTCTTCAAAATTGACAAGTTGCGAATGATTCCGCTGACGGACGGAAGTGCCGATTTGGCCGCTTCGGGTACTGCGTCTGTGTGCGTTGACGCAATTTTTTTTCCACAGATTTGGCCGGTACGACCATGTCAAAATGCATGTTCGACGCGGACGCCACATTCACTTTGTACACTTTTGTCATCGGATTCGCCGCGCCCGCGTTTCTCATCATCATTTTCTATGTTCAGGTAGGATAAGGTTAATCCAGCAGAGCCGATCCTAATTCGGATCCAATTTGAAGTTGGCATAAATGCTAATCCCTGAAAAAAAAAACGTTTTTTAGGTGATATACGCCCTTCAAAAATCGTCGCGAAACATGCGCAACGCGCGTGGAATGACCAAACCCGACGGCGGCTCGAATCGCGTCAAAAAGGTCACCAAACGCATCGTCGCCGTCATTTTGTTCTACTTTTTGTGCTGGACACCCCAGTGGACGCTCAACATCATGTCGCAGTTCAATTTGATCGCGGTGAGTCGGGGGGGATGCGTCGACGACGGAACCGTTCTCACTTTCAGGTCTCCTGGATGACGCCCGCCCTCTCCGCAATGTTCTTCGTCGCTCATTTACTGGTGAGTTCTGCGGTGGCCTAACTTCCCCATCACGGTCTCCACAGCTGACAATGGGCGCAATAGAGCGGTACATTGGCGCGAAATTCAAAATTTAACAGCAAAATTTGTGTTTTTTGCCAGATTCGCTACGAAACATCGATAATTCCTCATTTGTCTCTCTATAGACCGATTGTATAGGCTATTACGAATTTTTTAAGCGCTAGAGCGTCAAATTTGGTCAAGTTTGAAGGTTTTTCGCTAAAACTGCGTGAATTTCAGTTGCTTTTCGGTAATTTTCGCGGTTCGAGCACTCAAAATACTTGTATTTACGTGATTTATCATTCTCAAAACCAATTCTGTCTGGCAACGGACAAGAAAGCGCAAAATGAGAAGTGCGGTTTTTAGGGCGAAAAAAAAATTTCGAAAAAGCGAAATCCACGAAAAATGCGCCAAAACGTCATTAATTCTGTGAGAATTAGTGTGTTTTCATGTCGAACAATCATTTTTCATCGTCTTTGACCACAAAAATCAGAGAAAACCTGCTCAATTCATGAAAACGCCTCTGAAAACGCGTCTTGTCAGCTCTGGAGACCGTTCCCACCAGAGTTGAGCGGAAGAACTCAACGGAAGAACATGGAAGAATTTTTATCTTTTTTAGAAAATTTTTTCATAGAATATGATCAACTGACAAAATGTATAGCAAAGTGAACTCTGTTCATAGAAAAATAATTGTAAATTTAGCTTTTCATACAAAAAAGTTATTCGAGTTGTTCCGTGAAAAAAGTAGACGAACGGAAGGACAACAACTCGAATAACTTTTTTGTATGAAACGCTAAATTTACAATTATTTTTCTATGAGCACAGTTCACTTTGCTATACATTTCGTCAGTTGATCACATTCCATGAAAAAATTTTCTAAAAAAGATAAAAATTCTTCCGTGTTCTTCCGTGAGTTCTTCCGCTCAACTCTGGTTCCCACACCCAATGGCCTCCTCAACTCTCTTCAGGTGTGTTTCAACTCGGCCGCCAATCCGGTGCTCTACGCCTACATCAACCGCGAACTTCGGTCGCAGCACGTGATGGCGATGCATCGGAAGCGGCACTCGGTCTGTCAGGATCAGCAGCGACTCGCTAACAACAGGTACATACACGCGGAACTTTTACGACAGATTCCTCATCATATTTGCTTCATTTTTAGGCTCTCAATGCAATCTAGGCCCTCTGACACGTCTGCCACTGTTTTCTCCAAATTCAGCGACAATGAGGAGGGACGGAGTTTTTTGGGCAGGTTTGTGTGGCCTAACTTTCTCCTCGCGACCTAAATTTTACTCTTCCAGACTGACGCTCCTCCAGAACAACATCCTGGCGAGCATCTTCAATCGCAAACGGGTTCCTCTGGTGATCGACAAAAACGTAACGGTACGCGACAGCCACCGTAATCCCTCAAAATGGTGCCGAATGTTCAGGTGGAAAACACGTCATCATCGACCGACGAGGATAAGGACGATTACTTGTAAAATGTTGATTGTTTATTATTGCGAATAAAGCATGTACACACTTCAAAACGTCGAATGAATCGGTTGGATGGAGGTCGTGTTGCGGGTGATCGTCGTCGTTCGGATGATCACCATTTCGCGCGGCGCCGGCGGTTCTGGAAACAACGCATGAAAGGGGCGTGGCGCCTAGTGTGCACGGGCTATCACCATTTTGGCGCGAAATTCGAAAATTTAACCGCATTTTTCATGTTTTTCGTCAAAAATTACACAAATTTTGTACGGGTTTTGACGATGTTAAATTAATCATCGCGCGCACTTTTTGAGCTTAAAACGAGCACGATTCATTCAGAACTCTGGGAACTCGATTGCAATCTAATCAGAAAAAGCTCTATTTCGCAATCTAATCAGATTTAATGAAAGTTCCAGTAAAATCGTATTAGATTACAAAATATTTTTCCTGAATTGCAATCTAATTAGAAAACATTGCAATCTAATAAGAAGATTTTGCAATCTAATTGAAGCAAATTCTATTTCAAACGAGTTCGTATTAGATTGCAAACTTTTCTAATTAGATTGCGATCGAGTTCCCAGAGTATCACCATTTTGGCGCGAAATTCGAAATTTAACCCCATTTTTCATGTTTTTCGTCAAAAATTACCCAAATTTTGTACGGGTTTCGACGATGTAATTGCATAATAACATTGTTAAACTAATCATCGCTTAAAACGAGCAGGTTTCATTCAGAAATGAATCAATTGAATCGATTTTAAGTTTTGTTCTGAAAATGCACGAATTTCAGTCATTCGCCGTTACTTTTTGCCGTTTGAACGCTTAAAATACTTGTATTACCAGTGTTTAATCACTTCCGACACTCAGATTAGGCCACGCCCCCCTTTATACACTTTTCTAGAGCTTTCTATCAACTATACACAGTTCTATAGAGTTCCACTATAGCAAAATACTGTGTTATCAGTGTGAAAAACGAACGGATTTGATAATAGGTTGGCGCAATTTCCGGTGACAACTGTTGAGAGTGCTGAGACGGTTGAGAAACGTATGATTCGGCTGGTGACGTCACCTAAAACTATTTTTTGGGGGGGGCGTCAAAACGGAAACCTACAATATATCTGGGACTGAGCATGTTGTTGCCGTACAATCCCGAGTACGGTCCTTCCATTTTCAACTTTGAGAAGAGTTTGGGGGTTTGGCTGGCGAGTTTCAAAAAGAGAAATGCGAGAAGAGATGTGTTTCTGTGCAAACAATGCAAAAAATGATGAAAAAGGGGGGAAAAGGGAGGAGGTGCACCACACGGAGACACACAATATACAAACATACATGATACGCGAGTAGCACTAGGTTTTGTTTATTGTCGTTTGATTGAATTGCGCACGGTGCGACGAGGAATGCGTCAATGCCACCGAAAAGACGTCAACTATCTTGGAAAGCGTTCACGTGCACCGAAATGGAGTCAAGAATGTTACTTTTTGCCCGGCCTGTGAGAACCATGATACAAAGCGGCTCTTTCCTATATGGTGCATCGACCGAAAGTGTCAAAATGCCTCAACAAAGTGTGCTTTTGAGCAGAAACCGCGCGAATGCACCGGAAACGCGTCGATTCCGATTAGTTTGCCGGAAGTCCTCTCACTCACGTGACCATCTCATTTTCTTTTCGCAAATTCAACTTCAATCATCGAGAAGAAGAGGGAATTCACGGGCTCACCGAGCACAACGAGGTCGGCAGAGGAAGCGGGAGGGGTCTAAAAGAGACGGAAATGATTTTGTAAAGCGTACATGCATTTGGTAACACCAGTGTTGAGCGGAATTCCGTCTTCCGTCTTCCGTCTTCCGTCTTCCGTCTTCCGTTTTCCGTTTTCCGTGGTTTTTTTTGTTCCGTCTTCCGTCTTCCGTCTTCCGTCTGCCGTCTTCCGTTTTCCGTTTTCCGTCTTCCGTTTTCCGGGAAAAAAGTTTTCTTCCGTCTTCCGTCTTCCGGGATTTTTTCTTCTTACCGTAAAAGAGTAATAGCTTTTCAGAAGCCATTTACTAGTCCCGAAGAACGCGAATTTCCACGCGCAGTGACCCAGATCCAAACATTTTTTTTTCTTCAAAAAAAAAACCGGAGAAAAAGGTTCTGCATTGACGATTTTTTTGTTCCGTCTTCCGTCTTCCGTCTTCCGGGAAAAAAAATTTTCTTCCGTCTTCCGTCTTCCGGGAAAAAAAATTTTCTTCCTTCTTCCGTTTTCCGTCTTCCGGATTTCAAAATTCCATTTCCGCTCAACTCTGGGTAGCACCCTCCCTTTTTCTATCCAACCTTTGGGTTTGGCTCCTTCTGAGTTGAGTTGCTATTAATATTAAAGCTTTCTCAATTTGTTCCAATTCTTCAGTTAGTTCACTTCTTTAAGTTTTTATAGGTCATTTTCATTTTCTTCTCTTGTAGCTCATTTCCGGTCGATTTGCGACCATCCTACTGCTCAAGAAGCGCATTCGCCGATGAAAAGCGAGCGAAGAGGGGGGAAAAGGAAAGAAATCGTTTAGGGACCCTTTTCCGAGAGACCCACAATATCTGTAGAAGCCCAGACGATGCAGAGAGAGAGAGAGAGAGAGAGGGGGGCCAGCTGTCCATTCTTTTCCCCATTTCGCATTGCTTTGAGAGTGTGCACTCTCTCTCTCTCTCTCTCTCTCTCTCTCTCTCTCTCTCTCTCTCTTTCTTTCTTCCCTTCAATTTCCATTCTCTACAACTTTTTTTCATTGGATTTGTGCGAAAAAACCGCTTGTTTTGCTCATTTTGTCCATGTTTTCGATGCATTTCAAAAAGTTGACGTTTGACACAAATTTTGAGCATTGGCCGACTCTGTAGACCAGGTTTTCGGTCCCCGGAGATCCATGGTCCTTGGCAACCGACAAAAAGACATTTACATGCCCCTCTCGCCATTTTACATTTGAAAAAGACATAAAAGTGTGTCCTGGCTCCTTCGTTTCTCCTGTTTTTCCCCTTCAACTCGCCCCAGGCGTCTTTTAATCCCGTGCTCTCTATCAAAATGGGGATTACTGTGGTCACAGTTGGATATCTCAACTGCCGGTAGAGTTTGCAAAAAGTTGTCAACTGACAAAATGTTAATTAGAATATTGTGCACATTTTTTCAGTTGACAACTTTTTGATGTCGCCAAAGACAAGTGAGATACGACAGTTTGAATGGACAATATCGAAAAGTCTTGCTTCTCATCAGGAAGCGTTGTTTGTTTTTACGTTTTCTTTCTGTCTAATGAACTTGGTCCCCAAGGGTCCGTGGTCCCTTTCGAAAACCCCGAAATTTCGGACCTTTTTGCCGAAAAAAAGAGGAAAAAAGAAGAGGGAGAAGCGGCTTTTTTGTTGACGGAAACTGAACGTTAGCACGAAAGAGAAATGTTTTTTTTTTGTCAAAAAAAAACTTTTGAAAAGCTAGTCGTGGCAATACTTCTTCTCTCTCTCTCTCGCTTTCTCCTCATCATCATCTGTCAAATTTTTATTTATTCCGCCCCATTGACCCATGAATACTAGTCGTTTCTCGCGCGCGCGCCATTCCATCCACTTTTTTCATGGTGCATCTTTAGAGACATGTATCTTGAGAAGCGTTAGTTGTATCTAAACGCTGTCAACTGAACAATTGTAGACAATTTTATGAAGATCAACTTTGTAGTTGATCATTTTCACTCAAAATGTTTGATTCTCGAGTTATGAACGAATTTCTAAACATTAGCCGCGACGAAGGAAGATACAGTTTAGAACTGGGCTCATAACTTGAGAATGAAGCTTTTTGAGATCAAATTGTCAACAACAAAGTTGTTCAGCACAAAATTTCCAACATTTTTGCAGTTCGCCACTTCTTAAAATCTTTAAAGGTTCTTGAGATACAAGGCCTCAAAGACAAGAATCTTTAAAAAAGTCACCAACTTGTTTACCCATCTTTTTTCGGCTATCAGATCCATTTCCACTCCTCCAATTTTTAGAGAAATATGTTTACCCGCTCTGTTTCTTAATCTGATTTGAAAAGTAAAGTACACCCGTGTTCCGTGGCCGACTTCTGCCTCCCAGAAGAAAGACAAACACGCTTTTCCCTTCTCACTCTCTCTCTCTCTCTCTCTCTCTCTCTCTCTCTCCCCCCCCCCTCTTTCTGCGTCTCTTTCAAACGTCAATCTCTTCCACTTTTTCATTTTATTTATCAGTGTCTTCTCCTTCTTCTTCTTCTTCTTCTTCTTCATCATTTGCCATCTCCTTATTGTTTTTGTTTCATTTTCCCTGAAGAATACAATATTTGTTTTATTTGCTGTTTTTGGGTCAACTTTGATCCTTTGTATTTTGCTCCATGTTTGATATTTTTCCAACGTTTAAAAACGATTCGAAAGATTATTTCGTTCTCTACAACTTTTCAGTTGACAGTTTTCAATTATCACGCTTCTGTGTCGAGATATTGTCGTTTAACCAAAAAGAGCAGCATAATTTAGGCAACGATTCATTAAAATCCTTATATCTCGGCTCAAGTTTGATATCGAAACAAGGTGTGAACTGAACAATTATAGAGCACATATTTTTCTTTCAAATGGTTTTTTAATCGTGGAAAATTTTCAAAAATTGACAAAGTTACATAGGTTCAAAGTTCGGCCAAACCCAATTGTTATACTTAAATGCTGTAAAAACCTGATTTTTCTCAAATATCCGCTATCATCGTTTTCAATGTCAACTCGGATTCTCGTCTCCGTCCCGTCTGCGTCTCTCTCTCTCTCTCTCTCTCTCTTTTCCGTTCAGTAATTTGATACTAACAATTGACTCTGATTTTGGCTGAGAGAATCGAGGACACAAAGTTTCTTATTTTCCAAATGTTTTCAATAATAATAGGGCCGTGGCCGAGAAAATTTGAAAACTTCTAGGCCACACTTCTGATTTTATAGTCGGCGCTTCAATTTATCAGCTGAATTTGTATTCTGCACACAAAGTCACCCGTGTGTGATAGTATTAATTTGAAACTGAAACTGAAACATTTGCCTTGACTTTCACTATTATCGCCTTCGTTTTTCAGTCCCCCCCCCCTAGGGCCCTGCGGATATTGTCGTGTTCTTCGCCAGTGAATGTCTCTGCCATGTGTGCGTCTCGTCACTCTCGCACTCCTCATCGCGCTTTGTCACTTGTCCGACGGGCAGAATGAGACGAGTACACTCGTCGCCGGTCTTCTGGATCCGGCCGTCGTCGCAGCCGACAATTCGACGACGACGGTAAATATTGTAAAGCACACGAAACCGCGCACACACTCTCTTTTTCAGCCGACTCCTACCAACAACACAAGTGCGCTGCTCAAAATCCCGACAATCTTCGGAATGCGTGTCGAACTGCCGGCCGACGATCCGTTCGGTTACGAGTGAGTTTTACTACTAAACAAAAAAATTCCCTCGGCGCAATTCACGTGCGCTAAACAAGGCGCGTAACGCGTGCGTAATTCCGGAGCGTCGTTGTAGAGTTTCTCCATTTCAATTTTCCCATTTTTTTGCATTATCCCCATCTTTTCATAACCGATCAGTGTCAAAACTTATGATAATGATTAGAAATGAATAAAAAATGAAATTTTAACTGCTTCGTCATCAATTTCGAAACGTTTTATGTGAAAATTACAGAATTTTTTCCCTTTGAAATCGAAAATTTGCCTCAATTATCTCAATTCTGTATATTTTTCGACGGTTGAGCGCTTAAAAGATGCGCAATAAAGAATGCCAGTGTCCGAACTCGATTTTCGGCAAATAATCGTTAAAACTCCGTTTTTTTCAGTAGTTTTCGACAAAATCCCTCAATTTGGTCAATTCTGAACGAATCTGCTCCGTTTCGCGCTTAAATCGATGCTTTTAACTCGCAAAGAACAAAATTTGAGTGTTTATTAAGAGAAAAACGAACGAATTCTGGTTTTCAATTGAAAAAAGAGACTCCGAGTCGACGGTGGATGCAAGCGCGCCCCATTGACAACTCGTGGTGATTTTCAGCAAGCACGGCGTCTGCTCGGTGGCGCCAGAAGAAGAGTTCAAAGTGGTAATCTATGGAAACCATTTGGACAAAATCCATCAAATCATCTGGACGTTCACGAACAATTGCTCCGAGCCGGCGTACGTCGTCGACGCGCTCAACCACTTCAAAGTGCACTTCAATCACAAGGCATTTTCCGGTTTTTCTCTCATAGACTCGACGATTTTTTTCAGGCGACGTTCCATTTGACGCTAAAGTTGCTTCCCGAGATGGTACACGCGTACAAGATGTGTGTGAAACCGAAGATTGCTCCGGGAGCGCCGCCGTTGGGCGAGATTTATCCGGTTAGTACCCAGGCGTTCTATTTTGCGTACCGGGCATCGAATCCTACGCCGCTTTTTGCAGCTCGACGACATCTCGACGTGGCTGACGACGGAACGTCCGCCGAAAGAGTACTTCCTCCCGTTGCCCCTCCAGATCGCCTGCATCGGTTTCCTTCTCTGCCTCTCCGCCCTCTTCTCCGGTCTGACGCTCGGTTTGATGTCGCTGACTCCTCAAGAGTTGGAGCTCGTCATCAAGTCCGGCTCGATCAAAGAGCAAAAGTGCGCGGCGAAGATTTTGCCGATTCGTCGAAAGGGAAACCTTTTGCTGTGCTCGCTTCTGCTCGGCAACGTCATCGTCAACTCGGCCATCTCGATTTTGATGGGCGAACTGACGACGGGAATCTATGCTCTCATCGGCTCCACGTTCGGCATCGTCATCTTCGGCGAGATTCTGCCGCAGAGTATTTGTGTGAAGTGAGTTGGCATCTGATCTTACAATCTTTCCACACCTTACAACATTTCGTTTTGCAGAAAAGGTCTGGAAGTGGGAGCTCACACGATCTCAATCACCCAACTCTTCATCATGCTCACATTCCCCATCGCCTGGCCCATTTCGAAGCTTCTCGATTGTTTGCTCGGAGATGAATATGTAAGTTAACGGTCGTTACAGTACTCTGTGTAAAAAGACAATTTTTAGCAAGCATACGATCGGAAGCGACTGATGGAGCTCATCAAAATGTCGATAACCGACAACGGACAAGTGTCGAATGAGCTCAAAATCGCGGTTGGAGCGATGGAAATTGCGGACAAGGTGGTGAAGGATGTGATGACAAAGATCGAGGACGTGTTCATGCTGCCCGACACAACCGTCCTCAACGCGAAGACGGTCATGGAGATTGTGAAGATGGGCTACACACGAATACCCGTTTATCAGTACGGCGAGAAGAACAACGTGACGGACATGCTGTTCGTCAAGGATCTCGCGCTCCTCGATCCCGACGACAATTTCACGGTGAAGACGGTGTGCGGATATCACAAGCATCCGGTGAAGTTTGTGATGAACGACACGCCGCTGCCGCATCTGTTGGAGGCGTTCAAGAAGGGCGAGGGCCACTTGGCGATGGTCAAACGGCTCATCAACACCGACGACGGACACGATCCGAGTTACGAGCTCGTCGGCGTCATCACGCTCGAGGATATTGTCGAGGAGATTCTACAGGTGAGCAGTTTCACACTTTGTCAGTCGTCGTCCTTTTTGGATGCATCTTACAAGGCCGTCGCGACCGTCTCCACAGCTGACAATATGGGCGTGGCCTCGGCCAAATAGCGTTTTCTCTGAATTTTGTGATCAACGGCGATGAAAAATGATTTTTCGACATGAAAACACACTAATTCCCACAGAATTAATGACGTTTTGGCGCATTTTTCGAAAAATAATTTTCCTAAAAACCGCACTTCTCATTTTGCGCTTTCTTGATCGTTTTCCGACAGAATTAGTTTTGAGAATGATAAATCACGTAAATACAAGCATTTTGAGCGCTCGAACCGCGAAAATCAACGAAAAGCAACTGAAATTCACGCAGTTTTAGCGAAAAACCTTCAAACTTGACCAAATTTAACGCTATTGCGCTTAAAAAATTCGTAATAGCCTATACAATCGGTTTATCGAGAGAAAAATAAGAAATTATCGATTTTTTGTGACAAATCTGGCAAAAAACACTGATTTTAGCCAAAAACCTTCAAACTTGACCAAATTTGACGCTCTTGCGCTTAAAAAATTCGTAATAGCTTATACAATCGGTCTATCGAGAGACAAATGAGAAATTATCGGTTTTTCGTGGCTAATCTGGCAAAAAACACTGATTTTAGCCAAAAACATTCAAACTTGACCAAATTTAACGCTCTTGCGCTTAAAAAATTCGTAATAGCCTATACAATCGGTTTATCAAGAGAAAAATGAGAAATTATCGGTTTTTCGTGGCTAATCTGGCAAAAAACACAAATTTTGCTGCTAGAATTTGAATTTCGCGCCAATGTATCGCTCTATTGGGCGGCTGAGGGCCCCAAAAGAGGCCAACTTTGAGTTCTTGACTGGAAGAAATGTGTTTCAGGCAGAAATCAACGACGAATTCGATATTGTCAGCGACAACGTGAACAAGGTGAAGATCAAGAAGGAGCAGAATCGAGACGCGACCAAGTATTTTGGCGATCACGAGGCCCCGGAGACTATGATTTCTATGCAGGTAGGGTAGAAACGGTTTGAGACCTCTGAAACCTCTAATTTCCAGCTCCAAATGGTCGCTCTCCAGTGGTTGGTTTCGAACGAACGAGCATTCCGATCGGAATTCCTCGACACCAACGTGCTCGAGCGGCTGATCCGCAGCAGTGCCCGCCGCGTCGACGTCTCCGCGCTGATGGCGCTCGGTGACGATGCGATCAACGTGCCGCGTCTGGCGAAGATCTACACGAAAGACGAGCCGTCCGACAAGTACATTCTGATTCTCGAGGGCCGCATTCAGGTGACGATCGGACAGAGCGGCATGATGTTCGAGGCGGGGCCGTGGCATCATTTCGGCGGCGAGATCATGTCGATGATGGTGGAAGGGGCGGCGACGCTCGGACGGAGCATGAGCATTTTGGGCACTTCGGATCTGTCCGTCAGACGGCCTGATCTCATGTTCAGGCCTGACTACTCGGCAGTGGTTAAGGACGATTGCACTTATTTGGAGATCTCGGTGGCTGCTTTTATCAACGCCTACAAGGCGTCGTTGATGCAGAGGGAGAAGCCTTTGTGAGTTTTGATTACTATGAAGCTGTATGTAGAGATAGCAAAAAGTTGTCAACTAAGAAATTGTTCATTAAGAAATTCTGTACATTTTATTAGTTGAGAACTTTTTGATATCTATTTCCGCAACTGAGATATATCATCTTAAACGGCGGATGCACCATGATCAGCTATACTTATTTAGTTATATCTCGCCTGTCGCTAGAGATATCAAAAAGTTGTCAACTAACAAATTGTTCGTTAAGAAATTCTGTACATTTTATTAGTTGAAAACTTTTTGATACCACCCCCTGCAGCTGAGTTATATCGTTTAGAGCACCGAAGCACCATAACCAACTATAATCGATTTCCAGAACCGACGCCTCGGATGCGTCTCGTCACACGTCGATGCACAATTCGAATCTCTCGTTGGCCGGCGAAATGACGGGTCCGATCAAGGATCCGGCGGCGATGCTCGTGCCGGAAGGCGTCCGAAAACCGTCGATCGCCTCGGCGGATCTTCTGAAGGCGCTCAACGCGATCGGACAGAACAACGTGGCGCCGGTGGCCGAGGAGGAAGAAATGGCGCTGCTCGAAAAGACGTGAACAACTTTTTAGGATTCTATTTTATGCTCAATTCTCTCAATTCTCTTGTTTGCTCATTTCTCCCATTTCCGCCCACTTTTTCGGCTGGAAACGATCTCGTAGAATCGAAGTCTGGAAAGAAATCAGAAACGAAACGAATTTCGAAGCAAAACCTCTCACAAAACATGTTTTTTTCCCCCCGTTTCAATTTTCCGCTCTGTGAGCCGGTCCCAGTGCCTTTACTGATTGCTTTTTACGTCGACCCCGCCTTTATACAATATATATTCAAATCTGGGTGTACTTTTTATACGGAACTTCCTCTCTTCTTCACAATAAGCGTTTTTTTTGCCAATTTTGTCTCTTACACTTTTTCCCCAGCTCTTCCAGTTTACGAGATATGGCCCAAAAACCGTACAAGCGGGTTACTGTAGCGCGCAATCACTTTTCAACTCGTTTTACGTGCATTTCAGAACGGGGGGAAAAAAAAAGAAGAAGGCGGGAAAAGTGATGCTTCCGATTCCAATTTCGCCGAAAAAACGAATCGTGCGCGAGAAAAAAGTGGTCAATAAATCAGGCGCCGGCTGATGGATGGTCCCAACTTCTGCTTGCTTCATCAAAATTTCGCCGAGAAAACGGCGGAAATGACTTTTTTTTTTTTGGTTTTTTTTGGCAGGAAAGGCGTACTTTGGGGCGGAGCCAACTTGGTCTCCGACAAATTTAGGTATTCGAGTTGTTGAGCGGAGAAAAAACGTGAAACTTGCCACGTCATAACTTTTTGCGCGACACTCCCCAATGGTGCCAAGTTGTTCACGTTTCGTTTTTGCCATGCCGTCATTCTGCACGCATAGTGTCCAGTGTTGAGCGGAATTCCGTCTTCCGTCTTCCGGCTTCCGTCTTCCGTCTTCCGTCTTCCGTCTTCCGTCTTCCGGGAAAAATTCTTCTTACTGTAAAAGAGTAATACCCTTTCAGAAGCCATTTACTAGTAACGAAGAACGCGAATTTCCACGGGCAGTGACCCAGACCCAACATTTTTGTTGTTTAGTTATTTTTTTCAAAAAAAAAACCGGAGAAAAAGGTTCTGCATAGACCATTTTTTTTTGTTTCGTCTTCCGTCTTCCGTCTTCCGGGAAAAAAGATTTCTTCCGTCTTCCGTAAGAAAAATTTTCTTCCGTCTTCCGTCTTCCGTAAGAAAAATTTTCTTCCGTCTTCCGTTTTCCGTGTTCCGTAAACAAATTTTCTTCCGTCTTCCGTCTTCCGGATTTCAAAATTCCATTTCCGCTCAACTCTGATCGACCGGTTTTCGTCGGATTCAAAGAACCGCCGATCGGTGCACTCTGCTCACTCACCCGTTCCGGCCCGTCATCGCCAACAACCACAAATCTTCGGGTTCCCCCCGCTTCTGCTCCACGGCGCTTAAATGGCCGGAAAGTACGCGAAAGTACGTCTTCCAATCCAATCCATCATCATCATCGTCGTTTTCCTCTTCTCCGCCACAGATTCATCATCACAAGTGGGCGTGGCGTCGCGGAAGCGTAGAATATAAGCGCGCTCGCAATTTTTCTATTCGAAATGCACGCAATCTACCGTATCCCCCGTAGCTAATCGATTCGGAAGTCGTGGTGTGGATGATGATGTCTTCTAGGCATCTATTTTTCTCGCCCCGAATCCGTTAATATCAATCGGAAATGCATTAACTCCTCTGAAGACTTTAAAAACCCGCGCCGCTCATCACCTTCTCCTCACTTTTTTTTCTTAATCGCTAGCTAGCGTCGTAACTTTTTCTCGTTTCTTCAGATGCTCTCCAAACTTTTGCTCGTCTCCATACTCGTCTCCGCCGCTCTCGGAGCCTCGATGGAGGACTTGCAATCGGAAAAGTTTTGCGAAAAGTTTCCGACGCTTCACATGTGCCGGCTCAAAGAGGAGCTCACCGGCAGCCTCGTCGAGTTGCAGTACTTGCTTCAAGACGGTTCGTTGAAAGGAGAAAGCATAAAAATGCCAAAAAGTTTATAGGAATTAATGTGAGCGGTGGAGCAGGAGCAGGAGGAGTGGTTTCTGCTCCTGGAGGAGCCGGACAGGGCGCTCAGGAGGTTCAGAAGAGGAAGAGCGCTTTCGTTCGCTTCGGAAAGCGATCAGCACCGGAAGCGGAGGAGGAGGAGGAGGAGGCAATGGTCAGTTGGGATTGGGGAAGTTTGAGTTTCCTAAACCACTTTTTTTTGCAGAAAATGGAGAAGCGAAAATCGGCGTTTGTGCGTTTCGGTCGTTCCATCGGACTCGAGCCGCAAATCACCGAGAAGCGAAAAAGCCAGTACATTCGTTTCGGAAAATAATTAAACCGAGCAAAAACCAACCAAATTCACATCTTGGGTAATCTTGAGCACAACCTGTTCCTCTTTTTCTTCCTCTTTTTCCTCCATTTTTTGTTCATTTCATTTCATTTCTCCACCGATCCGATCCGTTCCATCCGTTCTCTGTTGACCCCCTCTCTTTTTTTGATGGAATATATTCGGTGTGAAAGTGACAACAACAAAAAAAACCATCAAAAAGTAGTTGATTTTTCGTATGTGGGCGCTTTTCCCTGTTCTCTTTTGTCGATTATGGTGTGTGTGGCGGTACACCTTCTCAGCTCGCTCGGAATTGAAATACAAATAAATGAATCTTGTGTTAATAATTATCTGTGCTTATCAGAGTTGAGCGGAAATGGAATTTTGAAATCCGGAAATTTTTTTTCAAAACTTTTTTTACGGAAAACGGAAGACGGAAGAAAAATCGTCAATGCGGAGCCTTTTTTCCGGTTTTTTTTTTGAAGAAAATAACTAAAGCAACAAAAATGTTGGATCTGGGTCACTGCGCGTGAAAATTCGCGTTCTTCGGGGCTAGTAAATGGCTTCTGAAAAGCTATTACTCTTTTACGGTAAGAAGAAAAAATACCGGAAGACGGAAGACGGAAGAAAATGTTTCTCCCGGAAGACGGAAGACGGAAGACGGAATTCCGCTCAACACTGGTGCTTACACTGCGCTCTATTGATGATTTCTAGATACAGTTTATTCAAGACGATGTATTTTATGCGGGGGGTGAAGCGAAAATTGGAGAACATTAGGAATTATTATACTATACATTATATATACAGGTCTATTTCATTGGATTTCATTCATTTGGGCCAGATCGAAAAGCTTTAAAATTCCTGTTTGTCCTCTTTTCTCACTCCCCCTAAATATGGCGATATCGAGTTTCATTCAACGTGCGCACGTTTTTCTAGTCTACCGCAAAAGTCCCCGCGTTGTGTTCAATTTTCAGACGATCACTATCAGTGTGTGTGTGTGCACATTTTTAGACCCCTAAACATGTTTATCTTCTCCGTCTCCACGATCTTTCATTTCGTCGACAGATGTTGGATGATATCAGGAAAAAACATACGGAAAAGTTGAGTATTCAGCACATTTCGTTAGCAAAAGATCAAATTGCGGTGATATGTGCTCGTTTTGTTGGTCAATGACCGTCGCTTGTTGCCAGAATGTTCGGCGCGTCGACAATATCAGTTTCGCAACTCATCAAAGAGACTTTCGAGTATACGAAACCGAGCAAAACTTGCTCAGACGCCCAGAAAAATGGTGGAGCTCATTCTCAAACTAGTCTGTTATGGTCTTTTCACTGAAGTGGCTTCTGAAGTCAATAAATCGTCGCTTTTCCTACTTCCGAGTTCCGAGCAGAGTTGAGCGGAAGAACACGGAAGAATTTTTATCTTTTTTAGAAAATTTTTTCATGAAATGTGATCAACTGACGAAATGTATAGCAAAGTGAACTCTACTCATAGAAAAATAATTGTACATTTAGCTTTTCATACAAAAAAGTTATTCGAGTTGTTCCGTGAAAAAGGGGAAGACGGAAGGAATAACTTTTTTGTATGAAAAGCTAAATTTACAATTATTTTTCTACGAGCAGAATTCATTTTGCTGTACATTTCGTCAGTTGATCACATTCCATGAAAAAATTGTCTAAAAAAGATAAAAAAAATTCTTCCGTGTTGTTCCGCTCAACTCTGGTTCCGAGTTCCGAGTTCCGCAACTCTAGCGAACCTTCCAGAAGCGTTGACCAACACAAACCTCCTCCTCTCCCAACCGTTTCGTTGCCACCTCCTTCTGCCTCTCGCGCTCCTAAATTATCAACTGATAACACTCTTTCTCGGGGCGGTACCACTAGGTACCAGTCGACCCGCGCTCCTCCTTCACAGCCTCCGACGTCAGTTGAATGGTTTTTGTTGCGTGTAGAGGAGGTGGGAGACCGCACGTGGCCGAGTCGTTTCACTGTGTTTGTTTTATCTACATTATCTACTCGGAAAAAGAGCTGAGAGTTGCGAAAAATATGAAGGAAAAGGAAGGAAAACTACCGGAATGTGAGCGAGTTGGCAGACCAATCGCGCTCTACTATATCTTTCAACTAGGCTTGTGACAAAGCAAAAGCATCGAAATGCACAATATTTGTGGCCAACTGGCCTAGAAAACTCTAGTAGCCAAGGATATTTCTAGGCCACCACTTGTGCAGATATTATCCTATCAGTGTGCCTCCCGCTCCACTGTCAACTCAGCACATTCTCCCCCTCTCCCCTCTCCCCAAATTTTTCCGGTTCTGAAGGTGTACGGTAGCTGCATCGACAATCAACGCTCCTAAAAGTTGTTTGCGTCAACAACTTTGTTTGGTCTCGAAGACTACTACTACAATACTATTATATTCTCACAAATTAGACATTTCGTTTCAAATGTCCATCAGTAGTGACCTCTACTTATCAGTGTTGAGCGAAATTCCGTCTTCCGTCTTCCGTCTTCCGGAATTTTTTCATCTTACCGTAAAAGAGTAATAGCTTTTCAGAAGCCATTTACTAGTCCCGAAGAAAGCGAATTTCCACGGGCAGTGACCCAGATCCAAAATTTTGTTGCTTTAGTTATTTTTTTTTCAAAAAAAAACCGGAGAAAAAGGCTTTGCATTGACGATGTTTTGTTCCGTCTTCCGTCTTCCGTCTTCCGCGAGAAAAATTTTCTTCCGTCTTCCGTCTTCCGCGAGAAAAATTTTCTTCCGTCTTCCGTTTTCCGTAAGAAAAATGTTTTTCCGTCTTCCGTTTTCCGTGTTCCGTAAGAAAAATTGTCTTCCGTCTTCCGGATTTGAAAATTCCATTTCCGCTCAACTCTGCTACTTATATTATACTTTTATTGATAAGACTTGTACTTCGAATAGAACATTCTGGATCTAGAAATAGTCTTCAACTTCCGAGAGCCAACGATTTCGATTTCGATTTCGGTTTTCGAACTTTTATATTGTCTAAATATTAAATGAATCGTGCTGAGTCAAGTCAAAGTACATTTGGGCAAGGGGGGTTGGGTTGAGAGGGCGGTTTATCAGTTGGAGAGTTGGACGAGACTCCGCCCCACCCCAATCACTTTTCAATAATTTTTTTGGTAAACGCTCATTACTTTCTACTTTTTCAATCCAAACTAACAACTACACTTCTATCGGTTGCAGACGGTCACAGAAATGATCATCGAGAGCCCGGGATCGAGTGCCGCTCACCTATTCGAGGCCTCTCAATTGGCCACCAAATCGGTGATTGTGTACTCGGATCGAGCAGAAGTCAAACGTCTGGTTACTGTCGATTTACCGAAAGGCAATCAGGAAATTGTCATTCAGGTTCGTCTCATTTACCTCTTGGCGCTCTTCACGTTACACACTGATTGATAATATATTGTACTACTTCCTCTATGACATCCTTAACACAACAACTACTTTCAATTACTGTACTCTACACACATATCTTTACATTTTCCCATTAAAACTCCAAGTACAAAACTATGTAGAGCCCTTCACATTTCGTTCGAAAAGACACTCTTATCTCATTTGACCGTTTGCACCCCTCCTTGACATGTACATGTTTCCTATCAAGTATAATCTTTTCGGAGAATCGAATCGAATCGCTTTGAACTTCACGGAAATGGGGTGACTTTTGATTAAATCGAATCGAATGCAAGTGCGCTCCATTTGACTCGGACGATTGTTTTTCAAAAAAAACACTCGAACATTCGAGGCCGCTCTCAATTTTATATCTTATCAGTCCAGTGGATGGCACGCACGTGTTTTCATTTTGTTTTTCATTAGAGCGCCGAGGAGACCTCAAATAATTTGCAGCTACAGTACTTGCACTTTGCCAGACACTTCTCCTAATTCCGTCGACTTATAGAGCACAACTAGTGGCACTCATATCAGAAAATTCGAAAGCGTCTTATCACTATTGTTTGTCTGTGTTGCAACGTGCTCTGCAACCCCCGCGAAATGGGGCAGACAATTGAGATTGAGCACTTTGCGAAAAGTGACGAAATTTGGGTGAAACTGGTGCATATCTTAGCCTCCTGTAGAGATATCAACAAGTGGTCAACTGATAAAATGTACACCATTTCTTGATGCACATTTTATTAGTTGACAACTTTTTTATGTCTCCACACCAGGGGTGTGCGGAAAATTTTTTCGGAAAAATTTCGGAAAATCGGTTTTTTTCCGAATTTTTTCGGAAAATTTCGAAAATCGGGTTTTTCCGAATTTTTTTCGGAAAATTTCGGAAAAAAATCGGAAAAAAATCGGAAAACTCACTTGTTCATTGGTTCAATAAAGTGTTTAAACAACGTTCTAATACAAAAAAATGCTTATTATGATTTGAAATCAGTTGAGTGGGCGGAAGCCAAGCAATGGAATATTTTTTTGCAAAAAAATTAGCCGAGAGAAGCTCTCCGGGTCCAGTGTTTTCCGATTGTCAGTGAGAATCAGGGGTGTGCGGAAAATATTTCGATTTTCCGAAATTTTCCGATTTTCCGAGAAATTTTCGGAAAAAAGACGCTCGCTGCTAGACCCTTCCAAAAATTTTGTGATGCGCCTTTAAAAAGCATACGGTGGTTTCGGACAAATTGACCTTGAATCCACACTAATTTTCCGAAAATTTTGCCGAACATTTTCAGAAAATTTTCCGAAAATTTCTCGGAAAATCGGAAAATTTCGGAAAATCGAAATATTTTCCGCACACCCCTGCTCCACACGCAGCTAAGATAAATCGTCTTGAAGAAATGTGGTATTGCAGAATGTGTCAGCAGTGATAGAGCGTCAGTCAGTGCGAGTGGACGGTCGGGGAGTACTCATTCAAGAGGTCCAATACCAGGAGGTGCCGCTCGATATGAGACACGAAACCGACAAGATTGTCGACATTGAACGTCAGAAGTATGAACTTGAAAATGAGCGATTCGCGATCGACGACGAGTGCTGTTCGATTCGAAAGCGCATCGACGTGCTGGACGGTGTGGCGGCGCAGATCTCCTCGGGTCCATCGATCGCCCAAAGTTCGTCGGTTCCGTCGGCGGTCGGCAGCCAACCACATCTGGCCCGACGGCATACGGTCACCGGCCAGGAGCCCAATCCGTTGTCGCTCTCCGCCGCGCCAATGCCGAACGGGTTCTTCTTCAATCATGAGAGCCTCGATAATCTTGCAAAGTTTCTCAAGTACTACGGTAGGCTTTAATGTTTTGTTCTTCAAAAATATTATAGTTCTTCAGGCGATGCCGTTCGAGATATGAAGAAAGAGCTGCGGAAGCGACAACGGGAAACGGAGCAGTTATCGGAGAAGTTGGATGCACTGGACCGTCAGTTGGATCAGTTGAGGTGTCTGGCCGAGTATGATTCAATCAAGAGGTATGAAATATATATTTATGGGATGTGAAACCCGAAAGAAGCAAGGGCAAAGGGGGGCAATAAGTTAAAATGATAGCGGGAATGGTTAATATCCAGGGGCGGTGCGTGGTGGTGGGCAGTGATCGCACGATCCCTTCGGTCCATCCTCTCCCGGCTTTCCTGGCTCGCCGTCCTCGCCGTCTTTTCCCGGCTCTCCGTCCTTTCCGTTGGCTCCCGCCTCTCCCTGTGGTCCCTGTCGTCCGGGTTGTCCGGGCCGTCCGTCCTGTCCGGGCTCTCCGCGGGCTCCCGGCTCTCCCGGCTCTCCGGGCTCTCCGACCGGCGACGCGACGGTTCTTTGGATTCCTGGTGCTCCTGGGGCGCCGATCTCTCCTGGCTCTCCGTCGGCTCCCACTGGTCCCGCTGGTCCTGGCGCTCCCTTGTTTCCGGGGCGTCCGGCGGGCCCTTGTTCTCCGGCGGCGCCGGCCTCTCCATCGGGTCCCTTTAGTCCTGGCGGTCCTGGTAGTCCCACCGGCGACGGCTCGCACTCGAAGCAGAAGTCGTCGGCGGTCGGAATCTGCTGCGCGTCGGCGTCCTTTCCGTTCACTCCCGGCTTTCCGGCCTTTCCATCCGCTCCCGCCTCTCCATCGTCTCCCGGCGCTCCGACCGGTCCGGCGGCTCCAGTTCCACACGAGCAGCACTTGTCGCCGCCACCTGATCGTTTGTGACGAAGAGTGGCGACGGCGGAGTCACGGTAGGCGGCGAGACGGGTGTACTCGCCGCGCAGCGAGTCGGTGCGCGACTTGCAGAACGTCAGATCGTCCTGAAGACCCGATTGGATGTTCTGCATGTAGAGGCACAGCATCGGCACCGCCATTATGACGGTGAGCGTGGCGACGGTGGAGGCGGCGATGCCGAAGAACGCGAACTTCTTCACTGATTGACGCTCCTCCTCCATGCTCTCGGTTCTACAAAATTCGAATTAAAGTCCAACTCCAGCTGTCTAGAAAATGGCATAACAACTAGAAAAAATGGGTCTGGAAAGATGGGGAAATTGAGGAAAAGATAAGCAGACTTCGTCATCATCTCCCCCACCTCGCGCTTCCCTTTTATAAGCGAACGAACTTGCTAAGCGATGGCGCGCGACGCGCAATTCCCCTCGGCCACCAGAAAAAAAAGAGCCATGGGGTTCCACCCGTGCGGACTCCGGAACCGGTTCGCAACGCCCGAAAATGTGTGTGCGCGCAAAAAAAAAAACGGTTTGATATGAAGTGATATGTGATAGGCTTGTTCCCCGCCCTTCATGCTTCCTGATCATCGTTATGAAAGTCAATTGGCGGATCCAAATTCCTTTTTTTTGGAGGGTTTGTTTCGGCGTTTATTCAGGGAGATGCCACGCCGATTACACAATGTTTGTTGGTCTTCTGGTGGGGGCAAATTAAGAAGGAAATGTCAGATGACGGAAAACTTCTGTTCTTTTAAATGCACTGATTACGATTCTCAAATCTGTGAGCAATTTTCTACTAAAAGTTTGCAGAAACATCAGCATAGTGGTCGAGATGGAAGAGGCGGGCAAAGTGGAGCTGTACATAACCTATCAGGTGTACTGTGCCTCGTGGAAACCGTGTTACGACATTCGTGCCTCGTCGACCGAAGAGGAGGATGAGCAGCAGATCGGCGCGAGCTCGGTGCAACTGTGCTACTACGGACTCGTCGAGCAGAACACTGGCGACGACTGGAAGGACTGCGACATTGTGCTGTCGACGTGCTCGGCGAGCCTCGGCGGCTCCCCGCCGCCGCTTTCGACGCTCTCCGCATCACTGTACAGCTCGCGGAGCACGCGGAGACATCACGCGAGCTCGGCGGTCCGCAGAAAGCCGCCGCTTTCGGTGCCGTCGGAGGAGGACATGGGCTTCGGCTCGTTCGATTATAACGAGATTGTCGACGCGGGCGCCCTCCACCGCTTCCACACCGGACAGCACAGCCGCAGCAGCGAGGAGAACTCGGTGAGCACGCAGGCGCTCGAGAGCACCGTCTCCACGTGCTTCTCCGTCCCGAGAACCGTCACGATTCTCAGCAACGCCGTCGAGCACAAACTGCTCATTTCCAAGGTGGGCTTTCTCGGCCGTGCCTAACTTTGTCCAACTTTCAGAGCGAACTATCGTGTGCGTTCTCCCACGAGACGGTTCCATCGCGCTCGACGAGTGCCTATCTCTCGGCACTCATCACCAACACCTCGCAACTTCCGCTGCTGCCCGGCGCCGCCGCCGTCTACGTCAACAATTGTTTTGTGACCAAAGTAGGGTAGTTGTACAGTGTACATCTGAAGCGCCGGCCCCTCTTTTTTACGTTTCAGACCCACTTGCGTCTGGTCTCGCCGGGCGAGGAGTTTCGCTGCAATATGGGTGTCGATCCGTCGGTGAAGGTCGAGTACAAAACGCCCACAGTGTCCTATGAACAGGTTTGATAGAAAATGAACTTGAAATATTGAAGATCAAATGATTTAGGTGGGGTTCATGTCGAAGAGCACTCTGATGACACACGAGCAGTTGATCAGTGTGCGAAGTGCGAAAGTACGACAGAGCGTGAGGATTACGGTTAAGGAGCAAATACCGAAGAGTCACGATGACAAGATTAAGGTAAAATCATAATCAGTAGGAGTTTTCGAGTCGAGAATAAAAATGTATCATCCGCAACTTCAGACCCGCCCCAGCTATCCTTCTCACAAGAAATTGCGGTTCTAGGTAACGCTCTATCTCTAGCAGAGCCTACGCTTTTTGGGATTTTCTGAGCCACCCTTAGAATTTCTAGGCCACCACCCTCGGGCATTCCTACGCCACCTCATCAAAATGGTATTCAGGTCTCAATCGTGTCCCCGGAAATTAAAAACTCGTCGTCGAAAGCGTCAGCGTCATCGCCGCCCGACGCTCGTCTCAACAAAGATCACAATCTGGAGTGGTGCGTCGTGTTGGCGCCCGGCCAGCACCGACTTTTGCCCGTTCGCTACACCATCGAACATCCGGCATCGGAATCGTTGAGCTACAAACTCAAATAAGCGTATTTATCGATTTTTTTCGAATTGTCAAAAGTGTTTGTGTATTCGATTTGTATCAAACTCATTCCTTACGCGGTTATTCAGCGTATATTTGTTTTCGGTTTTTTTACATCGCTGAATTGGATTTTTTGACGTAAAAAAAACGAAAAAAACGGAAAACAATCATTTTTTCACAGCCTGAATTCAGTGTTTGTCAGAAAATATCCGCTGAATAACCCCAATAGTTTTGGCTCTTTCAGTTTTTTGTTTTAGTCTTTAACTTCTTTTTTTTTTGGATAAATAAATGGATATAAAAGGACCGCACTCACCATATTTGTCATAATCTCTTGAGGAACGATTGGGAGAGTAATCTGTCAACACACTCAAGTCCTTAACCGGTTAAAGGACCGTCGGCCGCCTCCGCATCGGCACTTGACCGTGCGGCCAAAGTTGGTTGAGCACTTCTGCAACAGTTACCTTGTATTTTTATGCTTTTTCTGAGAAATTCCGTGAAAAAATGACAATTTTCAATAGAAAATGTGTTTTTTCTAGTTGAACGGATTACGATACACAATTTCGCTTGGTGTAAAGTACGCAAACACGGTCACGTCGGAAATGCACAGATTTTGTAAAGTTTCGTATTCTTTCATTGAATTTTTTGGGTTTTGCCCTTATTTTGTCCAATATATTCGCATTGCAACATCGTTATTGTGCGTCTCGAGAAAGAATGGGTACTTTTGCCAAGACACCGCCCTAATCCCCCGCTACTTTGGCCACCAGCACCGCTTCTCCATCTCTTTGCCCACTCATAATCCTCTCGCCTCCCAAAATGGTCCCTTTCTCATCGGTGCAAACGTTTGCAAACAATCTTTCCGCGTCGTTTCCGCGCGGAAGCATTATAGAATTACAGCTAATAAACGTGTGAATGAACGGAGCCATAGGTAATTTAATGAACCGGACACATATGTGCAGTAGCCGTTCCCTCCGGTTGTTCAAATATATCAAATGCTCGTGTGGGAGGCTCCTGGGGTGAGCACCTTTACGAAAAGCAAATAAAATGAGGCGAAATGTGAGGTGCGCGCTTCTTTTATTTTATAATATTTACTTTTTTACCTATTCAATTCGCGCTACTTCACACTTTGCCGGCAAATTTTCAAGCTTTTCGTCAGGCTGCACAGATTTCGACGAAGCTTTCGAAACATTTCCAAAACGTCATTTTTTCCCTCAAAAATTGACGAAAGCACAGCTGCTTTCATCCTTCATCCATTTATTGTCATCGCCCATTTTCCTTTGTCATCATTTTTCCGTGCGCTCTTCGCATGGCTTGTCCTGTCGGCTGATGTAATAGTGCGCTCAAATTGCCCAAAGAATGACCACTGGTTTTTCGCAGTGCACTTGTGATTGGGAAAATCCATTATTTTCGTTATTTCTGCTAGGATTCTCTAGAAAGTCATCATTTTCCCACACAAAAACGTTGACAAACAAAGATTTTGCCATCGAGAAAACCACGATTCCGATAGCATGTGTACGGGGAACCTATGCCCAAGTTTTTTAAAATTTTTAGAATATCTAACCATTGAGCTCTATTGAGACGGAGAAGAAGAAGAAGAAGAAGCAGATTACTTCTTCGTCTTCCAAATTTGAATAGAATATTCAATCACACAAATGTCTCGCGAGCCCTTTAGTCAATTCAATCCGACTATATCTTTCCGAATGGATGCCCTCCTCCTCCTTAGTTTCCTCGGAATAATCTGTTGTCGGCGCCCCAATACACTACATTTAATGTGTCTGTGTGATGAAATCGGCCGCCGAGAGAGTGTAGGAGTGGGCGGAAACGCAGACACCTCTCTCTCTCTCTCCCCGCCCTTTTCCTCTTTTTCCTCCTACTTCTTCGTCTTCTTCTTCTTGTCGCCCCGCCGCCCGTTTCTCTCGTTTTCTTCCACACACAAAGCTCTTTTTTCTTCACTTTTTGAGTTCCAAAAGTTTTACTTTCTCCCTAGCAGTTTAGAAGCTTTTCCGTTCAGACGATTCTGACGGAAACTGATCAGTAATTGCTTTCTTTTCAATCGCTTTTTTTTTCTAAAAATAAAAACAATTTTTGCGTGTTCAGGATGGCCACCAAGGACGCCCTCATCGCCGAAGAAGGGCACACTAATTTTGCGGGCGGTAGCAGCGGGGATGTTGCCACTTTCGACAAGGTAATTTCCTGAAAAATTGCAAGCTCCCAATTTTCCAAGTTTCCAGAACGCCGAAGTGGTCAATTTCGAGCTGGAGCCGAAAGCGATCGGACTGACGAAAGAGCAACTCGAGAAGTATCGCAATGATCCGTTCTGGAAGCCGGTTAGGTAGGATTTCTGCGCAAAGTAATCGAAATTCCATTGAGAACGTGTTCAGAACCATTCTGTTCGTCGCTTTCTGGGCCGCCTGGGCTCTCATGTTCGCCGGAGCCATCGCCATCGTTGTGCTCTCGCCAAAGTGCGCCGAGAAGCAGAAGCCCGAGTGGTGGCAGACCAAAGTCTCCTATCAGGTGAGATAATTAAAAAAGTGCTGTCATCATAACCTCATTTTTCCACCTCTCAACTTTTTTATAAACTCAATGAGAGCGCGAAAGTGTGCGACGAGTCTATGCCCAAAATCTGAGCTGAAATTGAAAAATTCTCATTAGAGCGCACTCCTATCGCTTCCTCCCAACAAGTGTGAACATGAGAGATGGCCAATCCTCCCGCCCGTCTCCCCCTTTCTCATTTTGACAGATTAGTACTCAGACCCCCTTTTCTCTTCGGCGAGACGGCCGATTTGATGACCTCGTTCACTCGCCTGTCATCTATTTATCTCGACAATTAATCATTTTGTGTTCACTCGGCCGCCCCCACGTATTATTATTCAAATTCCGCGGGGACCGAAAACAAAAGCTTGGGTGATTCTCAAATTCTTCGTCTTCAGCTCCTCACCGCCACCTTCTACGATTCGGACAACGACGGAGTCGGAGACTTTGCCGGAATAACCGAGAAAATCGACTTCCTTCGCAAAATCGGAGTGACTACCGTCTACCCGACGCCGGTTATAAAGATTCAAAAGGTTTTCCGAATGATGTTTCAGCAAAAATCATGTGCAAATGATTTTAGGATGAATACTTCAACTCGTACGACGTTGTCGATCACAACGCCGTCGACGAGCGTTTCGGAAGCGAAGATCAGTTCAAGGAGCTCATTGAGACGGTTCACAACAGAGGTAAGCGAGGAAAATGACAATTCACACTTCAGTTTTCCAGCTCGAAATCTTTTTGAAAATTTTGTTGAATGGCACGCTCAAGGGGAACCTATGCCCAATTGTTCAACAAATTTTCAGATATGTACCTGGTGATGGACCTGCCCGTCTCCACCGTCGACATCTCGCATCCGTGGTTCGAGAAGCGTGAGGAAGCCAAGTTTGTTCTGGCCACCCCGTCTGATTCGGGCTTCAACGAGACCAACTTCTATCCGTTCCACGGGTCCACTCGTGTCAAGTATCTCGGATATCCGAGCAGCCAGAATCCGGTGCTCAACTGGAAGAATGCGGACGTGAAGGCCACCATCAACGGCGCCATTCAAAAGTTTTTGGATTTGGGCGTCGACGGATTCCACATCGATCACATCAGTCAATTGGCCGTCGATGCCAAGGGAAAACCTAATGTACGTGCCGAAAAATGTGACATTTCTCAATAAAGGCCATTTTCAGCACGACGAAGCGATCAAAGTGCTGAAAGAGCTAACCCAATCCGTCGTCCGGTACGTGCAATCGAAGCCGGAATTGGAAGGAAAGAAGATTGTGCTGTTCTCGTCGCTCAAGGACGTCGAAGAGTTGCACACGAAGGCCACCGAAACCGGTATTCTGAACACCGTCATCGACAATTCGTTTGCCACGTTGTCGGAGAAGAAGTGCGCGCCGTCGGTGGCGAAGTGCGTCCATGAGGCCCTCAACGCCGCTTATGAGAGACATCAGGTTGGTATTGTTTTCGAAAAATCGAATTTTAGCCAGGTTTTAGTAGAAGACTATACATTTTTAGGTGGAAAAATACCAGAAATCGGTAAGTTTGATGCTCGCGTTTTTTCTAGGAAAAGACAATAGAATTGTGATTGTACAATAGCATGGTTTTCCATTTACCTTCTTTTCTAATCATTTTCCAAAAATAACTCATTTAGAAGGACAACTTCACTGCTCACTGGCAATTCTCGAACGCCGACTCTTCGCGTCTGGCGTCCCGATTCGATTCGCAGACCGCCCATCTCCTCTCGTTCCTCCAACTCACTCTGCCCGGCGCCATTTCGGTCTACTACGGACAAGAGCTTGGACTGAAAGACGCGACGAACAAGGACGGACGTTACGCTCAGATGGGAGTGATGCAGTGGACGCCGACCGGTGGAGACCACCACGGATTCAGCGGAAACGCCGAGCCCATCTTCTTCCCGGAAAGTGAAGACAACCTGGAGGCTGACAACTTTGAGGTAAACGGCATAATTGGAAGAACACTCTGAACTCTTCTTTTTTCAGACCCAATTCGCCATCGACAACTCTGCGCTCAAAATCTACCGTAAACTGGCGAAACTGCGTCAGAGAGACGAGGCGCTGATCGTCGGACAGACTGTCCGTGACGAGCTGCTCGCCGACGACGTCATCGTGTTCTCGCGCTTCTCTACCAACAAAACCGTCACAAATGTGGCCACCGGCTCCGCGTTCGTCGTCGCCCTCAATTTTGGCGAGAAGCCGCAGACCGTCGACTTTTCGAAGGAGCCCGCCGCCAAGCTCATCCCGATCAACAAGAACGTGCAGAACATTGAGGTGAGCTGGAAAATCTGAACATTTCACTTTCAGCGAAGAGGGCTGAAAGTTTGGAATGTGTCAGGTTTTGATGGCAACCAGACGGGGAGCCCAATTTCTATTTTTTGCAGATCTCGGTGGTGACTGCCAATGTGACCGAGTACAAGATCCGCGAGCACTACAATCTCATCGAGAAGCCGCTCGTGGTGCCGCCCAAGCAGGCAGTCCTCTTCAAGCTGTAAAATTGGAATTTTTTCTAACTTTTTCTTTTATCTGAAACCAATGTTAAACCCTGTTCCTTTTTCTAAAGAATTTGAAGTGAAAATTTCAAGCGTTAAGCGTATTTGATCAAGCTCAACGTGTCAAAAGATGAAAGGACGGGAACAGATACTATCCATCCATCGCCCCGCGAAAGGAAAAGTGTATAAATAAAAGTGAGCCCCTGGTCATCATTCAAAATCTCTCCCCTGGCGCTCATCAAACCCAAACAAATAGACATAAGACCCCCCCCCCCCTTTTCTTTCTTTTCGCGGGCTGCTGTTGGTCAGTCAAAGGTGTCCAAAACTGTATTCCTTTCCCGTCACTGCCCTTCTGTTGACTTGATCGGCCCGTAATTCAATCCTCCTCCACATTTTGGCCTCTTCTTTTTATCAATTTTCACTCCTTTCGTCTATGACCTTCATTTTCCCTGATTTCCAGGCGATACGGTATCTATTTTCAACTCCTTTCCTTTAAGAATTTTGAAGAATTTGATATATCTCGAAAACTAGAAAAGATAGAGAAAAAGTTCAAGAAAATTCTCTATCGAATGGAGAAACGTTTTTTGGAAATGTGTCGGATTCTAGGCCAACATAGTTTTCTTCAATTTTAAGATCCTTAAGCATACTTGAACGGTACCCGGAACTTATATTAGGTGGCCTAGAAATCCCCCCAGCCATTTTTGATGCTTTTTGACACTCATTCTCAAGAAAAAAAAAGCTCTCGTTCACGATGTTCCGCTCACTTCTCACCACTTTCCCATATTTGTCGTCGCTTTGTTTCGACATGCTTCAACTACCGTAATCCTTTTTCTCTCGGCGCAGCAGCAGCAGCAGCAGTACCTACAGTAATCCGACGGGTCAACAGACGGAAATATTGAATAATTGTGAAGGGAGAATGCAACAATTCTCCCTCTCCTACCACTCGATATACACGCGGAATTGGCGAGTCGTCGGCGCCATCTGGGTCCTGTGCGGATTGTGTACAAGTGGGTGGATGACTCGAAGACGAGCAGAATTAGGATCAGCGTGAAATTCTGCGTCGAATGGTATATAATATGGCTGGGTTTGAAGCAATAAAGTGTTTTGGGAAAACTAGTCCCTCAAGTCGGAAAGTTAGGCCATGCATGACGCGCAGAATTTCACGCTGAACTCGAAAATCCCGTTGACAACTTTAAAAAACTTGCAGCGGTGCTCCAAACGCTCGTGCTCATCCATCCGACGTGGATCGGCAACGACGAGGGCGGCTATTTCGGGCTCTACGACTATTGCGGCACGAATGAGTGTCCGTGGAGTCCTTTTAGGTACACTTTTAAACGTTTTTAAATATATTTTCGCGTTCAGAGTCCGTCCGCTGAGTATGTGGTTCGAAATCGCCGCGTTTCTAGTGCTCGCCGCCACAGTGCTGAGTTTTTTGGCCATTTTTTCGATTTTAGTAGGTTTTTTTCGAGAAAAACCATAGAGACGACACTGTTTTTGCAGCTTTTGGTGTTGCTCCGCGACCGTCACGCCTTCATCCTCTGCTCGTGGCTCCACTTTTTCGCTTGTGAGTTTTCTAGGCCACGGCCACCGTCCCCCAATCGAATCGACACTTTTTCAGTCGTGTTCATGTTGTCCGGATGCATACTCTACCCGTACGGATGGGAGAATCCACGTGTGCGCGAGATTTGCGAGTCGCGCAAATATCAGCTGGGACTCTGTCAAATTCGATGGCCGTTCCTGCTCGCTCTGGTGCTCGTCTTCGATCAACTGTGTCTTTGCTGTCTGGGATTCGCGTTGGCGCTCAAAAAACCGCCGAAAATACCCGAACTTCACTCCCTAACCGGTTAGTTTGCGAGGGCCGGCCTATCGATCGGTATACATACGTACAACAGAGTTGAGCGGAAGAACTCACGGAAGAATTTTTATCTTTTTTAGAAAATTTTTTCATGAAATGTGATCAACTGACGAAATGTAGAGCAAAGTGAACTGTGCTCATAGAAAAATAATTGTAAATTTAACTTTTCATACAAAAAAGTTATTCGAGTTGTTTCGTGAAAAAGGGGGCTAACGGAAGACGGAACTCGAATAACTTTTTTGTATGAAAAGCTAAATTTACAATTATTTTTCTATGAGCACAGTTCACTTTGCTCTACATTTCGTCAGTTGATCACATTTCATGAAAAAATTTTCTAAAAAAGATAAAAATTCTTCCGTGAGTTCTTCCGCTCAACTCTGGTATACAACATCATTGCCAGTTTCGAAAGAAAATCGATTTTGGGAAACTAGTCCCCCCCAAATTGGCAAGTTAGGCCATAGAGTTTTCAGGCCCGACCGTCATCAGCAACACGATTCAACCGGTGCCGCGACCGCGTAAAATGTCGCTTCAAGACTCGTTCTATTCACATTCCGGATCTCGTCTAGAACTTTGAACACAACGAAACGTTTTCCCAAAATGCAATTTATTCTTCTCAACTCCCACACACTTTATCTGTATTTTTGCTGCTCAAACACGACTTTTCTCACAATGAAGTTGATCTTTTTTTCTCGAACGACTGTCACGCAAACTCAAATTTTCGTCTGGGAGAAATGTACGGTGAGGGACCCGGAGTTGACGTGATATTATCCGATCGAGGGGTTGGTATCAAGATGTACTCGACGTAGAAGGCCTCAACTGGACCACAACGCGTCAGTCTTCGCCAAAATGTCGTTTCCGTACGCTCGTCTTGTCATTCTATCGTGCCTGCTCGCCTTCGTCCACGGAAATGTGATCGCCTCCAGCGAATTCGGTCACAAAAGTTAGTTTGTCGGTGAAATTTCGAAACGAAAGCGCCTAGCGTGCACGGTTTATCACCATTTTGGCGCGAAATTCGAAATTTAACCCCATTTTTCATGTTTTTCGTCAAAAATTACCCAAATTATGCACGATTTCGACGATGTAATTGCATAACTTTGTTAAACTAATCATCGCGCACTTTTTGAGCTTAAAACGAGCAAGTTTCATTCAGAAATGAATCGATTGAATCGATTTTCAAGTTTTGTGCTGAAAATGCGCGAATTTCAGTCATTCGCCGATACTTTTTGCCCGTTTGAACGCTTAAAATACTTGTATTAACGTGCTTAATCACTTCCGACACTCACTTCGTCTCAAAACTATCCACATCGGCCGGTATGAAAATTCCGAAATTGCGGCGGCGATTGGCCGCGGAGAGCCTATTGCGAAATATGCCAAAAACGTCTCAAACGCGGCGTTTTCACGAAAATTTCAATGTTTTCTCTCTTTAATGTGCTCTCTTCTTTCGTCGATATCAAACACAAAAATATCGGAAAAGTGTGCTGGAATTGCGGCAATTTTCAGAAAACGCGTCTCAGATTAGGCCACGCCCCTTTCTACACTTTTGGTCGCCGTGATAAACGTTGCTAACTGAGAAAATTGATCAGCGTGGAAATGCAATTTGGGACTGTTGTTTGAATCTGTTTAGAAACGCATACTTCGAACATGAAAAAGAAAAAATTAATTAAATTCACTACGAAAAAGGTGAGAACACAATCGATTTATTAAAAAGAAAACGAAAAAACAGAAGGAAAACAAAAATTTCTGCAGCAGCCTACGTGGCCGCGGACTAACTTTCTCTTCTCACATCATTCAAATTTAGAGTCCCCCAGGTTTTCGCGGGCTCTTCTCAATAGCGCGCCCGTTCTGTCCGGTGCCCCTATAATAGGGGAACGACGCGGAATTTCATGCTGAATTTCTCGGAAACGATTTTTTGCAGGGTGTCCAAAAGGATGGCTTCAATACGAGGAGCATTGCTATCTGAGACAACCGGATCTGCTCAATTTCCAAGAAGCCACCAGAAATTGTGAACGACACGGCGCCGACCTGTTCAATTCGGACGATTCGTACGAGTTGGAGGCCATCCGGTCCCTGTTTCCCGACTACTATTTCACGTGGGTCCAGTCGGACGTCGAAGAAGAGTTGTGAGTCGGAAAAGTGCAAGCCATTTTTTTCAAAACAATACAATTTTTGAAGAGTGTGGTTGTACGAGCCGTACGAGGAGGCAATCAACGGAAAGTCGTCGGTGGCTCGGTGCATTGCGTGCTATTCCTCGCCCAACCGATATTATAATTTCTATTATCCGTGCACGTCGCGCTTCCACTCGATTTGCGAGAAACCGCTCAAATCGTTCCACCAATGGGTCCAGTAGAATTTCGTTGTTTTTTTTTGCAAATAAATTGTTCTCATGAAATTCGCATTATCTAATTTTCAGCACTTGTTTGTGTTACGTCGAAAAATGCTCAAAATCCGCCGAATTTGAATAGAATTCAAGGCCGGCCGGGTTTTCGAGGGGTGGCCTAGGAATAACGCCTCGGACTCCGTTTGGACAAGTCGGTGAAGAGATTTGACAATTCTTTAGCTTTACTCGATGAAAATGAGAAAAGTCAGCGAATTTGTGCAATTTTAGACAATTGGCAACCATTAGAAAAGTCCAGAAGAACGAAAATTATAGACTTAGCAATTGTCGGTGACGTAAAACTTGTTTGTTCGGCGGCCCTATCACACAGAAAACACATCACGAAGGAGGCGGAAAATGAGAAAAAGTCAGGCAGAGGAAGCGAAGGTTCGGGAAGAAATGCGAATTCTGTATAAAAGTGATTGAAGATGACCTTGGAATCGCCGTTTTCTGCGGGCTCCACGCTTTTTCTAGATTTCTTTTGATAAGCTCTGCTTTTTTACAGGTTGAGTCAACACTTCATAACTTTTCAAAGTTTTTGTGCTCTTTTCTGTGAAAATAGCTAAATTTCACAACTTTTTACATTTTCCTTGGTGAATTCGATTTTACCTAGCAATTTTATTACTGAAAACTGAAATTCCAATCAAAATCACCCAGATTTCTCCCAGAAACATCTGGAAAGTTCTAGTTTCCCCCAAAAATCCTGTTATTTTGCACTCTTCCCGGCTACTCGAAAGATCGTCCAGATCAGTTCGATTTCGAAAGTGGCGAGCGAGTGTGCGTTACGAAGAGACGCAGACACTGAGCAGCGGTCCGCCGCGAACATTCTACGGCCGGCGAGAAGCCACGCCCATCGACGTTGAGTCCAGAAATTTCCGAAACCGGGGCAACATATATATGAGCGTGAAGCCCGTGATTTGAGCATTCTCGTCCTGCATTTTGTTTTTTGAAATTCGGCCGTTTTGGTGACTTTGTCAAGGCGCAAAGTGTGGTGCGCGCTCCGCCGCGGGTGGTTCTCTCGAACATTCTGTGCGGCAGAATTCGCCTAGTATTTTCTGAATTTCTCCTTTTCTAGCGGCCAGCTCTGCCTGTATTGCTGCTCGGTTTTCAGATTTTCGCCATTTTTCGATTCGAATATTTAGTTTTTACTTGATTTTATCGAAATCTTTCACAATTTTGCCGGAGTTCGTCCATTTTGTACGCGAAAATTGGGTTTACACAACATTTTCGAATTTTCCGCCCGTATTCCTCGCCGCGCCGCCCAAATTTTCAAATTTTTCTCTCGCTCCGTTCGATTTCCGCCTCGCTGTTTTCCATGTCAAGCTTTTTTTTTGCAGAATTATGTCTAAGCACAACGCTGTTGGAATCGATCTCGGAACCACCTACTCCTGCGTCGGAGTCTTCCAGCATGGAAAAGTCGAGATCATCGCTAACGACCAAGGAAACCGCACGACTCCGTCGTACGTTGCCTTCACTGACACCGAGCGTTTGATCGGAGACGCTGCCAAGAACCAGGTCGCCATGAACCCGCACAACACCGTCTTCGGTTAGTTTTTCACTCTTGGTACCTTCTAGAACTTGACAAATTCCTCTTCTGTTCCGGCATTAGGGTCTGTAGTTTCTGCCGATATAATTTGAGGAGAAAGCATAAGGATATTACCCTGCTCTGGCGCGTTTTGCGTACTCAGTTTCTTTGTCGTCCTAACAATTATTAAAAATTTATTCTTTCAGATGCCAAGCGTCTCATCGGACGCAAGTTCGACGACCCAGCCGTGCAGTCGGACATGAAGCACTGGCCATTCAAGGTCATTTCTGCCGAGGGATCCAAGCCAAAGGTCCAGGTCGAATACAAGGGAGAGTCCAAGATCTTCACCCCAGAAGAGATCTCCTCGATGGTGCTCCTCAAGATGAAGGAGACCGCTGAGGCCTTCCTTGGAGCGTCGGTCAAGGACGCCGTCGTCACCGTCCCGGCTTACTTCAATGACTCGCAGCGTCAGGCCACCAAGGACGCCGGAGCCATCGCTGGACTCAACGTGCTCCGTATTATCAACGAGCCGACCGCCGCCGCTATCGCCTACGGACTCGACAAGAAGGGATCCGGAGAGCGCAACGTGCTTATCTTCGATCTTGGAGGTGGTACCTTCGATGTGTCCATCCTCACCATTGAGGACGGAATCTTCGAAGTCAAGTCGACCGCCGGAGACACCCATCTCGGAGGAGAAGACTTCGATAACCGCATGGTTAACCATTTCTGTTCCGAGTTCAAGCGCAAGCACAAGAAGGATTTGGCCTCAAACCCACGTGCTCTTCGTCGTCTTCGCACTGCTTGCGAGCGCGCCAAGAGAACTCTGTCGTCGTCGTCCCAGGCTTCGATCGAGATCGATTCGCTTTTCGAAGGAATCGACTTCTACACGAACATCACCCGTGCCCGTTTTGAGGAGCTGTGCGCTGATCTCTTCAGATCCACCATGGACCCAGTCGAGAAGGCCCTCCGTGACGCCAAGATGGACAAGAGCCAGGTAAGTATTCAGATTTGTTAGTTGGGAGAAAATTATACGTTTTTCAGGTCCATGACATTGTTCTCGTCGGAGGATCCACCAGAATCCCGAAGGTCCAGAAGCTTCTTTCGGATCTTTTCTCCGGAAAGGAACTGAACAAGTCAATCAACCCGGATGAGGCCGTCGCCTACGGAGCTGCTGTCCAGGCCGCCATTCTCTCCGGAGACAAGTCTGAGGCTGTCCAGGACCTTCTTCTCCTTGACGTCGCCCCACTTTCGCTCGGTATTGAGACTGCTGGAGGAGTCATGACTGCTCTCATCAAGAGAAACACGACCATCCCGACCAAGACCGCCCAGACCTTCACCACCTACTCTGACAACCAGCCAGGAGTGTTGATCCAGGTCTACGAGGGAGAGCGTGCCATGACCAAGGACAACAACCTGCTCGGAAAGTTCGAACTCTCTGGAATCCCACCGGCGCCACGCGGAGTCCCACAAATCGAGGTCACCTTCGACATTGACGCCAACGGAATCCTCAACGTGTCTGCCACCGACAAGTCGACTGGAAAGCAGAACAAGATCACCATCACCAACGACAAGGGGCGTCTGTCGAAGGACGACATTGAGCGTATGGTCAACGAGGCCGAGAAGTACAAGGCTGATGATGAGGCCCAGAAGGACCGCATCGGAGCCAAGAACGGACTCGAGTCTTACGCGTTCAACCTCAAGCAGACGATCGAGGATGAGAAGGTTAGCTTGTTTACACGAAAGATGTCTGTATTCTAATTTTAATAATTTTCAGCTCAAGGACAAGATCAGCCCTGAGGACAAGAAGAAGGTTGAGGACAAGTGCGACGAGATTCTCAAGTGGCTCGAAAGCAACCAGACTGCCGAGAAGGAGGAGTTCGAGCACCAACAGAAGGATCTTGAGCAGCTTGCCAACCCAATCATCTCCAAGCTCTACCAGGGTGCCGGTGGAGCCCCAGGAGCAGGAGGAGCTGCCCCAGGAGCCGGAGGAGCTGGAGGACCAACGATCGAAGAGGTCGACTAATTATCTATAAAAAATTTGATCTCCTTTTCCCCACTTTTTATCCCAGCCCCCTCTACTCCCCCTACAGTCCCCATATATTATCGATCTTCCCCCACTTCCCCTCGTTCACTATTTATCACCCATTGTGGTGTCGATAAATTAAATAATTAAAGGCGTGTTTTATTAAAGTTTACAATGTGTACAATAGTCCCAGATGCCCGGGAAAACCGGAAAGTCGTCGCCGGTGTTGAACTTTTTGAGCACCTCTTCCTGATAGGCCATTGCCTGAGACTCGAGAGAGTTAAGGGGGGGTCTGGGTGCCAAAAAACGCGAGACGCAGAGGACACGAATATACTGAAAATGACCTGAGAGAGAACCTGATAGTGTGCGAGAGCACAAGAGAAAGCTCGAAAGAGCGGAACAGGAGGGGAAGGGAATTGCATGTTTTAATGAGACCGTCTGTGAACTTCTGATGGAAGCAGTGATTTCGTGATAATTCTTTCCATTTTGAAATTAATTTATTTGATATGCAAAAACTAAATTCTTTTTCTTTTCATTTCTTTTCAATCCCAATCGGACTCTTTTCTGCTCTTTGTGAGCGAAACGCCTCAAAATTCAGTGCGAATAACGATGGCTAAACAGTGCGCGCCACGACAATCCGCCCGTAGCCTCGGCATCGCCATTGCATCGCCGATGCATCGCATTTGAACCGCCGATACATCGCAAACCGTTGTCTGAGTAGTGGAGGGCAATTGTTCTAGTAGGCCACGACGCGGCACGCAACGCTCTCAATGGAGCGCACTTGCACCGCTCGTCATGCGGGTGTTTATTTTTGGATGCGAGAGTCACAAATTCCCATGGAAAATCATCCGTTTTCGTCGTGTTCTTGACTCAAAAACTCGGAAAAAATGAAAACGTTTCAGAAAATGTCAAAAAATCGGCAAAAGGAGTGAGAGAGAATGGAGAAAATGAGGGAAGTGCCGCCGCGACTATACCTTCTCCTCGCCATCGTTCTATTTTTGGCCACTTTCGGGCTTACCGGCCTTGTTGTGGCACCCGCCAGCGTCCTGTGCTTCGTGGCAGGGTAATTTTGAAAAAAGATTTTCCCGAAAAACGATCAATTACAGATTTCTGTACATTTTCTATCAAACTGGCGTCGAAAAGTCGCAAAAAGTGGACGAAGAGCTCGTGGCGACGCTCGAATCGTTCAAATTTCAGTCGGGAATTGAGCAGCTGCTGCGAAATGCGAAAAGATTGAAAGAGCAGAATCAGTACGTCGAGGTGCACTCGTTGAGCAACTCGCCGCAGTTGGATCAGGTTTTAGAGCAGGTGGGAGGCGGTTTTAGGCCAAAATTATACAGAATAACAAAAAAAATCACAAAAATGACTCTAGACGCCGTTAGGAGCTAACCTCGACAATTTCAGATTCTCGGCAACATTACACGTGATTACATCGGATTCTGGTACAAAAATTTGTCGAACGACACGATTTTCGAGCAAAGTCTGAAAAGGACGTCCCGCAGATCGGTTGCCTCGCTCACACAGTGGTAAATTTTACAAAAATTCCAAAGATTTCCGCAGAAATCTCAATTTTGCAGCCTACGTCAGGTGGATTGGGTGCCTTTGATCACTCGTGACGTCGTCGACGATTTCGCATCGCATCTTCGACTTTTCCGAAAGGCAAAAGAGAGAACCGCGTTTCAGAATGGTAACAATCGGATTTTTCACCTAAATTTGTCCTGAAAATCGCAATTTCCCACGCAAATACCGAAAAGCTTCATCACATGTTAATTTGACCTGAACATTCGATAATTTCTCCTAAATTCTGCATGTTTTCAGACAAAAAAACGGAAAAAGAGTCGAAATCGAAGGAGGAGATGGACGCCGAGCTGCTCAGCAACTTTTTCGATTTCGAGTTGGAAATGGAGAAATCGCTGTGCCGAGATTTGCTTTCGACGACTCCCCACTACGAAAATGGTTAGAATGAGCGAATTTAAGCGAAAAGCAGCGAAAATTGGGCGAATATTAAAAAAAAACGTATAAGATTGTTACAGCGTACCTACACGACCTCGTCGACATCATTCTGTATCTGATTATGCCTCCCGAAGACTTCAGATGCCGTCCCCTTCGGTTTTTGCTAAGAGAAGTCGTTGGTAAGCGCACATTCTAGGCAAATTGTAAAAAAAAGTTCTTGAAAACTCTAAAAGGCATTCTTAACTAACTAATATTGCCGCGCGCTTTCCACCGAATTTTTCTTAATTTTGCAGTGCGAAAAGTGATCCTGCCGACGCTGGACTACTTGTCCGACCCGAACGAGATCTTCCAGCTGATCGTGTGGCTTCTCAGCGAGGTCGAACCGAAACCCGACGATTTTGTGGCGTGTCTCACGAATTCGACGTGCGCCGACGAGCTGGAGGCCGTTTTTCAGTCGATTGTCGACGAGAAAACGGTCATGCGCGGCAAGGATTCCGGCGGAGAACAAGGTATTTCCATTTTCTCGAACGATTCCAGGTGTTTAGTGTTTTTGCAGACACATTTGTGAAACAACAGTTGGCGAGTCTTCAATTCGTCGAAAATCTCGTCAGAAGGCGCATCGACTTTCTGGGATCCAAAGATTCCGCGTATTTGGTGAGAATTAGCGTTTTTGTGCACTAGTTTCAAAGTTGCCTGACAATTTCAGTCGAAATTCGGCGAAGACGGGGAGCAACTGGTGCAACTACCGCTCCACGTCATCCTCACCAACTCGACCGCCCTGTCGCAATTCATCGAGTTCCTCAAATCGGCCGGCGGACAGAATTACATTGATTTCTATCTGGCCATCGAGGTACTGAACTTGTGGCGCACTTGCTGGACACGATATTATCAGTCCAATAGTGTGTTCAGTGAAATTTCCAGCCTGTTAATTTCAAATGTTCAGATGTGTTGAGGGAATTTATTAACGTTTCGCCGGAAAGCTCAAAGACTGATAATATCGTGTCATATTGATTGATGATAGCATTTGGCTCTTCTAAAAGTACGGAATAACTCCTCAATTCTTTCAGGGCTTCAAAGTATCCGTCGAGCATCAGATGAGATCACTTTCAAAAGGAGAGCTGACCGAAAGGGACGCGTACGAGACGGTCAAGGAGGCGGCCAAGTACATGTACGATCAGTACTTGTCCGAAGAGGTAAAACTGTCATTTTCGATGAAATCAGAACTGTACAACAGTGTTTTTCAGTCAAGATATTCGAAAATCCTCAATTTTTTAGGCCATAACACGCGTTCCACTGGATGACGGCCTAATCTCGAAGTTCCTGCACCGCCTGAAAAACGACGAGCCGCACGATTTGTGGTTCGAATCAATTCAGGAGAAGGTGGTCGAGACCCTGAAAACAGACGATCACTTCTTTCCGGCGTTCAAAAAGTCGGCGGCCTACGTGAAAATGCTTCTGGAACTGGAGATCATCGACGAGGATCGGAACGACCCGGAAATGTCCGAATCCGAATCGATCGCCTCGTCGATTTCCTCCTCGCAGGACCCGGAACTGGCGGCCCGAAAGCTGTCGGTGGAGGAGAATTCGGGAGCGTTGGAGGGCGAGCCCGTCATGACGGCCGTCGTCGAAACTCTCGGCATCGGGCACCAGGGAAAACAGACGTACGCGCTGTACAACGTGCGAGTCAGTCGGTGTGTGGACGGGAACGAAGTGAGCAGCTGGAATGTGATACGACGCTACTCTGACTTTCACACTCTGCACTCGGTCCTCACGCAGAAGGTACAGACAAAAACGGGGGAAAACGTAGTTGATTGATGTCAGTGGAAACGTCAGATTTTGAAGGGAATTGAAGAAAAATGTGAATTTTCTGTCCGGGTTCTGGTCCGCTCGGAATATATATGGCAAGTGGTCCAAAAGCCCGTGCCAGCTCTGAATTTACGGCCTAATCGTTCGCGCAAATTACAGTTCCCGAAACTGGCGACGCTCTCATTCCCGGGCAAAAAGACGTTCAACAATCTGGAATCGCAGTTTCTGGAGAAACGAACGAAGGCGCTGAACATGTACATGGCGACCATTCTGCAACCGTCCCTCCTCCGCAACTACCCCGAAATGGACCGTGTCGTTTTCGATTTCCTCTCGCAGAAACGCTACGCGAACTCGGATCCGCTGACGAAAAAGCTGATGTCGGCGATGTTCGATCCGATCCGCAATGGCGTCAAAGCGATGGGCAACACGGTGATGGCGGTGCCGGATCAGGTCTTCGAGGGGGTCACCAAGATGGGCGCCGGCATTAACAACGCCGCCAAAATCATCATCAATCCGATCAGCGGCGGCAGTGTTCCCAAAGGACCGCCGGTCATGGAGACGGATCGAGTCGCCGCCTCGCTTACGGATACGGTACGTGTGGGGGACCACTGGGACGAGGCCCTCATTCACATTTGACTGGCGTTTCACACGTTTTCCATGAGAAACAACTGAGAACGCTCAAAATTCTCCATTTCCGACACTGATCTGGTCAAAAACTGAGATTTTTAAATCCAATTCTAAAATCCGAATAAAACGATACATTTTTCTTGTTTTGCAGGAAGCGGAGAACATTCCGCTGCGCGTGCTGGTCCTAGTGGTCAGCGAGGTGTTCGGCGCGCAAGGAAGTGCGTGGTTCCGGCGACAAGTGGTCACCGTAATCCGGCACATTGTCACTCCGTTCGGCACTTCGATCAACAAACGCATCGTCGACATTGTCAACTGGCTCACTTCCGAACAGCAAGTCGGCGGATATCTCAACTCGTTTCGGTAGGAACCGGATAATATCGGGTTGGAAAACAAATTGAATATTGTACAGAAAATCGTTTTGGCCGGACGGAGAGTTGGCCGGAGAATACGTGCCGAAACCGCCGGAGTTCCACCATAAAACGCGAATTTTGGCGAAGACGCTCATGTTGTCATCGCTGCCCGACGAACTGCGCATCATTCTAGGCACCAATGTCAGCTACAAAGTACGGAAATGGAACAGTCTGAAACTATTGAAAGCTGTCTGAACTACTTCCGCAATCTAGACATTTCTGACTTTTCCCGGACTGTTGGTCATACATGTTTAACCGAAAATACAATTTGAAATTGTTTGTAAAAATCCACTCTTTTGCAGGGAATCAACACAATATCGGAGGCGTTCCAGAACAAACAACTCAACCGACGTTTGCTGTACGTGCTTCTGGAGCGCCTGCTCATAAAAGTGTTCCCGTCGAATCGATTCGAGAAGATTTTCGCCCAATTGCACTCGAAATCGCCGAGAACCAAGAAAATGTGATAGTTTTTAATTTTTTGAACATTAGCTTTTTTCTCCAATTTTCCCCGTCCCCAAACCCCTAATGGTTGTGCTGAATTTGAAAAATCTGTGAAAAAAGTGTGTTTTTTCCTCAATTTTTTCACCTTCCGCTCAACACCTTGGTTGTGATAGTTCAAATTTTTCCCGCCATGTTTGTATACACCATTCCTCGCGTCTCTTTTTTTTGCCATTTTACACCCATCTCACCGGTTTTTCACATTCTAACGTTCACAAAGCCTCTCCGAAAATGTCTTGTGCCAAAGTGTGTCAGCCAAATGATGAATTTTCCATGTTAAACATTTTTTTTTTGCGATTATATTTCCATTTCTTCTTCTGCGTGTTTTTCAGCAAACGCCTGGCTATCTGTGAAGCAGTACTATGAAATTGAATCAATTTTGAAAAAAATGTCAAGAGTTTGCAACAAGTCTCTTGCCATCACACTTTGTCGATAGCGATTGGACGCATCAAGAACGCCGCCACCATGGTGCACTTTTTGCTCCGATCACTGTCGCAAAATAATAGAGGCAGAGAGTCTATTGGCCACGTTCCGCTTTTTTACCCTTTTTTTGACGGTAAAAATGCCAGCAAAAGCCCACATCTTTTCTATTCCTCTCACGTTAAATTCTATCATTTTTTTCAGGTCCCTTCGCGGTCACAAACCTTCAGAAAAATAGCAGAGAAACAGGTAAGAGAAAAGTTTTTTCGGTTACCAAATTGTTGCTTGTGTGCTCTAATAAATCATACCAAAGCCCGTAAATCGACACAGCCCGCTTGTTGCAAGTGCGCCCCATTGAGCACTCGCCCCTTGCCAGATTCTAATTTTCGCAAAAAAAGTTGCGCGTTTCGTTGCTGAACAATAAAAAATTGCAGCCACGCCGCCTACCCGATAGAGTCGTTCTATTGCAAAATGCCGCTGAAGGAGGGCAGAGGCAGACAGTGCATGCACGTGGCGCCGCTTCAGGACCTCATCGAGCACGTCTCCGCGCACATGTAACTTTCTTTTCCTAATTGTCCACAAAAAAACGCGTAATTTCCAGGGGATTCGAGGTTTTCCAATGCCGAAAGTGCAAGATTGGTTTTCGAGACGGAGATCGAGAAGCCGAACGGCCGACGAAGAGCGAACACATGATCGCCGCTCCAGATCGTCGAGAAGAACCGAACGGGGAAGGAATTTGAAGCCGGACTCGTGAGTGATAATCGGACGGTCTCGCCGCGAAATTCATCTTTGAACGCGCTTCGAAAACTGCTGGAAATTCGGAGAAAAGCATACTATCGGGGCATCTCAAAGTGAAAGCGCTCTGTCGAGAAACCCCTCTTTTTGTGATCTCCGGGTCCACGAAACCGATGCCCCGATAGTACATGAGCGGAATATTTAAATCGTGCTTAAAAAAATGTTCGCCGTGAAAGCAATCTACTAAAATTGCGCACATTTTCAGGATGATCTCGACGGTGGTGCGGAAGCCGAGCGCATTCGGACAGGGCTCGTCCGGGATCTCCTACTCGACTGCGCGATCCGGGTCGCCGGGATTCGCGCGATTATCGCCCAATTGCACTCGAAATCGCCGAGAACCAAGAAAGTATAATAATATTATCCAGTTGATTTTTTGTAAATTAGCTTTTTCCACCTATTGTAAACTGATGGAAATGGCTCGTCCGAGCCCTTTTATAGGTGCTAATGTGGGGAGCGGGGAGAGGTACGAAGAGGTACGGCTCGCTGCGGGATCGTAAACATAAAAACGGGTCATGAAAGTGTAGAAAATGGGTGCGCTGCAACGGTCAAAAACCGTATACCTCGAAACAGTCGGAGTGACGGTTTTGACAGTCGTGGTTGTACTGAATTTGAAAAATCTGTAAAAAAAAATTGTTTGTTTTTTTCCTCAATTGTTTCACCTTCCGCTCAACACTTTGGTTGTGATAGTTCAAATTTATTGCCCGCTCATTTTTCCCGCCATGCTTGTATACACCATTCCTCGCGTCGTTTTTTTTTTGCCATTTTACACCCATCTCACCGGTTTTTCACATTCTAACGTTCACAAAGCCTCTCCGAAAATGTCTTGTGCCGAAGTGTGTCAGCCAAATGATGAATTTTCCATGTTGAACATTTTTTTTTTGCGATTATATTTCCATTTCGTCTTGTGCGTGTTTTTCAGCAAACGCCTGGCTATCTGTGAAGCAGTACTATAAGATTACGGTAGATCATCCTTTTTCCCACCTTGTGCGTTTCTTCGCAACAGTTCATCTCAAACCCTCCCTGGCGGCGAGTTGTCCGAGAGGAATCCGAGAGACGCGGCCGGCGGTTTGCAACTCTTCAATCCCGCGCGCGCGCGCGCTGATCTACCGCCGATCCGACGCTGAAGGATCCGGCAACGAAATACGAGCATCATAAATGGGCGAATTGTCACCCAATTCGCCATTTCTCTTCCCAAACTAATATTTTTTTCTCCCACCCCTTTCTTCGCGCCAACATGATTTGAAATGGTGACCCGCTTTTCCGTTGTGTTCGTTTAACAGTGTCTGGCTCCTCTCTATCTCTCTCTCTCTGTCTCTTTCTCTCTTTTTCTGTTCGGCCGCCGACGCCCCCCTCTTGCACGGTCCGTTTAAAGGTGCACCCCATTTGATGGCGCTGGTCTCGCCACGACTTTGTTCTCGTAAAGAAACTTGCTATAAAAATTTTTTTATCGGTTTTTCGCGCGCCGCCGCTTTTTTTGTCTTTTTTTAAAGGTAAAAGTGCCAGCAAGAGCCTAAATTTTCCCCCACGCCTTTCACCTTAAATTCTATCATTTTTCAGGCCACTTTTGCGGTCACAAATTTTCAGAAAAATGGCACAGGAGCAGGTAAGAGAAAAGTATAGACAATTATCCGAAAATGTCAAAAAATTGCAGAACATAAGACGGATGCTCATCGAAAGTGTGCCGTGCGGCTCCGGATGGGACCCCAAAATCGACCGTATGAGCGTCGAACATATGATCGAGTAAGACCTCATTGCTCGTAAATTTTGAACACTTATCAAGAAAGTGTCCCATTTTATGCTCGACGAAATTCGCAATTATGGCGTTATCCAGGCTGTGAAAAAAATGATTGTTTTCCGTTTTTTTTGGTTTTTTTACGTCAGAAAATCCAATTCAGCGATGTAAAAAAACTAATAAAAAAACAAATGTGCGCCGTGCAAAAGTTGTCTTCGTCAAATCTTCATACCGTTTTTCCTCAGTCAATTTTGCATTTAGTGAGCCCATCAAACGATGAAAACGTTCGCTGAATCTTTCTTTATGGGGCTATTCAGCGTATGCTTGTTTTCCGTTTTTTTTTCGTTTTTTTGCACCGCTGAATTGAGTTTTTTGACGTAAAAAAACGGAAAAAATCATTTTTTTCACAGCCTGAATAACCCCATTACCAAAACGAGACATCGGCGGTTAGGTTTCTTGAGCAGTTTCGAAAATTGTTTGAACAACATCAACGATATGCGAGATTTCTGACCAAATTGTTGCTTGTGTGCTCTAATAATAGGGTTATTCAGGCTGTGAAAAAAAATGATTTTTTTTCCGTTTTTTTACGTCAAAAAGCCAATCCAGCGGTGTAAAAAAACGAAAAAAACGGAAAACAAAGATACGCTGAATAGCCCCATAAATCATACCAAAGCCCTAGCCCCGTAAATCGACACATCCCGCATGTTGTAAGTGCGCCCCATTGAGCACTCGCCCCTTGCCAGATTCTAATTTTCGCAAAAAAAGTTGCGCTTTCGTTGCTAAACAATAAACAATTGCAGCCACGACGGCTACCAGAGAGAGTCGTTCTATTGCAAAATGCCGCTGAAGGAGGGCAGAGGCAGACAGTGCATGCACGTGGCGCCGCTTCAGGACCTCATCGAGCACGTCTCCGCGCACATGTAAGTTTCCTTTCCTAATTGTCCACAAACAAACGCGTAATTTCCAGGGGATTCGAGGTTTTCCAATGCCGAAAATGCAAGATTGGTTTTCCGAACGAGACGAGGCTCGTCGCGCACAGACAGGGACGGGGATGCCGTTCGGTACGATTTTCGAACAAAAAAAAACAGAAGCTCTGGAATTACGTTTTTTACGAAAAAATCCTTATAGCCATTAGTTGCCCCCATGACACTGATACCCAAAAAGGAAATTATTTTCAGGGAACGAATAGCACGGATGTGTTCACACATTCCGTGAGGGACACCGTCTTTATCCGCCGCGTCGTCAACGCGTTCATTGGTCCGGCGACGAAGGAGATGGTGGAAGCATTCAAAATTGCATCCGCGAAGACGCGAGCCGTCATCACGGGCACTCCGAATTATGGCGAGGATGACGGCGATAATGAGGAGATATTCGAGCCGGCGAAGAGCCGCCGGTCCCAGAGCGATCTCCAGGCGCCCAGCACCTCGGCACCGCCCGATCGAGTGGCCACCTTGTCGGAAGAGCTCAACCGGGTGCCGAACCCTCTTGCGCCGCGCGTCAAACCGGTCTTCCGCGACCTCCCCGCGCACCTGGATCCGAGACAGCAGCCAGCAGAACCAGTTGTCGAGAGACCCGCAGAAGTGGAACGAGTTGTCTTGCCGGTCCGCTCCACCCCGTCGTTGTTGTCGTTCATGGACCCGGGATACCGACTGCCGAGACCCGTGCCCGCCGATCAGACTCCCTCCACACCGAGACCAACGAGAGAGGAGCAACCGGGACCGTCGGAACTCCAGAAGCAGAGACCGGCTGAAGAGGGCCCATCTACATCGTCCCACTCGGCAGACCGGGAGCCGAGACGGTCGGAACACCGGGAGCCGCGACGGTCGGAACACCGGGAGCAGAGACCAATGAGAGAAGAGCAACCGGGACCGGTGCCGGCTGAGGAGGTTCCCTTCGCATCGCCGCACCCAGGACGCCAGGAAGCGAGACGGTCGGAACGTCAACACCGGGATTCGAGACGGAGATCGAGAAGCCGAACGGCCGACGAAGAGCGAAGACATGATCGCCGTTCCAGATCGTCGAGAAGAACCGAACGGCGAAGGAATTTGAAGCCGGACTCGTGAGTGATAATCGGACGGTCTCGCCGCGAAATTCATCTTTGAACGCGCTTCGAAAACTGCTGGAAATTCGGAGAAAAACATACTATCGGGGCATCTCAAAGTGAAAGCGCTCTGTCGAGAAACCCCTCTTTTTGTGATCTCCGGGTCCACGAAACCGATGCCCCGATAGTACCTGAGCGGAATATTTAAATCGTGCTTAAAAAAATGTTCGTCGTGAAAGCAATCTACTAAAATTGCGCACATTTTCAGGATGATCTCGACGGTGGTGCGGAAGCCGAGCGCATTCGGACAGGGCTCGACCGGGGTCTCCTACTCGACGCGATCCGGGTCGCCGGGATTCGCGCGCAGCGTGGACGAAGCGAGGCAAGATGCCGAGGAGCTCGAAAGTAAGTTTTTCCTAAAATTAGGATTACTGGTGCAAAGTTGTCCGATTCCGGGACCAAATTCGCGCACATTTCGGGTCCAAATATCTGGAAAAACCCTCTTGTTTTCTAGGGATCAAGCGGCTCCGTGATAAAGCAGAAGTGAAGAGCCACGCGACTGCGAAGGCTCTGCCGAATCGGAGCCGGTTGGCGTCGCTTCTCGTCGATCCGAAGGGCTTCGAATACCGGAAGGCTCTGGCATTGCATAGCAAAGGAAATGCGGAGGAGAGAGCATCCGCCGCGCCGCTCGTCCGCGAGTTTCACGAGCTTGAGAGAGAGCTACGAGCGGCGGACGCGGCGGACGCGTCGGAAACGGCCACCACTTCCTCGGCGGCTCCTCTCCCCCAGCAAGAACCGGAAGAAGAAGCGCGGCCGGTCAGACGGGAAGAAGAAGCGCGGCCGGTCAGACGGGAAGAAGAAGCGCGGCCGGTCAGACCGGAAGAAGAAGCGCGGCCAGTCAGACCGGAAGAAGAAGCGCGGCCGGTCAGGGGACCGCACACGCCGCCGGGCTCTCCGGGCGATGTCACGGGTCCGCCGGCCCAACGTCCCAGATACGAGGAACCGCAGCCGGTCCCGCCGCCCCAGGCTCATCAAGGATGGATGCTGGGCTTTCCGGTACCACCGCAATCCCTACAATACTACTGGCAACAGCAGCAGCAGCAGCAGCACGGACAATGGGTCCAGCAGCCGCCCACGCACTACTATCAGCAGCAATACCACCAACCGGCGGGACCAGCCCCGGGTCTTCATAATCCGCACCACCAGCAGTATCCGCACCATCAACAATACCAGCAGCAACCACCGGGACCGGCGGCACCAGTTGCTCATCCTTTCCACTACCAACAGCAATATCAACAACAGTACCAACAGCAGTACGATCAACCGGCGGGACCGTCGTCAACTCCCCAGCAGCAGCAGCAGCAACCAACGGAACCGTCGCCAACTCCGAGGGACCATGGCGGTCGGCGCGAGCAGAGACGGAGACACGACGATCAGGGAGGATCGTCGCGGCATTGAAAAGGTTGGTTGGGCATTTTCCCGAAACGTGAAATCATCAGAAAAGCACAAATTAAGCGTAAAATAGTGTAACATGAATATTCAATTCTAGTCCCTGATTTCAGGCCGAAAAAGCCCGAAGATCAGCAGGCCAGGACCACACCCAATTTTGATAATAAATTGCAACTTTATCCATTCAAATAGTGAGTTTGCTTTCCCCCGTTTTTCCAGAATTTAACAATATCTTCTCGATTTCAGATTCATAATAATAACTCGTAATAAATAGCTGTAATTGTTTACTTTGGCCCTTTTTTTTCTGTATTCCATGAAATTCTTGTCACATTATCCCCCGCCCACACATTTCCTTTTTTATCCTGTTCCCTTAATACAAGTTCCCTTAAAATAATGTGATAATCACATGCAATTATGTAACTATTTTTTGTTTTACTCAATTTAATCTCAATCCTATTTTTGAAAATTGATTAGAATTTTTGAAATCAGCACTTCAAACACCGTGACGACATATTGCGGACTTGCATGTTCTACTGTAAAACTTGAGACGATTTTTGTAAGGTTTTCAGGAAGTCTCGGGGGTAAATGAATGTGGAGAAGCAGAAAATAAGACAATTTCAGAAATTCAATCACCACAGATGTCCATCACAACAACGTAGTAGGGAAAAAAACAAGTTTTTCAGAAAGAAATGTAAAAGTACTAGTAATAATAATAATAATAAACAAAAGTACTATTATTGTATGGTCATAACCTATAAAAGACCGACTCAATAAGGTTTTTGGATAGTCGACACGAAAAATGAACGTGTTTTTGTCTACTTTTTTCTCAGTTTCTCTGTTATTCTGCATGGCGTCGTGCCAGGACAATGTTTTGGAGGGTGAACGATGCAACGACGTCATTCTGTATGATATCATGAAAAAAGTGAGTGAAATGAATCGAGCAAAAGGCGTTTCGACCACGGCAGGATTCGAACCTGCAATCTTCTGCTCCGTAGGCAGACGCGTTATCCATTGCGCCACGCGGCCAGCTGGCTGAGCGAACCCTCGAGGCTAATGATAATGTGCCCGGTTGCAGGCGGCGAAAACGTCATTGGACCCGGCGGAAATCCGGCAAAACTCGATGGAAACGATGAAAAAAGTGTTTCCGGTGGCGCGCAGCATGGGCTGCATTTGTACGGACCACAAATTTCAGTTTCCCGACTTTGTCAACCATCGCTATTGTTCGGTTCGAATCGCGACGTTCCTATGTCACGCGATTGTCTTCTAGCTTATTTTGAAACGTACAATATTTCTGTTCTTCGCCTGCCGTCATTTTGACCTATAAACCTAGATGATTCCACCTCTCTTCTTATCCGACAATACTCTCTTTCTGCTACAATGCAACTCCACGTTTTCCTCCTCATTTCGGCCTTGGGCCTACTTCAGGCCTGTCGGTTTAGAGCCCAAGTCCGCTCGGAAACCGATCGTGACATTTGGGCCCAGTTCACATGGCCTAACAAGACTGAAAGTGAGATTTTCACTTTCACAAAGTTCGGCGAGACACGAAACTTCACCGTCACTGGAACCATGTGTAATCTGGCGCCGACTGTGTTAAAAGTGAGTTTTTTGAAAACGCCGCAACTGCTCCGGCGATCAAAAGTTGTGCAAAAACACCGCGACGACATATTGCGGACTCTAAAATGATTGTTTTCCGTTTTTTTTTCCCCAAATGGAAAAAAAAACGGAAAGAAATGCATCGCGCGCAGCGTTTTTTCCGGCAGGTCTCGCAGCGATGCATGCGGCTACTGTAAGAGACGTTTTATGAGTGGATTTACGAAAATTTTTCTAATTTTTCAGCGAAATTGCCACGTTTACCGCTATTTCCGACCGATTTCGCTTAAATTCTTTTTTTTGTTGATAGTTTTGAGTGCCTCGTTATATCGTTCAAAACATTGAGCTTTTCGGTGAAAATCGGTTCAAAATAGCGGGAAAACGTGGCAATTTCGCTGAAAAATTGGAAAAATGTTCGTAAATCGACTCATAAAACGTCTCTCACAGGGAAAATCGCTGCGAGACCCGCCGGAAAAAAAACGCTTTCCGTTTTTTTTTCCATTTTTTGACATTGCTGAATAGGGGGAAAAAAAAACGGAAAACAATCATTTTTTCATCGCCTGAATAGCCCCATAAAGCCGCGCATTTTTTCAGTCCTGGGAAAAATTCCCGAAAAAAGCGGACAAGCCGACGGGACAAACTTCGGCGCATCTGGAGGGCAACGGCGGCACCATCTTCTACAAAATCTTAGCGAAAGATGGTCCGGCGGCGGTGAGATCCGAAGGAATGCTGTGCGCCTGGGGACAGTGCCGTCTTGGATGACATTCTTCTTCTTCTTCTTCTTTTTTCCAAAGTTGTGACGAGAAAAATAACGCGAAAAAGTTTGTGTAATAAACGATCTCGAAACGGTTTGTCTCCTTCTCTTTTCGCATGTGACCCATACACATCAATTGGTGTGCCCCCGCCGTTTCATTGGCTAATTCTTCTGTGAGGAGCGGTTACCCGAACTGGTTCCCCGATTGGAATTGTGGTGGCAGGAGAACGGTTTGTGTAACACGCGAACTTTGGTCAGAGTGTACGGTCATTCCGGACCAACTTTGCCTCTTGGATCTTGGCGCTCGCTAGCGGTGAAGCTGGAAATGAGGGTTCTGAACAGTTTTGGCGGAATTGCTTGAAAAACGTGAGATCGGGTACCATTTTCCGGACTAACTTTGTCTCTTGGAGCTAGGCTCTAGCCGCAGACTTGCATGTCACGTGTCTGCGGCAGAGTTGAGCGGAAGAACTCAACGGAAGAATTTTTATCTTTTTTAGAAAATTTTTTCATGAAATGTGATCAACTGACGAAATGTATAGCAAAGTGAACTGTGCTCATAGAAAAATAATTGTAAATTTAACTTTTCATACAAAAAAGTTATTCGAGTTGTTCCGTGAAAAAGGGGGCGAACGGAAGACGGAAGGAATAACTTTTTTGTATGAAAAGTTAAATTTACAATTATTTTTCTATGAGCACAGTTCACTTTGCTATACATTTCGTCAGTTGATCACATTTCATGAAAATATTTTCTAAAAAAGATAAAAATTCTTCCGTGTTCTTCCGCTCAACTCTGGTGCCCATCGTACCCCACAATCTTCGAAACTGTGTAGTGGCTTTTGAGGACGACGGAGAAGTCAAAAGCACTGCCCAAAATCATACTACTCCTCTCATTGTCATGTTCAAAATTGGTTCAACGCCTCCAACTTTTGGGGCCCTACGTATACTCAAAACTGCCGACGCTGACGCAATCTGACGTGAATTTAGGGCACGTCTTCGGGGAATCGAATTGCATCTTTTCAAAAACAATCAGCTCAGATCATGTTTCGAAACGAATCTCTGGTGATCTATCGCGCTTTTTTCTCGGGAAACCCCCCGATCATCAATTCGATTTTACTCGGCTAATTCGTTCTCAATGATCACAAACCCTTTTCGTCGTCCTTCTCCTCCTCACCATCCACACTTTCAACGCTGTCTAACCAGAAGAGGGGTTTGGGAAGAAAGAGAAGAAGAAGAAAAAGAATTGGCCAAGGTGAACACAAGGATGTCTTGTGAAGAAGGAGAAGAAGAGACGACCTTCATGGGGACAGCAGAACAAACAAGTGCAAAACTTTCAAACGGATGATTGGGCCCACTTCACAGTGGTTGACGGGAATCGAAAAACGAAGAAAGTGTTGTTGTTGCGTCAGCTAAACGATGATCTATTTGGGTCAGATGATGTCGGGTCAAAAAAGACGATATTGATGATGATGATGATGATGATGATAGCATAACAACAATGTAAGCTTCATGGCTCCAACTGCTCTACACGCTCTCCAGAGCTGACAATGGGCGCAAGTGCGCCCCGCCCAATAGAGCAATTCAAATTTTAACAGCAAAATTAGTGTTTTTTGCCAGATTTGCCACAAAAAATCGATAATTTCTTATTTGTCTCTCGATAGGCCGATTGTATAGGCTATTACAAATTTTTTAAGCCCAAGAGCGTTAAATTTGGTCAAGTTTGAAGGTTTTTGGCTAAAACTGCGTGAATTTCAGTTGCTTTTCGGTAATTTTCACGGTTCGAGCGCTCAAAATGCTTGTATTTACGTCATTTATCATTCTCAAAACCAATTCTGTCGGAAAACGGTAAAGAAAGCGCCAAATGAGAAGTGCGGTTTTTAGGAAAAAAAATTTTTTGTTTGAAAAAGCGAAATCCGCGAAAAATGCGCCAAAACGTCATTAATTCTGTGAGAATTAGTGTGTTTTCATGTCGAACAATCATTTTTCATCGCCTTTGACGACAAAAATCAGAGAAAACCTGCTCAATTCATGAAAACGCCATTTGGTCGCCGAGGCCACGCCCATATTGTCAGCTCTGCATCAAAAGTTGTGCATGTTTTCAGCGATTCTCGAGGGCGGAGAGGCCGAAAATCAAAGTTTTTGCGAGATTTTCAACAAATTTCAAGGTGTTGCGTTACACCTCATCAAACTATGTACAAACTTGGAGACGCGATTTTCTTCGTTTGTTCTTCGATTCAATGGTTTTAAGAGTGGTTTCCACTTTTGCTGTCCTTGGAACCATTACGGGCACTTCCGGGTATCTTTGAAATCATAAAAAGCGAGAAAAATTCCTCGTCTCGCGTCTCTTTCTTTCTCTCCGCCCGAAATGGGTAGTAAACGTAAACAGTGTCCAGTGGCGGCGCTGTTCCGTGTCTGCCGTCTCGCGCCCGCGCACACTCTCTCTCCCGCTTGACCTCTTCACAGCGCCATTCTCGAGACGACGGCGCCGAACCGGTTGCTTGCGCAAGAAGCGAAAACTTTCGGTGGCATCAGCAGCAGCATCAGCAGCAGCAGCAGCCGCAACAAAAAAAAAATCGCGGAAACTTTTCATGGGCATCGTCGGTGGGAGGGATCGGCCTCGCGCGCCGGCACCAGCCAACCGTTTATAAGGGCGACGGGTCACGGTTGAATCGGCACATCTTCTTCCACTTTCATTCCTTCTTTCGCTTCCTTCTTCAAAGCTACAGTACCATACCCGATTTCTAGGTAACCATGAGAATAATCTTCATCGCCGCCGCACTTTTCGCCATCGCCGCCGCTCTGCCGGGTATGTCCTGACGACACGACCGACATCATCAAAAGTACAACCTTTTCAGTCAAGCGTCAGGCTCAAAACTCGTACGGAGACGAGGCCCCAGCCGCACCGGCTCCGGCCCCGGCCGCCGAGCCAGCACCAGTCGAGCAAGCCGTCGAGCCAGTCGCCCAGGAGGCCGCTGCACCAGAAGCCCCGGCTCAGGATTCCGGATACAGAGCCAAGAGACAAACCCAGAACTCTTATGGAGACGAGGCCCCAGCCGCCCCAGCCGCCGCCGCTCCGGAGCAATCGTTCGCCGCCGAGCCAGCCGCACCAGTGGAGCAAGCCGCCGAGCCAGTCGCCCAAGAGGAGGCCGCCCCAGAGGCTCCAGCTCAGGAGTCTGGATACAGAGCCAAGAGACAAGCCCAGAACTCTTACGGAGACGAGGCCCCAGCTGCTCCGGCCCCGGCCCCGGCCGCCGAGCCCGCCGCTGCTCCAGTTGCCGAGCCAGCACCAGTCGAGCAAGCCGCCGAGCCAGTCGCCCAGGAGGAAGCCGCCCCAGAAGCCCCGGCCCAGGAGTCTGGATACAGATCTAAGCGCCAGGCTCAGAACTCGTACGGAGATGAGGCCCCAGCCGCCCCGGCCCCGGCCCCAGCCGCCGAGCCAGTCGCTGCCGAGCCAGTCGCCGCCGAGCCAGCGCCAGTTGAGCAAGCCGCCGAGCCAGTTGCCCAGGAAGCCGCCGCGCCAGAGGCCCCAGCCCAGGAGTCCGGCTACAGAGCCAAGAGACAAACCCAGAACTCGTACGGAGACGAGGCACCAGCCGCACCGGCTCCGGCCCCAGCCGCCGAGCCAGCACCAGTTGAGCAAGCCGCCGAGCCAGTCGCCCAAGAGGAGGCCGCCCCAGAAGCCCCAGCTCAGGAGTCCGGATACAGATCTAAGCGCCAGGCTCAGAACTCGTACGGAGACGAGGCGCCAGCCGCCCCGGCCCCGGCCGCCGAGCCAGTCGCCGCCGAGCCAGCCGCACCAGTCGAGCAAGCCGCCGAGCCAGTCGCCCAGGAGGAGGCCGCCCCAGAAGCCCCAGCTCAGGAGTCTGGATACAGAGCCTAAACGATCGGAACGACGAACGGGTACAGTGCAACACACTTACAAAATGCATAATTCTCAGCGATGATTGTTTTCTTCCTTAACTGCCGTAAAGTTTTACACCTTCTCTTTCAATTTTCGTATGAACCGATTTTCGTAATAAACAATTTATATGCCCCGATATGTTTTCATGAAAATGACCGATCACCGAGATCCGCGGATCCGCGGCGACCGATCAATTCTCGGCCTACTTACACGGACGGCCACGATTCAATTCGTTTCATTTTGTGTTCGATTTGCGACAAAATGTCGAACATTCTCGCACTTTTTCTCATTTTTCTCCTATTCGTCGTCCAGGACGTCTTCGGATGCGATATTACTGCCACGTTGACGTCGCAAACGTATCACGAAGTCTTTGCGCAGTTCACCTTTCACAATCAGACGAAAAGTCCAGTGTGAGTTTTGACTTTTTGTTAATAATTTGCCATTTCTGACCGTTTTAAAGGCGTACAGCAGAAAAATAGAGGAAATGGGCGAAAATTGCAAAAATGTGCAGCTTACAAAGGGCGGATTTGAAAGCGATTCGCTTGCTTTTGCGCAACGACGACCAAAAACGTAGAAAGGGGCGTGGCCTAGCGTGCACGGTTTATCACCATTTTGGCGCGAAATTCGAAAATTTAACCCCATTTTTTATGTTTTTCGTCAAAAATTACCCGAATTTTGTACGATTTCGACGATGTAATTGCCAAATAATTTTGTTAAACTAATCATCGCGCGCACTTTTTGAGCTTAAAACGAGCAGGTTTCATTCAGAAATGAATAAATTGAATCGATTTTCAAGTTTTGGGCTGAAAATGCGCGAATTTCAGTCATTCGCCGATACTTTTTGCCGTTTGAACGCTTAAAATACTTGTATTAACGTGCTTAATCACTTCCGACACTCACTTCGTCTCAAAACTATCCACATCGGCCGGTATGAAAATTCCGAAATTGCGGCGGCGATTGGCCGCGGAGAGCCTATTGCGAAATATGCCAAAAACGTCTCAAACGCGGCGTTTTCACGAAAATTTCAATGTTTTCTCTCTTTAATGTGCTCTTCTTTCGTCGATATCAAACACAAAAATATCGGAAAAGTGCTGGAATTGCGGCAAATTTCAGAAAACGCGTCTCAGATTAGGCCACGCCCCCCTTTCTACACTTTTGCTCGCCGTGATTTTGATACACTTTTGATTGCAGCTATCAATTCGAAAAGGACGGAAGTGAGAAGAAAGTGCACATCACCGGAATGTGGTGCAATATGAAGCCGACCAAGCTTGACGTGAGTTTTCCCGAAAAAATTGTTCGCATTAATCACGAAACCCTTCCAGATTTACCGAAAAGTGCCCAGCGGACAAAAGCCAACGGCGACGACTCAGGCGTTCATCGAGGGCTTCGGATTTATGAATTATGTGGTAAGCGACGGAGAACTAGGATTTCTCTAGGCCACCAACAAATATGTCTCTTCCAGCTTCTCAGCGACGGCGTCTTCATGGGCGCAAAGGCCGGAGTCGCGTGTGCGGTCGGAGATTGCGGGAATTCGCGCGGTTAAACCCTTCTTTTAGTTGTTGTATATTATTGGTTTCGCAAATAATAATGAAAGTGTGAAAGTTCTCTGCGTGTCTGGTGGTTCCACACGCAGTGAATACTTTTTGCAAAACCTGTTTCGAATCCCAACTATAAATCTTTAGTTTTCCGCGGAATTCTCACATGCGCTTTTAAATTCACCTGAATTTCTTCAATTACAGCATCTTTGCTGTATTTGAAAGCGAAACATCTTGCTTTATTGGACATTTTCTCAGCAAACCCCTAATTTTCGAACTAATAGCGAAAAAAATGCTCTCAATTTTTGTTATGCGCCTTTAAACCTACAGCAACCTTTGTGCAGTTCTCAATTGAAACATTAACCATTTTGTTCTGTTTTTCTCGGCAAAAATGATTCAGTTTAAGATTTTTACCTTATTTTTTCGAGAGCAAAGCATTTTCCTCCTTATTTTTACCGACAAACTTCAAAAAAGTGAGCTGAATTCCGTTGTGCGCTTTGAAACCAACCGTTTCTCTCATGTTTCTATTTTTCTTCGAGAAAACCGCTAATATTCTCAATTCTTCGTCAACAAACTTTGAATATTCTGTACTGCAGCTTTAAACGCGCATACCGCTTTCACCCAGGCTCCAAAGTACGCGAAAGCGATGAAACCTCGCCAAAAAATCACAGAACACCCAAAAAGCACGTATTTTTCCCACTTTTCCCAAGTGTTGATTAGTCCAGCCGGCAAACACCCCACACATGACCCAAACATCAGATGTTCTGCTCCTTCTTCCGATTTTCCCGACGGTGTAGGCTCCGAAGTACTCTCCAGCACAAGCACACTTGCGACCTTTCCCCCCTCGAGGGCGAAGGTCTCTTTTCGGCGCCGTAATTTCCAACACGCCACTCTGTTATCAGACCACTTTTCTCGTACGATTTTCGCTTTCTCGGCGCCGGCCGAAACTTTGCATTTTGGGGTTGGCGACGAGAGAGTGTGTGTGGGCGAGAGGGCGCCAGACACACCGACACACGTATTTGAGGGAGCCGTCCTTTGTGGGGAGAATGGCCTTCGGAGGGCGAAAATGCGAATATTCGCGTTTTTCTTCAATTTTTCTTCAATGCTAGGGTTCGCGGCGAGACCCATGTTTATTTTTCTCCAATTTTTCAATTTCTCCGAACTGCGCAAACATTCGACGCGCTTTTCTTCAGTGCAAAAGTGCACAAAAAAGAATTTTATTTTTTTCGATTCTCAGTAATAGGATTATTCAGCGATTCAGCCAACAATTCATCAAAAAAATTCGAAAACACTCAATAACCCCTATTACAGCTTTTTTCTCTTGAAATCTACAAATTCAAATTCAAATGTCCGCCAAAAGCTGAATGTTGGATAGAGCGCGCTTGCAACACTTTGGCCTTCGAAAAAGCGAACTTTGTTTCCACGATTTAATCGGCGCATGAAACCCCAAAAAACCGTCAATTTTCCGCCCATTTTTATCGGCCGAATTTCGCGAAATGGCGTGAGGTTTCGCCGCGAATAAAAGATGGCGATTCGTCGGGTGATAAGCGGAATTGCCTGTCCTTTTATCATTTTTTTTCCGACTTTTCCTTTCTTTACAATTTGGTTTTTTGCAGAAAAATGGCCGCCACAGCCACGAATCCCACGACGTCGACACTTTTGGACATTCTCACAAAGCCATGGGACCTCAAACAGACCGACTCGTACATGTCCACTTTTGTACCGCTTTCCTATAAGGTTCGCTTTTTTTGAGTCTAAAAACTAGAAATGCTTTTTTTGCAGATCATGATCGGCTACCTCGTCGTGATTTTCTTCGGCCAAAAGATCATGGCCCATCGGAAACCGTTCGATTTGCAAAACACACTGGCCCTCTGGAATTTCGGCTTCTCGCTTTTCTCCGGAATCGCCGCCTACTACCTCATTCCAGAACTTTACGGCGTCTTCCGAAAGGACGGATTTGTTGGTGCGTTTCTAATTTTTCTCTAAACGGTTTTTGTTCCGCATTTTTGCAGCGTCGTACTGCCAAAACGAGTCATACTACACGGACGCGACGACAGGCTTCTGGGGCTGGGCGTTCGTGATGTCTAAGGCGCCGGAACTCGGCGACACAATGTTCCTGGTGCTGCGGAAGAAGCCGGTGATCTTCATGCACTGGTACCACCACGCACTTACCTTCGTCTACGCCGTCGTCACTTATTCGGAGCACCAGGCCTGGGCTCGCTGGTCCCTCGCCCTCAACCTCACCGTCCACACCGTCATGTACTTGTGAGTCGCCTTTTTGAAAGAATTTTTGAACAAAAAGCGGAGGTGTCCCATCAGGCGACGACATACTTTTGAGAGAGATTTTTCAGTTTTACGGGGACGGAAGCGGGAAAATATGGTGCACACGTTCGTTGTAACTACTTTAAAACCGGCTTAGTTGCGAAACATAACGGTTGCGAAACGTAGAAAAATAAGCCATTCATTCATTTTCTCATCACACTTTTTTGCAGCTACTTCGCCGTGCGCGCCCTGAACCTCAACACGCCGCGCCCGGTGGCCAAGTTCATCACGACGATCCAGATTGTGCAGTTCATCATCTCGTGCTACATCTTCGGACATCTCGTCTTCATCAAATCCGCCGATTCTGTGCCCGGATGCGCTGTCAGGTACGCTTTTTCTCAATGTTCAGATGTTTTAACCTGAATTCAACCCATTCTTTCTCATAACAATTTTCAATTTTGCAGCTGGAACGTTCTGACGATCGGAGGACTCATGTACATCAGCTACCTGTTCCTCTTCGCCAAGTTCTTCTACAAGGCGTACATTCAGAAGAAGTCGCCGACCAAAACCGCCGCCAAAAAGGACGAGTAAATATTGATTTTTTGAAATCTCCACTACTACTACTTGTTTTCCTTTTTCATTTAACTGTTACTTCCACCGTTACGGGCACCCCTCATTTTCCCCATTTTCACCCTCCCCTCCCCCCCCAATTTTTCGCATTTTTCATAGCGATTCAATAAAATTGATAAACATTTCCTTATCGATATTGACACTCTGCTCGCCTTTCCCCCTTTTCGCCCCTTTTCCGAATGGTTTTGACGAAAATTTGGCTGATTCCAATTTCCTATGGAGCTTGCGCGATCTCGGCCACCGCTACCAAGTGAGATGAAATTGTAAACTGTTTCTTAGCTTCAAAATAGAGTTCATGTACATCAATCGATCGATAATTTTATGGTGATCAACTTTGTTTCTTGTCGTTTTGCTCCGACTTTTCTAGTTTTCGAGATCTTTCGATTTGACTGTTTTTCCCAAACAAAAAAGTGCCGTATCACGGTCTCCAGAGCTGACAATATGGGCGTGGCCTCGACCAAATGGCGTTTTCATGAATTGAGCAGGTTTTCTCTGATTTTTGTGTGGTCAAAGGCGATGAAAAATGATTGTTCGACATGAAAACACACTAATTCTCAGAATTATAGACGTTTTGGCGCATTTTTCGCGGACTTTGCTTTTTCGCCTTCGCCGCCGATCGCCGCCTAAAACCGCACTTCTCATTTTGCGCTTTCTTGACCGTTTTCAGACAGAATTGGTTTCGAGAATGATAAATCACGTAAATACAAGCATTTTGAGCGCTCGAACCGCGAAAACTACCGAAAAGCAACTGAAATTCACGCAGTTTTAGCCAAAAACCTTCAAACTTGACCAAATTTAACGCTCTTGCGCTTAAAAAATTCGTAATTTCCTATACAATCGGTCTATCGAGAGACAAATGAGAAATTATCGATTTTTCGTGGCTAATCTGGCAAAAAACACAAATTTTGCTCTTAAAATTTGAATTTCGCGCCAATGTATTGGGCAGGGCGCACTTGCGCCCATTGTCAGCTCTGGAGACCGTGGCGTATCTTGAAAACTAAAAGAGTACGGACAAAATGTCAAGAGACAAACATAATCACCATGAAATTCTCTATCGAGTGACATACATCACTTGCTTGTTTTCTCGAAAAAATTTTTTGACTGCAATTTTTGAGCAATTTTTCAATTTCAGATATTTTTTCGTGTCGCTCCTCAAAAAGTATCCGCACGTTTTGCCATTTTTGGCGTCTCGCGATGCGTCGCTGTTCGGCGAGTGCGTTTTCGGCCATTTGGTCAGTTATTCTGCATTTTTGCGTGAGCTTCAGCACATTTTTCTCGCGCGTGACGTCAGTTTTGCAGTTATGCTAATCGCCTATATTCGTCATCGACAAACCGTGGAATACTATGCGCATCGGCTCGAATGGGAGAATGCCACGTGGCGAGTGATGAGCACGATTGTGGCCGGAATCGGAATGTTCACCGCTTTCTGCATCACTATTATTGCGCATTGTGAGGTGAACGTTTTTTTTAGGTTTAAATAGTCATGAGTAGTGTCATTCGATAGAAAATTTCACGCTGAGCAACTTTGTCTCTTGACGTTTTGCTCTAACTTCTCTAGTTGTTGAGTTATTCTCAAAAACTGAAACGCTCAATGCCTATGCTCGTTTTTGAGCATTATCTCGAAAACTAGAAGAGCTAGAGAAAAAAGTCAAGAGACAAAATTGATCAGCATAAAATTTCCAATCGAATGAGATACATGTTGCCCAACTTTCAAAAATTTTCGCATTTCAGGATCCAGAACTGGTGGTTGTACACGATTGGGCGGATACGGTAGCATTCTCCTCCGGATTACTGTACGCCTGGTCGCAGGCTTTTCTCACCTGGGCTCTAATTCCACGAATGTGCACTTTACGCGTTTGCATTTTCCGTTTCGCAATTGTCCTCGTGGAGACTACCGCATTCATTTTTTGTGAGTTACTGTAACTACAGTAACCCAGACTACAGTAATCTAAAATGTTGTTAATATTGTTTTTATTGAAGATCGATACGCGAAAGACGACAAAAACCTATCGCCGCCGTGGCTTTTGGAGGCGAGTCTGTGGATTATTGCAAGTGCGCTCTATTGAGAAAAAAGCTGTTTTTTTGGGAAATGCCCAATATTTTCAGTCTGTTTCCACGTCTTCATAATCACTTTTTGCATCGAATTGCGCTTCTCGTATTTACACTCGCCCAAAGTGATTTTCGTGCGGTCCGATCCGATTTTGGAGCCAATTTTGGAGCGAAACGACGAGGAGAATAACAACGTTTTAAATTGAAACATTTATCGATAAAAATCTTTATAAATAGATTACAAAACAGAACATTTTCACAACATTTACAAACATAATAGAGTGTGGTTTGGTCGCTGGCTGATTTTGCTGGAATTACAGTCGAAGACTCGTCATGGAAAGGTGCAAAACATTAAGAAACAATGTCAATAATTATTATTATCCCGATTTTTTGAGTTTTCGATCACCGGGACAGTGTTTACACGTGAACGGACAATACGATTTCATGACGAAGAAGAAGGAGGCCCGCGTGCAATATTGGGCAAAGTGCGGGCAGTCGGCGAAGTGATCGACGCATTCTGCAAGTGATACTGTAGGTTTTTAAAGGCGCACACTGAAAATTAGACGACTCACTCTCATCGCTTTTCTTCTCGCCAACTTGCGGGACCAAGACTCTCGGCTCCTCGGTCGTCAACCTCAATTTCTCCTTCTTCTTCGCCTTGCACTGATACAATTTGTTGATCTACAATATCGATATTACATTTTACACGCCGACAACCGATAATACTTTGACAATATCCAGAGACGACAGGTCCTGGGCGGTCCCAATCACTTCTGTGAATCCGTCTTTCACAGTTTCGATCGTATTCCGTCCGTTGCGCGAAAACGCCGTGCTATCGTAGTGCATTATCGATTTGTAGTCGTAGTTTTCGCCTTGCAAGTCCTGAAAGTGGTACGGTCGGCCGGCGCGTCGCGGTGTTTGCGGACCGGGCGCCGCACCCGACGCCAGCTTGCAGAATTCGCGCGGAAATGCCGTTTTTCGGCTCGGATTACGGTAATTTACACATTTATCACTCTAGATCAGTGTGCTCCCCTCCCCTCCGCGGTCAGACACAACGACAAACAAAAGGTGAGCGGCGAACGGTGCCCGTTTGTTTGCGGTCTGCCAACGGAAAGATCAATAGATTACTCATTTGTGTACAGTTATTCGGACGCTCGAATGGCATGCGACTGGTTTTTGGAGCCACTGATCGAATGAGTCATGCATGCACGGATCCGGACTGTGTTTTTTTGGCGCACAACTTTTTTCCTCCAAAACGTGTACGTGATGTATGTCAAATGATTGGAAATTTTGTGCTGATCAACTTTGTCTCTTGACATTTTGCTCGAATTTTCTCGGCTTTCAAGATAATACTCGAAAACTAGTTTTCCTACAGGTTTTTGGGCATTATCTCGAAAACTTGAAGAGATTGAGCGAAACGTCAAGAGACAAAGTTGATCAGCATAAAATTTCCAATCGAATGAGATACATGATCGGCTCCGAAAAGACAATTCTCAAATTCTCAATAGAGCGCACCTGCAACACGGCGGAGATTTTGTCGAATTGCGACTTCATTCCCGGCAGGATATTGTCCCACATGATGCGAATGTGATCGTCGCGATCTGAAAGAAAAAAATACGATTCCATCTTTTCCATCATCTTGGTGGATCCGAGACAGAAGAAAACAAGCACTAAAAAAAAGAGGGCAAACATGCTCACCGGCTCTCGAGTGTTCGTGCCAGAATCCGACCGAATGCATCAGTTCGTGCACGATAATTTCATGGAAAAAGCAACCGCGCCCCAACGAAATCTCCTGTTTTCCGCCGGTTCGGCCGACTTGCGAGTAGCATCTGAAAGTGAACGTTTTGATTAGTTTTTAACTGTCAGAGGGTTAAAGGAATCCGCCTGGGACCACGGCCAGCACATCCGCTATCATCAGAGCTTCAATTTAAGAGGTCTATCGGCCAAGTTCTCTCGATGCCCCATAAAGTTACACCCGAAAAACTGACCCGTATCCCTTGACAATATTCAAATAGTCCGTTTGTCCGTCGCGTTTCTCGAAGCGAATGCACGTGTTGCGGCGATAGCTGTCGAACGCCTTCTCGAGTATTTTCACCTCATTCGCAGCTGAAATTTGCGTCTGAAATTGGCCCGGATGAGCCCCCAAAAAGAAGAAGGTTTTTTTTTGCAGCACTCACAGAAAGCCGTGTCCATTTCGAACGGAATCACACCGTTTTCCCACGTCAACTGCTTGTTTTTGAGCGCGTTGAACAGCACGGGACCCTCCTGAAACGGTTTTACCGTTACGCCATCATTTTTCACACTTACAGGCAGTTTTAGTAGGTTCGGATCGATGCCGTCAATGTCGCCTTGGAACTTTCCTGAAATCGATTTTGTTTTGAAGAAACAGAAGAAGAAGAAGAAAGGAAACAGGGATTACTGTACGTTTTAAAGGCGCAGCACTTATGAGGGGGCCGAACGTACCCGAATTCTGCCACGCATGATGTGCTCGGTGCTCTTCCGGAATGTAGCCCATAAAAGTGCGAAAAATGTCGCCGGCGGGCTGTGCGTGCGCGGCGTACGCCATCAAAATCGACGAGATGACGATGAGCATCTGCTGTAGAGTCTGATGACGTGGCTCGACGAGAAAAGGAAACGGAGAAGAAGTTGGGGCGGTGGAGGGAGAGCCGGCCGGAGAAAGTGAGCACAAGAGTCGGTGGGGGTTGGGGCAACCGGAATACGACCGCCGTCGCAGCCGCCGCCGGATGCAAAGAGAGAGAGAGAAGAAGACACGTGTCAAAAGTGTATACACTCTGTTCCGCGCGGAGACTTTGCGCGAGCGCGCTCGCGCGGAGCAGCAGCAGCTCTTTTTGTTTCCGCTTCTCTCTCTCTCTCGCCGAGACACACACAACACGAGCAGAGTGTCAACTGCTGCTCGCCGCGCGCCCGCCTCTACTCAACACCACACCGAACACTGGATGGATCCAACAAAATAATTCACGATTGTCTCCAGCACGGGGGGAGGAGAAAGTGCAAAACGTTTTGTGGCGCCGCCGCCCGCCGGCGAGCAGAGAGCAATGTTTGAGTTTGGAAATAGAAATGTGAAATCGAGGCGGAGAACACCTATTCTTCTTTGACAGGTGGCTTCGGGCATCGGTTTCAAGTGTGAATGGATGGCCCCGGCGGAGGGAGCGAAGTTGGATTTTTGGCGCCTCCGCACTCGATTGCCCAGAGTTGAGCGGAAGAAATTTTTTATCTTTTTTAGAAAATTTTTTCATGAAATGTGATCAACTGACGAAATGTAGAGCAAAGTGAACTGTGCTCATAGAAAAATAATTGTAAATTTAGCTGCTCATACAAAAAAGTTATTCGAGTTCCGTCTTCCGTTCGCCCCCTTTTTCACGAAACAACTCGCATAACTTTTTTGTATGAAAAGCTAAATTTACAATTATTTTTCTATGAGCACAGTTCACTTTGCTCTACATTTCGTCAGTTGATCACATTTCATGAAAAAATTTTCTAAAAAAGATAAAAATTGTCTGCACAACTTTTGAACCAGAGCAGCTAGGGGGGGACCAGCTCCTCCACACGTTTGTTTATATTGTGCAATTCCAACAACTGACCCCCCTCGCTCATCATCTCGTACCTCTCGGCCACCATTCGATCAATAATGTGGTGTCCCATCGTCCTACTATTAGCCGGCATTTTATTCCCAGCCACTGGTACACTTCTTCACGTTTCTAACAAACTTTTCAAGAAATGTGTCATCACGTTTTTCCAGTATTCTCCGCCGCGCCGTGCTCCTCGAAAATCTATCAGGGAGCGTTCAAAAACTTGGTGTGCGTGTGCAATGCCACGTTTTGCGACGAGATCGAACCGATCGGGCCGATCGCCGAGGCAAAGGCAGTTGTGTATCGATCGACGCTGGACGGCGAACGACTCAGGCGCATGAGTTTCAAGATGCGCAAGAGCGGCGGCGAGAACGATGAAGGTAGGCGTCGCGTCGGAAACCGGAACACGGAACTCGGAAAATACAGTAATCGGTTGCAGTGAACGTCACAATCACCGTCGACACTTCCGAACGCTTCCAGACGATTATCGGGTTCGGCGGCGCGTTCACCGATTCGGCCGGCGATCAACTGGCGGCCGTGACGGACCGTCTCGCCGATCGCATCCTGAATGCGTACTTTGGCGCCGACGGACTCGAGTACAATATCGGACGAGTGCCGATGGCCAGCTGCGACTTTTCGACGCACGAGTACAGCTACGACGACGTGCGCGATGACTTTGAGCTCAAAAACTTTGCGTTGCCTGAAGAGGATCTGAAGTTGAAAGTTGGCAAATAGTGTGTTGCTCTGAATTCATTTCACGCTGTTCTAGATTCCATTTATCCAAAAAGCAATCGAGAAAAGCGGCGGGAAACTTCAGTTGTTCGCGAGTCCCTGGTCGGCTCCGGGATGGATGAAGGTGACGGGACGGATGCGGGGCGGCGGCGCGATGAGGAACGATTCAAGGGTTTATAAGGCTTATGCCGAGTACTTTATCAAGTAGGTTTTCCGAAATCGGCACAGTTTCAAAAGTTGTACAAATGTGCTTATAGTGCCGCGTCCAAAGTCTCGGAAAACGCGCAAATCTCGCGGATTTTGCAGACCAAAGTCGGCAGAAATTTGCGGGAAATCCGGGGTGCGCACAGCTGAACGAGTGTTACCGTACACCATAAAACTACGGTATTTTTTTGAAAAAAATTTAAATTTCTCGAGAATAATTGAAATTTTTTTCAAATTTCTTGGGTAAATTTTTCAACGGTATTTTTCTGAAAAAAATTTAAATTTCTCGAGAATATTTGAAATTTTTTTCAAATTTCTTGGGTAAATTTTTCAACGGTATTTTTTTGAGAAAAATTTAAATTTCTCGAGAATATTTGAAATTTTTTTCAAATTTCTTGGGTAAATTTTTCAACGGTATTTTTTTTGAAAAAAAATTTAAATTTCTCGAGAATATTTGAAATTTTTTTCAAATTTCTTGGGTAAATTTTTCAACGGTATTTTTTTGAAAAAAATTTAAATTTTTTTCGAGAATAATTGAAATTTTTTTCAAATTTCTTGGGTAAATTTTTCAACGGTATTTTTTTGAAAAAAAATTTAAATTTCTCGAGAATAATTGAAATTTTTTTCAAATTTCTTGGGTAAATTTTTCAACGGTATTTTTTTGGAAAAAAATTCAAATTTCTCGAGAATAATTGAAATGTTTCAAATTTCTTGGGTAAATTTTCAAAAAATACAGTCGTTTTATGGTGTACGGTAACACTCGTTCAGCTGTGCGCACCCCGGATTTCCCGCAAATTTCTGCCGACTTTGGACTGCAAAATCCGCGAGATTTGCGGGTTTTGCGAGACTTTGAACGCGGCAGAGCGGTTTAGAGCGTTTTTAGACCTCAAAAATTGAGATTTTCAGATTCTTCGAGGCCTACTCCTCGCACAACATTCCGTTCTGGGGTCTGACGATCCAAAATGAGCCGTCGAGCGGCGCCGATATGACGTGGCGCTGGCAGACGATGAACTACACGGCGGAGACGATGCGCGACTTTCTCCGGGACTATCTCGGTCCGCGGTTGAAGGAGACCGAGTTGACCGAGAAGTTGAAGGTGATGATACTGGACGACGGGCGCGGATTGTTGCCCGGCTGGGCCGACACCATTTTCAACGATACGGAGGCGAGGAGGTACGCGGACGGAGTGGCCGTTCACTGGTACGGGAACATGTACTCGCCGGCGGTCCTGCTCGATATCACCCAGCGACACCACCCGGACAAGTTTATTTTTGGCACTGAGGTGAGTGTAATCGAGTGTTTCGTCGCATTGAACTCTCCGTTTGCAGGCGTGCGCCGGCTACTTTGGCCACCACGGCCCGATCATGGGCGACTGGTTCCGTGCGGAGGGCTACGCGGACGACATCATCACCGACCTGAACCATCACGTCTCCGGCTGGACCGACTGGAACCTGTGTCTCGACGAGACGGGCGGTCCCAACTGGGCCTACAACGTCGTCGACGCGCCGATCATTGTGAATCGGACCGCCGACGAGTTCTACAAACAGCCAATGTTCTACGCGATGGGCCACTTCAGGTAGGCGCAACAATTTGCCCAAAACCGCTCCTATTTTGCAGCAAGTTCTTGCCACGTGGCTCGACCCGGGTCCTCTCGCTGGTGCGCGGAAACCTTGCCGTCTCGGCCGTCAGTGTGGTCATCGAAGGCGGCCGCCGTGCCACCGTAATCCTGTCCAAGTCCGCGAGCTCTCTTTCCGCCCGAATCGTCGACGGCTCCACCGGACTCTCGCTCACTTTGACCCTTCCGCCAAGATCGATTCACACTGTCATTTGGGAGAAGCGCAAATAAATAAATAAAAACAGTCACTTCTCTTTTCAAAATCCTTCATTTTCTACTAATAAACTATTTGGGGCGTCAATTTTTGATTCTCGCAAGACGGGCCTCGTTTAGACGGGCTTCGCGAACGGTTTGATAAATTCCTTGTCGGCCTTCGCATTGCCCGCGTCCACGTCGATGGCGATCGCCGGCGCGACTTTGGCTTTGGTGCCCGCAGGCAGTGGCGGCGGAATCATTTGTTGGAACGAGATCTGCAAAATATGAATTGGCGAGCATTTCGCGAGAGGGCACGCACCTCCAAGTTGGCGCTGAGGCAGACGACGGCGGCGGCGTTCGTAAACTGGGCACAATAGTTGGGCACCGAGAAGACGGTGATGAGACGGCGTCCGGTCATCATCTCATATCCATCCTGGACCACCTGATGGGCCCGGATGATCAAATCAATTTGGAGATTCTTGCACGCCTGCTCGACAACTGCCTTTCCAAACATGTAGCTGATGCCTGCAATGAGGGACTACGATTCCAAGAGAGAACATTCGGCCGCCTAATCAAACCTCTGATTGAGTGGAACCATCCGTCGCCCTTGTTTGTCGGGTCGGCCCACAACAAGTCAATGAGAAGGCCGCGGTCGAGCGGTTCGCACGGACGCGGAATGTTGCGGATCGTGTCGAGGGTGGCGAGGTCGGGCGAGAGACCGCCGTGCATGCACAGCACCTTCTTCGAGATCAGTCCCGACATCGGCATGCGGTTGAAGCACGTCTGCAAGAGAATGTTGCGAGAAACCGACCTAGAAACCGACCTGAAAGTCCCACCAGAGACCGACGCCGTACTTGTACTGGCACTCGGTGTAGAATCCGTAAATCTTGTTGACCGACGGCGTCTCGTGGTTGCCGCGCAGCAAAAAGATGCGGTCCCGGTAGCGGAGCTTGAGGCAGAAGAGCAGGACGACGACCTCGATGCCCTGCGGTCCGCGGTCCACGTAGTCGCCGAGAAACATGAAGCGCTCCTCGGGCACGCGGCCAATCAAATCGAACAGGCGGTTGAGGTCCTGGAACTGGGCGTGGATGTCGCCGATCACTTTGATCGGCGCCTCCGCCTCGCACAAATTGCTCTCGTCCATGAAGACGCCCTCGATGAGACGGATGATTTGGATGATCTCGTGGCCCGACATCACTTGCGTTATGTTGATGGTTGTGTTGTTGTACAGACCTGAACATGCACTGATTTCTGGTGGTTTCATAACATTCACCGCATACTGTTGAGTCTCTTGATGCAATCGTCAAGCCAGTCGGCCATCGGCTGGTTGACCTTCGTCAAATCGAACTTTCCATTTTCCGCAACTGGAGCTGAAAAAAACCACAATGCGCTCCAATTCGAAAATCGATTGCTTACCAGCGTCACCAGTCGGTCCCGGCTTATTGTTATTCTCGTCACTGCTCATTTTGATCGTAGTCGGCGCTCGGCTGCTAACAAATTTTATGAGAACTGATCGGTTCGACGAGAAAAGTGCCCTCCGGAGACTCGTTATCTTTACCCGTCATCGCTCCCGTTTTCGAACTGTGCAGCGGAATGTCACGTAGAAAAATGCGTTTTGTCGAATTGTTTCTTCGAAAAGTAAGAGCAAATCACTAAAAAAAATGATTGAAAACGCGCAAAATCCCCCAGGAAAAACGGTGCGTCCTTTGAGATGCAGGTCCGCAATATGTCGTCACGGTGTTTGCACAACTAGCGCCATGGCCCAAGAGGCAAAGTTTGTCAGAAAAATGTGGTGATTTCAAAAAACTTTACTAGAAAATCAGAAAATCAACGATAAGGCTACTTTTTTGTATTTTCCTGAGCAGTCTTCTCGTTTTTCGTCTTTGCCTGTGCCGTTTTCTCCTCTTTTTTCGTCGGCGGCGGCTTCGAATCTTTCGACTTTGCATCCTAAAAAAATAATGTTTCAAAGTTTTCAAAACAAATAATCGAACCTTTGACTTTTCCTTGCTCTTCTCCTCTTTTTTCGTCTGCGGCTTTGAATCTTTCGACTTTGTGTCCTGAAAAAATAATGTTTCAAAGTTTTCAAAACAAATAATCAAACCTTTGACTTTTTCTTGCTCTTCTCCTCTTTTTTCGTCGGCGGCTTTGAATCTTTCGACTTTGTGTCCTGGAAAATGAACAACTGATACTTGAGACATTTTTAGCCATTGTCGATCTGAAAGTAAAGGAAAAAAACCAAACCTTTGACTTTTCCTTGCCCTTTTCCGCTTTTTTCGTCGATTTCTCAACCTTTTCCTTCGCCGGCGGCTTTGAATCTTTGGACTTTGTATCCTGGAAAATTTGTCAATTTTGAACGGATATTGTAGCGTTCTACGTTGCGATATCGTTCTCAAATTTTTTTCCCAAAAACTCGACATCTACTACTGCATTTTTGTAGTTGGTCAATTTTTTCTAGGACCACTTCCGGGGGTACTGTAGACCTTGGAAGTTGGGCGCCGAAATGAACGAGCGTTTGGGGACCGTACTTCCACGAGCTACAGTACCTTTCGGAGTGGTCCTAGAAAAAAGTTGTCAACTGAAAAAATATAGTACTAGACATGTAGGTTCTACACAAAAAATGTAGAGAACCAAAGGACATATGGTAAGTCTACAATATCCGTTCAAAGTTAAAGTATTGTCGATCCGATCAAACACGAACCTTTGACTTCTCCTGTTTCTTTTCCTGACTCGGCTTCTCCTTTTCCTTGCTCATTTCCGCTTTTTTCGTCGGTGGCTTCGAATCTTTGGACTTTGTATCCTGAAAAATGATCAACTTTGAGCACTAAACATTTCAGAATCAGAGTATCCGAACCTTTGACTTCTTCTTCTTCTTGTCTCCTTCATTCTTGGTCCCTTTCGGCTCAACCGGCGTCTGTGGATTCTCAAACGTTCCCGCTTGCTTGACAGTCTGCAGGGCCTTGTAATTTTTCTCTTTCTTGTTCTTGTCGTCCGATGGTCCCGCCGGTCCCGCTGGGCTCGTCGTTTTCATGCCCTTTTCTTTATCTTTATCCTTATTTTTCTTATTCTGATCGTGGAAAACGCCAGCCGGCGCGACGGTCTGCATTCCTTGATCCTGCGGTTGATCATGGAACGGTCCCGCTGGATTGGTGGTCTTCAGACCCTTTTCCTTCGGAACGTCGGTCTTTTTGGGATTTGCGCCCTTCTGGTCCTTGATCTGATCATGAAACACCCCTGCCGGCGCCACCGTCTGCATTCCCTGGTCCCTAGGCTGTTCATTGAACGGTCCCGCTGGATTGGTGGTCTTCAGGCCCTTTTCCTTCGGAACGTCGGTCTTTTTGGGATTTAGGCCCTTCTGGTCCTTGATCTGATCATGAAACACTCCTGCCGGCGCCACCGTCTGCATCCCCTGGTCCAAGCCTTGAGGTGCCTGGCTGTGGAAAAGGCCGGCCGGATTTGTGGTTTTCAGACCGCCGTTCGGATCATCCGGGACCGCTCCCATCTCTCCGTTCGGTCCCGGGATCAGAGGAGCTTCCGCGCTATCCGAGGATTGTGCGTATTCGTTTGTGTTCGGAGTGATCAGGACCTGAAAAGTGCCAAAAATTTCTATCAATTGGTACTATATATCATGCTCATTTCCAACTCGACATATTTTCCAGAAAGCTAGTCCCCGCATGTGCAAAACTTCGGCCACGTACCTCGTCAACTCCATCCGGCCCTCCCAGAGTCTTCTTCTTTCTGTTTTCCACGTGCGCCGCCGCCTGTCTCCGCTTCTCCTTTTGTACTCGATAGGCGCACAGACAACACGAGACGGAGGACGCGATGAGGCCGAGCAGGATGAGAGCCAAAAGGGCCCAGCTCCACCATGGTGCATCCGAGTCTTCCGGGTCCTCGTATCCGGGCGACGAGGCCGTCAGGTTCGCGTAGTCCGGGATTGGCGGCGGTTCCGGCATCGGGGCGCCCTGGAAGAGGTGTCAGTTTGCCGGATACTGTAACAATCACTCACATAGATATTCTCATGTACTTTTCTGATAAAATCATGTCCAGTCAACTTGCGTGGCATTTCCAACGAAAAATGTCCGATGCTCGCTGATAACAAGTTGTTTTTCGCACTGATAACACAATCAGCTAGTGATGAAAGCGCGCCCCATCGCACTTTTAGCGAGCATTCGAAATTTTCGCGGACTTTGCTCCGGAGAAAAAGTGAATTTGTTTGTTTGTTCGGATTTATTTCGAAAAAGTGTACGAAAAAATGTGCTCTTGGAAATGGGCACAGATGGAACTCATTGACCGCCGGGTCGATTACACATGTTTCCGCTGACCCCACATTCCCCCGTCCGTGACACTTTTTATCGGTCACCAACGTCTGGAGCCCCCATCGGCCATTCATTCGTTCGTACGTTGAACGACCTTGCGCGAGCACACGATGCGCTCCTCGTTCGCTCTTTTCGCACTTCTTCTGCTCTTCGAAACGGTAAGTGTGTGTGTGCGCTTTTGCGCAATTTTCAGCGAGAGACAGCGGAAATTGTAATTTTCGTGGCGAGACCCACCAGCATTTCAGTGAAAATAACGACAAACGTATTTTAGGCCAATGGCCTCGGCTCCGCCACAATCCGCCTTCGCTCCGCCGAAAAATTGATGGGATTTCTGCGAATCGTGCGTGCCGACAAGACGGATATCATCGAACCGCTGTCGCTGAAGGGAACCGACCGCTCGCCGGACGAACTGTCGCACTGGAATGTAATCGCGCTCCATTGATAATTTAATCGATAATTGATCGCTTTTAGCCGATACACTCGACGGAAGGATTCATTGCGCACCGAAATGCGTTCGCAAATCCGATCACTTTCGAGATTTCCCTGTTCAAGGTGGACTCGACCTCCACTTTTTCCACTCCGATTTTCTACAATTTCACCCTGCAGCCGTTCGATAAACGCAAAGTTTTGGCGTTTCTCTACCCGTCGCTCATGCTCGAAATCGACTTCAAGTGCGGACTGTAAGTGAAAACTCGGCCACGGCTCCGGCGGCGAGTGCAATAGGGCGCATTTGCAGTGATTGGGCCGGATCGTTGTGCGACAAACCGTGCGATTATGGGCCGAAAGACTGCAATTGGTACGGATGCATCGTAAACTACGCCAACACGCCGATTTGTCAGAAGCGTAAGAAAATAGCCCCGAAAAGTGTGGTGAAATCCGCAATTTTAGCACTCTGCGCTGGAGATTCGACGGGCGCGGATTGCACCGAAAAAATCGATCGGTCGGCCGAAGTCCACGTGGCGCCAGTCCGTTTCACCGACAATTTCGACGAGATGAACGCGTTCGGCGGGAGTTTCCACTCGGACAAGCAGTATATTGTGGATCCGAGCGATAATTACCAGCTGGAGTTGGAATATAATTAATTTATTCTCAAAGCACCAATAAAGTTGCATGTTTCAAGACGAGAACATTTCCACACCGAGTTCCACGAACTTCCGCGCTTTTTCGATTGGAATCGACTGAAAAATCGATAATTTCGCTGGAGAAAAAACAGTTGTTTGTTTACCTCGTCCGTATTTTCCATTTTGCGTATTGCTTCGTTGACTCTCAGACGGGCTCCGGCCATTTCGGGATCGTCCATCAACAGAATTAGGGCCCGTAAAGAATGAAGAAAGCCCTTTTTGCTGATGGAAGTGGGCGCGGAGCCGGTGGGCGGGGCTGACGTCGGCGAAGAACTTCTGAATACGAAATAATGATGTTTTAGGTGAGAAAAAGAAAAGGAACTGACTGTTTTTGTACGAGTTGTTTTATAATTTCTCTCATTTCCCCCATCTCCTCTCGCATCGTCTCCATCTCGATCTCATTCGATTTGTCCGCATCTTTAGGCGCCAAAATCTCCGACAAATTCTGGGAATTTTGCAGAAATTCACAAGACGTTCCGGGTTGAAATTCGCCAAAATTCAAGAGTTCCAACGGGGGTTTCTGCTCGAAAAGCGTGGAGAAAATAGAGTTGTCCTCCTCGGTGCCCTCTTCGTTTTCCGTCGTTTTCCGCCGTTTCGACTGTCCGCGCATGTCCATTTTCAGTGCGGAACAGTCGAGAATTAGTCCGTTCGGCGCGTGCTCCGTGTATTTTACAATGTGCCCGAGCGGGTCCAACTGCACGTCGGCGCGCTCTTCCAGTCTGAAAATTGACAATTTTTCACGGAAAACTGGGAATTGTTTAGATTGCACCCTTTGAAAATTAACGAAGTCTTACATTTTTAAAAACTCGGGTCCGACGGGCGCCAAAGTGCTAAAGAGCATTCTGACCCGTGTCTCCACATCGAACTGCTCGTAATGGTGCATTCGCGGGGCGTGGCACCGACGGAATCTGTAAATTTATCAAAATTAGTGAAATTTTCACTTTTTCGCATATACAATTCGGGATTTGTCAATTTTTAGGTACGAACCTGGCTGCCAGAGTGCCGACAAGTCGTTCGGAGCCCGAGAATTGATTATAATCGTTCCAGAAGTGGGTCCGGGTCGTCGGAAGCACGATTGTTTGGCTTTTCGCAGCCGCGTAGTTCAGAATTGACACGTCCTCGGCGTTGCTTATGTTCTTGCAGTTAACCGACTTTGGCATTGCCTGAAAAACAAGCGAAATGAGCGGAAAAGGCGCGCACGAAGAAACATAAATAGACTGATGAGAAAGTTAAAACCTTATGTTCTTCAATTTTTCATCAAGAATTGCTTGTAAAAACTTGAAAAATGCCCATTTTTACGCTACAATTCGTCGTAAAAATTTACGGTAAAATAACTATTTGTCGTCTCGTAAATCGACATGGCCTAGAAGGCGCCTGATGGCCGAGCTAGTAAAAAATCGGCCACCTGTTGCTTTTGAGCTGAAAACAGCTGTAATCAGATGACGTTCAGGTGAAAAAGAAGTATTTCTTGCACGAAATACATATCTGCACGTGAAGAACTTAGATTCAATACATTTACACGTGAACTTCCAACAAATCGCATAGAAAATAGAGTTTTCATGAAAGCATTTAAAGTTGGACTGAACATCTAGAAATCGAGGCAAAAGACGATGGATTCCGAAGAGAAACCAAGTAAAACGGTTTGTCTAATTAAAAAAGCATCGTTTTTCAAAAACTTTTTTAAAAAACCCTAAAAATTTAGAAAACCAAATCGATAGCGGCACTGAAAGAAGCGTCGACGCAATCGAGTGACACGGACTCGTCGACGGCTCGCAAAAAATTGTCGAAAGAGGAAGAAAAAGAGAAAGGGCCGACGAAGGCGGTTCTGACGGCGGAGCCCATCCTTCAGAACTCCTACAAGAAGTCGGCGTCGTTTTCGAAGCGGCGGGAAAAGCGAAAAAAGTCGAATTCGAAGGAGAAGGCGACGGGAAAAGTGTCGAAAGAAGCGGACGACGACGATAAGGTTCCGACGGCGAACTCGGCGAAATCCGAGGAAAAGGCAGCGCAGAAGAAGAAGGGCGAGCAGGGAAAAGCGAAAAAACAGAAGAGTCCGCCGACGGGGAGTCCGCACGCGCAGAAAGAAGGGCTTCAGGAGGTCGGAACTCAAAATTCGATGACGCCGACGCCCGATGTGAAGAAGAGCGGCGAGAAGAGTGATCAACTGGGACCGTCGGAAATGCCGGAGAAGAAAAAGAAGAAAAAGACGAAAAGACAGCTGAAACGCGAGACCAACCACATTTATCACGTCCGGCCGGGCGTCAACAAGACGATCGAACAAAACCGACGCAACAGTTTCGAGAAGGAAATACGGCAGTGTGAGTGACGCGGTGTCGAGCCCGACAGCGGCGACTAAAATTTAAATAGCCGCCGAAATAAAACAAAGCATTTGCGAACGCATTTCTCAGTAAAAAAATCAATTTTCAAAGCAAATCTTACACTATCTTGAAGCGTTCCGTCGTTTGCACGTCTTTTGAGCTCTTGACGAGCGATTTTCATCTGTAAAATCGGACAAATTTCGCTTTTTATCGAAAAACGCGTTTATCGATAAACGTTTTTCGATAAAATGACTTACCGAATTTTCAATAATGTCAATTTCATGCCCCGAGTGCGGCTTGATGATTCGAATCGCGTTATCCACATGGCTTACACCGAAAGCAGCGGGGCACTTGACACGAGTTTCTCTGAAGTTTATCGAATAGTTTATCGGTAAAATTTCCAAAAATACCGTTGAACACAATAGAAAAGTGTTTCGTTCAAAGTCGGCGATTCTTTTTTCGGCTTCATCAACCATCCGTCGAGAACGACGGCTTCTTTAGCCGGTCCACGTGGCATCTTTTTTCAATTTCTGAAAAAAAATTGTGAAATTTTGCTACTGCAAAGATCGATAAATAACCAAAATGCGTTTAAAAGGCGAGACAAGGTGAAGAAATGCAAACGCGCTCCACCGAACACGAGTTCTATTCTGTCTATAGTTCTATTGTGTCGCAATTCTATTGTGTACGAAGCAAACACAACGATTATGCGATGAAAAAGTGGGAGATCTTGTAGTTTTGTGGGACTTTTCAATCGTAAATAATGAATTTTATAGAGAAGGTTAACAAAAAAAGAAGAACAAAGAGATTTTTAGTCGAAACTGGTGAATTCACGTATCTGACGGACCCGACGCGCTACCGTTTCCGTTCAACGCCGCCGTTGGAGCTGATCATTCAGTACGTGTTCCCGTCGCTCCTTCTCCTAACACTTCTCCTGGCCACAGTCACCACCAACCGCTTTCTCGGCACCGAATACAATCCAGAAGTGGGTCTAATCGGGTTACTAATTATACAGCGATGTCAGTTTTTTACATCACGGACAGGGAGGCACATTTCCTTTATCCACTCGCATTTTCAGATGGTCTTCAACGAGCTGAACACAATGACACTTTCCAAATATGACACCTATCTGATTGTCGATTCTATGTGGGTCGAAATGCGCTCTGGCGAACTTTTTTCTATCACTTTAGAGACGATTACTTGCAAGACGAGAACGAGCTTCTCGAGGCCAATTGTCCTGGATGTAGGTCAAAGTACAGTAGCCGCAAAACATGTCTTGATTGTTACAGTAGTCCAAGCGCCGTACAAACCCCTGGAAGAGCATGAAATTGAATTTTTGAACTTTCGAAAGAAAGTGGTAAAGAAGGCGGTCAAAGCGGTCACTTATCGATGGGTATTAGGCGATTTTTTAAGAGAAAAAAAAAACAAAATATTGATTTCAGATGTATCCGGTTGACGCGATTATGAACATGAATTTCGAGTGTCCGCCCAGCATTTTGGTCGAATTGGAGAAGGGAAACTAAATTGGAACTCACCTGTTCTGTTGAAATAAAATTGTTGTGGTTGATGCCACTCTTTTGTGCATTCTGATACGCAAAATTTTTCGTCTCTCGAACAATTAAGCAGAAGACCACAGTTTATACCTAGAAAATTGGTTTCCTTTCGTTTTTGATAGTACAATAAAATTATTTCGTGTGTGTTTTCGTTACCGTAGAGAAGAGGGATCACGGAAGTGAAATTAATGAATGCAATAAATCGATCACGAGATTCAAAAACTATCTTTTTCTACGAAACAATTATTCTACAGAAAGGTTTAAAATGCGCTCCAAACAGTTATATTCTGTCGCGGTTTTATTCTGCGCAGTTTTATTATGTTGGACCGCCGTTGCACATGGTTTTGCCCTAAAAAACGGCTAAAATAGATGCAGAAAACTCAAAAATTTGAAAAAAAGTTCGCAATAGAGCGCGTTTGCATCATCTCCTTTCTAATGTTTTCAAGCGCCTTTTTGCCACAATTTCGAAAGTTCAACGTTTTTCGCCTCTGTAAACGCTGCTATCGTCTCAAATCACAAAATTCTGCAGAAAATGCCTTCTTTCTTCACGCTCTTCACGCCGGAAGAGGACGATTCGATTTTGAATTGGATGGCCGAGCACACGAAGGACATAAAGCAGCCGATTGCGATGTCAGAGCTCTGTCAGCGATTTGTGGAAGAAACCGGAACGACGAGGACTTCCATCAGCGTTCAAAACAGGTTCGAAATTTGACGCTTCTTATATTTTCGCTTTTTCCGAAGAAAGGACTAATGGGGCTATTCAGGCTGTGAAAAAATGACTGTTTTCCGTTTTTTTCGTTTTTTTACGTCAAAAAATTCAATTCAGCGATGTAAAAAAAACGAAAAAAACGGAAAACAAACATACGTTGAATAGCCCCATAAGAGAACAAGAACTTTCACATTGTTCACTAAAAAGAGCCGTTCACTAAATTCACTAAAATTCACTAAAAAGAGACTCACAAAATTAGTTAAAAAAGTTCAATTTCTCATGAAATTTTCCAATTTGCTGCAGATTCCGCTATCGTCTGGCGCCGAAAATCCAGGTCGTGGGCGACCTCGACCTGAACACAAGAGTTCGACTGATTTACATGACGGGCACTCGCGTCAACGAGCATTTTCTGCGCGAACTGCGGGCCGACGCGGAGGTTGAGGTGGACGAGAACGGGCGGATCACAAAGTATTCGAGCGGGGAACTGATGCTGGTGCTCCAGAAGGCGTTCGCCATGAGAAACCGCAAATCGACGCAAAAACGGCAGAAACCGATTGCGGAAGACGGACAGGGAACGTCGGAGGAAGTGATAAAGAGGAAAAGGGGAAGACCGCCGAACAGGGAAAAGCCGAAGGCACCGGCCAACAACGCGTGGGCCATGGATTTGTACGGAAATGAGATAAACATTTTAACGGACGGAGAAGAGAGGTGGGACCGATCTGGCAAGTTACGCCACGTTGACGAATCACCGCGAATCGAGGGAGTTTCTGAACAAGAAGCGCCTGGGCAAGAAAGGGAGGAGGAAAAGAACAGTCCGATGATGGGAATGTTCATGGAATCGCTGAAGCAGATGATCGAGAAGCAGACGACGATCATGCAGAGACTTCTGAAGGCCGAAGAGCCGACGACGAGCAAGAAGACCTTTTTGCAGGCCCTTCGGACCCTCATCAGCGAAATCGGCGATCCCGAAATGGCCGGCACGCTGCAGAAAGTCAATGAGAGCCTTCAGATTATGGGATACAGCGATGAGGTTTTCCTTTTCTGCAATTTTTCCTAATTTGCTTAAAAATGACATTACAGGAAATCCCCACGAAATCGATCCGCGCCGCCATCGAACAACTTCTCGCCAAATTTTTAAATTAAATTGAACAAAAATGTTTTGGTTTTATTTTTTTTAATGCAAAGTTGATTGTTGACACGTTGTTCGTAATAAAATCCAGTGCAAGTTTATTTGCATTCTTACTTTTTCATTTTTATTGGTTTTTAGAGCCAAATAATATTTCTCCTGTTCTTGAAAATTGATTATCTATAAGAATAATTTAAGATTCATTTAGAAAAATACTTTTTCAGGCAAAAATGAGTAAATTGTCGAAAGACGACGAGGATGAGAAAATGCTCGATTATCTGGAGGAGAAGACGAGGAACGCATCGGAGCCGGTGTCAATGCTCGAACTCTGGAAACGCTATGCGAATTCGGAAAAATCGCCAAAGACGTGGAGTTGTCTTGATCACAGGTGCTTAAAACTGCGCTCTTTTCTTCAAAAAATTCGTTGCCAACTTCTTTGCAGATTCCGCAAGTTCCTGGCTCCGACACTCTACAGTCACGCGAAATTCTCGCTCGATTCGCGGCTCCGCATGATTTTGCCTCAAAAACGCCGATCTCGGCGGCGTTTCTGAACGAGCTGCGTCAAAACGAGAATGCGGAAGTTCGGCTGCATCCGAAGCACATGTTCATCACCGAGTACACGGATCGAAGCGCCGGAGTGCACCTCTTCAGTGATTCCCGAAATTCTGATGTGTCGGACAGCGAAGAATCGGTCGAATTGGGTGTCGACGACGTGCAACTTCTCGAGAATCTGCTCCAAAAAGTGTCCGAATCGTGGTGGCCAGTGAACATGCGCGCATTTCTCGGCGGACACACTAAAGCGCTTCGGAACGTTTTAAAAAGTACCTGGCGCCAAATATTCACAGAATTGATGAATTCGACTTGGAGTCCCGCGTCAAGCTACTTTTCGCCTCGCAGACCCCGATTCATGAGGATTTCCACGAGATTCTCGCGGAAATGGGCGCGAAAATATGGTTGAACGCCGACGGAACGATTCTGGAGTACCGTGGAGGCATTCATTTGACGATGCGCCTTGATTCGCAAGAGCACGAGGATCATCCGGAGCCGGTGCCGAGCACGAATTTCAGTCGGCAGGACGACACGAAGATGTTGAAGTATCTGGCGGAACGGGCGAGGAAGACACGGACGCCGTTTGAGATGAAACGGTTCTGGAAGGAATACAAAAAGGAGGGGAAGAGCGAGAGGACCGCCAATGGGCTTAGCAAAAGGCAAGTATCCGGGCCAGGGCTTGGATTGAAGTATGATACTCTAACCGGTATATCTCGGGACCAGATAATCGGATCGATCTGAAACTTGGACCCATCATACTTCAACCCAAGCCCAGGCAAACGGATCAAACGCTAATTTATCTGGTTCCAGATTCCGGTGCCATCTGGCCCAAACTCTGCACCTGCGGTCGGGTTTCAGTCTGAGCACTCGTGCTCGAATGTTCCTTGCCACGTCGACACCGGTGCCGGCCGATTTCCTGGAGACCCTTCGAAAACGGGCAAAAGTGGAGGTGAACGGGAAGAATGTGATTGTGAACTACTCGAAAAAAACGGAAAAGGAGCTGGAAAAAGAGAAAGAGCCGGAGCTTCAAATCCAGAAGCCGATGGAGCCGGAGCCGATGATCGAGAGCTCCGAGCCGCCGCACAAAGAGCCGGTGGAAGTGATCGAGATCTCCGACGACGACGACGATGCTGACGTGGCACTTGTGAATCCTGAAATGGCTTGGAATCCAATGGCGTGGGACCCCCAGAACCTGCTCTTTTTGGACACGAACGCTGCTGCTCCTGTTCCGATGGAGCTCATTCCTTCCGCTCTGCTCTCATTTCCCGATTTTTTGGCTCAAAATGCACCGGCAATGCCAGTGAATTGGGGCGATTGGTACGATACTCTTTTTTTTTATAAAAAAAAATGGCTAATTCGAATTCAACTTTTTCCAGTACTGCCGGTCCGGCACCAAGCGCCGAAACGACGAGCAAAAAAATGTTTTTGCACTCGCTAAACTATTTGGTGCTCTCTTTGGACAGCCCGAAATTGCAAAGAGTCAAGGAGGCGGTGAACGAGGAAATTCTCAAATTGGGCAGTGGAGATGAGGTTGAAAAATGAAAAAGAAAAATACGATTTTTATTTTTCTTCAGAGAATGTCAACAGAAGCGATCAAATCGTTTGTGGAGACGAGCCTCGAGAAGCTGCTTGGCAGACGACTTTAATTGTTTCTATTTGCACCTTTTTTCGTTACATTTTGTCTAAAATATTCGTTATTTTTTGTTCTTATTTCTGTTTTCCGGGTGTTTTGAGCCTGTCATATCGCAATTTTTGAATTTCGCGGCGAAAAGTCGAGTTTTCACTTTCCCACGGGTCTCGCCACGATTACCTATAGTCTGCGGAAAGTTTCGAATTTATCATGAGCAAATTGTAATTTCCAGTTAATTTTATTTGATTTCAACTGTTTTTGAACGATTTTCTCCCAAATTCTCCCATTTCAGCGAAAAAAAGCGGAAAAATGGACGCGCGTATGCTGGAATTTGTGGCCGAAAAAGCGAAGAGAAACGGCGAACGCATTCCGACGGAACAGCTCTGGAACGAGTTCAAACAGGCCACTGGAGCCCTGGAGAGCGCCGAAATGCTCAATCATCGGTGTGTCGAGAAAATTTTAAAAGCTTGAATTGAAAAATTGACAAAACTGCTGAATTTTAGCGGAAAACGTGAGCCCTGGCAATTTAGTGAAAAAAATCCGTTAAATTTCGTTCAATATTCGTAAAATTCGATCAAGAATGACTAAAATCACTGATTTTTTGCAGATTCCAAACGGAATTGGCGCCTCGTCTCCATCTCCTCGAGCACATTGACGAGTCGACACGAACGGCGATGCTCCGCGTTGCTGGCTCTCCGAGCGCCGAGCACGAGTAGGCTCCGTCCACGTTGTCAAGCCATTTTCAAAATAATTTCTCTTTCAGAACGCACAATCCGCGCAAGAGTCGCCCGTTCCCGACGGATCATGAAAGTGAAGCGAAAAAGGCGCGTTTCGAAGGCGGCCACGAGAAAGATGTGGAAGAAGTGATGATGGTTTGTGAGGAGCAGGAGAAGCCGAAAAAAGTGCACTTCGCGACGGAGCCGCTCGAGAAAAAGGAGGCGGAGCCGAAAGACGAAGACGTGCCGATTCGCTATCCGATTCTGCGCGCCGACATTGAAATGTTCGAGACGCATCCGATGTACAGTACCGGATACACCGGCAACTGGTGGTTCTGAAAACCCGGCGAAACTCCTTAAATTTTATATGCATTCTTCGATAATCTGTTAAATTTGACACTTGTTACCTGTTTCCATGCCTCTGTTCTTACAATTTTGATGTTAAAAATGTTCAAATTCCGTGTTTTTTCTTGGTTTTGTTGCTAGGCGGTTTCTCACGTAAAATCCCAAACATTATTTTCGCGAGCGTTGAATTGACGTGGAACTGCACTGATTTTGCATTTGTTCGAATTTTTTATGATTTCGGGCTTCTTTGAGAGGATTTTTAAGCGCACATGATCAAAAACAGCAGAGTTTTTTTTAGACCTAGGGCTTAATTTTTCGATAATCGCTTCGAGACCTCGCACAAATTTTGGTCTATGCGCCTTCAAACATTTGGCGCGAAATTCTAACCGCCCGCGCTCTTCTTCATTTTTCAACGAAAAACAACGAAATCCAGTCACTTTCCTCCTCTCATTTTTTCGCATCCAAGTGATGTGTTTTTGGAATTTTCTGTTGAAAACTGATTTTTTTTATCAGATGCGCGGTCTGACTTGCGTGGTCGTCCTGCTCTTTGTCTCCGTCGCCAGCGGAACCATCGAATCGGCGCACGGCGACAAGGACGTCGTGCCGCACGAGGAACAAAGTACGGGTATCGCGTTTGAGACACCCGATCTCCGGGATTTTTGCGACAAAAAGAATTAATTCCAGTGCTTGACGTGGACACGATTCTGCGGGCGATGGGCGTGCCGTACTGCATGCGCAAGTGCATCGACCCGTTCATCAACTCGACGACGTCGCTCTGGAACATGCGCAACGTGGTCAGTCAGGCGCGCAACGTGTGCCGACTTCACGCCGACGCGATCAAGTGTCTCGGACGCGATCAATTCTGCGACCATCACAAGATTTTCACGAAGGCGAGCAGCAGTGTCGAGTACATGTGCGCCACGAAGCACGTGTTGTTCGAGCGAATGGAGAGCTGTTTGAATCCGGTCGTTGATGACGTCATGTCGAGTAAGATAGTGATTTTTCGATAAGGCACACTGCTAAAACCGCTGATTTTCTCTTTTCCAGCGTGCGACCAGGAATGCTACTCGCGCGCCAACCTGACCGCGTTCGCCGACAACTCAAACATCAAATTCGCGGCGACGGTCGGCGGAAACGCATTCATCGTGGCCGATCACCTCGGAGACCTGTGCGCGTCTCTGCAGTGCACGCTTCCGTGCGTTACGCGACGCCTCAACGACAAGTGCGCGCTGAGCGGATGGCTGAGTCTCGACATGCTGATGCAGCCGTTCGACGCCGTCTCGGTCATGTTCGAGCAGCTCTCGCCGCCGCTCAAGGACCTCATCCTGAAGAAAATCGACAAGCGCTGTCGGTTCGCCGTTAACATCGAACGTCTCAATCGTATCCGCAACGGAGATTTCAAGGCGTTCAATATGATGAATCTCTAAACTCTAATTTTCGCTTTGATTACTTACTCTTGTACATATTTGTCCCGCCCCTATTGGTTAATGCTGTCCCTGAATTTTTCCAATTTCGCAATGAACTGTGAACGGACCGCCATCCTTCTCACTGACCGCGGGCGACTACTCAGTCGTTCCGATGCATCAGCGGTTTAAATGCGATGCCTCGGCAATGCAATGGCGATGTAGAGCCGACGAGCGGAGTGTCGTTGTGCTCACTGTTTCGCCCCCGTTATTTCCGCTGATTCGTCATGCGTTTTGCTGAAAAAGAATACGAAAAAGTTTACAGACGGCCTCATTAACAGCGTAACGCCTGAAAAATCAGTGAAAATAGCGGAGGCTAAAGACACAACGACGATCCGCCCGTAGGCTAGACATCGCGGATGCATCGCATTTGACCGGCCGATACATCGCAAACCGTTGTCTGAGACGTTCAAAAACTCAAAAAGCGCAAATGTTTCAGAATTTCGGATTTCATCCGTAAATGTCGTTAATTCTAGTGCCAAGTCTGCAAACACGGCGAATGTACACTGACACGAAAAAACAGGATTTTTTTCGAAAATGCGCTTCTCAGCGGAAAATCCGCCAATTTTCCAGATGCCCGCTCATCCGTACACTCCCGCAGAAGATCGGACGATCATTGCGTACGTGACCAAACGAGTCGACGGCATTTACAAGGAGACGCCTCAAAGAGGACCGCTGCCGGCGCGATTTGTCTGGAAATACTATAACGAGTGGACGCGGAGCGAGCGGACATCCGGAGGAGTACAATTGAGGTGTGTGCGTGTAGCCGAGAGAGTCCTAGCCTAAAATTCCAGATATCAGCACTATTTGGCGCCGAAACTGCATGAAATGGACGAATTGGACGTGGCGACCAAAGTCAGAATGCTCTTTTTCTACGGAACACCAGTGGATAGAGAGTTTTTGGAAAAGTGAGTCGAAAAGAGTGCGAAAAACGAAACAATTTCACACTTTTCAGACTAAAAACGAGCGCAGAAGTGATCGTCGATGAGTACGGACGGATTTTAAAGTATTCAGAGCATGCGTCCGGCGGAATGCAGCTCTCCGATCGCAGCGGACTCGCCGTCAACCAGTGGAACGAACGGAAGAGCGAAAAAATGCGAAAAGAGCGCGAAAACCTGGAGATAGAGCAGCAAAGATGGCATTTTTCGGTTTTGCCGGCGAAAAAGCCGCGTTTTGTGTACGAACAAGACGCGGATCGGCCGGAATGCGACTGCGCAAAGTCCACGACGAACAAAAAAGTGTTTTTGAAGAGTTTGAGCGCGATAGTCACGCAAGTCGGAGCTCCAGAGCTTGTGGAGCTTCACGAACGGATCGGCAATGCGATTCGGATGATTTCGGATGAAGAGGTACTAAAAATTAGTACGTTTTTATAAAAATATATTGTTTTGCAGAAAATGCCCGTCGAAATCATCATATCGTCGCTGGAGACTGTGCTCAACAAGATGGAGTGCTAGAATTACATTCGAAAATCACATTTTTCTGTTTTTGTTGTATTTTTTTACCCCTAGTGCACACGTTCACATAAACCGCATTTCCATTTTTCTACCGTCCAGCGAAGAGACAGTGTACGTAGGGAGGGGGCGCAGACGACGAGATTAAAGGCGCAGCCCGCGATTTACGCGGCGGGTCTCGCAGCGCGCGCACGCATCTCGCCGCCAGTTTGAATTATTGACCGTTGTTCCGTGCGTTTTACCCTCGAAACTCGACGTCAGCAGACCGTTTTTCCGGATTTTTTCGCGTAACTTCTTAATGAATCGATAAAAGACTATATTTATGAATGTTTTTTGCAGAAAATCCGAGAATGTCATCGCGAAAACGGGGAATAACACCGTCGCGCGAAGGAGCGGGCGGCACTCGCCGCAAGAAGTCGTTCGAGGAGACGGACAGCATCGAGGTGGTGTGCCGGCTGTGTCCGTACAACGGCTCCACGCCCTCCCTGGTCGCCATCGACGACAACGCCGTACAAACGGTCCTGCCGCCGGCGAATTTCCGCCGCGAGAATGCGCCGCAAGTGGAGAAAATCTTCAAATTCGGCCGCGTTTTCAGCGAAAACGACGGTCAGGCGACAGTTTTCGAGCGCACCTCTGTCGATCTGGTGCTAAACTTGCTCAAAGGCCAAAACTCGCTACTTTTCACGTATGGAGTGACGGGCTCCGGCAAAACGTACACAATGACCGGAAAACCGACTGAAACCGGCACCGGGCTACTCCCACGCACTATCGACGTCATCTTCAACAGTATCGCTAATCGGTGAGCCGCGAAAATTCACGTAACTTGAAATATGCGCAATTTTTTCAGTGTCGACAAGTGCGTCTTCTATCCGGCGGCGCTGAACACGTTCGAAATCCGCTCGGCGTTGGATTCGCACCTAAAACGTAATCAGTTGGCGAATGAGCAGTTAAGCACGAGCCGAGAGCTCACCGACCGATATCGGGAGCCCATAAAGGTGTCCGGTTACAACGAGGACATGGTCTGCTCGGTTTTCGTGAACTACGTCGAGATTTACAACAATTTGTGCTACGATTTGCTCGAGGACGCGCGAAATGGGTAAGAAACGCGGGTTCTGTGCGGAAAATTGCATTTTTCTAACAAGTTTTGACCAAATTTAGACAGAAGTAACTTTATAAGGAGCTTAGGTTGCTCTCATGATTTTTACAAAGTATCTCTTAAGATCCTGATTTTGAACACGTTTTGACCTGGTTTGGAGTGTTTTTGTTGAAAATGAGGCTTTCGGACTTGGTTTTCGCATATCTCCTCTAAATTTGATAGTTCTAAGGCAATTCAGGCTCAGCTGAACTGCTCTTTAAAAAAACTCTCAACAGGGCCCAAAACGTGTGCAAAATCGGGCCAGAGGACCAGAAACTTTTCAAATTTCTTCCATATTCATCTAAATTTTCGTATATTCCGTGCCCAAAGCTTCAGATCGCTGACAAAACGAGAACTCCGTCAGGACCGTCAACAGCAGATCTACGTGGACGGCGCGAAGGACGTGGAAGTGAGCTCGGCCGAGGAGGCCCTGGAAATTTTTTGCCTCGGCGAAGAGCGAAGACGTGTCTCGTCGACGCTCCTGAACAAGGATTCGTCGCGTTCGCACTCGGTGTTCACCATCAAGCTGGTCATGGCGCCGCGGGCGTACGACGCGAAAAACGTGTACCCGGTTGCGGATTCGTCGAAAATCGTCGTTTCGCAACTGTGTCTCGTCGATTTGGCCGGTTCGGAACGCGCGAAACGGACTCAGAATGTCGGAGAGCGGCTTGCCGAAGCGAACAATATCAACAAGAGTCTGATGGTTCTTCGGCAGTGTATAGATGTGCTCCGTCGCAACCAGAAGAGTTCCGGAGCGGCGTACCCGGAGCAAGTGCCGTACAGAGAGCAAAAACTGACACATCTCTTCAAGAACTACCTGGAGGGCAACGGACAGATCCGCATGGTGATTTGCGTGAATCCGAAGCCCGAGGACTACGACGAGAACATGAGCGCGCTCGCGTTTGCGGAAGAGTCGCAGGCGATCGAGGTGAAGAAGCAGGTGGAGCGAATGCCGTCGTCGGATCGCATTCCGCACGCGTTCTTCACGCAGTGGAACGCCGAATTGGACGCCTCTGTGCGGTATGAAGATGAGGATGGACGCAGCGAGACACCCTGTCCGCCCACGTTCTGTTTGAGGGTATGTACTAGATTTTTAGATTCCTATAAGCATTTTAGCAATTTTTGCAGGACTACAACGACAATGCGACGGTGGAAACTCTCCGTACGTACGTGCGTCAGCTCCAGGAGCAGTACGGTTCCGATGACGGTTCATCTTCCGCGGCCGCAAACGGACCGTCCCTTCTGGCGGCGGTCCGGTCCTACATGATGGAGGCGGACTACCAGCGCATCGAAATCGGACGTCTTCGCGAGACTTTGGAGGCGAAGAACGCGGAGATCCAGAAGCTGCGTGGCTTCTGCTCTCGCTACAAACGCGAGAATCAGTCGCTGAAGGAGCGGATCCACTCGTGCGAGCAGGAGGAGGAGGAGAATGTTCAGGCGATGAACCGACTGATGGAGCAGAAGGAGGAGGATCGCAAGATCATACAGTCTCAGAAGAAGGCGATGAAGCACGTGCGCGGCATAATGGAGAACGCGCCGTCGCCGTCGGTCGCCTCGCTGCGGTCCCGCTTCGATCAGGAGAACGCGCGGCCGACGGCGCCGATGCAGACGCCGCCGCCGCCCTATCAGACGCCGGGACGCGGGCCCGTCTTCCGGAAGCGGCTCGAGGCGACGACGTCGACGACGGGAGTGGCGGTGATCGGTGGGGGACAAGGATACGTGAACCCCAAGTACCAGAGACGCTCCAAATCGGCCGGACGTCTTCTCGATCATCAATCGCGATATCCTGTGCCGACGGGCACCGTTCTGCAGTCGAGAACGCCCGGAAACGCGATACGCACCACCAAGCCAGAGGTAATCGCGCTCTAATGAGGATTTGGCGATGTTGGCGTGTTCAACCGCTAGTTTTTGGAGTAATTTCTATGAACAATTTTCAGGTGCACCAACTGAACAAATCGGGCGAATACCGTCTGACGCATCAGGAAGTGGACAAGGAGGGAAACATTAGCACCAATATTGTCAAGGTATCCGAACAAATGCATTCCTTAGTCGTCCGTCTTTGAGCATGTCTAAAACTGTCCCCGTTTTCCCAATGTTCGTAAATATTGTCCATTTCATTCCATTTCACCCCCGTTTTTTGCACTGCGCACCGTCCGTTCACTAACACTTTTCGAACAGGGATCTCCGCCGATTCGAGGCTCGCCGCCGCCTCCGATCAGTCCGTTTTCTCCGCGTTCCGACATCCGATCGTCGACGATCTACTCGAATCACGAGCACACGGCGCCCAAGGAGAAAAAGAACGCCGCCGGTTATTGGTTCGCATTTTTACATGTTTTTTTGTTGTTTTTAACAGTTCTGAATGTGAATAGGCCTAGTTTTGCCTATTTTGCTTGCCTCGAATAGAATGCGTATAGTCGATTTGCAACCGAACATTTCGAGTTGGCTTTCTTAAAAATATATTTTTGTTTTCTAACAGTTTGCTGAACGTAAACAAGCCTGTTTTTGCCTTGCTTAGTTAGAATGCGTTTGCGAAATTATGCAACTCCCATGGAGATTGGTTGATGGGTTGCAAAACGTCCAAATATTGTGAATTTTTGAAATGTTATCGTGGCGAGACCCAAAAAAAGCGAATTTTTCCAGGGAGACGTAATACCGACGGCTTCGGGCGGAACCGCAGTCTTTTTCAACGATATCGAGAAGCTGACGCACGAATCGCCGACAACTCGCAAATAATTGCACAATATCCTTTTTTTTAAACTGTGCCTATCCGCTCTTCTTCTTTTTTTGTCAATTTCACTGTACTATACGCCTACGCATCGGATTTACAGCCGATTCAAAAAAATGCCAATTTATTCTCCCATCTCGCATAATCCATCTCGATTCAAAGAAAAAGTGTGTTCCGAACGCTCTCTCATCGTTTTTTCTGTTGTAAATTTCCTGATCCTAATAATTCTCGCCCTTTTCGCTCCAATCTCCAATCTCACTCAAAGCTTAAGCCCCCTCTTATTTTTTTATAAAATGAAGCTGTTTGAAATTGTGCAACGAAATAATAACTTAACATTTATTTGCTAATATCTCGTTGAAAATAAATAGGACCCGATTCAGGTCAGACAGAATTCAGGTAAAGAAAAGGCACGTTTTTATACAAATATTGATTTTTACGCGTTTTTAGACGAATTACAGAAAAGAAAAGGGAATATTGTGCGGAAAACGAGGTCAGAAAATGGTGATTATCTCGGAGAAACTCGATAATTTCGATTTAGACATAACCAAAGGGGCGGGGCGGGCAACGACAAGATCGGAAACACGTCACGTGTGGAGAGAAACAGAAAAGAAGTGATAATGCGAGTGCGCGCGCACAGAAATTCGACGTCTAGAGAGTGTTTTTGAGCTGACTGAACACATTCGCCGCGTTCAACATGAACACGTTGTCCGGAGAAGTGGTGGTGAGGAAGTTGGAGACGTTGGCGACGAGCTGCAACGAGGGAAACGATGAAAAAGTGTAGAAAGGGGGGGGGGCGTGGCCTAATCTGAGACGCTTTTTCGGAAAATTGCCGCAATTCCAGCACTTTTCCGTTATTTTTGTGTGCGATATCGACGAAAGAAGAGAGCACATTAAAGAGAGAAAACATTGAAATTTTCGTGAAAACGCCGCCGCGTTTGAGACGTTTTTCGCATATTTCGCAATAGGCTCTCCGCGGCCAATCGCCGCCGCAATTTCGGAATTTTCATACCGCGGCCGATGTGGATAGTTTTGAGACGAAGTGAGTGTCGGAAGTGATTAAGCACGTTAATACAAGTATTTTAAGCGTTCAAACGGCAAAAAGTGTCGGCGAATGACTGAAATTCACGCATTTTCTGCACAAAACTTGAAAATCGATTCAATCGATTTAATTCTGAATGAAACCTGTTCGTTTTATGCTAAAAAAGTGCGCGCGATGATTAGTTTAACAAAGTTATTTGGCAATTACATCGTCAAAATCGTATAAAATTTGGGTAATTTTTGACTAGAAACATGAAAAATTTCGCGCAAAAATGGTGATAAACCGTGCACGCTAGGCCACGCCCCTTTCTACGTTTTTGGCCGCCGAACTCCAACAGAACGCGCTCTGTAATGGGGCTATTCAGCGTATGTTTGTTTTCCGTTTTTTTTCCCGTTTTTTTACATCGCTGAATTGGATTTTTTGACGTAAAAAAAAACGGAAAACAATCATTTTTTTTTTCACAGCCTGAATAACCCCATAGGAAGCGAAACGCTCACCTGTCTGGTCATTTGACGATAGTTCTCGAATTCCTCCTCCTTCTTGCTCACTTGCAACTCTAACTCGTGCACTCGTTGCCAACAACTGGAGCACTCTTTGCACGAGGAGGACGACGATTCGGAGGCCGTCGGCTGCGGACTCGCTCCCGACGAACTCGACGGGCTGACGGAGCTCTGTTCGAGGCACGACGACGAGCCGCCCTCGAGCAGCTGCAGCGGAGACGGTTTTTGAGGCGACGAGGCGCACGAGGTGTCTGTCGCCGGATCGGCGTCGGATCCGAGTTGCGAAGTGGTGGACGAGTTGGTGGTGGAGGAGAACGAGAGAACCGACGGGTCGAGCGAGATCGACGATTGGTTGGCCACGTGGTACATGTACATGTGCAGGGTGAACGAGGACTGCGTCGGAAAATGCGTCTTGCAGATCATACATTGCAGTGGGAGGGGTGCTGAAAATTTGCGTTTTTGGTAATATGACTTTGAAGTTGCATAGCCAAACGAACCGTTGGGATGGTGCTCAAAAGTTGCGGGCGTTTTGCTCACAATCATCTCATTATTACTATTATTATTATTACTATTATTATTATTATTATTGTTGTTGTTATTGTTGTTCTCCTGTTTGACGAGTAACGTGTTAAATGCACTCCGTTCGTTGTGCTGCTGAGCAAACAGTCTCTGTGCCATTTTCGCGATCGTCTCCGGCGATAAAATGAGCGTTTCGGCGGCGGATTTGGCGGCGGGAAACGTCGTTTCGAGACCCGCGAGGCCCGCTTTCATCGTGGGCGTCAGCAGCGATCGGATCGGCGACGACGGCTTCCCTTTGCACTTGAGATGGTGCTCGTCGAGCATGATCTGTTTGAGGAACGACCGTCCGCACTGTTGACACGAGAAACCACGTTCCTGGTGGATTTTCATGTGACGGTTCAGGTCGAACTGCAATGAATTGTCTTTCTTTTTCTTTTTTAAAAAAATCTCACCTTGAATATAAACGTTTTGTGGCACTGTGGACATTCGTGCGGACGACCGCCCGAGTGAATCATCAGATGTTGAGTGAGATGACCTTTCTGCAAGAAGAAGAAGACAATAGATAGAACATTTTGAGTCTGGAGCACGGAAAACAAATATTAGGCCTCATGGTTGTCTTTAAAAAAAAAGATATTGTAGAGCTTGTCAGTAGTTTTGTAGTTGATCACTCTGAGTACTGTAGCGCTTGGAAGTTCCTAACTTCCAAGCGCTACAGTACTCGGGGGAGTGGTCCCAGGAAAAAATGATAAACTACAAAAATACACTGTTAGATGTCACGCTTTGAAACAAAAAACGTTCAAGCTGATATATATCACTGCGTAGAACTTTACAATATCCAAATTTGAGCTCACCTGAAAGAAGGCCTTGTTGCAGTGCGGACACACGTGTGATCGTTCGCCAGTGTGCCACATCCAGTGCTTTTTGAGCAGTTGACGAGTTCCAAACTCTTTTCCGCATTGGGTACACTGCAAAATGTTCGGGCATATTATAGTTGTACGCTCATTCTGGCTTAATAGAACTTCCAGACAATATATCTCAGCTGTGTGTTGAGATATCAAAAAGTTGTCAATTGATAAAATGTTCATTAGGATATTCTCTACACTTTATCAGTTGACAATATTTTGACATCTCCACACACAGCTGAGATATATCGCTTCAAATGAACGCTAGGGTATTGAAGCTAGCTGAGCCAGCCTTAACAAACCTTTTTTGATGAAAAAATGGTATAAATGAGCTCAAAAACTGACACTATGCGGTTGCTCGCCACTATGGATCCTCATGTGCGTGGCGAGTTCCCGTTTGACCGCGAACATCTCGTGACAGTCCTCACACTCGTATCTTCCCTTTTCCATCGACGGCGACTTTTCCGTCGTGGCATTTATGAGCGAAGAGTCTGTGTCGGACAACGAATCCTCTTCCACTTTTATCGCTGGCATCTGAAAATGAAAATCTACTGTATTTTTGTTTTGAAACTCTGAAACACTATCAAAAAGTTGTCAACTGATGAAAATGTGCCAAATTTTCGTCGTGAACATTATGCTAGTTGACCACTTTTTCATGGCTCTACAGGCAGCGAAGAGAACGAGGAGACAAGGCCAAAAAAAACAAAAAAAAAAGAGTGGCAGGTGGGGTAGGAAAAAAAAAGGTTCACGACGGGAGGGACAATATGGACGTGGCGTCGGCGGCCAAATGGCAGGTTTTTTCTGATGTTTGTGTGGTCAAAGGCGACGAAAAATGCATGTTCGACATGAAAACACACTAATTTTCGCAGAATTATAGACGTTTTGGCGCATTTTTCGCATTTTTCGCGGATTTCGCTTTTTCGAAATTTTGTTTTTTTTTCCTTAATACCCGCACTTTTTATTTTGCGCTTTTTTGATCGTTTTCAGACAGAATTGGTTTTGAGAATGATAAATCACGTAAATACAAGCATTTTGAGCGCTCGAACCGCGAAAATTACCGAAAAGCAACTGAAATTCACGCAGTTTTAGCGAAAAACCTTCAAACTTGACCAAATTTAACGCTCTTGCGCTTAAAAAATTTGTAATAGCCTATACAATCGGTCTATCGAGAGAAAAATCCGAAATTATCGATTTTTCGTCGCTAATCTGGCAAAAAACACAAATTTCGCTGTTAAAATTTGCATTTCGCGCCAATGCTCTACGCTCTATTCGGCGGGGCGCACTTGCTACTATTGGAAATTTGGTTGAAAAAAAACCCGGCAAAATTCATGCGAAGATCACGAAAAAAGGCGAAACTTTCAGTGGTCCTGGGCGAAACTATGAAAATGTGGTGGATCTCCTCCAATCGCTTATGAGCATCTCTTGGCTCCGTCGATCGGCGACGAGGGACGTGTGCCTGTTGGTACCAGGAGACGCGGCGCGGAAAAACGCGGGGGGTGGATATATGCAAATGGCTGAGGAAGAGCAGCAGTAGCGGCGGCGGCAGGAGCAGTTAGTGTAAGAACGGCTGACGCGCGGAGAACAAGAAGAAGGAAGAAGACGAAGAAGAAGAAGAAGTAAGCGTCGTGGCACCAACGCGCACCAATCCGGCAGGCCACGCCCACTTGGGGAAGAAGGGTGTAACCATGAGGATTACACTACGAGGGACCGGGTCAAGAACGACGACGTTTTGCAACCGACCTCGACATTCTCGTCTCCACACTTCTCCTCCTCGTCGTGCTCCTCTCGCTCGTGCTGCTGTAACTCGGCGAGACTGTGAAAAGCGCCGGAGCAATCGCGACACAAGTACAGAGAGCTCATGTTTCTGCAAAAACCGAACATATTGGAACTAATATACGAGGAGAAGGACGAGGAGGACGACAAAAAAACGAGAGGAGAAAAGGGACCACCGTGGGCTCGTAAATGAGCGAATGGATGTGCTTGATTGCTTTCACATGTACTCCGACTCTTCGGGGTTGGGGGGTCATTGTGTGTGCTCACTTATTCACTCAGATATTTGTTAGGGGGGCAAGAGAATGAGGAAGGACCCGCGCGAAAGCCGTAGACGGAGCAGAAAAGCCCTACCGTTTGTGTGTGCGGTAAAGAAGAAGAAGTCGACTCGACTCTCTTGACAATGTTTGGATGACCGGAGGAGCTGCCACCACCACCTCACCACACCCCGACGAAATACTCTGATCATGAAGAAGAAGAAGAAGAAGAAGAAGAAGACGGACAGAGTGTAACTACCTACAGTAGGCCGCAAAAAGCGAGAGCTCGCAAGGAAGGGATGGGTTTGTTTGCGTGACTGTTTGTTCTTCGTTTAGGTTTTAGCAGCAGCAGCACAGCAGTAGCCACGTTTTTCGAGATGGAAGCGAAGCGTTTCGCGTTTGAGTTTCATGACAAAAAGTTGGATTGCAAAGGCACAAAAAAAAACAGCGAATGTCATGTCACATTACACTTTTCCGGATAGTCTACGAAGCAAAACGCATTTTGACAAAAAAGCTTTTTCGATAATTGACATGGTTTTAGACAAGACTTTTTTGTTTTGCAATAGCATCATGAACTTGAAACACGTATAATCTGGACATTTCGCAACCGAACTCTTTGTCTTGTTGCGCGTATTTTTGTTCATGAGCGGAATAGCTCAACGGAAGAACTCACGGAAGAATTTTTATCTTTTTTAGAAAATTTTTTCATGAATTGTGATCAACTGACGAAATGCATAGCAAAGTGAACTGTGCTCATAGAAAAATAATTGTAAATTTAGCTTTTCATACAAAAAAGTTATTCGAGTTGTTCCGTGAAAAAGGGGGCTAACGGAAGACGGAAGGTATAATTTTTTGTATGAAAAGCTAAATTTACAATTATTTTTCTATGAGCACAGTTCACTTTGCTATACATTTCGTCAGTTGATCACATTCCATGAAAAAATTTTCTAAAAAAGATAAAAATTCTTCCGTGAGTTCTTCTTCCGCTCAACTCTGGTCACTTGAATCTGAGGCTAGTTGAAATAAGTCTTGGTTACAAAACGTCCTAGTCAGAGTTGGGGTTTCAGTTGCAAAACGTCTCTAGTTGCGAAATGACCGTTCTACTGAACATTTACGGCTTCTATTAGCGTTCGTAGGGCTGTTCACAATCCAGCAGAGAAGATATTGTAAAGATTACAGAAAAGATGGTCAAACTTTCTGGATATTGTGCACTTTTAAACGCAAGCATGACCCCCTCGCATCATCTGGCACCCGTTTTTTTGCCGTCAAAACTCTGGCGCCGGCCGACTGCCGCACTTGAGAGCCACGGATGAGCTCGGCGGCGAGGGTGACGTCCGGTGCCACCCATCTGGTCCCTCTCTCTCCCTCTCTTTAACTCATAAACGAGCAGGGAGAGAAAGAGAGAGAGAGAGAGAGAACTTTGAAGACAAATGGGAGGGAGAACAACAAAAAAAATAAGGAAAAGTGCAAAAGTTTCGGGTCTTTGAGGAAGGATCGGGTATAGTGACCCCTATTGGCGTTTGTGCTTGTTCGTCGAGAAAGTATAGGTAACTGGCGGCACCACCAACAAGGGGCGGAGCTTACGGCGCACCGACACAATGATATTGTTGATCTAAGTTTTTGGAGTCATGACAGCAAGTTAGGAGCGAAGACAGTTTGAAAATTCGTCAACTTTAAACACCTATTGTTGATACCCCAACTTGCAAGCGCTACAGTACTCTTGTTGGTGATCCTAGAAAAGAGCGATCATGTAGTGTTCACGCAAACAGTTGGGGGGGTCAAGAATGATGATCCCAAGTTGGAAGACGACTTGATCTTGATCTCTCCGTATGTGTTTGGTGTGTCATGTCGTGAAAAAGCTCTTGTTTCGTCTCGTTTTTTCGACTCTCTCTCTCTCGCTCTCTCTTCGTCTGTCCACCGACGTGATATGGTACTTTCACCGCACAAAAAGTGGGCGGAGCTTCGGTGAGGAGTCAATTCATCACGCGACAGGAGCCTGCGCCGCGCGCGAGCGGGGAGCAGCGGTTACCAATTGGTCACACACATTCTCTCTCTCTCTCTCTGCATTTCTTTCGTTTCCACAATACAGAAGCTCTTTTTACTACACCGAATGGAATGGTGCTCACGCACAAAACACATAGGGAAGGGGGCTCGCGAGTTAGAGGCCGTGGGAGGCGAAAACTCAACAAACACGCACGGGCGCGGGCGCACAAGAAAATGAGAATGATGATGGACGGGAAAAAAGTTTGAGATGGCCGCGAATGTGATCGGGATGTGTTTTGGGGAGTACTTTAAAAAAATGCAAAATCATTTTTTGGTAAGAAATATTGTTGTGTTGACGACAATCACACGTTTTCGCGGAAAAACGCGAGCGAAAACGTCTAAAATCGACTTTTTCCCGTGTTGATCTTCGTGTTTCTGCGTGCTGCGCCTTTAAATTGGCTACAGTAACCCGTATGCGAAAATTTGCAAATTTTGCGTAAAAACACGGTTTTTTTGCGTTTCCCACGAGAGAACATTAATTTTACGCACTTTTTCAGCTAAGATGAACAAAGAAAAGCTGGAATTGCGAAACATTTTTAGAAAAATCGAGCAGATTCAGTCCTGTGTCTTTAAATTGGCTATCAGCAAAAATAGCGATTTTTCTGTGGTTTTCACGAAAAACCGTTGATTTCTTGCTTTTTCCAGACAGAAAGGAGCAAAAATGTAAAAAGCTGCGGGAATTGGTGCGAAAAATTGTGTGCTGCGCCTTTAAAGTAGCTACCGTAACCTATTTTTTAGTTTTTGCGTTTCTCTTCTGAAAGCTAGCGTTCTGGGCGATTTTTTCGTGCATTTCAGAGAGAAAGGCAAAGAAACATCAGTTTTAGTGCTAATTCGCCAAAAACAGTGCCCGAAAGTGGATTTCCAATGCGCTTTTGCGATGAAAAAGCGTAAAAATCATGCAACATTACCGAATAATTATGGTGAGAACTGGCAAGAATCGCAAAAAATGCAGATGTTTATATAAAGAGCGCGAAACATTCCTTCTTTTCTTTTCGATCCTCCTCCTCCTCCTCCTCCCACATGTGCCGAGTTTGAATTTGAAACTTTTTCTGTTTATTTTTTGTCCAACCCACGTCATTTTCTCTCTCTCTCCCTCTTTGTGCACACCTTCCCCTCCTTGGTTGAGACCCAAAAAATTGGGCGAAAGGGACGAAAACCCGAAAACTAACCAATAACTCAAACAGACGACCGAAAGTGAGCAAACCGAAAGAGGTGCTCAAGCACAGGAAGCTCTCTCTCTCTCTCTCTCTCTCTCTTTCTCGAGTCAATATTGGTATCGTATCGATTCAGTAGCGGTCCGCTTGCTCCGAGAGCAACAGCAAAAAGGAACTTGAGACCTACTTGGCAGTCCGAGAGAGAGAGACAGAGAGAGAGAGGTTAAGAGGTTCGGCAGGGATGGCTAATTGGGAGACGAGATGCCTCTCAAAAAAAAATGGAGGCAAGGGGTTACTTGAAACTTGCAACACCAACCATTATTGTCAGTTTCACAATGTCCAGATCAAAAATTGAGATCCATGGTTGCAAAGTGTCAAAAATCGACGTGGATGCATCCCAAAACAATCATAATATCGAATGGCATAAACATGAGCGAATATAAAGTGAGTAAGAAAATAATATAAACAAAAGTAAAAGTATGGTGGTGGGGGATCGGATCAGATCGGATACTTGTGTCCAGGGGGTGTCTGGCGAGCACTGGTTACGCCATGTGTCTTCTTGGGCAGAGCAGTTGCCCCCGCGGGGATCGTATGGGTCTTGGGAGGCGCCGCGAGAAGCTCAAAAAGTACGGTTCTCTTCATTTTTCTAGTGAAATAAAACTTGTGACAAAGAGCACTATGATTGGCCCTTTTCGGGTACCGCCTATCCAAACACTCGGTCTAATACAGTACCAATAACTGGTAATCCCGCTCTTTTCGGTGTCATGTTTGACACTTGACAAGGTAAAGAGGTCCAGAGGATATTCTTCTTGCGCAATTCGTTCATTTGGATCATCAAAGGAGGTCGCGATAATGGTCGGATCGGCGGATACCAAGAAAATGGGGGGATCGGGAGATTAAGCGTTCATATCTCAGTTGTGGATGGAGCTGTCAACAAGTGGTCAACTGATGGAATGTTCAAAATGTCTTAACGAGCATTTTGTTAGTTGATAACTTTTTGATATCTCCAACGGCAGCTGAGATATATCGATTTGAAAACCATCGTCCTTCCGCCTCAAAAATGTTGCGAGTCCATGGTCCGACTGGTCAAGGGACCATTACACTGTGCCGCCGCCCAACAGTTGCCCCTCTTTTTTATCACGTGCCGCGCGGAATCGCCTCCGTCGGAGCAAAATAGCTTGTGTGTGTGTGCCGAGCCGAGCCGAGCCGCTCCCTTTGCACTAACAGGTGTAACCTATCCTACTTTCGTGCGCGCGCGCGCGCGCGGACCATCGGAAGGTGGTAGCATGTTTGTGACCAACTGACCACTTCATACTCATTGCCCCCCCACAGCGGCTTCTTCCTTTCATTTTCTTGGGGAAAAGGGACGATGGAAGGCTGCCGGCTTTTGCTGCATTTTAAGCGAAAAATAATCCAAAATTTCACGGCGATCAAAAGTGTAGAAAGGGGCGTGGTCTAATCTGAGACGCGTTTTCTGAAAATTGCCGCAATTCCAGCACTTTTCCGCTGTTTTTGTGTTTGATATCGACGAAAGAAGAGCACATTAAAGAGAGAAAACATTGAAATTTTCGTGAAAACGCCGCGTTTGAGACGTTTTTGGCATATTTCGCAATACGCGCTCCGCGGCCAATCGCCGCCGCAATTTCGGAATTTTCATACCGGCCGATGTGGATAGTTTTGAGACGAAGTGAGTGTCGGAAGTGATTAAGCACGTTAATACAAGTATTTTAAGCGTTCAAACGGCAAAAAGTGTCGGCGAATGACTGAAATTCGCGCGTTTTCAGCACAAAACTGGAAAATCGATACAATCGATTCATTTTTGAATGAAACCTGCTAGTTTTAAGCTCAAAAAATGCGCGCGATGATTAGTTTAACAAAGTTATGCAATTACATCGTCGAAATCGTGCAAAATTTGGGTAATTTTTGACGAAAAACCTGAAAAATGGGGTTAAATTTCGAATTTCGCGCCAAAATGGTGATAAACCGTGCACGCTAGGCCACGCCCCTTTCTACGTTTTTGGTCGCCGTGAAAAATTGACATTTTAAGCGAAAAATAATCACTTCGACAGTGAAAAAACTGGTGAAACAACATTTGTTGCCAGTTTTTAGTGTATTTTTTCCGAAAAAAAGATGCAACAAGGCGACAGAATACGTTTTGATAACAGAAAATCAATTTTCTCGATTTATTTTCAAGAATTCGGTGTTCAGAGCAATGTGTGCGGCAGCGTTGCGAAAATTGCGCGCGCTACTTGCAAGAATTGAACGCTGAAGGGGCGGGGCCTCATTTGAACTTTGCGGGCTTTTCTCAGGGGGCACGAGCGGGGTGCAGTGATACTATACAAACCGAATGAATAGAAACCTGGTAAGACAATATAAAGTTTTTGAAACAGACGCTGTTTGAAAACTGACCGTTTACCAACAAAAACGACACCTCCCCCCCAAAACCGTCTGTATCTCAGTTGCCGGTGGAGACAGCGAAAACTTGTCAACTGATAAAATGTACAGAAATTCGTGGTGAACATTTCAATAGTTGACAACTTTTTGATGACTCCACTCCTAGCTGAGATATTTCGTTTTTTGAGTTCAATGCTCTGTTTCATCAGGTTTATTGTGTAATTCTGTGCTCTTTATAGCAACGAACGCTTAAAAATTGAGATTTTAAGCGAAAAATAGTTTATTTTCACGCATATCGAATACGTGGGTGCGTCAAATGAGACATCGAATCCATGAAACACTGAACATTTTTTTTGTAGCTTGTGGAATTTGTGAAATTTGTGAAATTTGAGAAAAAGTCGGCATTTGCGGTTAACAGATATCATTGGGCTAGAAAAGCTGATTTAGAGAAAATGTATCAGTTTTGAAACCGAAAATGTTCGGTTTCGGTTGAGGAACAAGGTCCCTTGCTCAAAAAAGCAAAAAAAAAACCCATAGAAATGATCAGGTCCCTAGTGGACCATGCCAGACGCAAGAAAGATGCCGAAATTCCATTCCAAAACTCTCAAAACAAAGTGCACAAAAAGAACACGTGGTCCCATTGGATCAGCAGATAGAACACCCAAGATCATGAATAAAATGAAAGAGAAGAGAATTTTTTGTGCTGCACGCCAGCTGCTGATAAAAGTGCTCGAGGAGGCGGCCGAAAAGAAGAAGATATGGGTCAGTAGTCGATGGCTGGTCGACGCGGCTCCTGGTCCCAGAGGTCATTGCTCCGTCGTGCCAGGTGCTTGATGCCACCGGGCTCCGCGAGCCAACTGCCTCTGTTTTGCAAAAAAAAGAGGATGAAGACGGAAGAGAAAAGTTTGGGTGAACTTATAAAAAATCATACTCTAGCGAAGGTATGTATGTGTTTGCTGAATGGATCAAAATGTACCACTGTATTACTGTAGCGGAGCGGTGTCCTATTTCATGCACAGTCAATATAATATTAAGATGATCAGAGCACTCTTTTTGTAGCTTGGATGGTCGAGGTTGGGCGAAAATTGGCGCTTTTAACAACAATCGTTTTTTCGAGGTGCCCTGAAACTGGCGATTTTTGCCAAAATTTTTTTTTTGGCGGCAATGAATGAGAAATGTCTTTATTTTTTACCTACAGTACATGTGGCAGCGGAAAGTTTGTCGTTGGCATGTTTGTTTGCGGTCACGCCATTCAAAACTAAGGAAGCTGTCTGGCACCACACACACACACAAAGGACCGATGATATTTGAGAAGTCATCGACACAAAGCGAACATCTACACACCTTGCTTTCATTGAAAACTATTCGGTCCCGAGCAGGGGATCTGAAATCTTCAATTTTTAGAATTTCAGTTGTAAAGTGTCCGTGGTGGTTGCGAAACGTTGAGTTGTTGCGTCCTCATTCCAGAGTTGAGCGGAAGAACTCACGGAAGAATTTTTTTATCTTTTTTAGAAAATTTTTTCATGGAATGTGATCAACTGACGAAATGTATAGCAAAGTGAACTGTGCGCATAGAAAAATAATTGTAAATTTAACTTTTCATACAAAAAAGTTATTTGAGTTGTTATTCGTTCGTCCCCTTTTTCACGGAACAACCCGAATAACTTTTTTGCATGAAAAGCTAAATTTACAATTATTTTTCTATGAGCACAGTTCACTTTGCTATACATTTCGTCAGTTGATCACATTTCGTGAAAAAATTTTCTAAAAAAGATAAAAATCTCAACTATGTCTCATTCGCTGAAAGTTCTGAAATAGTGATTGTGAAACGGTAATAATCGAGACGCATGGTTGCAAATCGTCCAGAGTCGGTTGCAAAGTGTCTTGTTCGTTTTCAACTTCGAGACCCAACTACCGTAACCCTATGATCGTTTATTCGAACAACATGATCGATGTGTGCTCCGAGCACGGCTGTTCCTCTTCCATTCCTTCTTCTACTTCTTCTTCTGCGCAAAATACTTGGTCCCAGTCGGATCCTCTCCGATATCCGCGCTCTCTTTCCATCCCCCTTACACTTGTGTTTATACCGAGAGAGAGAGAGAGAGTGTGTGTGTGGGGCAGAGAGAAAAAGAGAAAGTGCCACACACATAAATGATATGTGAGACTACTGGCTGCATGTGGTGTGCGCGGTCCCCTCCGGATCAACCAGAAGGACCAGCAGCAGCAGCAGCAGCCAGCCAGCCAACAGACACCAATCACTTTACGGCATTTGTCGGGTGATGGGAAAACGCGGAAAGTTTTTGAGAGGTTAGGGATCTGGGAGCAAGATGGCAGGGACCGTATCTTGGTTGTCAGTCGAGATATTAAAGGTGGTGTTCAACGTGACATAATACAACATATTTTTAAAATTAACTTCGAAGTGGGGCATTCACTTTCCCGAAGTCCCGAATTACGAAAAAAATTCCCCGATTTTTAAGATTTTTTTCAAAAAAGTTAATGGTACCGAGAGAGAAGTACACGGCGAAATGGAAGAGCTGGCCTAGATTTTTCTAGTCCCCGGATGGAATTCCCCTCTTTTCCGATTTTTTTCCGTTTCCGTGCAATTTTTCTTAAATTTTCAATCGTTTTTTTCACTGAACACATTTATTTGCAATATTTAAAAAAACTTATGATTTTTTTCTGTGCCGTGACGCCAAAAAAATCGATAATCAGAAACTTTCAAAATTCAGCAAAATTCAGAAATTCAGCCACTTTTTTTGTAAAACTGAAAATAGGAAGTTTTGGATTTTTTTCATAACTTTGAAAAAAATATAACTTTCTGTAACTCGCAAACTTTAATTAAAACTCAGGAAATGATTGAGCAATCTCTTTCTATTTATTTTTCAGCGCGCAAACCGAAGATTGAGCGAAAAACCCGGAAAATATTGCAAATAAATGTGTTCAGTGAAAAAACGATTGAAAATTTAAGAAAATTGCACGAAAACGGAAAAAATTCGAAGAAAAGGGAATTCCATCCGGGGACTAGAAAAATCTGGGCCAGCTCTTCCATTTCGCCGTGTACTTCTCTCGGTACCATTAATTTTTTTGAAAAAAATCTTAAAAATCGGGGAATTTTTTTCGTAATTCGGGACTTTGGGAAAGTGAATGCCCCACTTCAAAGTTTATTTTAAAAATATGTTGTATTATGTCACATTGGACACCATCTTTAAAAAGTTGTCAACTGACAACATGTTCATTGAAACATTTTGTACATTTTGTTAGTTGACAACTAGTTTATATCTCTACCGGCCGCTAAAATATAGTCGATATGGACTGGAATTCACGTGAACCTCTCCAGAGAACATTTCTCGATATCCAAAACGTTCTGTTACTTTATTTCTGATTAGTTTCCTCTCAAATAACTCGCCTAATCATTTGGAATATTCATTGCAAAGTCAGTCAGTCAAAGAAACGAGAATGAGCGAGTGAGAGCGTCGTTGTTTGACGAATTTCCATAAATGCTGCTCAGTTTCTTCGAGGAGAAATGTGCTCCGATGAAGCGTCCGGCAAAAGGACAAGTCAAGCTGCCAGAGGAGTTGAAGCCAAAGTTTGTGACGCCGCCAGAAGACGTGCCGCCGCCGCCGCCGCCGCCACCGATTCTGGCTCCGGCTCCAGTTTCTCCCGAACCCATTCCAGCCGCACCAACACCAGAAAGCCCTCCACCTCCTCCTCCTCTAGAAGTGGACAATATAGGAGCTGCGGAGCCGGCGCCGGCACCGGCGCCGCCGCCACTTCCACATCCACCCGATCAGGAGATAAAGTCGGACAATCAAGTGGAGACGGGTCCAGAGACCGCCGAGAATCAGCAGGAGGTGAAGAGGAAGAAGAAAAAGGCGAAGAAGGCGAAGAAGAAAGACGAGGGCACAGCGGTCGCCGTGTTCGTCGACGATGACGAGAAGAAGGAGACCGACAATGCAGTCGGACAGTTTGTCGAGGACGACGAAGAAGAGGTAGCTCTAATTTTGACTCTTCCAACATTCCAATGCGCCTTTAAAACGACCCTAGTCTGATTTTACAGAGAAAGACGGCGAAGAAGGAGAAAAAGAAGGAAAAGGACAAGGAGAAGGACAAGAAGAAAGGAGTTGGAGCCAATGTTGCGGGCAGTACGGTGAGCATGTCTTGTCACAGTTTTGAAACGGAAATTCGAAATAGTTGTGCTCAAAAAGGTGCTCGTTTTTCAGCGTCAAAAGAAAGGAGCCGCGATTCCGAAAAAGGAGCAAGCAAGTGTGCGAAGGAAAGAGCCGAAAAGTGGGGTAAGTCCCCTCAACTTTTCTACATTTCGGCGACCAAAAGTGTAGAAAGGGGGGCGTGGCCTAATCTGAGACGCGTTTTCTGAAAATTGCCGCAATTCCAGCACACTTTTCCGCTATTTTTGTATTTGATATCGACGAAAGAAGAGAGCACATTAAAGAGAGAAAACATTGAAATTTTCGTGAAAACGCCGCCGCGTTTGAGACGTTTTTCGCATATTTCGCAATTTCGGAATTTTCATACCGGCCGATGTGGATAATTTTGAGACGAAGTGAGTGTCGGAAGTGATTAAGCACGTTAATACAAGTATTTTAAGCGTTCAAACGGCAAAAAGTATCGGCGAATGACTGAAATTCGCGCATTTTCAGCACAAAACTTGAAAATCGATTCAATCGATTCATTTCTGAATGAAACTTGCTCGTTTTAAGTTCAAAAAGTGCGCGCGATGATTAGTTTAAAAAAGTTATGCAATTACATCGTCAAAATCGTACAAAATTTGGGTAATTTTTGAAGAAAAACATGAAAAATGAGGTTAAATTTCGAATTTCGCGCCAAAATTATGCACGCTAGGCCCCACGCCCATTTCGACGTTTTTGGTCGCCATGAATTATCCGAATTCTTTCAGAGAAGGGCTCAAAAACCGATAGTTCCCGCGCCAGCCGGCAAGATTGTTTGGAATGCTCCGCCGAAGCAAGTCGTTCCTCCGCCGCTCACGATTCCACCGCCCGCCAATGCAGTGGCCAAGGATAGGGAAAAGGAGAGGATCAAAGAGGCCGCCAAAGATGCGAACGAGGGCTTCTTCAAAGCAATGTATGCGAAGACGAAGAACAAGATTGTGGCCATGTCGAAGAATCCGAACGCGCCCGCTTCTTCGACGAGCGGCGACCTCGCGGAAGACACCCTCGTCGCCAGCGACACGGTTCTCATGAAAAATGACGTGGCGGCGGTCTATGGGACCGCCGCCGATTATCCGAAAGGACTGCTGCCCGTCTCGAAAACCGACAAGAACCACCCGGATCGTCTGTTTCCGGGCGCGCGACCGTTTTGGATGCAGCGCGACGAGAAGCCACCGCAGGCGAAGGTGCTCATGCTCAGCTCGGTGCAGGCGCTCATCAAGGAGGGCAAGTTGAAGTTGCTCGAGCAGCAGCAGAAAGTGTAAGTCAACATTTTTGCATCGTGCAGTCATTCAGTTGTCCATCAAAGATTTCGCTTTTTTCAGAACCGACTTCTCGCCGTACTGTGAAAACGTGAGCACGCTTCACGCGCGAGACGACAAGTACTTTTTCGACTACACTAGAGTACGTTTTTTGCAACCGACGACACTTTGCAACCGCGGTTTCTTTTTTTCAGGTTCTCACCAACACAACGTACAACACGTGCGGGCAGCGAGCCGCTCTTTTGGCCTATCAGAAAGACGGCGGTGAAGGTGCGAAGGAGAAGGATCAGGCGAAGACGAAGAAGGTGCGATTTTTGGCGACGCCCACGACGTGCACCGTCTATCCACGGAAGGATCAACGCAAGAAGCAACTGTTTGCACGGTATCAGTTTCAGTACGGAACGAAACTGAAGAACACCAATCAGAAGAAGAAGAAGACGTCGAGCAACACGACGGAGAAGGAGTGATTTATTGATTATCGATTGACACGATAAAAACACCGTTTCGAGCGGTTCTGTTCTGTTCTATTCATTTCTCTACTGTACACTACTTGAAAAACATTGTGGCCGTTGCCGCCGCTTTGAAGAATTTTCGGCCACCATCGCTCGAACTCCTCTCGGACAAGAGCTCAGATTTGTCTTCAACTGATATGCTCGACGGACTCACTACCGATCGAATCTATCGAAAAAAAACGGAGCGGTTGGGCGTCATTAGAAGACAACCAACACGGGCCGTCATCCTGACAGGAAACCAGTAACGTGGACAAAAATCCGGAGCACATGATAAGAAAACACAGAACCGACTGCTTGGGGAACCAGAAAAATCGGAATAAAAACAGGTGCCTGAATAAAAGCTCACAGATGTTTCAGTCATTATCACTCAGACTTGCCAAATTACGGGCCGGGCCGAAAATTTGCTGGCCCGGCCCGGCTCAAAAGGCGCGAATTCAAATTTTTGGGGGAAATCTATTTTTTCGTTTTTTTTGCGGGGATCAAAATTAATTTTCTTCTTTTTTAATTGTTACTTTTGCTTTGATGTCAATAAAAACTATTTTTGAGAACTACATTTCTTTTTTATGCTCGATACTTGCAAAATTCGTTAATTCTACGAAAAAAAAACGCAAACATTTTATTTAATCAATATTGGATTCCCGCTTTTTGAACCGGGCCGGAGTTTTGAAAATTTCGGCCCGGCCCGGCCCGTGGCAACTCTGGTATCACTCCTCCACAGCTCGAGCTTATTTGTCGCTATTCACATTGTGGCTCTCGATAACGCACACACACACACACACACAATCCGAGCTCATACCACCTGAAATTGGTTGATTTGTTAAGGGGATATGCGATGAGATTTCTCCTTTCTCACTCTACAATAACAGCAGACGTAGAAGTACTTGTGCTCCCGGAGTTGGCGCAATTTTTCACACGAGCCTGTTTGTATAATCGTGCCATTCGGCGCTGAAAGTTTTGGCGCGAAATTCGAAATTTAACCCCATTTTTCATGTTTTTCGTCAAAAATTACCCGAATTTTGTACGATTTCGACGATGTAATTGCATAATAACTTTGTTAAACTAATCATCGCGCACTTTTTGAGCTTAAAACGAGCAGGTTTCATTCAGAAATGAATCGATTGAATCGATTTTCAAGTTTTGTGCTGAAAATGCGCGAATTTCAGTCATTCGCCGATACTTTTTGCCGTTTGAACGCTTAAAATACTTGTATTAACGTGCTTAATCACTTCCCACACTCACTTCGTCTCAAAACTATCCACATCGGCCGGTATGAAAATTCGGAAATTGCGGCGGCGATTGGCCGCGGAGAGCCTATTGCGAAATATGCGAAAAACGTCTCAAACGCGGCGGCGTTTTCACGAAAATTTCAATGTTTTCTCTTTTTAATGTCTCTTCTTTCGTCGATATCAAACACAAAAACAGCGGAAAAGTGCTGGAATTGCGGAAATTTTCAGAAAACGCGTCTCAGATTAGGCCACGCCCCCCTTTCTACACTTTTGGTCGCCTTGCTCGACGGAAACACGAAAAAACATTCGAGTTGACACTCTTCTCGACAATCGATAACGATTCTTGTATTACGTGGTCAATGCTCTCTCTCTCTCTCTTTTTCTATTCATTTCTCTACTCTAAACTACTCGAAATGAATCGTCCGAGACGAAGAGCGGCGGCTCAAAGGTCTATGAATATTGTGAGAGCACTTTTTTGAATGTGTTCAGTTGCCGATTGTCAGATCAGAATCGAATCGAGACGTCGTCGCCGTCTGGTCCGCCCGATCGGCGGGAGGGCTCAAGTGCACGAGGTCCATGGTCCGACGTGGAACTTGTTTGCCTATACCGAAGCGGAACTGTTGAATGCGAGGGCGAACGGAATGTGAGTAGAGGGGAGAATGGACGTTTTGCAACTGCTCGATGCCTAAGCGGAATAAAACTGAAAAGTTGCGGAATGTCTTGTTGCTAAAATACGCTTGAATTGTCGCGTACACTCACGGCGCGTTTGTTCGGCAATAGTCCAGTTGCAAAACGTCCCGATTCCTCACACAGACCAATCAGCATCCTCGTGTTTTTCGTTCGCAACCCTGACGAACCAGCTGTGGATCCTCAAAACGCCGCCGAACTGGCTCCACAGCTGATACTTCCCGAAGACCTGTTCGCACGACTTCCCGACCTGTCTGCAATGGCCGAACGGAACCATCGGTTCGTGAGGAACTTTTGAAAAATGTTCGGGGGGTTGTTCAGAGAAATGGTCATGTTCATTTTGAGAAGAAGACGCCGCGGCCGATTGTGAGACGGATCCGGAATTGAACGGACTTTGATGCTTCTCTCGAAAATAAAAAGACTAGCCTTGCTTTTCTTCAACTGATCCCCAAATTTGTACTAGCTAACATTCTACGTGACCAGATAGCCTTCTTTCCAAATGCATTTCTACTCAAACATAATGCATTTCTGCTCAAACGACGTTTCCGGATGGTTCGACCCAGAAGAGCCGCAGTTCGGAGAGATCCGAATCAGAATGAGAATCCGATCGCAGCGGCCGATGTCCCGTGGGTCAAAATTGTCGGATCTCAACCGATTTGTTCTCCAGAATACTTCGAGCGCACCGAGGATCGTTTCTCGACGAGATGAAACGGGCGGCGGCGGATGCGCGTGCTCGGGGAATGTAAGCAAAAATCGATTAAAAAAAAAAACGGGGTTTTCACAAAACCTCATGCCACTTCAGACTCCTCGACATTGTCATCTTCTTCACGCATCCGCCGGGCGTGCCACGTGTCCCGCACGACCGTCACGGTCCGCTGATGCCGCAGTTGGTGCCCGCGGAGAGCGACGTCGAGCGCTTCGAGCAAATTGTCGATTTGGCGATCGAGCACAATCGGTAACGAGAAGCGACGACCTGAAAATAATGAAAAAAACGTTGAAGGGAAATCACATCGTTCGTTATGAAGCGTCTCGAAGATCGACGAGAAGCGCCTTGAGAGTTTAAAAAGCGGCATTTGAAAAATAAAAAGTCGGAACAAACGAGATTTTCAGATTATCAAAGTTTCTTCACCACAGCAAACGCAAAAGTATATCCGTTTTTATGAGCGATTGATGAAACAGTATCGATTTTTGGGTACACGACGAAAATTTAAAAGCGGACGTTGTGAAATTTCTCGCAATACAAGGTTTCGAACGATTTTCGAGAGAAATAAACGCGAAAAACAGAGATTCTCGATGAAATTCCAATTATTTTTAAGAGAACAAGAAGGATAGCGATGTTCGGTGCCGAAAAAGGATAGAAATGAGGAGAAGGGATGCATCCCAGGATTTTGCATTGGCTGTTGTTTTGCTCGTTATCAGTTGGTATTTCTTTGATGCGAGCCGTATTGGGAAACAGAAAGAGACCAAGAGAATGTCCAAAGATGCAATCTTTTTTGGTCGATCATTGGGCTGGTCACTTGACGGTTTTTGAAGATTCTTCTCGTTTCACAAGGGATTCCCCCAAAACGATCGGCCGAAAATCATCGTTATCAATACACAAACCGTCCTCTGATCCGTTATCAGTGGTGATGGACACATTTTCGTCCCCCAACTTTGAATCAACACAAAATACTTGATTTTCAGCGTGAACACGCGTGTTTTCAAGTCTGGACGGACACAAGAAGGGAAACGTGATGCAGCAATGTTTTTAATGGGTAATTTTTGCTAAAAATACAGTGTCGTTTGTTTTTTGCTCAACAGTGCAAACTTTTTCACCTTTTTAATAAATTGATTACGGTAGGAATGTGCAGTCTGCATGTTCACCGTCACGTCGGAATGCACTCATTTTACAGATTTTCACAGATTTTTTTCCAACTTTCTCATCGAAAAAAACGCACAAACTCAGATTTTCTGCCAATTTTTAATTAAAATCTGATAACCTGACCTAAAAATCATCAAAATTCATTGCAGAACCTTCAAAATGTCGCTGTTCGGCGATTTCGACAAGGATCGCTCGGAAAATCCGGGATATCTGACGCCACAGCCGACGTGGGACCTCGATGCGCTGAATCTACAAAATATGTAAGTGTTTCAAAATAAATCTTAAAATTTCACAGAGAAAAACTAGCAAGAAAGAGAAAAATCGACATTTTGGGAAATCCCCACAAAATTGTTGCCAAAAATGTGAGAACAGAACATTCTACACCGAGAACGTTCTTATCAGCGCCCTCGTTGCGTTATCATCGATCACATCACTCTACACTTCCATCTCTGATCACTTTTCCGCAATTTTCACAGAAAAAACGCAATAGTAGTGTGCTTCCCCGTTTTTGTGCTCAAAACCATCGAAACTCTTGTTTTCTACGTTGATATAGTGTCAAAAGGGCCATACGTGAAAGAGCACGTGAAAATCACTCGAAAACGCCGATTTCCGGCCTAACATCCCTCTCTTCCGGGTCTAATCTTTGCTCGATGCTCAAAAGTAAAGTTTTCGTGTCAAGACCCAAAGTCCAAGTAAATCCGCCGCTAATTCTTCTGGATTCGGTCGCGTCGACGACCACCGGATGCGGGACGTGTTTTATACACATTTTATACACTTGCGACATTTTCCCCACGATTTTTGACCGATTTTCGCATCTTCGCATTTTTCTCAGCTTTAAGATTGCAAAATTGCCGTTTTACAACTGTCGAGGACGTTTTGCAACCGCGTATTGTCTATGTGTTTCGAAATTTTTAAAGATTTGAAAATCCGAACGAGTTTCCGCTTTTTTCATAGCAAAATTGGTCAAAAGTGAGTAACGAAGGGAAAATCTGGATTTTCACAGTTTTCACAAACCATTGCAATTTCGAGCAGCCCTTAAAACCTGGAAGAAATCTAGATTTTCAGTGAAAAATTTTCACAATTTTCCTATGACTTTTCGCAACTGACACGGCGAAAAAGCGCGGCGGCGGCGACGGCCGGCGGAACGAAATGGGGCGTTTCTCATGTCCTCGTCGCCGTTTTTCCCACACACTCGCACAAAACATTGTGCGTTTCGGCGGCTGCGCTCTCTCGCATTCCGACACTCTCTCCGACGCTTCGAGAAGGACGTCCTTCACATTCACACACACAATCGTTCCCAGGAGAAGTTGTCGTGAGAACGATGTGTCGCAGCAGCAGCAGCAGAAGAAGAAGGGAAAAGGGGGTGGAGCGATGAGGAAAAAGACGGAGAAAAAGAGGACAGATTCTTCCTTGTGACTGACTACTTTTCTGCAAAACTCGGCCCCTAAATGATCCGATCTTGTGACACTTTTTGTTTTCGTGCAGGTTTTTGAACCCGAAAGCGCTCGGAACCAGTTTTCTGGGATCTAAACTGTCCGGTAGTGCCAACTTTTGTCTTTGAACGCTCGAAACCCAACGCTTTTGATTGAATCGACCACGTTTCCCTTATCCAAGTTTCCAGATTGAACTTTTAGGGACAAAATTATATATAAAATTATTATTATTACCTATTCAGGACAAAATTAAGGCTCATGAGCTGAGATCGCTCCCAAATCAAGCTAATTTGAAAGCAGACGATTCTATAAAGTTCAGTTTTTCGCTCAACTGAAGCGGATCATGCAGATTTCTGAGATTTTGGAGAGAGATGAGCTAGAAGATTTCGAATTGAGCCTAATAAGACCACCGACAGACTTTTTGCAACGAAATCTTGATTCGGTATCGAATTGTTGCCAACTTTTAGTTCCAAATGATCCGCTCTTACGACTATTTGGTATTTTTGCCGTTCTGCAGGTTTTTGAACCTCCGAAAGCACCCGGAAACCGGTTTTCTGTGATCCATACTGTTTATCCAAGAAAATCTAGAACTGTAGCTCATGTCATGCAAATGAGGTCACAGGATCAGACTAAATTTTGTTGGAACGTCGAAACGATGTTGAGGATTCAGGAAAATGGTTCGACAATAGCTAGTCTCTCTCCTCCTCACTTTGCGTGATCTTTGTGGCGCCCGTCCTTTCCCACGCTCGTTTTTCCCACCACCCCGCCCGTCGGCGGAAAAAGAAAAAAAGGGAGAGAGAGAGAGAGAGAGACACCAGTTCCCTCTCTCTCTCTCTCTCTTTTCCCATGTCCAGTTCCCTCCCATTCTCACACATTGTCTGCCTGTGTGTGTGTGTGTGTATGTGTGTGCGCTGACTGAGAGCGTGAGAGAATGGGCGAGTGAGAGAGAGCGAGCGAGAGGAAGAGACGGAGAGAAAGTGCGTCCTCGTCTGCAAGGCCCCGCAACCGCCCCACGACCACCGACACTGCCGCCCGCCCCGCGACCACCACAACCTTTTTTCCTCTTTTTTCCCTCCCCTCTACTCGTTTTCCCACGATCTACAACAATATCAGCCACGTCATCTTGTACCCGCGAAGCCGGGAGCCGCGTAGAAAATTGAGAATCGGTGGCGCCTACCGTAACCCGCGAACGCGCCAGACAAGATGATAAGCGCCCTTTGTTTCTCTTGTGTCTCTGCGGGAATCCTCTTCTTGTCCTCTCTCACAGTTTGTTGCCGACGGAATGATGATTCGGGCCTGGGAAACTCCCCCTATGAAGGAGAAGGAAGGATCAAGAAAAACGAGGACGAGAAATGGTGGAAAGAACTTTCTCATGAAGATTTTGAACTTTGAAATGCTCTTTTCGTGCCCCGATCTCCCCTATTCAAAATGTTTATCACATAATATGATCAAAAATAGGCTTTTCAATTACTAACAAGTTTCTACCGTATCCCTGGCCGTTTTCACATTTTCCCACACACACACAACACAAAAACGTCAACGATCGTTCAAAAATGTTGCCCATTTCCTCCTTCCATTGCCTATCTCGTTTTCGATTCGCTCTCTCGCAGAGCACGTCCTGTTCGTGTGCCTGTTATCACTGGAAAAACCAATCAGTCATCAGGCCGTCCATCTCGTCCTCACCGTCATTTTCCCATGTTTCGCTCTCAGTCCGTACCGGTTATCAGTAGGCCCCGCCCACTTTAGTTCTTCCTGCTCTCTATCTTTTTCGCGTCGTCAGCGCCAAAAGGGGTTTTCCCCGGGACACTTTCGAATTCTGATTTCTTCCACACACACACACTGTTATTTGCTTAGCTGGCACACACACACACACATACAAAACGAATTGATATGGTCATGACCCAATGTCCTACGAGGGCCTAAACGGACTGGAACTCAAGATGGACTGAAACGCCTGGGAAACTTATTCGACGAAATTTGTCGGCTCCAGGTGAAGCCGACGCCCTCTGATTTGTGCATGCTTTTTTGTGCTCTCTCTCTTTCTGGAAGTTTCACTCGAAACTGCATTTTGTTTTGCACCTGTGCGAGCTCTCCCCGCTGCACACGCCGCCCAAATTTTTGTGGTCTTTAGTGCAAAAGGTGTGTGTGCGTGAACGTACTTTGGAGACGATCCATCGATATGCATGAAGACGAGAAGTTTTTGAACGTTTTGAGCCAAATTGAAGCGCAAATTGAAAAATGACACAGAACCGTGAGTAGAGCACCTCTTCCTCATTTGCCTTGGCGGCACCTCAATCGATGACCGGTGGGAAACAGTGTGTTTGCCCATTTTCGTTCGTTCTCCTCCGCCTCCTCCTCCTCCTTTCACACATTACCCAACATGACCTCTTTTCCGTACACGCACAATTTTATGTGCCTTCCGTCCGTGCATCGGGCCCCGGGTTTTTGCATAAAAATTATCGCTTCTGGGTCGCTACGCAGCCGAATTGACCGTCTTCCCGACCGCCCGACCGTACTCTTTTGTGCACCTTTTCTCCGAAATCCCATAAAATTGATATCCTTTTCTCTTGACTCTTTCTTCTTCCGTTGTCCTCTTCCCTCCCTTCTATTCATCCGAATCGAACGGACCGTCTCCTATTTTTTGACCATTCCCAGGGTCTTAACCTCCAATTACTGTCGCTACGAGATATTGGTAAGACACTTGGGCCACTCGCGTCCCAAATGCTCACTTTTTAGTGGCGGTTATGGTTTTCATAGATTTTTTGCCCCCGACAACACATTGTCCTACATTTCCCGTGCTTCCCGTTAATTTTTAGACGTTCACCGCTATTGCTTGTGTTTTTCTCTCAAAATTGACGTGCGTCGACATTTCGCAACAAAAACTGCCTTTTCTCGGTTGCAAAATATCCATTTCAAGCGACAAACGTCAATTGTGCGCCCCATTCAGCTGATTTACAATATCATCTGATTCCTCTCTCTCTCTCTCTCTCTCTCTCTCTCTCTCTCTCTCTCTCTCTCTCTCTCTCTCTCTCTTCTTATCGATGTGTTGTGGTGGGAAAGAAGAAGAAGAAAAAACGGGGGAATCCCTTTTCTTCCGCAGGTTCATTGATGATAACGAATCAGGTTTGCCGTGTACAAGCCCCACCCCCTCCCTCATTTTCGTTTCCTCCGCCCTCCCCCCCTTTTTCACACTAAGCTTTGCTTTTTTTTCAGAAATTTACAATATCCGTTTGCCTGCAAAAGTCAGTTGTTTAGTGGGAAATAGTTTGTCTCCAGTTTTTCGGTGATCCAACGCGATCCTCGAGAGAAAGAGAGTAATAGGTCGGTGACTGTCTTCCTGTTTTTGCAGAAAATGATAATAGTAGTTTGGAATGTGATAAACACACATTTTCCAATGTTTTTCTCGTCTTTTTAATGACCGAAATGAACATTTTCAACGTTTTAAAGTCCTTGAAGCGGTTAGGATCTAAAATCGACGATTCCATCCAAAAACTGACGGAAACCCTTGCACTTTCAATAATTTCACCTTTTGGAGGTCTGAAAGTGGTCAGGAATGCGGTAACTCTCAGAAACCGATAATATTGTCATTGTCCACTTTCTCGCCGGTAAAATCACTATATTATCCACTTCCAAAGTCGGCAACGACTACTGTAGCTTCGGTTTTCCTTTGGTTTTCTCCGAAACTTTACCGTTTTTCATCGGAGCATAAAACGCCGCGTTCGACGGCTTTTCGCTTCCTCACCGTCCATAAAATTGGGAGAAACATAAAAAAAAACGGGGTGCGCTGCTCCTTCTTCACCTTCTTCTTCTTCTTCTTCTTCTTGTACCGTGCCCGCCCCCGCTCCCTCTTTTTAATGATCCGAGTGGGAATGAGTATAAAAGCGATGCGTCGTCTCTCTCGCGTTTCATTTCAGTTTCGGGTTCGCCGCGTGGGTCTCACCACGAAAACAGTCTTTAGCTACCGTATCTTTTGTGCAAGACTATTTTTCGTACGTTCCGATGCGATAGTAGTTGTATTTCGCAACCGAAAAAATCCGTAACTGAAATCAATTTCTAAAAATTGAGTGCTAGAAATCGACAAAAAATTGCCCAGAGTGTCCACCAGTTGCGAAATAGCCTGTACAAGCAAAGAAGCCAGCCAGACCCGCCAATTATATTATATCCAATTTTGATGTTACTGTACGGTCTGTAATTGTTTGTTCCCTTCTCTTCCTCTCTCTAATTTGTCCGCGTTCCTCTTGCTTTTCGCCTTCTTCCGATGCTGGGCCTGAACTGTTGACCCAATTGCACTTTTCCGATCGGACCCAAACTTTGCCGGCTTCAATCCAGCTGCAAAATGTTTGGGTCCCATCGGGGAGGCGCAAGTGGGTCAAAAGTTCACGCCTTTTTCTCATTCTTCCCCATTTTGCAGACTTGGAACACAACCCGCTTTCAGACTGGATAAGATCCTCGGTAAGTGTGCCCCGCCTTCGCGGTCCGATTTGATCTCTTCATTGAGTTCCAGAAGCCATGTTCCAGTCGGCCACTTCGCCGCTGGCCATCGCCGCCGCCGCCGCACAACCCAGCCATTTCACCGCTCTTCAACAGGTAAGTAAATTGAGAAACGTGGCCGGAGAATTGGCTCCACATTTTCGACGGTCCCCGGTTTTCCTCATTCCTTGTGGATTTTCCTCGATTTTTTTGCATGTTGTTGTACAGTTTTCCCATCGAAATGCAAGCGTGCACACTGCATTGGAATTTCATCGTCTTTTCTCAAAACATTCAATTCCCACACACGCACACACACCTTTTTTCTCTCTCTCTCTCACAATTTCACAATTTCTCACAACAATTTTACTAGTGCTCTGTATAAAACAGTGAGCAAATGGGCTCGACAGTTGGACAATTGACTAGAATTTCAGATGCACGCACTGTTGACGATTCAGCAAAACTTGTTCCCGCTGGCCACCGAAAATGTTTCGGTAAGTTCGATTCTTCCATTTTTCTTTTCGTTCAAAAACATCAGGGCTGGGCAAAAGCCGGCCGGCCCCAGGCTTTTCAGGCCTGGGCGAGCGATCAGCCTGGGAAATTGCTTAGTGGAAAGACGCGGGGCCAGAGGAATACAATTTAGACAGTTAAAGGCGCATAGCATCAAATTTATTTCTATGCGCCTTTATCTTTCTCGTCTGCGCCTCTCTCCTCAGGCCTGAAGTTTTGAGCCACTTGCAAGGATCCGATTGACCCCAAACTTGGCAGGCTGCTTGGACTTGGATTGAAGTATTTTGGTTCCGAGTTTCAGACCGATCGGGATCATCTGGTCCTGAGATATGTAGATCGGACGCCGAAATGCCGCAATTTTCGCAAACACCCGGCGTTCTCAGCCTTCGATCCACATATCTCGGGACCGGATAATCGGATCGGTCTGCAACTCGAACCCAATATACTTCAATCCGAGTCCAAGAAGCATGCAAAGTTTGGGCCCGATCGGTTCATTGCAAGTGGTCCAAAAGTCCAGGCCTCAAAAAGCCGGCGCCGAAATTTGCCCAGCACTGAAAAAAAAAACCGATTTTATCGAAAATGTTTTGCAGAAGTCGCCGTCGCCGGAGCAGTCGTCGCCGTCGGCGAAAAGGATGCGATTCTCGCCGAACACGAGCGATCACAGCGAAGGATCGGTCGCGTCGACTTCGAAAGACGGCACCGAGACTATCAAAAAGTCACCACGTTGTGAGTCATTTTTACGCGAAAAATGGGCTGTACATTTGAGAAACCCGTTCAAAATCTGGAAAAGTTGGACTTTCCCTCAAAAATCCGACTCAACCGTCCTGAAAACTCCGGATATTGCCAAGCTGCCTTGCTCACTTTTCCCCCTCCACAACTTTCCCTTGGCGTTTTTATCAGTGAGAAATTCCGCGGGGAAAAACAAGACTTTTGCGGGAATTTCCCATATTTTGTGCGAGGCCTGAGAATGCAAGTCCCTCTCTCTCTTTCTCGGCTGCTGCTTTTCGACGGACGGCTGGTGGCTAATTCATAAGCTTCTCCCGTTTCCACCACCGAAAATTCCCACGTCGATCGATAATCTGGTGAGGCTTCGGAGCTCTTAGCTTTTGGAGCTCTGAACCTTTGAAGCTGAATGGCTCCGACTGTTTGGCTCCACTTTTCACACCGAAAAACGGTCCCTTTCGGAAAGCGAACTGTTTGAGGAGAGGAAAAGCCGCAAAGAAGAAGAAGAAGTGTGGAGTGCATAAAAATATATGCATAGATGTCCATATTCATGTGGGAACTTTTCTCCCCTTTGATGGATAATATCGAAACGAAGGAGACGCAGCGAAGAGTCGCACGGCCAACGACTCGACACCTTTTGGGCCGGAAAAGAGTACGGTACCGGCCAGTACCACACTTTTTGTGTGTTTGCCTTCTTTCTGCCATCGCTTCGTGATTAGAATGATAATGGGATTGACTTGCAAATCAAAGAGATGGACAATAGACAAAGAATGCTAGTTTTTGGGCTCGACGATGCTGTAGAAGTGGTTTTGAACGATTTTGTGCGGCCTGTTTCGGCGATTTTACAGACCGTTTCCCTTCAATGTTTGGAGCCTGAACAGCCAATGTGAATCACCTGAAAATTCGCGGAATTTTCGTGCGAACGCCTCGCGACACTCCCGTGACTCTTTTGGAAAAAGCGGCGATATTGTGATGCTAACTTTCGAATGACACCAAGTACGGTACCGAAAAACAACCGAAATTCACATGATGTCGCCTGTGAAAACGTCGGAAACTGGAGGGAAAGCGTTGGGAACTTGGGAATTTTGAGGAGAAGTCAAGAAGCGTTTGTTTGAATGATTGAATGAGAAGAATGAACAATTCCAAAACTAGTGAGAATCAAAAGCTCTGAGCGATCCGCTCACGACTCGACGATTTTTTGAAGCTCCCGTCGGTCGGTGTGAATCTTCACACGATTCTTGAGGCCCCCCTTGTCGCATCATTTACCCATGACTCTTCTCCTCTTCCTTTTCTCACCGATATTGTCGTCGACGGGGCGGCTAAAGGACCCGAAGCATGTTTGTTCATGTGCGGTACTGTAGAGAAGGTGAAAGTCGAAGAAGAAGAAGAAGAAGAAGAAGAAGGAGAACGGACCTCAATTGAATTAGAGCGTTTGGTGGGGCGAAACTTCTCTCTATATTTCCTATTTCCACTTCATTGTTGTTCGATTAGCTAACGAGCGACATTTCTCGGATTGGTCGGAGAGCGTTCCGAAGCTCCGCCCACTTTTGTGTGTGCATGGGGTGGACGAGGGCGTGCCGATTCGGTTTTCCATTGTGTGCCCACATAGAGAAAGCATCCCCGCACATTTTCTGCGAAGCCACCACTTCTTCTACTATTCCCTGGGAATCTTCGCATCGGATATCCCACGAAGAGCCGTCGACTTTCACGCGCCACCCATCCATCCGTCCTTCTATTCGGTGCCCCCCCACCCGATGGATTATCATTCGTCGGAATCGACGACGTCGTCGGCGGTGACAGCGGCAGCGGCCGCCGCAGCCGCCGCCGCCTCGCTTCATCAACATCATCACACCCAACAGCAACAACACCACTATCAACATCAGCATCATCAGTTGCAAATGATGCAAGGAGCGCTTGTGGACGAGAAGCCGAACCTCGCCGCGCTTTACGACGATAGCCTCTTGTCGCGGAGCATCAGTGACATGGTCACCACCGGCGGCTACGATAGTTCCTCATCTGCGCTAAGCGCGGTCTCGTCGATGTGCTACCAGACGCCGGATGCCTACTATTATCATCCGCCACCAGTTCCGCCACCACCGGTTCCGCCCACGCAACAACAACAGCAACAATCGGAGAGTTGGCTGATGCAGATGCCGCCGGCGGCGTACCATCAGTTCGGATCGACAGTCGTCTCCGCCAACTCGCCCCTCCCCGCACATTTGCTCGCCTATCCGCCCGCTAATTTTGCCGGTAAGAGAGAGAAAGAGAGAAAGTTGCGTAATTGTAATTGAATGAGCGTTTCGAATGGGCCTAAATGGGTTCGATTCGAAAGTTCAAGTCTGGGATACTGTAGTTCGAATTGAGTTGTCTTTTGGTTGTTCCTAAAGTTCAAGTCTGGGTTCTAGTACTGTAGTTGCAAATGATTACGGTAGGCTGACTACTGGACATCAAAGGAAGAATCTAGAAAATGTAGAATGCCTTTACCTCTTTTCCACTTCATCCAGTTCATCCAAAATCATTCGAACACAAAGATTACGGTAGCTTTTGTTTTCTCTGAGAATTTTTGCTGATTGGTCACCAACCATTGGTGCGTTCTTGTTTTTTTTGTTGGATTTTCGATGATTTTGAAGTGTGCTTGGAAAAAAAATCTTCGTTTACCAATTCGCATGAAAATCACTCGATCTCAGCTACTTTTCCTACTTTTCTGTCCCTTTTTGTCAAAATTTCATAGATATGTGTGGTGGTCCCTCTTGATCACATTTTTTCCGCGCGTGGCGCCATCAATTCCCATTCAAACCCGCGCTCGTTCCGTCCGTTATCAGTTGATGTTCGGCCAGCAAATACGAGCGGCTTTCCGCGCCTTTCACTCAAAAGAGCCGAACCGATCGATTTATTGCCATCAAAAAAGATGACCATTCGGGGCGCCACCCCCATTTCCCATCCCATTACAGACATTGCGACGCCCCTTCATTGCGTGTTCGAATCGCAGGCTAGCGGCACAAAAAGCCATCATGCTCAACCCGTACTATCCCTACTATTATCCGTATTCCTATCCGGCCACTTCCACCTCTTCGGTTCTTTCTAGCTCCTCCACGGCGGTCCCTACTAGCTCAGCCGACTCCACGGTCCCTAAACAGCTCACCACTCTGACCAACTTGGTCTCGCCTGCTCTCACCCCGTTGGCGCCCAATTTTCCCGCGGTCTGGGGCTCCATCGCCAGCTCTTTCGGTCCCTATCGAACGCCCACCGGTTTTTTGGGATCGTTTCCGCGGAATCCGTACAAACGGATCGATGAAAGCCCAATTCTGGGTAAGAGATTCGGATTCACAAAAAATCAGAACATTTCACTAGAAAACCGGGAACTCAATATCCTCCACCCCCTAAACGCCTACTTATTTTCAGCCGACCCGTTCTACGCGATCAACCAGACGACGCCGAGCTCCTCGTCGTTCCTCGACACTTCTGGCTCGAGCTTCGGCGCCGTTTCGGGTGCCGTCAATCCGATGAGCTCGTACCAACTGGCGTTCCAGGCGAAACTCAGCACACTTCACGGTCTTTTGGGTCACTCGGCGCAGACTTTGAGCCGCGACCGAATGCTCGATTTTCTGGAGAATAAGGAGAAGTACGAGTGTACAATAGTGATTTTCCACGCGAAAGTCGCCCAGAAATCGTACGGAAACGAGAAGAGGTGAGCCTTAAAGTACAGTAACCGCACGCAGTCTTAGCGGAAGCCAGGTGGCGAGAACGAGCTACTGGGACCACCGCCACTCAATATTTGCTCATAATTGATACACTTACAAGAAGAGCATACATAGATTTCTTGGAGAAGCAGGTGCACATCCTCTTCCTCTTCTTCTTCTTGTTTTTGGTATCAATTAGCAATTGACACACATAATATTTGCGTGAGCGGCGGTTTTGGTGACAGAGAGACTTTGCGGGGGCGCTTTTTGAAAGATTTTGGCCATTCTTAGGTTTGTTGCCTGATATTGTAGACCTCCGCTCTAAAAGTCTGGAATTTCGCTAATTTTGGCCTAAACGAAGCTACAGCAACCCGGACGTTAATGCGCGAAATCAGCGGGGACCATATGCTCGCATGGCTAATGTTGCGTAATCCTCCGGGTTCTTATCCTCCCCCGGACACGAAGAAACACAATATTTAATGCAGCACAAGTGGCAAACACCGTATTTATGAGCTTACCAATTAGGACCCCCCTCTTTTGGAGCACTTTAGAGAGAGAGAGTAAGAGAGATATCCATTGAAAGGGAGGAGGGGGGTCCTAAGTGAGAAGAAGGAGCCAAGTAGAAACACGTGTGCTCTTTTGACACACTCTATTGGATCCATTTTTGTCCGGGGTGTTCCGAAATGCGCTAAATTAGTTGGAAAACACGGTCCCTGCCGGTTTGTCACGATTTTTGATTGGAAATTTCCCCCCAAAAACGGTTCGTCGAGAAAAACCGACGACTGTCAGAACAAAGCTTGATTAGAATGACAATTTTCAGCCCAGAAATCTATTTTGGCCGCCAGTAATTGTGTGTGCTTCTTTTTTGCCCAATTTTCACACGCACACACTTTTCGCGCGCAACGATTACGGTAGGAATTCCCACGCTCATGTGAGCCGCCACTTTTTGATTTAGCAATGGAGTGCACTTACTTTCGATTGGTTTCTTGGGCGGGAGTTTGGCTGAAATTGAAGTTTTCAGCATTTCCAAGCGTTCTCGTTGTTCTCCTCGGGTTTTTTTTCGATGTTTCTCCGCAAACGAACGCATTTTTGACTATAAAACGATTGTCTTTGACTTTTTTTTTTCGAAAATTTAATCAAAATGTGCTTGCAGATTCTTCTGCCCGCCGCCATGCATCTATCTGATCGGAAACGGCTGGAAGAACAAAAAGGAGAGCCTGGTGCAGATGATCAAAACGCTCAAAACGTCGTCGGCACAAAAAGAGTTGTTAGCGGTGGAGACGGACCAACTGCACGAGCAGCAGGCTTGCGAACTCGTCGCCTACATCGGCATCGGCTCGGACAACTCGGAACGGCAGCAGCTGGACTTCTCGACCGGCAAGGTCCGTCATCCGGGCGACCAGCGCCAGGACCCCAACATTTTCGACTATTGCGCCGCCAAAACCCTCTACATTAGCGATTCGGACAAGCGCAAATACTTTGACCTGAACGCGCAGTTCTTCTACGGATGCGGCATGGAAATCGGGCAGTTTGTGTCGCAGCGAATCAAGGTGATTTCGAAGCCGTCGAAGAAGAAGCAGAGCATGAAGAACACGGACTGCAAGTATCTGTGCATCGCCAGCGGCACCAAAGTCGCCCTCTTCAATCGGCTCCGCTCGCAGACGGTCAGCACCCGTTATCTGCACGTGGAGGGCAACGCGTTCCACGCCTCTTCGACCAAGTGGGGCGCATTCACCATTCATCTCTGTGAGTTTTAAAGAAGGGGCTAGACGCAAATTTACTTTGTTCCTACAATTTTTGAATCCAATCGGGGATCGACAATATTTAAAATGTTTGCAGTCGACGACGAGCGCGCGAACGTGGAAAGTGAGAATTTTGCGGTGCGCGACGGCTTCGTCTACTACGGCTCGATCGTGAAACTGGTCGACTCGGTCACCGGGATCGCGCTGCCCCGCCTCCGCATCCGCAAAGTCGATAAGCAACAAGTGATCCTGGATCCGGTGGCGTGCAACGAAGAGCCCGTCTCGCAGTTGCACAAGTGCGCGTTCCAGATGCTCGACAACGAGCTCGTCTACCTGTGCCTCAGTCACGACAAGATAATCCAGCACCAGGCACAGCCGATCAACGAGCACCGCCATCAGATCAACGACGGCGCCGCGTGGACGATCATCTCGACGGACAAGGTCGAGTACCGGTTCTTCGAGGGAATGGGTCCCGTGGCGACGCCCATCTCCCCGTGTCCTGTCGTCAATTCGCTCGAAGTGGACGGACATGGCGAGCATGCGAGGATCGAGTTGCACGGCCGCGACTTCAAGCCGAACCTCACCATCTGGGTCGGCGCGACGCCCGTCGAAACGACGTATCGGTGCGAGGAGGGACTCTCTTGTCCCGTTCCCCCTATGGATCAGGTCACGAGCGATTGTGCGAGCGGCAAGAGTCAGTGGATGTTTGTGAATAAGGCCAACGATTTGGAGGTGAGACTTTTTGCAACTGCTTCTAACCATTTCCAACTCTTGGTACCAGATTTTAGGCCAGAACCTCTGCAAATTGTAGAAGCTTATGATTATTACCCATTTTGCAACTGTCTGGACGTTTTGCAACCAGACAAAATCAACACTGAAATGCGATGATTTTTCCAGTCGCGAAGCGTCCAAGCCTATCGAATAGGCTTGGACATTTCACAACTGACTCGCTAGCTTAGTTGCGAAACGTGTAAAAACCGGTTCATCTCAAACGTTCTCAATATTTGCAGGTGCCAATAAACTTGGCGCGCGACGACGGAGTCATCTACTCGACCGGCCTCAATTTCACCTACAAAACGATGGAACACCGCGGCCGCCACGTGGCCAACTACTAGCATCCACGTGATGATATTGTATAACTTGTTTTGACCCTATTAATCATTTTCTTTAAAATATTCGCTTTTTCCGGGTGGCCTTCACACAATTTCTCCATTTTTCCCTCCCAACTTTGCAGTATTCGCTCATCGATTTTGTCTCGCCCCTCTTTTACTACTAAAGTATACTAAAACAATAATAATTGTAATTATTAACACAAACGGTGGTATCTTTTTCTCTCTCTCTCTCTCTCTCTCTCGCTTCTCTCACACCCTTTTTCCAATTTTCCTCACTCACTTTACCCCCAACTTTTGGAATTTTTGAAATGTATTGTTTGTTGGTCGAGTTTTATTTGACTCGTTTTGTCTGAAAACCGCCCCCCAAAAAAAACTGGATGAACCTGATTTATGCTTTACTTTTTCGTTTTTCGGGTAAAATTGTGTTCAAAAATTATCGCGTATTATTTGAAAAGGTCTCAAGAAATGATCCACAGGAGAGAGGTGTATTTCGTGTTTTGAAAACTGTTGGCCTAGAGCACAACAATCAGTGATTTTGACATTCAGCACGAGACTATTGATCATTCGATCACGGCTCATCCTATCATTACAAAGCAGCACTGAAACGGGTAAAGTAACTATGACTCTCTGAAAGTAGCCAAACGCCTCATTATTGCATTGAGTGATCTTTTTGTCACTAACAAGAGATGCCTCACTATTGATCATTCGATCACGGCTCATCCTATCATTGCAAAGCAGTATTCGTTCTCTGAAAGTAGCCAAACGCCTCGTTATTTCAGTGATCCTACTGATCCAATTCACCCGAGCGTCCGATTGCTCACATATTTGAACCGAAACGGACCAGTGCATGTGGAAATGGGGTAACTGTGAGTAATAAGCGAAACCACATCCGAGGCAATAAACAGATTGTTACGACCTTCTGCGACACGTTGAAGCTTTCCTTTGATTGAGCTTTTCTTTGCCTCTCAAAAATTGTGTACGTTATTGGCGCCGGCGTCCTTCTAAAAACTGTGTATCCCGGCAACCAAAAGTGTAGAAAGGGGGGCGTGGCCTAATTTGAGACGCGTTTTCTGAAAATTGCCGCAATTCCAGCACACTTTTCCGCTGTTTTTGTGTTTGATATCGACGAAAGAACATTAAAGAGAGAAAACGATGAAATTTTCGTAAAAACGTCGCGTTTGAGACGTTTTTCGCATATTTCGCAATTCGAAATTTTCATACCGGCCGATGTGGATAGTTTTGAGACGAAGTGAGTGTCGGAAGTGATTAAGCACGATAATACAAGTATTTTAAGCGTTCAAACGGCAAAAAGTGTCGGCGAATGACTGAAATTCGCGCATTTTCAGCATAAAACTTGAAAATCGACTCAATTGATTCATTTCTGAATGAAACCTGCTCGTTTTAAGCTCAAAAAGTGCGCGCGATGATTAGTTTAACAAAGTTATTTGGCAATTACATCGTCGAAATCGTACAAAATTCGGGTAATTTTTGACGAAAAACATGAAAAATGGCGGTTAAATTTCGATTTTTTTTTTCGCGCCAAAATGGTGAAAAACCGTGCACGCTAGGCGCCACGCCCCTTTCTACGTTTTTGGTTGTGTTCTCGTGGAGCCATAGCGCAAAACAACTCACTGTGTAATGAGCGCAAAATCGGGTTAAATTTTCGAATTTCGCGCCAAAATGGTGATAAACCGTGCACGCTAGTCCACACCCCTTCTTTCTACGTTAACTTTCGTCATTAGACGCCACCAACGTACACATTTCTCTTTAAAAGTAACTGAAACTGTAAGCTGCGCGCAACTTTGTGAAAACGAAAAAGTATCAACAAATGAGTTTTATTCCGAAAAATTCGGAACAAATTGCAGAAGGCACGTCATCATCCGCGCATTCGATTCGACATGATGTAACGAGGATTCTGCGGCGCGTCGACCTCCTCCGTGTCCGTGTACATTTGACGCCATTGACCGCCGTACGTTTGGCTCTGAAATTCGCAACGAGTTTGTCAAAAAGTGTTCGTAGCAAAACTGACAGTCGGCGAATTGAAGAACGGAAGAGTCGCGACGGCGGAGATGAGCACGACAAGCAGGAGAAAGTGCACGAAACGCATCATTTTCTGCAAAAAAAAGCGACATTTTTGTGATGTACATTATGAAGATTTTTTCACGAAAACATTAGAAAGCATAAGATTGGGACGGGCTTCGGAGCGGGAAAAACAATGGGAAAATGCAATTACGGGGGGGAGGGGAAAATAGGAAAGGATGGTCCTGGGCCTAAAATAATTAAAAATGGCTTTTCGTAAAGGTTTTTGGCAAAATTTGAGCTTTGAAAATGCAGTGTACGTATTTCAAAACGCGACAAAATGTAATCTCTTACGAGCGAATGAATATGACGCGGAAATGAAACCATTTTCATTAGCAGAATGACATTTCTGAGCCCGCGCTGAGATTGACATTCTCATCCAATGCTGACGATGACACGCATCGACTTTTTGCGGAGTTCGACAACTTTTTCATGTTTTAAAGAAGTAATGGAAGCCATCAAAAAGCGTCAGGTAATTATGGACATTTTGAAACAGGAAATGAGGGGAAACGATGAAAAAGCAGACGCCTCGGGCCCAAAACACGTACAAATCTAGGCCGAAAGCCTCAACACAATCTTTGGTATGAGCTTTAGAATAATGCAAACAATTCTGGGGATCAAAAGTCTAGAAGCCCTTAAAGTCATTTTTCCAGAAATCCGCACACTTCAAATGAACTCGATGAAACTGAAGACAGAGAGGTTGGTTCGGAAAAAAAACGGGAAGAAAACAAAGAGAGCAACTGAATTTCCATTGTTCAATGCCGCCCCCCTGAAACTTGCAAAAAGGTTTTGAAAAGCGGGAAATTGAAAATGCGGATGGAAAACAATGGGCTTGAAAAAAGAGAGGCGCGTCACTCGCGAATGAGTAATCGGCGAAACAGAGTCGCGTCCAGGCTAAAAAACGAAGAATCACTTCTATCCCACTAGTTGTGTGCGGCTTCTTTGGACGCCAACGCATTGGCAATCTTCTCGAGCCTGGGAAAACGCAACTTTCGATGATCAAAAGGCCGTCGGAGAGTAAACGTTATGAATAATTTGGGCAATCGAAGATGAGTGACGTTTTTTGGACGAAAAAGTGTGTTTCAAGGGCAGCACAAGTTCCAACATGGATGGTTTGAAACCGAAAAGAAAAACTGTTTCACACTCTTCTAATAACTTCTAATAACGCATTTCAGTTAGTCGTTGAGGCAATTTGTATATACTAATGATTTTCAAGTATCCTCAAGCATTTTTAGTACTTTTTGCAACTGCAACTTTTTATTAACACCAACCAGAAACAGTATTGTGTACACTGCATTCATTGAATTTCACAATATCACAATGTCACAATGTCACAATGTCTACAGTTGCGTTTCTAAAGGAAACGGACACAAAGCATTCGGCAAAAGGCAATCAAATGGTGATTATTTCTGTTCTTTTCATTCCACGACTATAAAAACGACCCGTTCCCTGCGGATTGCCATTCGCAACCTCCAAAATGCACCAGTCTCTTGTTCTCCTCGCAATTCTCACTCCAATTTCCGCGCTTCCCTCTCCAATGCGTCGACCGATAGCGGAGCCGTGTCTCGGGTGTCCGGTCGACGAGGACCCTCTCGATTATATTGTAATTCTAGACAAAACGCAAAGATTACTTGAAAGTGCAATGTTTTTCAGTCAAACGCATGGAAATCAGTGCCAGAGATCAATAGACAGAATGAAGGACAGTTCTATTTGGTGCCCATCACGGTGAGATTCCATTTTCAGCTTTATAAACTTTTAAGAACTGAAAATGTACAGTTTTCTGGCAAAGAATGAAGCAAATAGAGAGCGCCAGACTCTCCACTTGCAAATTCTTAACAACCTCTTGAAACTGAACTCATTTTGTTCGATTCGACGTTTGAATTCTCGAGTTTGAACAATTTCAGGTGCTCCGAGCGCAAACCCAGATCGTGGCGGGCTTTATAACTATGCTCAAAGTTCTAGTCGGAGAATCCACGTGTCAAAAGTCAAAGGAACCCGTCGCGGCTGAGCAGATAACGGCGGCCAAGTGTACGCTGAAAGAGGGAGCACGCAGAGCACTGTACGACGTGCAAATCTATGAGAAACCGTGGAAGAAGTTGGTGCAAATCACAGCCACGAAGATTAGAGATGTGGCGGATGAGGAAAAGAAACATTTATAACACGTTGTCATTGTAATCTTTCGATAAAATGGGGACTCAATTCGGATTTCCGACATTTTAATTTTTTTTGTAAAATAACAGTGTAAAATGATGAGTTTGAAGCAGAAAATATTTGAAAATTTGGCGGGGTCTTAGACTGTCTTTACAGCTCCAAAATATGGTGAATAAGCACAAAGAAGAGAATCGGCAGAAAGAGAATTAGTCAATTTTGTGAAAAAATGGGTAGAATGGGGTAAAATGATATATGTTTGAAGCGGGAAAATCTAGATTTTTGTGAAGACAGGCCGAACATTTGAATTTTCAACGAAATGAGATGTTTGGAACGTTACTAGAGTTACTAGAGTGGACAAATAACCCTAGTAAATCAATTACTGAACATTATACTGTACAAAGTGTCGATCTGGGAGAACTTTGAGCGGATCACGGCCGAGAGGCTGGGGAGACACTTTTTGATTTGAAAAAAAAAACGTTTAGAATGCACTGTTAAGTCACACTTTAGGTAACATCCACACAATTTCTCGATTCTACGTGCCTTTTCGAACATTCGCATACTTTTGTAACACTGTGTGTGTGTGTTTATTTTGATATTACTGTCTTACTTATGTTCACAGTTTCACGTGACAAGTATTACAGCTCTAGATTTTATGAAATATACTATTTCTTTAATTCAATATCTCATTAAATTGAAAGCACTCTGTCAAACCTTTAACAGTATCATGAAACTCAAAGTTTACAGTTTCACCTGTGACAGTAAATAATCTCTTCAATGGGTTTGGACGTTAAGTCAACAGTTTCAACGAAATGAGATGTTTGGAACGTCACTAGAGTTACTAGAGTGTACATATAACCCTAGTCAATCAATTCCCGAACATTATATCGTTGAACAACATTCTAAGCGTTTCTAAGCGAAGAAAATCGAGAGAGCGGACAGTTTTATCACAAAAATGTAACTTTTTTATAGTAAAACTGTTTTCTTTATCGAGTCCAAAAGTAGACAACGAAAAATTTTGGAAGTGGGTTCGAACCCGCGACCTCTCGATTAGTGGTTTCAGCACTTGCCACTTTACCACCCGGGCGCGAGCGCCGCCGCCGCTCCGTTCAGTTGATGTGCGCGGTGTTCGCAGTCACTTTCTAGCATGAAAAAATTACTGAAAATGCGCAGGAAACTGCAATTTGTGACATTTCGCCAAGTAAAACGGATGTTCCCTAAAAGAAATCTGGTGTAGTTTTTTGTGCTGAATCTGATTCTGCCGTCAAAATCCCGGTAAAATCCCGGTGTCAACCCGAAAACTCCAAAAAACTGATTTTTCGGGCGAGCACGCAATGTTTGACGCAGTTTAAAAGTATCTTATACAGTACTGGCCAAAAAGGTATTCGCAAACGGTTTTTTGAGCATAACTTTGATGAAACTTGAGGGATCGATTTGAAAATTTTACTGTACATGTCGTACACGGTGACGACAAATTGCGTACAAGGAAATTGCATCATTTTCAAAAAAAACAATTTTTTTTCAATTTTTTCGTTTTTTCACTTTTTTCACTTTTTTCATATTTTCATATTTTTGGATATTATAGTTTCTAAGAAAGTTGGTGTTGGGTCTTATGTATTTAAAAACTGTTTACAGACATGGTAAGACCCCTTGGAAGAAAAAAAACATCTCTCAGGACATCCGTAAAGCCATCGTCATCGGCTTCAGAAGTGGATGTTCCAAGGACGTGTTGGCGCAGCAGTTCACCTGCAGTCAACGCGCCATTGAAAAAAAGTTTTTGAAGCAATTCCGGGATGAGGAAATATTCAAAAAAATAGTTTATTTATCGAGAAAAAAATGTTTAGGGAGCCCTGGTGGAGCGAAAATAGCCTGGAAGACCTCGCATCACGTCGAAGAATGTAGATCGGAACATCGCCCGAGCTTCAAGAGAGGATCCCCAGAGGAGTTCTACCGATATTCAAATGATCGTAAAGTCTCCAAATGAAGTCACGCCATCCCTGAGAACCGTCAGAAGACGTCTCCAGCATGCTGGGCTCCATGGACGACGGCCAGCTAAGAAACCATCGATCAGCAAAAAAAATAGGATCGCCCGCGTTGCATGGGCCAAAGCTCATCTTCACTGGGGACGCCAGGAGTGGGCCAATCACGTCTTCAGCGACGAATCCAAGTTTAATCTGTTCGGCACTGACGGTATCAAGTGGATTCGCCGTCCGGTTGGATGTCGGTTCGATCCCAGCTACCAGCTCCAAACCGTCAAGCATGGAGGTGGTTCAGTGATGGTGTGGGGATGTTTCTCTGGGACTTCAATCGGCCCCCTGAGAAGAATTACGGGAATCATGGATCGATATGTCTATGAAGACATCTTGGAAAAGACTATGAGACCCTGGGCACGGTCTAATGTGGGACGGGCGTTCGTTTTTCAGCAAGATAACGATCCCAAGCACACCTCGAAGCACATCAAGGACTGGTTCCGACGCCGCCACGTGAATCTTCTGGACTGGCCCAGTCAATCTCCGGACTTGAACCCGATCGAGCACCTCTGGGAGCATGTCGAGAGACAACTCAGAGGGATCCGTGCATCGAATGCCAATCAGAAATTCGATCAACTCCAGTCTGTCTGGCAGGCCATTCCGATGTCTGTGATCCACACCCTTCTCGACTCCATGCCGAAAAGATGTCAGGCGGTCATCGACGCCAAAGGCTACCCAACAAAGTATTAAAACTATTTTAATCATTCGCTATTGTTATTTTTCATTTGCCGGTCTCTCCTAGATCTCAAAAATCAAAGTTTCATTTTCCGGTTTTTTACCATTTTCGTGAATTTTTCGATTTTTTTAAATTTTCGAAATATTGACTATTCTTGTTGTTGAATCAACGTCTTTTAACGTTTTAAACTTTGTCTTAAAATATCAGATCGATCCCTCAAGTTTCAGCAAAGTTATGCTCAAAAAACCGTTTGCGAATACCTTTTTGGCCAGTACTGTAGGTGTCCAAATGATCTGAAATTTTGTACACAGATACTATACGAGTTTCTTAACACATTCCAAAAATAAAAATCGGGGCTCAGCGCTGAAAAGAAAATTTTTTTCAGTTTTAAATGGCAATTGAACTGTCTGAAATTGATGTTTCGCCAAGTAAATCTTCGATTCTGACCTCAAAAACGGATTCACTCATGAGAAAAAAGGCGCCACATCGGCGCCAAAAAACGGCGCCGGCGCCGCGCCGGAGCGGCGCCGGCGCCGTTTGGTGGCGCCGATGTGGCGCCTATTGGAGGCGCCGGCGCCGATGCGGCGCCGAATTGATGGGAAGGCTGGGCCGAAAATCGATTTTTCGAACGAATAAAGCGAAAATTATCATCATTTATTGATAACTTTCTAATTGGACAATAAAAGCGGGAAAACAATAGCCTAGATAACAACCGAAGAAGACACTCGAACGGAGTAACAATGAAAAGGGAAAATTTGGCACTTGGAGTACCCATTCCGGCCCATCGCTGAATCATCACGAATCGTTACTTTGTCCGTAGTGTGTTCCAGTCCTTATGAGGGTATGAGTAAGCACTGCTGGAAATGTTATTCACGTATATCAGCGCCTCGTTGGAAAACCGTTACCTTGTTAGTCTGCGAAAAACCGCCCCTGAGGAAGCGGACACAATCAAATTGATCCTCTTGTTGTCGAATTCCGCTTTACTCTCCATTTTCTTCTGGTATCCCTGAAATCGTCGAGAATCCTGAGATGAAAACGCTGCCTGCAAAAAGGGTTCTATGCTGAAATGCATAAGCACGCATGGTTCAACAAAGGTATTCAAATCTTACGTTCTTCTCGTGAATTGACCGGTGCGCATCCACGATTTGACGGCCACAGTGATCGAGTACGTTCCTAAGTTGCCATCTCACATCGCCAACAATCAGTACCGCCATTCAATGTGTTAATTCGAAGAATTGCTCCATTCGAATTTTTTCTAATCGAATTCGAATCAAATTCGAAAAAATTTGAAAAACTTCGAATTTTTCCGAAATGTTTCGAAAAAATTCGAATTTGCACACTGTCGCAATTGTATATTGTATCAAGGCGGCAATTCCATCGCGAAAAAATGTGGCAGAAAAAGAAATGTGGCAGAACGTGTTCAAAATTCGTCGTGAAAGTGCGCCAGCGAATTGTGCGTCAGCACTGCTCTGTTTGCAACGCGCCCCCCATTTCGGCGCCGGCGCCTATGTGGTGCCGAATGACGGCGCCGGCGCTTATGTGGCGCCGACTGACGGCGCCGGCGCTTATGTGGCGCCGACTCACGGCGCCGGCGCTTATGTGGCGCCGACCGACGGCGCCGGCGCCTATGTGGCGCCGACCGACGGCGCCGGCGCCGATGTGGCGCCTTTTTTTTCATGAGGCAGCATGTCAAGAACTATCGGAATGCATATTGGGAACCCCAAAAAGTAACATTTTGCTGTTTTCGCGCTTGTTCGCAAAAACCATGAGAGTTAGGCTCAAACTGACTTGACCAATGGATTCTACGTGGTTGATTACCTAAATCAATGTTCTCAGTACAATAATTTATCATTCCGAGTCTCAGATAGACGAAAAAATGAAATCCACTGAAAAATTTCGACGCCCCCCACCTTTAACAGTGTCATGAAACTGAAAGTTTACAGTTTCATCTGTGCTACAGTAAATAAAATGTCTTCAATTGGTTTGGACGAGCATGGAGCAACATTTTCGAGTTGAAAAAGTCACAATTTTGATCTGTAATGCTCGAAACGTCAAGTACAAACATTGACGACCCATTCAACAAACATCACTCCCCCCTTTTTTTGCACTGTTTCTATGGTCTCTGCCCTGGGTTTCGGTCACAAAAAGCGGCCAGTTCTAATCGTCGGTCAATTGCGAAACTTTTGTGTCTTTGCATCATTTTTGTGTTGATTTGTGACTGATAACTGGAGGGTTTGCAGTATAAAAGATGGGCAGAACACGAGAAGAACTATAGTTTTATGTACGTTTCGGAACCTTTTTATTATCTATTTTTGTGTTTCAGATGAAGTCTTCTCTTCTCCTCCATGTTATGTTATTGATTGCCACGTCGGCATCGGTGGTGGAAACCTACAAAATACTATTCTACACCAACTTGTTCGGTCATAGTCATGTGAAAATGTTGGCGGCGGCGGCGGATGTTCTCACCGATGCGGGTCACAATGTGGTGAGTGTAACTTGAGAACGACAAGGTATGCGGTGAAATGATCAATTACAAAGTTGTAGAGCACAATATTTGCAACAACTTTTCTGTTGATCACTTTTTTTGAAAAAAAGTCACAGGGTCTTGAGATAAATCGGTTCAAAGTTGAGGTTATATGAAAAGTGATGTAAACGCTGAATTTTTCAAGTTGTAGACATCAAATTTATGAAAAAAATCGAATATTGTGGACAATGTATTGAAGCTAGAAATGTTTGTGAATCGACAGTCAGACAGTTTAGTGATGTTTGTGAAACAGAGAGTGTTATTTTTTTAAAGACAACTATTGATTTTTAGGATCTTCGGCTTATTTTTTTGCTGAAAAAAACGAAGAAAATTGCGATTTAACGTTAAAAAAATTTGAAAGCTATTCATTTTTTTAGACGGTCCTAATGCCAGTGTTTGCCCAAAATCTCTCGACATCACTCAAGTCGACGAAGAATACAATATTCGTAGAAGCCACGGAGGAAGTTGCCAATTTCGCAAAGCTCCGGAAGAAGTTTATGGCGAACATGTGGATGGAGGACAATGCAAAACCCGCTGAACCTGCTCAAGGTTCGAAATGATATATCTCGGCTGCGAATGGAGATATCAAAAAGTTGTCAACTGAACAATTGTTGATCAAGAAATTGTGCACATTTTGCTAGTTGACAACTTTTCGATATCTCTATCGACAGATGAGTTATGGTCGGTAGAAAAAGTGTTTGTTTCAGAGGCTGGATACATTGTCGAAAGTGTTCAGATCCCAGTGCAAACAAGTGTTGTCGCAAAGCGATTTGATTGAGCAGTTGAGAGCCGAAAACTATGATTTGGCGATCACGGAACCATTTGACACTTGTGCTTATGGTAGGTTTTAGGGCTGAAAACATTTCTACCGCATCATCTCGTCGTTGCAGCCTTCTTCGAAGCGATCGAAATCCGTGCGCACGTGGCGGTGCTCTCGAGTTCCCGTCTGGATCATGTCTCTGACGTCATCGGCCAACCGGCGGCGCTCAGCTACAACCCGGGCCTTCTTTCGAACAACGGCGAGCGAATGACGAGGTGGCAGCGGTTCGTGAACGCCATCCAGTACGCCTCCGGCTCCTACTTCTTCGGATACGTCGGCGATCAGGACGCCGCCATCGCACGCGACATCAATGCCACGTGGCGGTCGTGGCGCGACACGTTGCCCGAAGCCTCGTTCATCCTGACCAATCAGATCCCGTTGCTCGACTTTCCGGCGCCGACTTTCGATAAAATAGTGGCGGTCGGCGGGTTGTCCGTCAAAACGGACCGAAAATCGCTGAAACTCGAGGAGAAATGGAGTCGCATTCTTGATGTTCGCAAGAAGAACGTCTTCATTTCGTTCGGATCGAATGTCAGATCGGTGGACATGCCCGACGAGTACAAGTAAGTGAAAACTTGTTTCAAAAATTTGGACATTTCAACAAAAAATTCTTCGGTTTCATGAAGCAACAACATTTTCGAGTGTTCTTCAGACTTTTTTGATCCGCAACACGGAACCCCAGCCCCCCTTCCAATAAAAAATTCCCTTGGCGCAATTCACGTGCGCTAAACAAGGCGCCTAACGCGCGTAATTCCGGAGCGTCGTTGTAGAGTTTCTCATTTCAATTTTCCCTTTTTTTGCATTATTCCCATCTTTTCAGAACCAATCAGTGTCAAAACTAATGATAATGATTAGAAATGAATAAAATATGAAATTTTAACTGCTTCGTCATCAATTTCGAAACGTTTTATGTGAAGATTACAAAATTGTTTCCCTTTGGAATCGAAAATTTGCCTCAATTATCTCAATTCTGTATATTTTTCGACGGTTGAGCGCTTAAAAGATGCGCAATAAAGAATGCCAGTGTCCGAACTCGATTTTCGGCAAATAATCGTTAAAACTCCGTTTTTTTTCAGTAGTTTTCGACAAAATCCCTCAATTTGGTCAATTCTGAACGAATCTGCTCCGTTTCGCGCTTAAATCGATGCTTTTAACTCACACAATCGCCCCACGGTTCGCAAAGAACAAAATTTGAGTGTTTATTAAGAGAAAAACGAAAGAATTCTGGTTTTCAATTGAAAAAAGAAACTCCGAGTCGACGGTGGATGCAAGCGCGCCCCATTGACAACTCGCTTGCGCATTGGAATGCTGGGGTTCCGTGCGCAATCCAAAATGTTTCGAAAATATTGTCAGTTTCAGCAACGCTTCATTATTTGACACGAACTTCGAGTATTTCAATCATATTTCTGTCATTTACGCATCTCCAAACATTTCCAGAAAGTCACTTCTGCAAGTGTTCGCCTCAATGCCGGACACGTCGTTCATTTGGAAGTACGAGGACGCGAACGATCCGATTGTCGACCATTTGGACAATGTCTATCTGGGCGAGTGGCTTCCGCAGAACGAGCTGCTCGCCGATCCGAGGTTGAGCGTTTTTGTGACTCACGGAGGACTCGGATCCGTCACCGAGTTGGCGATGATGGGAAAACCCTGTGTTATGGTGGGTGGGTGTGTGTGTGTCCGAGTTTATGTGTCTCACTGAATTGATTTTTTTATTGCCACATTCACTGTCCGAGCCCCAGCGCTTACAGTCAAAGTTGTGGCCGTGGCCCAGAAAAAGTTCTCGGCCTTGTGATCTTTTCCGAATTTTTTTGCGTTCGGCCGAATCTTCATACGTTGCAAAAACATTCACGCAAATCAGCATCATCACACATAATAGTGCAAGAGCATCAAACTACTCACAGGGAAGAGTTTTTCACACCGGAGTTTCTAGGCCACGGCCACAACTTCAACTGCACGCCGTTTCGTTCATTGGCATTTCTGTGAGAGTCAGCATTTCACCAGTGAGAATAATTGAAATTTCGAGATTTATTGAAATTTTTTTCAAATTTCTTGGGTAAATTTGCAACGGTATTTTTTTGAAAAAAATTTAAATTTCTCGAGAATATTTGAAAATTTTTCAAATTTCTTGGGTAAATTTGCAACGGTATTTTTTTGAAAAAAATTTTTAATTTCTCGAGATTTATTGAAATTTTTTTCAAATTTCTTTGGTGAATTTTTCAACGGTATTTTTTTCGAAAAATTTAAATTTCTCGAGAATATTTGAAAATTTTTCAAATTTCTTGGGTAAATTTTTCAACGTTATTTTTTTGAGAAAAAAATTTAAATTTCTCGAGATTAATTGAAATTTCTTAAATTTGTTGGGTAAATTTTTCAAAAAAATACCGTAGTTTTATGGTGTACGGTAACACTCGTTCAGCTGTGCGCACCCCGGATTTCCCGCAAATTTCTGCCGACTTTGGACTGCAAAATCCGCGAGATTTGCGGGTTTTCCGAGACTTTGGACGCGGCATAGTCCTTTTATTTGCATTCCAACTCAACGCGGCACTTTTTCCCTTTTTGCAGGTGCCCCTGTTCGCCGATCAATCCCGCAACGCTCAAATGCTCAAAAGACACGGAGGAGCGGCGGTGCTCACCAGACCGGACCTCTCCTCTCCGGATCCGCTCCGTCAGACCCTCGAAAATGTGATGAGCGAGCCGAAATACCGTCAAAATGCGGAGCGTCTCGCCGAAATGCTCATTAATCAGCCGACAAAACCGCGCGAGACACTGCTCAAATACGTGGAATTCGCGGCCAGGTATTGTAAATGACTGTTTTTGTGAAATTCGAAACCGACAATCACAGATTCGGAAAACTGCCCTCGTTGGACAACTACGGACGGCATCAGAGCTACATTGAGTATTATTTTTCTAGATATTATCGCTCTGCTCGTTGTGGTCACGGCCCTCATCGTCTATTTCAACTATCGAGTTGCGAAATGGGCGATGGGGCGGTGGAGAAGTGCGGAAAAAGGCAAAGAATGAATAAGACGAGGAACGGATTACTGTAGACTCCCCGAATGATCTCTATTTGAGTGTGTCTTGTCAATAAATCACTTTTTAAAAATTTGAAAACCGACTATCCCGTAAAACCCCCCGGTTTTTTTCATATACCTCATCGATATCGCTTTGAAATTGAGCATGAAACATTGAAAAACTCCTTTCTCAACTCAAGAATGTTTCGTCCGACGCTCAAACCCGTCGACTGTGTAGCCCTGACCTTTTCCCTCTATCTTTATATCCATTACCATCTAAAATGGTCCCAACACCGCATATCTTGATATGCGGGGGCCCACCAAGGCCAAACATCCGCCAGTCTCGGTATTCGGCGATTCCAATGAGAAACCCGCTCGTTTTTACTCTTCTTCTCCACTTTACAACAGGTAATTCCATTGAAATATTGTCGATCCGCATATTTATTGCTCAGTGTGCGCGTTCTCGGTCCTCGGGGACCACTATCAATACCGTGTGCACTATCTGACACCCATAGAATATTCGAGATCTGACGACAACTTTGACGACGAGCCGCTGACGAATTGTTGTACGGAAACGGCGAAACTTGATGTGCATTCGTACGGGCGCGACTTCAAATTGAGACTGCAGCGGGCGTGCCAGACGGCGAAAGACGAAGAATCGACTGGAAATGCACAGTTTACGGACGGAGGAGCCGGGTGGCAGGGACAGTTGGAAGGTGAGTGGACTTTGAGGGAACGTAACAGACTTAGCCACTTTCCTAATGTTTCGTAAAGTTATTGGGTGGAATCTAGAGACCTAGTAGAGCATTTTGTCAGTTGATCACTTTTTTCTACCACTTTTCCTAAGCCTACTGTAGCGCTTGGAAGTTATCTTACGATTTAAGGGTCTCATAACTTTCAAGAGCTACAGTGGGCTTAGAAAACACTGTACAAGAAAGTGGTCAACTGGTAAAAACAAAGTACTAGGTGTGTAGATTGTGCTCAAACGGTTTTTGGAACGATTTGACGCACTCTAACTGTGTTCTATTGTTCTTCAAAGTTAATCTTATTCAAAGTTACCTACGGTTTCAGTAAACCTATAACTTCACACTTTTGCATGTTCAGTATTCCTTTCAGTTGGACAATATTCATAACTTTACGAAATCGAGACCAATTTCAGTACAATCACCAGCGAATCAGTATGGAAATTTTGTATCTTACTAATACAGAAAAGACAAATTTAACTCGATCGCCATAAAAAATGTGGAAAAGGTGTCAACTGATAAAATGTGCACAATTTGCTAATGAACATTTTAGCAGTTGACAGCTTTTTCGATATCTCTACCGGCAGCAGAGTTACACAACGAATTCCAGACGAGCCCACGTCTACAATAGCGGGGGAGTTCAAAAACGGACTGTTTGTCGGAATCATAATGACCGGGGAGCACAAATTCATAATTGAGACCAAGACGCCGTAAGTCTATGACTGTTTTTTGATTAGTAAAGCGGTTTTTTTAGGCCCGACGAGAAGCCGTACTCTCTTTTGTTCCGAGTCCCACCCAGACGGACCGTCGAAGTGCACGTCTTCAGAAAAAGCGAAGAGGGCAGTGGCACTGAGGATGTCGGCCTGGCAAGTGGATCCGAGATAGAGTGAATCATGATTTTTCATGATTTTTGACTTGTTATATCGTTGTTTTCTTCCTTTAATAATGTTTTTTACAATAAACGTTACGTCTTGAACCGAAAACTAACATATTTTGTGAAATAGCATTGGCTGTTCCAAACTTATCACCCAATCTTTCCGTTTCAGACCTCGATCTTTTTCGACCTTTTCAATTGATCGAATATTGGTAGATGACAACTCATGTTTTGTCAGAAATGTTGCCAAAGTGGCAGAAAAGCGAAAAAAAAATGAGTACGAATCTCTCTTTTGTGATTGTGTGTCTTTCCAATAATTTTTCCCTTCTCTTCTCTTCTCTTCTCTTGTCTCCTAATGAAAATGTTTATAAACAAGTCGAGTTTGGCGGCCGCGGAACGACCTAATCCACACGGCCCGAGGCGATGAAAAATGGTTAAATTGTGCATTTTCTGACTTTGTGACGTCGTCGCCCTTAATTATTTCCATCTTCGTGCTCCTGATGATGAGCTTATGAAGCGTGCTCTCGGTTTTTCCCATCAATTTTTAATTCGTTCTTGTCCTTTTTCACATTTCTTGGTTCCTTATCGAGATGCCATTTTAAGACCGAAAAAGTGAAGCGGAAAAGTTGTGACCCCGGTGGGGATCGAACCAAAACCAAAAACTTCGCGCGGTTTACCAACTGCGCCACACACCACACAGCCGATTTTTAAAATTGCCGCGTACCCATAACCGTCAAGGGTTCATGCCAATTTCTAAAAATTGCCGCAGGCCTTAACCGTCACGCTCATGCCTAATTCTTGAAAAACTGCCGCGCACCCTAACCTGTCAAGGATTCATGCCACTTTGGTGGTGTTCAAACGATCGATACAACAATATTTTTAAGATAAACTGAGTATTCACTTTCCAAAGTCCCGACCATTGTAGGCTCTCGATTTTAGATCTCAAAAGTTAATGGTACCTCGAGTCTTTAAATTCATCGTTTTCCACTGAACATACTTATTTGCAATATTTTTAAAAATTTATAATTTTATCTGTGCCGTGACGCCAAAAAAATCGATAATCTGAAACTGTTGTTTTTTTCCGGGTTTTTCGCTCAATCTTCGGTTTGCGCGCTGAAAAATAAATAGAGTTTTACAAAAAGTGGCTGAATTTCTGAATTTTGCTGAATTTTGAAAGTTTCAGATTATCGATTTTTTTGGCGTCACGGCACAGAAAAAATCATAAATTTTTTTAAATATTGCAAATATGTGTGCTCAGTGAAAAAACGATTGAAAATTTAAGAAAATTGCACGAAAACAGAAAAAAATCGAAAAAAAGGGGAATTCCATCCGGGGACTAGAAAAATCTAGGCCGGCTCTTCCATTTCGCCGTGTACTTCTCTCGGTACCATTAACTTTTTTGTGAAAAATCTTAAAAATCGGGGAATTTTTTTTGTAATTCGGGACTTCGGGAAAGTGAATGCCCCACTTTGAAGTTGATTTTAAAAATATGTTGTATGTTACGTTGGACACCACCTTTTAAAAAATTTTTGCCCCCTTCTCTACTGCAAAAATATTTATAAAAAGGACTCTGTTAGTACTTTCCAGTACCCCCTGGTTACGTCAAACTGCCTCTCTCTCCTGACAATTCGAATTTGTCCCTCTTCTTCTTTTTTTTTTGCGTTTTCATGCTGGCTACTAAGCGCGCCGCTCGATGATTTTTGTCTCATTCCCATTCAAGAATTCTAAGTCTTCTTTTTTTCGGACTTGAACCCTAAATTTGCATTAAAATTGTGACTTTTCTGAGATTTGATAGTTCCGATGCGAGATTTCATCGTGAAACACATCACAGCCAAAATGGCGTATTCAAAACGGTATATCTCAGTTGTGAATAGAGATGGCAAAAAGTTGTCAACAGATAAAATGTTCACAAAGTCATTTTACACATTTTTTCAGTTGATAACTTTTTGATATCTCCACTCGCAACTGAGCTACATCGCTTTGAAGAAGTGGTATTGAAAACCTGTTTTTTGTCGCGTGCTGCTCCTTTAACACCGTATTATTTTGCTCATTTTGTAGTACGGTACTAAAGGCACAGCACGTAGGGACTATGAATTTTCGTTGCAACACCTTTTTCGGTTTCAAAAAGTTTATAACAAGTTCTTTTTTGCGAGCGGTGTCATTCGGTCTACGTCCGACGGACTTACCTTCAAAAAAATGTGTCCAAACATTTATCGAGAACTTATCGATACTTATAAAAAACATCCTAAAAATGGAAAAATGGATAAAATTGTGCCATTTCGCGTCACAAACCCATTAAAATTCGCCCCATCTGATTTTGACATTTTCCTTCCCATTTCGCCTCCTCCCACGCACTTTTTCCCTTTGTTCTTTTCTCTTATTCACTACGCCTTTCTCGCTTTTTCAAGAAAAATTTGACGAACAACTGTTCTCGTTTCTGCTATTACTCATCACTAAAAAAATATGAAAAGAGAAGGTGGCGGGAGAGGGAGAATATAATGAGATTACCAGTTGTCTCTCTCCGTCGTTTTTTTGATGGCAATTTGTGCTCAAAAAGACGGCGGAAAAAAAGGCGGAGAAGGAGAGGAACATAATAAAGTTTTATTGTAGTTTCAGGAGAAGAAGAAGAAGAAGAAGAAGGGAGTTAGGACTCTTTTTTCGAGGCAGACACATTGATTTTTGCTGTTTTAACGGGGTTTTTATAGGGGAAACTATTGTAGCCACATAATAACAATGTTGTTCTTAACTGTTCTTAACTTGCTCAAATTCTCTGCATTCTCAATTAATCTAATATCGCTTTCATGTTTCGGCCTGTAGTATCTATCTCCTGAACCTTTGTCAACTTTCAGGGACCGTAACAGTGCTCGCACAGCCTTACAATAGTTCCAAAAAGTGTTGAGCGTAAACTACACACCTAGTACTACAATTTTTCAGTTGACCACTTTTTTGTATCACTTTTCCGAAGCCTACAATAGCGCTTGAAAGAGAGTCTAGGGTATCAAAACTTCCAAGCGCTATTGTGCGCTTAGGAAAAGTGCTATCAAAAAAATGTAAATTGACAAAATCAAGTACTAGGCCCAAAGATTGGGGCGCAAACATTTCCAGAACAATTTGAGGTCTTCGAACTCTGCTGTGGTCCCACAAAGTTGACCCAATGTTCTCTGTTTCGAAATCGCTATTTGCTTTCCAGTTTTCCACCTCATTTTCAGTTTTTTTAATTACAGATGTCGTTGGATCCAAGACACACTTTTCTGTACGTCAATTCGAACAACGAGGCGATCCGGCTGCTCGATATTGGCTAGTTTATTTTTCATTTCTTGAGAAATTAGGCATACTAGTTGAAACATGCGATTTGAAACTGATTTTTCTGAGCCCTCAACATCTAGAACATTATTTTTTTGCGAAAAAAAGTCAACAGGTACTTGAACTCTCACTTCTTCTCTCCTCGTTTTCCATCTCGGCCATTTTTACGGCTTTTCGTCGAGCTTCTCCTTTTGTTCTCCATGAAAAGGCTTCTGGAGAAAATGTGAAATTTTGCAAAAAATTGGATTCTCAGTGCCAAAAATCTCTTAGCAGGCTTTTGGATTCAACGGACGCTAATCATGAGCACAAAGTTTGTTCTGGTCGGTTCAAATTCGCTATTGTCCATTTCTTTGATTTCTTCTCCTTTGTGAAACAGTACTTTTACCGTTTTTTTTTGTGTACGAATAAATCAGGTCTGCCGAGGCATGATCCGATCGGGACCAAACTTTGCAGACGTCTTGGACTCCGAGTTTCAGCAATTTTCATCCAATTTTGAGCATTTTTTTGGGGAACCGCTCAAAAAGTGTCGTTTCCGGTAATCCTCGGTTTCTCTAAACATTTCCTCGCGATTCGTTTCTAATCCCTCCCTCTCTCGGCTCCTTCTCCACCTTCTCCGCCTCAATTTTTTTCACCCATTCCACTCTCTTTTTCTGCTGCGGGTAAACCGACCGAAATCGTCGAAATGAATATTATCGAGTTGCTTTTCAGGTAGCGTTTACACTGTTTCTCAACGTTTTTTTATTGGTTCTGACACATTTTTGACACAAATAATAATAATAACACATTTATTCTCTTCAGCCACCTAGGAATAAAAATTAAAACAAAAACAAAAACAAAAACAAAAAAACAAAAACAAAAACAAATGCAAGTAGTCTTTAAAACTTTTCCAAGCTTTTTACTATTTGTCTAAAATTAGAAATGCCCTGATTTGATAAGGTAAGGACAAGTCTAAAATAAAATTAAATTTTTTTGAAAAATTAATTTTTCAAATTAATTTTTTTAAATTAAATTAATTAATTAAATTAAGTTTTTGTCTAAAAATTAGAAATGCCCTGATTTGAGAGGGTAAGGACAGTAAAGACAAGATTTGGCATCAAAAGACACCAAAACGTTAAAAACGATAGGGACTATAGAAAAGTTGGAATTATATTAAATTCAATGCTAGTTTTCATTTTTTTGCGTGAAAAACAATAAAACAGTACGCTTCATGGATTTTTACAGATTTTTACGGCTTCTTGAAACTGTAAATTTTCGTTTTTTTACGGATTCGTTAACAAAAAAATAATTTTACGCCCCTATCAATTTTCGGCGATTTTGACCAACTCTCGATAGCGTTTTTGAAACGATATAGAAAAATTTGGCACTTTTTCCGAAACGGTACCCGTTTTTTTCAGGGGATTCTTTCTTAACCGACCGCAGAACTATGTTTCGCATCAATTTTCGTCGGTACCGTCCAATTTTTTGGCATCCTCTTGAAACAACAATCAACACCACTATTGCGCGTTCTCTCTTTTAATGTCTTTGTGAAACAGAGTAGCACGTTTTCTTTGAAAAAATGGAAAAGAAGCGAAAAATGCCAAAAATCAGCCGGAAATCGAGTCTAGTCGTGGAAAAATCACAAATGACGACATTTTGGGACGACCTCGAAACAGTACATTGTTCCAAAAATCCCACAATTTGCGTTTATACGTGCTCCGTCTGAAAATTGCAAAA